GCCCTCATGCACGTATACCCTCCTGCCCTCAGCCCTCGTGCTCGTTTTGGCGCTGAGGTCGATTCGGTGGGTGTGATGAGTCGCTGCGCCACTTGTAACCCAGCCAAATATGTTTGCACCCGAGCCATCCAACTAGGTCAGCCAGGCGGTTGGATGCTGTCTTGTACGTGTGCACGCCACATTAACTGCGCCCAAAAATTGCGTAGGACAGTGTGTTGGGTGGGGTCCGACTGATCAAAAGCTAAGGAACGAAGCCTCAAACAAGTAAGTTCTCGCCAGCCGCTGCTGCCGCAAGCTCGTCCATAAATAAGGTATGCTTCACACCGCCAAGGTGTGTGCAAACACAGGTATGATGTGCCGTATTGCCCAAAAAGTTCATGACATGCATTTGGAAGCCTATCTCGAGCCTCATTGGACAAGGCAAAAGTATTTTCTGCCCCACTTGGATTTTTTGGTGGCAAATACCTAGCCCCATTTCTTTGACATGCGCCAAACACCCCGAAATTACAACTTATAAGCGGTTGGTTACTTGGAAAGCGGCTCGAGCTGTGGAGGACTCGATTGGACAGGCGTGGTGAGGATCCTGGGCACCGGAATGTTTCCCCCCAATTTGCTAGCCCCACTAAAATAAAGACGTCCACAAGTCATTTTTGCCCCAATTGTCAAAATCCAAACCATCAACTTGTCAATTTGATTATGGGCAAATACGGTATGCCATGGTGCGGCGGTGATGTAAGCTTGCTTGCTTGTATGCCGCGCCATCTCTAAGACTTGGGCACCCACTGCCGCTTTCGGCCAGCAGCAGTGGACAGGGGAGCGAGGGGAGCACACACGAGGGAGATGAAAAATCGAGGGTTCGAGGAAGACAGCAGGTAGGGGGGAAGGGCATGGAAATAGTGATGAGATCATTGGCTGCATGGCTGGCGAAATTATAGTACAGCTTACCGTGCGATCTGCACGGCGAAGAGCTTCTACAGACCGTTTTCATCCTCTTAGTGGTTAACCTGAAAGAATGTAAGACAGCCATCCTCATCCTGTGCACACGGGTGCGTAGATAGGGGATGCCCCATCTTGCGGGTCCCCCACGCACCCCTGGCATGCATACATGCATAGATGCGGAAACGCTTCCATTGTGCAGTCAGCACGTACCGCATGACCCATACCGTACATAGGCGGCGGCCACACGTGCATGCATGCAAGGAAGTACGGCCCGTCCATTCATTCTGGCTTGCATGCGTGGCCTTGTTGGACTCGTCTTTCCTTGTAACATGCTGGCGGACGCGCTGAAATCCGTTTAGCGTCTTTATTATGACTTGACCCGTCCTTATTCCTTTCTCTCTGACCGATGGGCACCTATTTACTTATTGGCATGCATACCGTACGTCCCAGCGAGCATCGTGCCACCTGAAACGAATTTCCCAGGCTCCTGCGTGCTAATGAAAAAGATGAGTGCTTATAAGTACACTGCTTATTCCAGTCTTCCTTGCTGCGCAAAGATCCAGCATGCAGGGGCGCTGTGTGTGTGCATACATGCATGTATGGACCATACCTACGGCAGCATGCCATCTATCATGGTGTGCATGGAAGACACCGTGGATGCGTGCAGCCCTTATTTTCCTGGACTCGTTCCCTGCCCCCCCCAGCAGTACAGGGCCAGCAACACGACAAAAGGACAAGGTCGTCCAACACCAATGGACAGAATCTGCGTGCGGGTATGTAGCAGCCCTCAGCCCAAGGACAGTGGGGGTGCTGTGACGTGCGGTCAGCAGCTGCCCTAGACCAATAGCAAAGTGTCGTACACCACGTTTTTGGCTTGGAAATGAAGGGGGATGAATGCTGGGGCCCGTCGCGGCTTGGAATCCAAGCTCGAACTGCGTCGTACTTCCCAGTGCGGCGTTTATAGAGCGTGGCTTGCGAGAATTGACATCATCAACTGGAATCCCCTGTACGACAGGTTGCCTCCTCATGAAGTACATGAGAATAAGCCGTTCCGGCTCCGTGGCGTAATGGTGGCGCGTCGGATTCCAAATCCGAAGGTTATGGGTTCAATCCCCACCGGGGTCATTTTGCCCCCTGTGGGAAGCCCAGTCATGCAGCCCTCATGCACGTATACCCTCCTGCCCTCAGCCCTCGTGCTCGTTTTGGCGCTGAGGTCGATTCGGTGGGTGTGATGAGTCGCTGCGCCACTTGTAACCCAGCCAAATATGTTTGCACCCGAGCCATCCAACTAGGTCAGCCAGGCGGTTGGATGCTGTCTTGTACGTGTGCACGCCACATTAACTGCGCCCAAAAATTGCGTAGGACAGTGTGTTGGGTGGGGTCCGACTGATCAAAAGCTAAGGAACGAAGCCTCAAACAAGTAAGTTCTCGCCAGCCGCTGCTGCCGCAAGCTCGTCCATAAATAAGGTATGCTTCACACCGCCAAGGTGTGTGCAAACACAGGTATGATGTGCCGCATTGCCCAAAAAGTTCATGACATGCATTTGGAAGCCTATCTCGAGCCTCATTGGACAAGGCAAAAGTATTTTCTGCCCCACTTGGATTTTTTGGTGGCAAATACCTAGCCCCATTTCTTTGACATGCGCCAAACACCCCGAAATTACAACTTATAAGCGGTTGGTTACTTGGAAAGCGGCTCGAGCTGTGGAGGACTCGATTGGACAGGCGTGGTGAGGATCCTGGGCACCGGAATGTTTCCCCCCAATTTGCTAGCCCCACTAAAATAAAGACGTCCACAAGTCATTTTTGCCCCAATTGTCAAAATCCAAACCATCAACTTGTCAATTTGATTATGGGCAAATACGGTATGCCATGGTGCGGCGGTGATGTAAGCTTGCTTGCTTGTATGCCGCGCCATCTCTAAGACTTGGGCACCCACTGCCGCTTTCGGCCAGCAGCAGTGGACAGGGGAGCGAGGGGAGCACACACGAGGGAGATGAAAAATCGAGGGTTCGAGGAAGACAGCAGGTAGGGGGGAAGGGCATGGAAATAGTGATGAGATCATTGGCTGCATGGCTGGCGAAATTATAGTACAGCTTACCGTGCGATCTGCACGGCGAAGAGCTTCTACAGACCGTTTTCATCCTCTTAGTGGTTAACCTGAAAGAATGTAAGACAGCCATCCTCATCCTGTGCACACGGGTGCGTAGATAGGGGATGCCCCATCTTGCGGGTCCCCCACGCACCCCTGGCATGCATACATGCATAGATGCGGAAACGCTTCCATTGTGCAGTCAGCACGTACCGCATGACCCATACCGTACATAGGCGGCGGCCACACGTGCATGCATGCAAGGAAGTACGGCCCGTCCATTCATTCTGGCTTGCATGCGTGGCCTTGTTGGACTCGTCTTTCCTTGTAACATGCTGGCGGACGCGCTGAAATCCGTTTAGCGTCTTTATTATGACTTGACCCGTCCTTATTCCTTTCTCTCTGACCGATGGGCACCTATTTACTTATTGGCATGCATACCGTACGTCCCAGCGAGCATCGTGCCACCTGAAACGAATTTCCCAGGCTCCTGCGTGCTAATGAAAAAGATGAGTGCTTATAAGTACACTGCTTATTCCAGTCTTCCTTGCTGCGCAAAGATCCAGCATGCAGGGGCGCTGTGTGTGTGCATACATGCATGTATGGACCATACCTACGGCAGCATGCCATCTATCATGGTGTGCATGGAAGACACCGTGGATGCGTGCAGCCCTTATTTTCCTGGACTCGTTCCCTGCCCCCCCCAGCAGTACAGGGCCAGCAACACGACAAAAGGACAAGGTCGTCCAACACCAATGGACAGAATCTGCGTGCGGGTATGTAGCAGCCCTCAGCCCAAGGACAGTGGGGGTGCTGTGACGTGCGGTCAGCAGCTGCCCTAGACCAATAGCAAAGTGTCGTACACCACGTTTTTGGCTTGGAAATGAAGGGGGATGAATGCTGGGGCCCGTCGCGGCTTGGAATCCAAGCTCGAACTGCGTCGTACTTCCCAGTGCGGCGTTTATAGAGCGTGGCTTGCGAGAATTGACATCATCGACTGGAATCCCCTGTACGACAGGTTGCCTCCTCATGAAGTACATGAGAATAAGCCGTTCCGGCTCCGTGGCGTAATGGTGGCGCGTCGGATTCCAAATCCGAAGGTTGTGGGTTCAATCCCCACCGGGGTCATTTTGCCCCCTGTGGGAAGCCCAGTCATGCAGCCCTCATGCCATTTTGACCCCATCGAAGCACTGCGGACACACAAACGGTGCCAACAGGGTGCAATTTCTCCCCCAAGCCCTTATATTCCGCAAATTATCTCCGGGGGCTTCGCCCCGCGCCCCCATTGAAGGGAAATAGGAATAGTACAGGGATCGGTCAGGCACGGAAAAGGCGCGGCGCCCAAAAGCCACCTAAGCGCTCTTAAATAGCTCTTATTTAAGAGCGCTTAGGTGGCATACAGGAATAGGGCCTTCACGAAGCAGAAGTTCCGTGTTTGCCGACGTCTGATAACAAGCCCTTGGTACGGCGTGACCATATCCGACGACCCTAAACTCCATCCGTGGGAGTTTTCCGATGCGTTTCGGCTGTGTGCGTGGGGCATTGAAGCCAATCGCCCAAGGGGTAGGGGACGAGTAGCGCGTGTTTGTCCTATGTGTGCCGTGCAAGGGTCACCTGGGAGAGTGGAGGACGAGAAACACATCCTCATTGAATGTCCCACTTTCGATGATTTGCGAGAAAAGGTATGGGAAAGTGGTGTTTCAGGTGATGTCTGTCATGGGCATGGAGGATCAGGCATTGCTTGCTGGCGTGATCACTAGCATGCGAAGTCGTAGGATTGCGCAGACAGGGATTATCATCTCAGTAGCGTGCTGTTTCCGCTTCTTAAGTTTACTTTTCTTTTTTGATTGTTTACGTGTTTTTGTGCTCGTGATCCATGAGCCTTCTGGCTCGGACGGATCTTACGAGCTCGGTACGAAGCTTGTAACACATACATACGTACATACCATCCGTGAGCCCCCGCAATGTGCACAACTAACTCCTCAGAACAGTTCATTTGCCCCAACATTGCAATTCAGCAAGACACAGTTTCCTATTTGAAAGCCAAGGAACAAGTCGCTGGCACAAGGAATGTCACAGTTTGCGCTGTGCCCCAACTTCAACCTGCGGGACACCGTAACTATTAACAATTGCAATAAGAAGCCGTTTACAAGTAGTGTTGCACCTCCTAGCCAATCCCTGCAACGGCTTAACGCGCTTTCCACAAGCGTTCATTTCGCAACCCTTTCGGGAAGCCCCGTAGCGCGGACATCGAAGAGCACGCCTTCGCCGTTCTCTATTCCCCATTCTCGGGGCGCCCCGCTGGCGCCTCGTTCCGCTGCTCCTGACTCCACAATGGCCTCATCATCACCTCCTGCTGGCAGCCCTTTGAACCGCAATCTGCTGGTGGTGGGCCCAGGTGTGCTGGGAAGCGTGTTGGCTCGCGACTGGCTTGTCTCGGTACCGGGCGCCACCGCCACCGGCCTCACCAACACGGAGCGCAGCCATGACCGGTGAGGTGGGCAGCTGGGTCCGCGGGTGAGGCGCTAAGGAACGGGCCAGAGCGCTTTGAGGGGAGACATGAAGAGGGGGGTAAAGTTCGAGTGAGCTGGTTCTGGGTATGTGGGGTAGGGATGTGGCATTGTGCGAGATGTGACAGGAGGAGAGCCCGGGAAGAGAGGGGGGAGGAAGGGGGGCGCGCCGGTGGCTGCGGGAGCTAGGGTGCGTGCGGCTGGGTGGCTGGTAAGGGCAGGGACCACGGGGGCAGGCGGGAGGGCGGCTGTGGTGGTAGGGAGGGAGCACGGCAGCAGGCAGGGGCGCCATTGGGCTCACTGCCCTGCCCCCAGCTTGTCGCACCTGCGCTCCCAACCTGCAGCTGAGGAGGAGGGCGACGAGGAGGAGGAGGAGGTGCGGTGTGGCAGGGCAACCCGTCAACCCTTCTCTCTCCCCGATGCTTCCCGAGCCTCACCGTCTCCTGCGTCGCCTGCCCTCCGCCTCTCATCCCCCTGTTCTTCTCCCATGCAGGCTGCGCGCCCTAGGCATCCAGCCAGCCACCCGGGTCTCCCTGCAGCAGCAGGAGGGGCAGCAGCAGCATGAGGGAGGAGGAGGGGCGGGTGCGGGTCGGCGGTGGAGCTTCGTGGCGTTCAGTGCGCCCCCCTCGGGCAGCCAGGACTATGTGGCGGATGTGAGGGGGGAGGAAGGGAAGGAGGAGGGGAGGGGAAAGAAGAGTAGCATGCGCTGAACGATAGCGGCATCACTAGGGGGGGAGGGAACACTGGGGGAGCGCTGGGGGCTTGGAACTGAGAAGGGGGAAGCGTGCCCAGGAGTGCACCTGCGGCGGAGTTGCACGCTGTTCATGTCGGCCAGTGACCGGGTAACCCGGCGCTGCGAATGAGGGAGAAGGAGAAGGACATATGAGTGCGGGTCAAGAAGATGTCGAGGAGGGAGGAAAGGGCGAGAGGCGGGCGGTGCTTGCAGCCCCCATGCCTGCCATACACTGCAGCCCACTAACCCACATCTGGTTTGGGACCGCCCCTCCGCCTTGTGAACCACGGCCAGGAGTCGCACTACCGCACTAACTACCTGGTTCCGTGTTTTTAACCACTTTAACCACTCAAACCTATCCCTCCTGCTCCCCCCTCCCACACAGGTCCGCTCCGCTCTCTCCCTGTGGGACGGCACCGGCTGTTTCCTCTTCACCTCCTCCATGAGCGTGTGCGCAGTGGACGACGGGGGCGCGGTGGACGACATGGGGGAGGAGGGACGCGGCTGCCCGCTGGTGACCCGCGGGTCGGCGCCGGGTACTGACAAGCTGCTGGGGGCGGAGGAGGCGGTGCTGCAGGTGGGGTGCGGCTGCGGCTTGGCGGAAGATTTGGGGTGGTGTGGGTGTGGGAGGCGGGAGATAAAGGGGAGGGGAAACTGACGAGCTGTATGACGAGGCTTTACCAAGGGCTGCTGGAGGAGGGGGGAGTATCGTGTAACCCAACACAACACCTCCTACGTCTTCCTCCGCCTTGGCCCCCGCCGTCTCGTACAATTCTTGTGCATATCCTGGCATTCCAATTATCTAATATCCAGCGGTCACGTCACGCAGCACGCTAGCTACATATCATGAGGGGACATGTCGTGCCCCTCTCCTCACCCCCTTTTTGCCTTCCTGCCTCCCCTTCCCCGCCCTCTCCCCCTTCCCACCAGGCCGGCGGGTGCGTGTTGCGGCTAGTGGGGCTCTACCACGCTAACCGGGGGGCGCACACCTACTTCATACGCGCGGTGAGGGGGGGAGAGGGGGGGGGGTCAGAAACCAGACTGTTCCGTAGGGACGAAGGGAAGGGCGGTGCGGCGCGGAGGAGCGCAAAACCATCCTCTTCCCCTCCCTCAGGACCCCATAAAAGCAGCTACATTGTTTGTCCATCACCGGCTAATGGCTGTCGTGTCCTCTAACCGGCCCCCACCCTCTCTCCGTAAGACACCCCAGTACTGTTCCAAACCCCCTTAACGCAGCCCTCGCTCCCCACTTGCTCTTCTAACCCGGTCGGCAACTTCCCCCTCCTATCGCCTTGACCCTAGCTGTAGCTTGCTTTTCTCCTACCTCCCCCGGCTTCGATCCCCTATCCCGACTGCTTTGCCCTAACATGTGTGTCCTATGGCTTGTTATGGTCTTTTACCCCCCCCCCCTCCCCAGGGCTCAGTCTAATGCGGATTATGTATCCCTTACTAATCCCCCCCAGGGCTCATAAAACACATCTCATTCTCATTAAACACTTTGGGCATTCTTCTTTTTCCCCTCAGGGCTCCGTTCCCCGGCCGGGCGGCTACCTGGTGAACCTGCTGCACTATGAGGACGCGGCGGGGCTGGGGGCGGCGGTGAGGAGAAGGAGGGGAGGGAGGGGGAAGGTTTAGGGAGGGTGTAGTTGCATCCTAGCCTTTAGGGCGCGGTAGATGCCCTACCGATGCTGGCCGTAGGGAGTCTACTCGGTTAGAACCTTCTCTTACCGGTTCTTCCTTCCGGTGCCGCCTACCGCCATGGCTTGTCGGTAGCACAGGATGGGTCGGCGACCCATGATGACAAGCCTACATGTCTCATACGGTTGGTTGGTTTCTTGCTCTTCACCCCGCAGATCCTGCGCGGTGACGGCAGCGGCCCATTCCGCGGGCGAGTGTTTGTGGGCACGGACGGGCAGCCGGTGACGTTTGAGGACATGGTGGAGGTGAGGGGGCGGGGGAAGGGGGGGAAAGGTTATATAAGGGGCAGGGGGGGGGGGGGTGGAAGGGGCAGGGGGGAGTGGAGAGGTGGACGGGTTAAAGCAGGGCCTGTGGAGGAGTAAACGTTAAGGGGCTATTCCGCGCTTGGCTGGGATATTCAGACTCTAAGATTGCAACCCTTGCATTTTTGTCGGCTATAGCAATGTCGGCTCCATATTAGAGCGTGTTCCCCTGCGGGTACCCCTTCTGGACTGCCCCCTCCGCCGCCGCCTTTGCCTCCTCCGATTGCAAGTACTTACCGCGTTCCCCTCCCCTGCTCCCAATACCACGTCTCCTTCCTTCCAGGCGTGTTTCAGCTCGGGTGTATTCCCGCGTGCCCCCGTCACCTTCACCGGGGCCTTTCCTGAAGGTGTGGGGAAGCATTGGGGGAGGGGGGGGAGCTGCGAGTGGGGGATGGGGGAAAGGGAACTGGGAGGGGCAAAGAGGTAGACTGATAACAAGGTGACAAGGCTCCGCCATGTGTTGTCATTGGGGCCGCCGACCCTTTGAGCCACCCTTCGCCTTCTGTTAGTTTCCACCCATCTGTTCTCAGTTTCTTGCTCTTCACTCCCACACCCACCCCGTCCCACCCCTCTCCGCTCCGCAGACCCACGGGTCGGTCGTGGCAAGGTCGTGTCCAACCCCGCCACCCGAGCCGCACTAGGCGGCTGGGCCCCGCGCTACCCCTCCTTCGCTGCCTTCATGGCGGCAGGGGGGAAGGACTGGTACGGCAGCTGCGGTTTGGAGTTTTAGATGAGGCGTGGGGCCGAGGGAAGCAGGAGAGGGAAAGAGGAGTTGGGAAGGAGAGGGAGGAGGGGGAGCCGAGTGGAGAGGGTGGCAGCTTCTTTTGTTTGCCGTAGGACCAGGAAATGTGTCGCGTTAGGGCTTCTGTGATACCTCCTGTGAGGTTAAGAAAGATGATGCTCTTCAAAATGTCTTGCATGGCAAGAGTGTTACGTACGAGCATTGTACGACTGCGGCTGATTGATGGCATGCATGCATGACACTGGCACTAATTTTTGTTGCATGTTGGTAGTACAATATAAATCGGAGAAGAAGTAGGATAAGAGTAAAGGAGAGGTAAATAAGAGAAGGATAAGGGAGAGATAAATAGGAGAGGAATAAGAAATACAGAAGGACCTCCATCGTTACGGGAACACAGCTGGCTTCAGAGCTCTGTAGAGTACGTCCTAAACCTGGCGGGCAACACGCAGTGTAAATTGGTGACTTGCTAGGACTAGACATGGCCCCTCATGTTCTCTGTACCTCTCCATGCTCCCATGAGCACCCATGTCATTGATGTCCTCGGGGCAAGGAACCCCTACTTCGCCGCACGGTGCTCGACACACACACGCATGCCAGTTTTCTTAACACACGCATGCGCGCATGCCGGTACGCACAAGCACAAAGCAGTGGGAGATTTCAGCTTTGAACGAGGTTAAAGCCGCCAGCACAGGAAGCCAAATGTGCAGTGAGAAGAAGACGGCTCGTCGCTCGCTGCAGACGCATCGTAGGGGCAAGTAAGGTTACGGAGCACGGAGGGAGTCGCTGACCGGGTTGCGAAGCTAGGGGGAGGGGAGGGCACAAACAGCTGGCACCTGGCACTTTGACGCTGCCGCCGCATCAGCAGAAACCGCACTCGATACAACATGTGGGCGGATTAGAAGGGCGCTAAAAGTCAACCTCATGTTCAAAAGTCCAAACGAAATGTCCTGGACTCTGGCGCAAGGGATTGATCGTGAGGTGCGCTTCGTTCGTGAATGCCCTACGTAAGGACCCGCATTGGCACTGGCACAGGGATTAGCGTCAGCAGCACCACCCTCTGCTACGCAGAAGGTCTTTTCGGGAGTAACAGCAATTATACGACCCAGATGACCCGTGGGTCACAGCCCAAAGTAACCCCTTTTCCTTCCTGAGTTGTTGCTCGCGACGTCGCACATCAGGACGACAGCAAGACCTCTGGAGAGCCAGGGTACCCTATACCTCATCTTCCAAATGCCCTGATTGCAGAAACCTTTATACTTCACGTGAAGCAAGCAGAGCGCTGCAAAGCAAGGGCACCTTAAACCTCTTTTTGCAGCATCAGGTGGGCTAAAGGGGCACTTCTGACTGTCGCATTGGGCTCCTGAATGGTGGTTGGCGGCGGCCGTTGATATCGCGCACAATTGCGTCACCGACCAAGGAGCGATGTGAGACACCCACGCAGTGGGTCACAAAACCCATCCGCAGATTGGTCCTGGGTGCATTTGATTCATTGTTCACGTAGCTTTCTCATACGTAAAATTCTGTTCAACAACACAGGCGCTTGTTAAGCGTAGCTGTTACCTCAAGTCAAGCAGCCCACGCATTGCATAGCGCCACCTAACATAGCGGTGGCTGCAGCAGTCCAATATCGCTCTCGCAATTCAATCCCACCGTCTAAAAGCCCCACCGGTACCGCATATCATCAGCTTTAAGCCCTGAAGACGACGTAGCGGCTCATCACATCAGACGTCGTGCCCGCCTAGCGTGCTTCCAAGGTAGCTGTAATCGGCTCTGAGACCCCACTCAGCCAGTCAGTCATACCAGCCGCCAACAGCAACAGCCGCACTTCAAGGATAGAACGTCACACCAGCAGCAGCCCATCGCGCTTCTTCATCCTGCTTGCTCTAGACCAGCTGTTCGCAGTTACTATCCAGCAGTCTCGGCCCTTGACGTAAGCGCTCTGCCGGTAACCCGCTTGCGGATTCCGGTACTGCCCTTCTCACCTTACCTGGTTTCTATAATCACCGGTACTCCTATTGTCTGCTTTTCTCCCGCTGCGCCATTACATTGCCAGACTATTAGTTTGACGCCTTCGGGCTTCACCTCTGGTGCCTGAGCCAGGCCTTCACGTTCCTCCCTTCCCCAACCCAATGCCGTCCCTTTTCTTCCCCAGCGCTCACCCATGACGATGCTACAATCAGTAGTTCAGCCCCTTTCCCGCACCGGCACTGCCCCTCGCGCCAGCCGCCGTGCGGTACCTGCTGCTGCTGCGGTGGTGGTGGTGACTGCAGCGGCGGCGGCGGCAGGGGCCCCCCCCGCCGCGCCCTGCCCCTCGCTACCGCGGAGTGCGGTTCGTGGGCGGCAGCGGGGGCTGGTGGGAGGAGTGGGAGGCGCCCAGGGGAGGAGTCGAGGTGGGTGGTGGGTGGCGGAGGATAGGGGAGCAGGGAGGGGGCGGGTAAGGGGTTACTGAAGAGGAGGAGGAGGGGGAGGAGAGGAGAAGTGAAGGAGGAGAAGAGGAGGGCGGGGCAGGGGGTTGCCGTGAAGGCGGGTGAGAGGCGAGAGCAGGGAGCGGGGGGGTTAGGGTAAGGACGGGATGCAATGTTGGGAGGGGGGAGTTGCCGCTGCTGGGAGCAAGGAGGGGGGGGCTAGAGATAGAGGGCGAGGCTGCAGGTGTAGGTGCCGTGCGTTTACTGCATCTCATCCGGGCACCATGTAGGACAGACAGCGAAAGGGGGGGTATGTGAAGGCAGGGATGGAAGGAGAACTGGGGCCGGGACGCGGGAGAAATGGGACTCCAGCACTGCACACACAGAGGTGCAGCGGTGCCTTACTGCACACACGGCGCCCCCTCATGCGTTAGTACGCTGCTTGGTGCTCCCGGGCTGAGGTGTGTGTGGGTAGCGGTCTCCCCCTCACTGTCAGTGTCACACGGTCGGTTGGTTGTTTCCTCCTTATCCCCCCTCGCTGTGTGTGGGGCTCCTTTCCTGCCTCTGGCTGGGGCATTTGTTCCCGGGTTCGGGAGAGGACTTCGGGTTCTCTTTCCCCACTGGTAACCACATTCCCCTCTTTCCCCCCTCTTTCCCCTCTGCCTCACCCCGCCTCTCACCCCATCCGTCAGACGTGGCTGTTCGCTTCCGCGAGGACGAGCGGCGCGGGGCCGCGGACACCGCCGCCGTCACCGACCAACGCACTACGAGGGCAGGTGAGGGCGAGTTGCGGGGCCGAGGGGCGGTTGGGGGTTGGGAGGGTGGGTTAAGAGGAGGGGTTAAGCAGCCACGATGGGATTTGGGATAGCATGTCGAGCGGCTGTGAAGTACAAGTACATTTAGGTGTTGTAGGATTAGGGGACATGTGGCGGTTAGGGCGAGGGCGCGTGGAGCTGTTTGTCGTACGTTCCGTACTGCAAGTAGTGGGGCGAAGAGGGATAGCTATGTCGTACATCAATACGGCCATGTGTTGGCGTACAGTATTCCGCTTGCTCCACTGCCCGTCGACCCATTCCACACGTCTCCCCCCTTGGTTTCCCTCCTCCCCTCTTTCCCACCTCATTAGTAGCCCACCTCAACGTGTCTCCTCCTCATTCAACACATTGTGTATTCCTCTTCTCCCTCCCTCCCTCCTCCCCATCCACCCTCCCTCCAAACCCGCACGCAGGCACACAGACTCTGGTTCCTGTCGTACTCAAGTACGGCAAGCGCTGCGCCTTTGGGGAGGGGTTCGCTGTGGTGGGGTCGGCCCCCGAGCTGGGGGCTTGGGACCCGGCCAAGGCGGTGCCCATGAAGGTGAGGGGTGGGAGGGCGAGGAGGGACATGCTGTTAAGAGCAGGACGGGCGAGGGGAAAGAAGAAATGGGGTTCACAAGCGCGTGGGCTGACCCGTGGGTCGCTGTGCTTCAGTTCCGACGCCTATCGCACCGCTACCTTATCCCCTTCCCTCCGCAGCCCCCCATGGTGTGTATATTTACAATGCTTCATAATTTCCTTTTCGTTACCTCCCCCACCGCTGCTATGCAGTGGACCCCCGGTGACGTATGGGTTGCTGTCGTACGGCTGCCGGTGGAGAGCGAGGTGCAGTACAAGTACCTGCGGGTGAAGGACGGCGGCGGAGTGGTGGCGTGGGAGGGGGTGGAGACGGGTGAGCGGGGAAGGGGGAGGCGGAAGGGGAAGAATGGCAGGAAATGAGGGGCAGGGTGGAGGCAGGGCGCAGGGCGTCCTCTCGTTTCTGCTGGGCAGGCGGTGGGCGGAATGGTGATTTTGGATGGAGGCAGGGGGTAGGTCGTAGGTGGACGTTTGCTGTCGTACCTCTGCCGTACCCTGCTGCCAACTGTGCATGCCTTTGCGATCCGTTCCGCATGCCCATTTCCGCATGCTGCACTCCCCCGCCTCGCTCCTCGAAGCTCCTCCCCAACTCACCCCTACCGCACTCCCACGGGCGCTTCGTCTCTCCCTGACCTCCCCTCCCAGTTGGCGGCTCCAGCTCCGGTTCCTCACACATGGGCAACCTGTCGCTGCGTGTCAGCCCCGGCCACCGACTCATCTGGGGACATGGGGCTGAGGTGCACCTGGACCTGCCTGCGGGTGAGGGACGAGGGGGGGTGGGGTGGGACGAGGTGTATGTTAAGTAAGCTGGCCGAGAGCCGGAACGTACTATGATGACCGGCAGATGAAGTCCCCATCGAAACGCCACAAGTGATGTCGAGTGTATGTGCGTGTTGGGTGATGGAGTTTTAACTTCGGGGTTGCGGGACTGCGGGTTGGCTTGGGAAGGTAGGGCTGTTTTCGTGCCTCCTACAGTCCCCGTTCGAGACCCCACTCCTTACCTCCCCCGCCCCTCGGGCTTGTCAGCTTGTTTTACCACTATCATACCACACATTGGGATTTCTTTTTCCCCCTCTCCCCCAACTCGTCAGTTTCCTTTTTTACCCTTCCCCAACTCCTCCTCTTTTCCCCTTTCCACATGCACAGAGTACGCCGATATCGCGGGCACCCCCCTGCCCGGCACCGCCGCCCTGAGCCCCTCCGCAGCCACAACCACCGCAACCACCACCACCACCACCGGCGGCGAGGGGGCAGCAGGCGGTGGCGGCGGCGGCGGGGGTGTGTTGTCGGGTGTGGTGGAGGCGGCGAGGGGCACGCTGGCTGCCATCGAGTCCAGGATCCCGGGACTGGGTGAGTTGGGGTTGGTGAAAAAGGAAATCCAATGTGTTGAATGATACTGGTACAAGCTGACGAGCCCTGATTGGGGTTGGGAGGGTGAGGTGGGCGCGATTGGGAACTGAGTGACCCGTCCAGTCGGTTGGTTGTTGGTGGGAATGCCTTTGGCAGCTGGCAATGCGGCACTGTCGTTTCGTGGATAGCTACCATTACCACCGGAACGGCTCCAGTCCGCTGCGGATAAGGACCGGTACCCAGAAGCTCTTACTAGCGCCCCCTCCTCCGATGCCGTACGCCCAACCGCAGGCGGTCGGGAGGTCCCTGCCCCTGCCCCGGGCTCCGAGACCACCCCCATCACTGCAGGCTCGGTGGCCGACCAAACCGCCGCCACCATCCCCACCATCACTACCTTCGCCACGCCCACCTTCATTCCTGGGGAGGGCGAGGCTGTAACCGGCCCCCCCGGCTTCTCCGGCAACTTGCCGACTGAGGTCCCTACGGTTGACATTCCAACCTACCCCGCGGCTGACGTGTCCGGCCCAACCGAATACGCCTACCAAACAACCACCCCAACCGCCGCCGCGGCCAACGCCCCCGCCCGCGTGCATGACCTTCATGTGGCCCCCGCGGCGTATGACTACAACATCGCCGACAGCACCGTACCCTCTTTCGCTGGCAGCGGTACGGAAGGCGGTTCGACAGGTACGACAGGGGGCGCTGGTACGGCAGGTGCCGGTCACCATCACCTGTCGAGTGCAGACCTGGCGGCGAGCATGGTGGCGGCGGGGCCGGCGGCGGCAGCGGTGTCGGCGGCGGCCATGGGGCTCCCGGCGGATGAGGCGGGAGGCATACCTGACTTCACGGCGCCGTCGGGCGGGGTGTCGTACGGCGACGTCAGTGGCGGCGGCGGTGATGTGACAGCGGCGGCGCCGTCGGTTACTATGGCGGGAGCGCCGGCGGAGGTGAGGGTGTGGGCGGGGGAGACGGAGGGACCAGAGACGGTGTTGGACAGCCGCTGGCAGCTGGAGGGCAGGCGTGTAGACCCATGGGTCACACTGAGACAAGCGGCTGGCATTAATCCCTATCCCATATCCGTCTTGCACTGCGCACGGGGGCCATCTCCGTCCACCAAGCACGCACCCCATATTCCCCACAACGCTGTGATCCTGCTTACCTCACCCGTCCCTACTCGCAAACACAGCACATTGGGTATACTTCTTTTCCCAGTTCGCCACCCCTATTCAAGATTCGCGTACATGTCGTCATGGGCTAGCAACGGGAGCTGGGAATCGGGTGTTTCACCTCTGTTTCCTGACCCTCCACCCCGCACGGCCCCTCTCCTTCAGGCCGGCGGCGATGTGACAGCCGTGGACACCAGTGGCGGCCCCTCCGCCGCCTCCAGCCCCTCTGTCTCCACCACCACCCCCGGCACCAACCCCGGGGGCAGGCCGGGCGACAACGGCAGCGGCGGCGGCAGCAGCAGCGGCGGGGGGAGCCGCATGCGTAACATCTTCCGACGTGTGACGGGGCTGTGAATGCCTGAGGGGGAGAGGGAGGGAAGGAGTGAGAGGGGACGGGATGCGAAGGAGGAGGAATGTGGCTGGCGGGCAGGTGAAGACAGGTATGGAAGGTTGGAGGTTGAGGATTGGCAAGCGCAGTTGAGGCGTGGGTTGACGGGAGGGAGGAGGAGGATTGAGACGTAGCATGGCGGACTGGGTGTCGTACAGGATGGTAAAAGGTTAGTCGTCTTGCTGCTTGTGCAGGGGGTGTTGGCGCTGGGGTCGCTGCTGTGGGATGAGGCGCCGGGGTTTTGCGTCGGAGTTGGGAAGAGTAAAGCCGCTAGGAGCAAGAGGCCAGTGCGTAAGAAGAAGTAATGAGGCGAGGATTCTTGGACTCGCCATTGTTCGGTTGGTTGTTGATGTGCGCAGCAACAGCCGTGTCGCTATGCTCGGCGGTACAAAGGCTGTTGGAGGGTACAAAGGCCTCGGTAGCCTTAATGCGGGCATGGTGATTGGTTTTAAGACGCTATGAGTTGCGGCCGGACGGCGGGAGTCAACATTGTTGTTAGCTGCTGTGGACATATGCGAGTGAAGGTGGACGGCAGTACGTGGGTGTTGAAGTGCCGCTGCCGTACTCGGGGCGGGCTTGTTGTGCAGCGCGAGACCATACGTCTGGTTGAAGAGGCTGTATACTTCTTGTAGGTTTGTTGGTGTGTGTGTGTGTGAGTGTGTCGGGTCAGTTGTTAGGTGGGAGTTGCAATGATACAGGGTGCTTTCGAATCCTTCTATGGTTGGCCATGGGTTGGCACTGAGTTGGGGTTGACATGGACCGGGCGCTGTAACGGCACCTTGCCAGACGGTTGTACTTGTTTGCTTGTTGAGCTCTCATGCGCACACTTCAGTTCTTTGTGCCTGCCGTCGCACATGGTGGTTCGGTGTGAGCAACGCGTGCCGGTAGGCACCAATTAACCAAGTAAAGTACTTGTTGATAATTCGTTATTGTTGTCTTGGGCCTGACCTAGGGTGTGACACGAAGGGGTTAGAAGCAGGAAATAACACCTGGACGCTGCTCATGAGCCATTTGGGACCAGCTTGCAGTACGGTAGTCAGGTTGGTGGCGTTGCCGTCGTATGGACTCTGCAATTTGTAGCAATCGGCGTTGACCTATGGCTTTGGGTCGTCCAGTAGGCTTCGTCATGCAGGCGTCATGTGTGTATACAGTTCTATGTTCACTATACCAGTTGCTATGCTATGTGCCATTAGTTCCATATCACGGTATTGTATATGTCTTCTTGTCGTCGAAGGGTTGAGTATTTGCTGAAGGCCGTAAGCAGGTAAGCTCTAGCCGACGTGTCATCTACGGCATGTAACCATCTCAAGTTACCGCCGCCCCTTCTTGCATACAACTTTGCTGTGTCGAACTTGTCGGCACGCTGTCTTCATAGGTAGTCCATGCGGGAGTATCGCATTGACGGTGCCAGAACCCGAAACATAGGTGGTGTCACGATACCTTATCCTTGTCCCAAAGTTATCTGCCGATCCTTGACTTCAAGCATACACCATCGTTGTTAGGGCAAGCACATTTCATTTAGCAGACCTTTAAGGGCCGCCGCTATGGTCCTTTAAGCCTCTACTAAACGTTATGAGCACTGGTGTCCGTGATCAAAGCAAAATGGCTACTGCTGGTTCAAGTGCACTCACACAAGGTGTCACAGAGCACCACGACCCTGTGAAGGATTGGCTGCGTTCCAATGTGCCTCTGTTCGGCAGGGTGAGAGTAATAAACTTCCAGGCTAGCCTAATCTTGCTTTTGTGCATATAATAGTTCGTCTTTAAACGTGCCGCGCTGTCTTCCAGGAGTTGATGGCTGGTGGCGCTGCTGGTGCTGTCGCTAAGACATTCGTGGCGCCTGTTGAGCGCACGAAGATCTTGCTTATGGTAAGTCATTGCTTTTCAGTGCGCTTGTGCTGAGCGCTGTGCTCTGACGGGTGTTTACTAGCCTTGAAACTGTTCGCCTCGTCATGTCGTTGTTCACATCGTCACGTCGGTGTGCGCTTCTGTTCGGCGTTTTCTTATCGAACGGCTCGCAGTAAACACCCCGATGACTCAACTCTCGTGTCTTTGCGTTTCTTGTGGCAACGCAAGGCGTAGTCCGCGGCGTCGGCCGTGCCGAGTTGCCAATTGTACACGGCGCCCTGCATTCTTTCCCTTCTACATTTAAAAATCTGCGCTCAAGTCTATTCATCATCCCCCCTGCATCCCCTCCCACCTGCCCCAGCAGCCCCTCCTTTTCCCCGCTTCCTTGTCTTCCCCTCTCCTATGGTTTGGTATGGTCTCTGACTCCCCTCATACCACCGCCCCTTTCAACCCCTCATATCGCCACGCGCGGCTCTGGCCCGCTATGCTGTCACCCATCCCCCGCTGGCCTCGCAAGCTTCCATATCCCTCTGCTTTACTTTCCTTGACAACATCTTCTCCTCTCCCTTCCTGTCCGTTACCCTACCAACTCCCAGCCTTCTCCCCCCCTTCCCTTCTCCCCGCCCCACGTCCCCAGACCGGAAAGGCCAAGATGAGCGCGTACAACACTATTAAGCTGCTCTTCCAGACGGAGGGCGTGGCGGGCCTTTTCCGAGGCAACGGCGCCTCCTGCCTGCGCATCGTGCCGTACGCCGCACTGCACTTCAGCTCCTACGAGTTCTACAAACGCCTTCTTTCGGAAGGAGTGCCCACCACCCTGTCGCACACATCCACTGCGACCGCCTCCTCTTCCGCGGTCGCCGCCTCCTCGGCTATGTCCTCCTCCTCCAAAAGCAGCAGCGTTGCTGTGGTCTCTGCGTCGAACGGCATTAGCAGCAGTGCTGACGGCAGCGCCAACACCGAGACTCGCGACGAGTGGGATGATGACGCGCTGGTGACTGCGGAGGCCGTGGCGCTGGGAACCAAGCCGGTGGTGGCGGTGGAGGCGGAGCTGCAAGGCCTGCGGAGGGGAGATGACGCGGTGGAGGATGCCGACATGGCCAGCCAGCAGCAGCAGCAGCTACCTCAACAGCAGCAGCCCCAGGTAGGGGCAGCTGGCGGTGCTGCCAAGGAGGGCGGCCGGCGGCGGCTGGGATCCTTAGAGGAGCTGGTGGCGGGGTCCATGGCAGGCGCAACTGCCGTACTCGCCACCTACCCCCTGGATGTCGTACGAACGCGTCTGGCATGGGTGACGGAGGCGGGCGCTGCAGACCTTGGAGCGGCGACGTCTTCGTCGGCGGCAACCGCAGCGAAGTCAGCGGCCCCCAAGCCGGCCCAGGTAAACCCCTACCACCCCGACCACGGCATCTTCCGCACCATCTCCCTCATCGCGCGGCAAGAGGGCATGCTGGGGCTGTACCGCGGACTGGCACCCACGCTGTACGGCATTATGCCATACGCGGGCCTGAAGTTCTACGTGTACGGCCTTTTGAAGCAGTGGTACCGCGAGGTGCGGCCACCGCAGCAGCAGCCGCATGCCTCCCACGGTGGCAGCGGTCACGGCGGCGCGGAGCGGCTGCCTGTCCCAGTAATGCTCATGTTTGGCGGGACGGCCGGGCTAGTGGCGCAGACAGCCACGTACCCTCTGGACGTCGTACGGCGGCGCATGCAGGTCTTTGGCCTGCAGGACCACGCGGCAGTGGCGGCTGCTTCTGCTGGCACCAGCTCTGCTGAGGGCTCCACCGCCGCCGCAGCATCTACGGCCGCCACCTCATCCTCCTCTGCCGCCGCTTCCTCCGCCCGGGGCCCCAGCACTTGGGGCACTGCGGTGCACATCCTGCGCTCCGAGGGCCCTCGGGGGCTGGTGCGCGGGCTGAGCCTCAACTTCCTCAAGGTGGTGCCCTCCACCGCGGTGGGCTTCACCATGTACGACATGTTCAAGCAGTACCTCGACATCAAGGGCACGCTGTGAGGATTGGGAGAGCATCGGGGCGCCTGCGCTTTTATTTGAGGAGTGTGTGTGGATGTCTGCGGATGGTTGGTGAATCAGCAGGATGATGGGGTAGAGCTGCGCGCGTGCGAGGAGGAGGAGAAAGGAGGCGCTTGTGGGCAATAGCGGCAGCGGTAACGGCATGTGGACAGCGAAGTGGCAGGTGTGATGTGCGCTGCTGGCGGTCGCAATATGCCACATGCGAGGGGCAGTGCGGGTGATGGTTAAGTGGTGGAGGCTGATGGGTTGAAGGGTTTGTTGCCGCCTTGGTCGTGGGTTAGAGTCATCTTGTGTTCACTTATGAGGAGGCGCCATCTACATAATACTGATACGAGGTGCGTTGTCATGGACTGTGGGGCCCTCTGGTCTTTGCCAGTTGGGCGTACAGGAGAGAAATATGTGCAACGGCTGGACGACAGCATATCCCAGCTGGAAACTATATAGAGGATCGGACTTTTTGATCTTCATTTTGATTATGCGTCTTGAGGCGGCCCTTATTATCAGAGGGCATGGTGTACCCTCCGCGCCTGTAATAACGTGTCTTGCTAGCTGCGTGTGTGCGCGTGTTTGTGAACTGCAATAGTGCTGCCAGGCTGGTTAGCTGCACTGCTGTGGGTTGCTCCACGAAGCTTATACAATAAGCGTTGGGGTGATGGAAATGTGCAGTAGTTTGGTGTTAAAGGGCGATCTCAGTGTGTAGGGAGGGCGTGCTTGTAGGAAAGATGCCATGTTGGGCAATGCTAATATGTTAGGGAGGCCGTTTGTCCTCCTCTACTACCTAAAGCCATGACTACGTAGAATGGCTTTACTTTCCTGCCCCTGCCTAGGGTCAATTCACGCATTATCTGCGGCGGGGTCCTTCTACATAAAGCCATACCTGAATGGCTTTAACTCGCTCTCCCTTGCACTGGATAGCTTCATGCGCCACCTGCGGGGCCCTACGTTGCTCTGCGCGTGCAGATGCGCGAATCCGCCTACATGCACAAGCCCTATTTGTGTGTGTGTGTGCGTGCTGGCGGGTGGCGGGAATGCCCCCGCGGCCTCTGCGGAGGGGTAGAGGCATCGGACGTGATCGAAAGCTCGAAGTTGCGTTGCTCTGCGTTGCTAACGTGGGGTGGGTTGAGGCGGAGGGCGCGGAGGAGACGGGGGTCTGGGAAGTCTGGGTGAGAGGGCACCACTTCCGGTTCACATGTGGTTTCTGTGGTTGCGACGGGGGCCCACTGCCTGGGCGCCGTGATGTGGTTGTGAACATGGAGGTTTCAGGTTCACCTGCCATCTTTGCGCCCTGACGCCGCTCGCGACTCGCTTGCCATGCGAAAACACCTCTTTTTGCCTGCATGATGCGTGGTGGGCGGATGCGGTTGACATAGGCCGCACCCCACGTGGTGTTTACTGACTCGTCGGCAGAGTCGAATAGTTGGCTCGCTTCAGTGTGTACGGAAGAAAAGGGTTTCTGATGGTGGAATCTTGAGTTGGGCCATTTATTGTTGCCTTTGGGCGCACACCCGATGGCCCTGCGTGACTGATGTCTTCGATGAGGTCCTCTACCACAGCTATTGGTGGTTGCCGCTTGCCATGTACAGTCGCACGGCAGTGTTGAGGGTCGTATCTGAAAGCTGCTTTGCCGGTTGGCTTGCTGGGAAAGACAAGGGTGTTGTCGCTATTATGCTTGTGATCCGATGTTTTCTATTGCGCTACCCAGCACGAACTTAGCAATTCAACTCATACTCAGCGCAATAGTTTCATAAACACCGCGCAAACTTCGTTGCTAAGATGTCGTATGGTAGTGCATTACTTAGCTGTCTTTTGGGGAATGAGAAGGGACGACAACTCGTGTAGGCGTCGCACGCGGATATCTTGGCAGTGCCAATGTCGTACTGGGTTGTGTGGTGGAAGCTTCCAAAAGAGGCCGCCGCAGCAGACGCGGCGGGTGTACTCTCACACGGAAGCACTGCGGCTCACTCCTCGTGTAATGGATCGTTATAGCACTTGAAGCGGTCAATGCGGCAGCTGGGTCCTTATGAGACGGCTGGGATCAGATGTGGGGCTGACTGTGGAAAGGTTGGCGGGTTGGAACGCAGCTTGGGATACCTCGAGTCAAGCGGTCATCCACTTCATCTTTTTGCTTTTTGCTTACTAAGACGGGCTAAGTAAAAGGTGCTTCGAAGCTCAGCGTACACGCCCAGTAACATGAAAAGCAGCTCCAAACCAGCCTGGATATCGAGCAAGGTATTAGCCGGGAACTTGGGCGCATTGCGCGCAATGAAAATTACGCTGAAAATGGGCTGGTTGCGCGCAACGGTCCCGCGCGACACGCCCATGTTCCTGGATTAACAAATCTGCCTCAGTTTAATCTGCAGTATGTATTTATGTGCATAGCGCCATACTCTCTATGTGAAGCGTTCACCGGCGTCGCGAAAGGTGCAAGAAACGGTGTCGACGATGTATGGGCTGGTTGCGCGCAACGGTCCCGCGGGACACGCCCAATTTCCTGGCCCGACAAATTCGTCTCGGTTTTAACTGCAGTATGTATTTATGGGCATCGCGCCATACTCTCTTCCTGCAGCGTTTACCGGCGTTTCGAAAGATGCAAGAAACGGTGTGGACTATGTACGGGCTATGTACGGTCCCGCGCGACACGCCCAATTTCCTGGTCTGACAAATCTGTCTCGTTTTACAGCGCAGTATATATTTATGTGTAGCGCCTTTCCTTTGTTTGCATTTGCGATTGACTTAATGGCGCAAACCCACTTATAGCATTGGGATTCCACATATGCTGGTTATCCCAGGTATCGCTACGCTGGCCCGAACTGCTGATCTAAGTACTGTGTTCCTCATAGAGTGTCACAATGTCGCCCTTTCCCGAAGTCAGGGAGCATGGCGAAAGTCGTTGACAGAGCTGCCCTTCAATTAAACGCCTTTGCGACAAATGCACCGTTCTACCTAAAATAAACTGCAAAATAATTATAGGAAAGCCACAGAAAACGCTGGAGGTGCATACTGCTGGAGGCCATGCCGGTCAATTGACCAAACTGAACCTTCTCTCGCGAACATTGCTAACCGCCAGGACAGGACTAAACAAACGATCAGCTATAGCTTAAAGGCGGGTCTTTAAGAGGGAAGTCTTGCCATGGGCAACTTACGGGCCCACGGGACCGCACGACGTTAGGAAACCGCATAAGCCTCAAGATATACACAGGATAGGCCCGTTCCGGCATAAGGCAATTCACTAGGCATGTAAACAAGCGTAATGCTGAAGTGGTTGCGGCATGCGCGCATGGTTGGGGCGGTAAACTTGTCTTTGATCAGGGACCTAATTAATTCCAGGGTTTGGGGTACGTATCCGACCGTGCGAGCGGCACCTGAGCCCGCGGTCACACCTATAGACTCCTTAGACATATAGTATCATGTGGCCAAGCGTGGGGCTCGATTGGTTGCGCCAAGCGAGTGTGGTTGGGCAGGATGTGCTGTTCAGACCGGGTGCATGGTAGGTGGGGGGCCTAGTCAAACCCAGGGTTTGGGGCACGTATCCGACCGTGCGAGCGGCACCTGAGCCCGCCGTCACACCTATAGACTCCTTAGACATATAGTATCATGTGGCCAAGCGTGGGGCTCGATTGGTTGCGCCAAGCGAGTGTGGTTGGGCAGGATGTGCCGTTCAGACCGGGTGCATGGTGGGGGGCCTAGTCAAACCCAGGGTTTGGGGCACGTATCCGACCGTGCGAGCGGCACCTGAGCCCGCCGTCACACCTATAGACTCCTTAGACATATAGTATCATGTGGCCAAGCGTGGGGCTCGATTGGTTGCGCCAAGCGAGTGTGGTTGGGCATGCATGTAGGTTTCCCACATGTCTTGGACCCGCGGGACCCTGGCCCTCATTACCGGTATCATCCTTAACACCTCAAAACCAGGCAACCGGACCCATATACATCCTGTTTGTTCTAGGTCCAGCATCCCACCTCAACTATGACAAATTACCGGGAGACTTTGGGGTTTGCTGCGGGAGATCATTGTGCCGTTATCAAAGTTACAAACTGCGGCTTCATTTTATGAAAGCCAGGCAGAGCCTGGCAAATGGGCTGGCTGCGCGGGACCATTGCGCGCAACCAGCCCATGTGTACTTTGTAACCGTTTCTTACATTTCCCAATGTCCCATTATACGCTACAAAAAGAGGACACCATTATATGCCCAAACATACGCTCTGCGGTGTAAAACGAGGCGAATTTGTAAGTCAGGAACATGGGCGTGTCGCGCGGGACCGTTGCGCGCAACCAACCCATACATGGTCGGCAACCTTTTCCTACATCTTCTGTGACGCCGGTGGACTCTGTGAATAGATAATACAGCGCTATTTTCATAAATGCACACTGCGTTTTTTAACGAGGCAGGTTTGTGAGGCCAGGAACATGGGCGTGTTGCGCGGACCGTTGCGCGCAACCATCCCATTTTCAGCGTAATTTCCATTGCGCGCAATGCGCCCAAGTTCATGGCGGGTGCCTTACTGGGATATCGGCCCCCAGCTTACAGACCTCGCTGACAAACATATTTATCTGTTTTGCCATGATTTGTTACAATCTTGCGGCCAGGCGTGTTTTAGCATACATGTTTGCCTTCCAGGTCCCGGCCCTTCCCCTCGCGGACGCCTCCATCACGGCCGTGCTACGATGTCTACTCCCGCTTCCCTCCCGGAAGCCGGTGATGGGCTGTCTGGCCAGCCATGTACATAATCCTCCGACCGTGCACATCAGAACGCACATAACCATGAAATTGATCACAGATATTTACAGGCTTCTATACAGAGACGTGATCACTTCGGTAACCTAAAGACCACCCAGGAAACCCTAGAGACCACCCAGCGGACTCTCGCCCACCAGCTCGCGCTCCCATGGCCGGGCCCCTCCCAATTCAACCGGCTTTTAAAGCGCTTTGGCCCCCCCCAGCACCCAGTCGCCGTACGACAATCTGTCCTCCTCTTCGAGGTGGCGTACAGCAGTTACAGCAGCAGCATTTACATCCCTACAGCACGCATCTGGCTCCTCGGGACACCAGCAGTCCAACGCAGCCCCACCTATTCTCCTCCCGAGCGCCACCAGCACCGCTACCCAAACCCATCCACCCAAACCCCGCGCCCACGCCCCTCGCTGACCTCCAGGTCCCTCTTGCTTCCACCGCCTCATGCCCTACCCCCCGGTCCTTCAGGTGCGCTTCATTTCCATTCTCCTTTACCCCGCTCCCGTCCCCACCCAGTTGGTTTCCCGCACCCGAGGTCCACAAGCAGTTCCATGTGCACACAATGTGAACACTAACGGTCTTCATGCCTGCCTACTCTCATGCTGCCCGCCTGGTATGGGTGGGCTTCCCATACCGCGCCGCCAATCTAACGGCCACAACAACCTCCGGGGCAGCCGCCCATGTTGCCTGCGTGAGGGTGGCGGGGGTCAGTAAAGGATGGGTGAAGGAGACCAAGGGAGAGGGGTCAGCAAGCCAGCTAGCCAGGTGGAGGAGGCGGTACTGGAATGTGACAGGTGTGCAGTGAAGGGGGCGATGTGCGACGCGATTGGGTTGTGGAGGGAGAGGGTTCAGCACAGGATGGGACAGTTGCAGTTTCAGCTTGTAAGTGGTGGGATAGGCAGGTCTGGAGGCGTTGCGTCGTGCGGTGGCAGCAGCTCGCATGCCCTCTGACACCTCTGTGGGTATGGCAGCCGGGGCCGGGCGCTCACCCGTTCGGGGATCTGTCTGGAGGTTGCTGAGGCCCACAATGCGTGGGCGACCTCCGCCATTGCCACCACCACCTCCACCACCACCGCCGCTGCCGCTAGGTGGGTCCTTCTTCTTGTGGGCTGCCGTCCGGTAGTCTTCATGGGCCGAGCGGGAGGCCATGGTGGCGAAACTGGCAAAAGGAGGAGGCAATTGGGCCGGGGGTTGTGAACTTTAATTACGTCGACAGTTCGCGGGAACAAGAGCACACGTATAAAACACTTGAGCAGACCAAGATATTAATACAGATTAATACAGATGACTTACAATGCTACAATAATCATCCAAATGCCAAGGAAGAAGTGCTTAATACCGTCTATACTCCATGGCGACCGATTGTCAAGGACCTTGCCTGCAACATTACACATTATCATTGTCGTTATGTGAGGTTTTGGAAGACACAATCGTCGAGGCTTACGCACCCTTGCTGTTAATGTATGTCATCTCGATTCGGCTAAGCGAGGCTTGCCTAGGCAGAGAATATAAGAAAAAATAGGCTTAAACTAATTTTGCGCAGATAGCAATAAGTGTCAGGAAAGAAGTTGGACACGCTGTCCACAGTTGCAGGAGGGGTTGCCAGTAGAAGGTTGTGCCTAGTCTTAATACCTATTTACCTCCTTGCTAAGTCTTATGAAACGTTCTGCTCTACAGTTATATGGCCTTATAGTGCAGTTGCTCTCTATAGTGTTTGGCTCCTTCGTTCGCCAAGCCCTCCGTACGCAGCATCAACCGTCGGTTGTGCAACCCGTGCCGCTGCAAGACATGTGCGCCCTTAGCTTGTCTCGATAGCAGTGGCTTGACCGCAACCGCAGACAACTGCGGGAAGCGACCCTCCAGGCGTTAGTCACCTCTACGTTTGGGGAGAACAGTAGCCAATCCTTAATTCTACAGACCGCGCTAATATGTTCACAACATCTGTGCATAGCGCGCCGTTTCATTCACCAGTTAGGCCAAGTGCGACCATCAGCCCTCCTCTACCACTCAATCCACAAACACCTGCGCTGGCAAGGGCTGCTTCCCTGCCTTGTAACTTACGCAACACAACCCGCCCTCATGCTAGCTCGAACCATAAGTCATCAGATATCTCCACTGCGACCACTTCATCTCAACCATCCTCAGCATCCGCCAACAGCACAACCACCGCCGAAGCCTCCATCAACGCCCCTAGCAACAAGGACGCCATCCTCGCCCGTATCGCTCGCGCAAAACAGTACAAGCAGTCATCCGTGAGCCCAGGCACGGGCGGAACCGCGGGAACATCATCTCCATCCTCGATCGGTGCAGCGCCTGCTGACAGCCCCTCCTTAACGCTGTCCGCCCCTTCCGCAGCTGAACGTGCGACCGCACTGCCCCGCCTGGGTCCTAGCAAGGTGAGGGCTGGCCCTCAGCCGCCGGCATAATTATGGCAGCTTTGCAGCGCCTGCCTCCCCACCTTTTTCCTTCACACGACAGTCCTTGTCCTCTCGCTGCCTGACACGGAGGGGTTATGCCTGCCTGGGCCCTGCCCGTCTGCAACCTCGCACCGCGACCCTGAACCTTGCAGCCCCAGCCCTCCCCTTGCGTATCCGCTCTTTAGCTTCCCTCCTCTTTACTCCATTCTCTCCGTGTAGTTTGCACTGGTGTCCTCCTAAAGCCATACTCTTGTATGGCTCCTTTCCACACTTGCCCCTCTCACCGGCCGTTCTTCCTTCCACGCGCCCCACCCATGGTTGCCTGCTTTTCCACTCTTATCTTCATCCCCCAGGTGGACTGGGGGGCAGTGGTGGGGTTCCTGGACGACCCATCCTCAGCACCACCGCCCCCATCCGCCTCACAACAAGTACGACAACAGCAGCAGCTGCAGCCCTACCTCACCCCCCCAGTGCTAGGATCTCCTCCGTACGGCAGCAGCGATGCTGCGGCTGCTGCTGCTGCCCCGGCGGAGTCCGCCGCTGCGGCTGAGGCCGCTGCTCGTGAGGAGCGCGCGCGCCGCTTCCTGTCCCCTCCCGCCTCCAAGGACTACCTCTCCATGCTGCTCAACAGCCCCCGCAGCAACCCCGCAGCAGGCAGCGCCACTCGCCCCGCAGAGGCGCTGGCGGGGGTGCTGGGGCGGGGGGAAGCTGAGCAGCAGGGGGAGGGAGGGGAGGCGGCACCTGCGGCATCGCCAGCTGCGGCGGCTGACGCCGCCGGGGCCGCCTCAGGCATGCGCATGGAGGAGTTTACGGCGGCCAAGGAGGCGAGGATGCGGGCGCGGGGAGGGGAGGTCATCACGGCAGATCCGTCGTACAAGCCGGGGGGAAATGTGGCCGTACGAGTCAGCCCGGGGTCGGGTGTGGGGGGGCAGCAGCTGCAGCAGCAGGGGGAGCAGAAGAGGCGGAGGCGCGCGGAGGCGGAGGATGCAGCGGCGGAGATACAAGCGGCGGCGGCGGCAGGGGGGTTGTATGGGGCTAGGGTAAGAGGGAGCTAAAGGACTTGGGGCTTGCAAGTGGAGTGCGGCTTGGGAAGCTGCGGAAGGGGGCAGAGGGTTGGGTTGGTAGCTCCCAACAGCTGCACCCCATCCAAATCCTGATCGCAAAGACATTGTCGTACAGTGAATGGCATGCAGCCCATGACTCCCGGTACTCTGTCCATGACTGCTCCATTCTCTCATTTCCCGCCTCGTCCTCACTCCTAACACCCCTCCTGTCCTGTCGCCTCTGCCCCGCTGTCTCCCTCTCCTCTCTTCAGTCCTCCGCTGCTACTTCTCCCCCTTCTACCGCTGATGCTGCCAGCAGTACCAACACCGGTAGCAGCAACGACAGCAGCACCAGCGGCAGCAGCTTCCAGGCCGCCCTCACCGCCTACCGCATCCGCGCGGGACTACACGTGGATCCGGAGCAGGAGCAGCGGGCGGCGCAGGTGGGGGCGGGGGGTTTCAGAAGCGGGATGGGGGAGGTCGTGCGTTGCAAGCGCGTTGCGAGTTGACGGCACGCCGGGGGGCCGTTTGGTGGCCTCCTTCCCAGGTCATCCCCTCGCATCCCACCCTTGCACACATGCCTGCTCCTCTTCCTCCTGCATGCTTTCCATGTGTCCTTAGCTTCCCTTCTCCCCTGCACCCTTTCTTCCTCCCTTTTCTCCCCGCCCCCAGTTGTACGATGAAGGAATGGAGCTGTTCAAGTCCGGGGAACTAAGATCTGCGTACGACAAATTTGTACAGGTGCTTGCGCTGGTGCCTGTGAAGAGCAAGGTGGGGTGGTGAGGGTGGGTGGGGGATGAGGTGGGGTTAGTGTGGCGGAAGGGGGAGCGGCGTGTGTGTATTGGCTTTAGTGCGCCCCAACTGCACCCCAACTGCACCTCGACCGTGGAGCCGTGGACTGAAACAGATTCCGTGGATCCATGCCCACACATGCCACGCTGGGCTCATGTTGTTCCCTTTCATTTTGTACGTGCCATGTCCCCACCTTGTCTTGCACTCCCTCCCTACGCCTCCTACAGCCCGTTGCGATTAACCGCATGCACATGACCCTCCTGCCCGTCCCCCGTCCTACGGTATCTTTCTATTCCTTTCACCGTCCTGTAATCCTTATGTTTTGGTCTGTCTATCCCTGAACCCCCCCGTCCTCCTCCGCCCCCGCCCCCGCCCCCCAGTACGGCGGTCTTGCCACCCTGCAGCAGGCCATCCTGCTCGACAGCGCGGGGCAGGGGCAGGAGGCGCAGCGACTGTACCGCAGCGTGGCAGGGCACAGCGTGGCGCAGGTGGGGATGGGGGTGGTGGTGAGGGAGGGAGGGGTAGGGAAGGCGGGAGGGGTATGGAGGAAGAAGAAGAACCAAGCTGGTAACAGCAGTTGGGGACTTGGGAAAGGGAGGGCAGGGGGGTTGTGTTGGTTGCTGCCCAAGCTGCCTGTGGTGACCTAGATACGGTACCGTATAGCAGCTACGGTACGATACCCTCTCGCAACTCCCTCCCGCCACCGCTATACCCCTCTGCCATCCGCCCACCCTAAACCACCACTCCCACCCGCACTCAAGGTTTCCAAGAAGGCCAGGCAGATGCTGTTCGGCTTCGAAGCCATGACGTAAGCAAAGGATAGGGGCCAGGTGCCTGGGGTGGAAGGGGCGGTGAGAAAGGGAAAAAAGCGTAATATCCAATGTGGGGATGGGACTGCGGTGCTACCGGGTTGGGGCTGTTGCGTGCTGCATCCGCTGTGGTGGTATGGGTGGAAAGAGCAGAGGGTGATGGTGGGTAGGTTGTGTGCACAGGAACACCCGATGATCGCAGCGGCCAGGCGGCCACACCCAAGTAAGGCACCTCCCGTGCCCTCCTCTGCCCGCCCACATCCACCTCAAGGACTCACTTGTCATACTCCTCCCTACCTTCCCCGCATAATAATCCCCAACCCATTGCCGCACCCTAGCTTTATGAAGGCGGACCAGTTCAGTTACGGAGTCAAGAAGGCCGAGTACGACAAGTACTTTAGGTACGGCAGTATGGCAAATGTGTTGGGTCAGACTGGCTGACACGACGCTTACGTGTATGAGACGAGTCGCGGCAAGGCGACAGGGAGAAGGGGTGATTGAAGGCATACGACAGATGTACGACGATTGCAAATGGCCATCGTACTGCAGGCTACGGCAGGGGGCGAATTGTGACAGCGGCCCCAAGATGGATCCTGGAGAATGGCTCTAGGGACACCAGCAAAAACATGCATGCCATCCCCCACCTCTCCCATCAACCCCACCCCACCCGCCAGCCTTCTCACGTGGGTAGCCTCTTCTTCCTTCTTACACCCCCACTCTCCCGCAGGCGTTCCGCGGACCGGCGGCCGCTCTACGTGGCGAGTGCGGAGGAGCGTGCGGCGGATGAGGCGGCGGCGCGGGAGGCGGCGGTGGCGGCGGCGGGGGTGCTGCTGCTGCCGCTGCTGCTGGCGGCAGGAGTGGTGGTGGGGGCGGGGAGGTGAGGAGGAGCTGGGGGAGGAGGGGTTGAGGAGGAGTTGGATGGGTGGGGTAGAGGAGGAGGACGGTGTGAGCCCAGGACCCCACAGGAGGTGCCGCTGGTGCTGCTGCGAGGGGAAGGAGGTAGGTGAAGGAGGCGGTGGGGAGAGGGGACAAGAGGAGGTGAGGAAGGGCAGAGAGGAGAGTTGTCCGTGTCATAAAGCATCATCATGGTTTGCAACAGGGAGGAGGGGATGGGAGGACTTGTGCTGCACAAGGACGCACCGCTCCTGGACGCCTTGCATACAGAGAGTTAGCGGTAGCGGCTGGTAGCCGTACGGTGAGAGTCGTTGATAACCCCCCTTCACGGATGTTTCGAAGCGGACTTACCGAGCGGACGCTGGAGGCTTGTACAGAGGTTTACAACTGCTTGACGTAGGATGCTTTACATGGAAATCGCAGCAGCTCAACAGCGCACGTGTGAGTTCTGATACAGCGCTCTGGGGGCGGACAGGAGGAGGGCCCCGTTTATGCCTGAGCGGGTGGAGGTTGAGGGGTGCAGCCGGGCAAGTTGTACGGCAGCTGTACGGCGACACACAGAGGAGATGTCGTGCAGAACTCTATGGCAGGGAACCGCTGTTGCGCTGGTGTTTCGACTTATTTAGGAAGGGAAAGGAGAATAATAATAATAATAATAATAGTTACGCCGGGCAAGCCCTGGCGTGGATTAAGGGGGTGAGGCACTGAAGGGGGTCAGCCCTTGGATGCCAGCACCACCGTCAACGTGGTCAGAGATCGCATGTGTCCTTATCCCTCCTCTTGGAGGGTTGCTCGTGGGTTGTTTTCTAGCACCCTTCGGCACCTGACTATCTTGTTGAGATGGGTAAGGGCGTGGTGGTGGAGTGCTTCGCAGCACTTTGTGGCTTTGCTTGGGGTGACTCCCAAGTCTATGAGGGTTTTTCGAAGGTCTTTGCGGATGGTGCCTCCTACTCCTAGGCTGATGGCCTCCTGGGTGGTATATTGTCCGCCCTGAGTAGTTCGGCAAGGCGCTTGTGCTGTTCGGCCTTCTGATGCTGTTTGTCAGCATGTCTGAGGTCTCCCGCGTAGCCTATCTCGAGGATGTGAATAGTGTAGGGTTTCGGGTTTCGTGTGCGCTTCCGGGGTTTCTGCATCGTGTTATTGCTGGCTGGCAGGCCCTGTATGATTAGAATGTCAGGTCTCATCTTGTCCCACTCTGATGCTTCGGTGTGTGGGGGTCGGAGCCATTCGGGGAGACGTTTCCCCGCGATGTACTCTGGGAGATCTTCTGCTTTTCCCGCGTCCATGACCATGTAACTCCCTCCGTGCTGCCCCTTGTGTATGGCATCCGCTACAATACGGACGGCTCCGTCATGTCTTGTGCAATACATCCCGTGCATTCGCGGGTCTTTGCAGCCACCCAGGATGTGGCCCCCTGAGTCACATACCTTACGGCATACGGGGCAGGGGGGTCCGTGCCCACGGTCCTCGGGTGGGGTGTCCGGGTGCCAGCGGGTGGGGTGTCGGGAGCGCATCTTAAACCGGCGCCTGAGCCCTTCATGGAAAAGCTGGCCCCATCGTGCGTCAAATGCCCTCTTGACTAGCGCGTGCGCGTTTCGCATGGTGAACGCGGCGTTGCTGGCTTTGGGGCAGAGGTCTTTCCCGTGCTCCTCCCAGAGGCCCGTGTACTGGGTGTTGTTAGTGTATCCGTTCTGAGTTTTGGCGGGGAGTAGGTTCAGAATGCCTTTGTTGAGGTCTGTCGCATACATATTGCGTTCAGCGTCTCGCAGCCACCATATCCTGTCGTATGGAGCGTTATCTGTCGGTTCGGTGACATCGGGGTTCACCTCGCCGCGGGCTGCCGCCGTTGCCCCCCGGTCAGCTGCCTCATTGCCGGTGATGCCTGTGTGCGACTTCACCTTCAGGATGGTAGTATGCTTGTTTTCGCGTGCTCTGGTCGCTAGGTGTTGTGCGATGTTGTCGAGGAGGGGGCGGTGCTTTGAAATGTGTAGTTTGCAGGGATCTGTGATAGCTCGTTTGATAAGGTGGATTGAGACTAGTGAGTCGGTTGCGATTATTAGGTGTGGCCTGTCTGAGTGAGCTTCCAAGGCTGCGCGGATTGCAGACAGTTCGGCTCTTTGGATAGTCATTGTTACTCCGTGTCCATTGGGGTTTACGTGTAGAGTGCGTCCTTGCGGGTCGTGGACTGAGGCTCCGAGTCGTACATGTTGGGCCCCGGCGTCTGGTTCGCACTCGAGCTTGCTACCATCCGTGTAAATTATTGCATTTGGGTTATACTTCAGCGGGTACCGTCTCGTGAAAGGGGTGTCTGCAGGGCTACGTGTCGCATCCGTTTCCGAGGCGTTGAGTTTTTCTGTTGGGCGTGGAGGGTCTGGTGGGGAGGCAGCAAATTCCTTAAATCTCTGGAGTACTCTTTGGCTGTACATTCGTTTGCCTGGGTCACGGCGGGATCCGTCGGTCAGGTCGTCTGGGATGGATGTGGCGCCGAGTCGTCTGAGTTGCACCTTCAGGAGGGACCATGCCTCGGTGTTCAGAGAGGTGAGCCCGGCGTTGTTGGCAAGGGAAAGGAGATATGTAATTTATTGGAAGGTGGTGTTATTACCACGTGCCACTTTGCCTTCGATGTTTTTGTGTTTCGACACATCAGCTTTGTGCCACCTCCATTCGTCCGCCTGAGGTGAAGCAGCCGATGTGATGTAGCCGTCAGGCGGAAACCTAGGGAAAGGTGACTGTACGGCCCCCTCTTACTTTCACCTTAAACCCTTCCTCGATCGGCTGGTAGCAACTCAGCTAGTAACGAGAGTGCACAGCAAGTTTGTTGGACGTAATGTCGTACAACCATGTACTGCCTGCGAGCCTACCGGTGATAAAATCGACACGCTTCGGGAAGCACAGGTACGGTGAGCTATGTTACAGTGGTGCCGGGTAGTGCTTCTTTGAGGCGACAAATTTCTTTGGGCAGCCGTGCCTTGTACTTGACGTATCTTTACGCCTGCAGCACCCTGTCTTGCTCCAGCGGCAGTTCTAGCTTTCCGCAGGCAAGTAAGGGGACTAGTGATAGGGTTGGGCACACACATCTGCTTTTCACGGCAGACATCATCTTCTGGTCTGACCAATATACCTTTCTTTACCCTCCCTGCCCCCTTCTATCCCTCCCTCCCGCCCCCACCCATTGCTTGCATGGTACCACTTGTCATCTCACAACCCTCCCGCTAGTTGTCCTTCCTATCGTCCTTGCCCTGCACCGATTGGCCCCATCCGCTCGATGCTATGTCCCTTATTTATGCCCCTATGGATGCCCCTCGTCCTCGTCCTCCCATCTCCCGGACTGCCCATTGTTTTTCGTACAATTGCTGCCCCATCCCCTGCATTTCCCACTGCCATTTCACAGCCATTTCATACATACCCACCGCGCCGTTTTTCAATAGTGCCGTCCCGCGTGATATAGGCTTTTTGGTTCATTTATTCTTACAATGCACTTTTCCGTCCTCCGCTATTCCTTCCCTACTACTACTACCAACGTTTCCTCCTTTCCACCTTCCCACATGTTTCGTCCCTGGCTGGCCTCGCTCTGGATTGGTCCCTGGACATGGCGGCTGGCCCTTCACGTGGTTTCCCGGTACACACCTCTTTGTGTACCTAGGTACGTGTTTTATCATGTGTCGGTCTGTGTTGTTTTTTATGAGTGCTCGTGTTGTGCTGTTCCTGCTGTTGGCGTATGCCCCACGGCGCGGTGGGTCTCCACCTCACCTTCAGCAGCCTCCACACATGCCCAAGCCTATGGTAAGGTTTCTCCATAATTGGTTAGTTCGGTAAGTTTAGCTCGCTTTGCTTTCACCACCATTTCGGCTCGACTCACGGTTCATTTCACCAGGGATTGTCAGCAACTTATATCATCATCACACCACACTTTGGAATTTCTTTTTTCCCGCCCCCACCTACCCGTCCCTCTCTCCCTCCACCCCCACCTACCCCTCCCTCCCTCCCACCCCGGCCCCCCTTCCCCCCCGCCGACCTGCCCCTCCCTTCTTCCCTCCGCTTGTCAAGCACTGTCGTAGGGTGAATCGGTGCCGGACGTACATGGATGGCTGGCGGGTCAGCGCACTTTCGGGCTGCCGGCAGCGCGCTTTCTCAGTAGGTGGTTTGGGCGGCAGCTTTAAGACCTTCACCAACCTTTGTTGCACTAACTCTCAACCCGATTAGGTGACGTCCGGTACATGTACCCCTGTCGAGGAAACAGATCTGGTGCCTGGCAAACCCGCATCAGCAGCCAGGCTGTGCTAGGCTAAGACGCCAACGGGAAGTTTGGAGCGAAGCCCTAGGTTAGGGCGGAATTGCCCTCACCATGCTTTCATTTGTTTTGATGCCCGTTCGAGTAACAGGTATACGTTTCCGATTAACCAACATGTAATGGAGGCTCTAGATAGGTTTAGATCACATTGTTGGCAGTGTTTGCCAGGGCAGCACATGTGGACGAGAGGACGAACGGCGCAGCTATCCATTAGCAGGGCGGATTTCACAAAGACACCGCTATGTTGCTTTGCATCGTACCGTAGGGCGGAAGGGGTTGCAATCGTGTGCACACGCAAGTTGCACCCTTCTGTGCCAATCGTCAGGGAGGAAGTACCTAATAAACAAACATAACTAGAAATCATAACATGGATCGGTGTTGGGCGCTGATTGCAAGACATGTAACACCGCGGGCACGGTGGCGCATTGCAAGCGTTCCATTTGCTCGGGGTTGCGCTATGGCCATGCCGGCGTCGCTTTGATGGTACATGCTGCTCTGTGAGACAGTTGTAATGTTTAGCTAGACTATGAACTCGCCTATTGGACGAGTGCCTGACCAGCAAACGCATGTGTGCCAGTACGAGATAAACAAAGTGCACGTGCGCCAAAGTGCCAAGAAAAGCTGCAAAATCAAGCGCTACACGTGCCGTTTAAAGAGGCCATGCATCATTGCAACTATGGCTGCCTACCACCCACAAGGCAAATGGCGGGCGACTGTCGTAGACCTTTGCTAAAGTTGCTTATTTGCAGTAGGAAAATAGCTAACTGATTTAGAGTTGGATGGTCCTTGCATACTGGCCTTCCATGCAAAGAAGGAAACCTGTCCTGCCATCTTTGTGGGCCCTGCGCCCGCATTGTTGTCACTACGAAGCAAATATTATCGCGCGTACGTTGCGTGCTCAAACCGCGAAGACTGCGCTATGTGCTCTCAGCAATTGAGCACGATGCTTGCGTTGCCTATTAGGGGATAAGAGGGTGTTCGAACTGCGCTATTAATCCCAACGCCAGTTACCTTTTCTCGAACGATGAAGGCGAGCCATGCCAGGATCTCCTACCACCGATCTGGAGACCTCCCAGCAGAGGCCAACTAGCGCGCACGGTAAGTGGGGTCACGGAGAAGGCGCTCGACGGAAGCAGATGGTGGCATACCAAAATGTTGGGCAGGCTTACCACATGGCTTAGAAGGACTGTCGGACATGTTGTTAGGTAGAGTAGCTAATAAAAAGCGCATGTGCCTGGGTGTTCCGCCGTTGCTCATGGAGGCAATCTTTTGCTTAAGTCGCATGGCCTTCCCCATGGCCGCAGTTGGGAAAAGGATGTATATCATGAGGTTATCCTTGACGCTCACTTTGATACGCCTGCGCAAGCCCTAGAAAGCGCAAGAGCGGCTTGCTTGTCCCACGTTCTCACCGTGCGGCTTCCCGATTAAAACAATTGCCGTTCGTCTTGATCATGATGTTGTGCTCTTGGAATGCTTCTTCGTTTCATTCATGGGCGGCCTTGGCGAGTTGGGAAGCGAGCTATCTTGACAGAAGCACCCTTATGTTCATTTGCGGTGGTTTCGAAGTTCTAAGATGCTCTAAAGCTGCATGTATGGCTTTGTTATGTTGTGCTGCGTGCGAGTAGGAACACCGGAGCAATGTGATGAGCACTCTCTAAAAAGATGGCCATGTTGCCCTTTCAATACGTATAGAAATAAATGTCTGGAGTTTATATAATGGGAGCTTGCCTTGCGCATCTGGGGCCTCTTGCGACCTTAGCGGAGTTTCCAGGCGCGCGGCCTGTTGCGTGCCTGTTTCCTTTATGCGCGCTTTGCTTAGTATGTGAAAGCGCAGTTGGGTGCTGCTTAGGGACCGTTAGTCCAGTTTCTGGCATGTTTCTTTCGCCCATTTCGGCAGATTTGCTGCTCCGATCCTCCGCGTTCCTTACCGTTGCTTTCGCCTCTTCATTCCCTTCCGTCTGCAGTAGACACGTCCACAATAACAGCCACCGTGGATTCGCTCCAAGACCCCGCTCTCCACCAACCTCATTCCTTCGCACTCGAGGCTCAGCCCGCTCCCCAGCCGGAATGCCCCTTACCTGCTGTCCCCACTCCCGCCGCTTCGGCCTCGCCATCCGCTCTCCAACACCCACCTCTCCCGCATACTGAGCCACAGCTGCCGCAGAAACAAGAACCTAACGATGCCAACAACGTTCCAGCTGCTGCCGCAAATTCAGCCGCACCCGAATCCCCCCCTTCACCGCCAATAGCCACTGCCACACCGGCCGCACCCACAGCAGCAGCTGTTGTGTCGGTAGCCGCACCCGTTCCGGCGGGACCACCAGAGGCCGTAGAATGTGAAGGCAGCGGAAACGCCGGTAGCAGCGGTGTGGGCAGCACTCTAGAGCCCGGCCCCGGGTTGCTGCTTCCCAACCCCTTCAGCAGCGTGCAGCGCCAGCAGCTCTTGCAACTAGATGCGCCCGACCCACATGGCGCAGGCCTGCTCCTGCAGCAGCAGTACCAGCACCTACTGCTGTTGCAGCACCACCAGCAGCAGCTGCAGCAGTTGCAACAGCAGCAGCAGCAACTGCAGCAGCGATCAGGGATGGACCTGACTGGGCCCGCCTCCGCCGCCGCGGCAGCAGCGGCGGCTGTTGCGGGTTCCTTGTTTGGGGGAAAGGCGTCTGAAGCAGGAGCAGCGACCGGGCAGGATGACGGCGGCCTAGAATTCTACCTCAACGCCGTCGCCGCTGCGCAACAGCAGCAGCAGCAACAACAATTGCAGCAACAAATCCAGCAACACCTGCAGCAGCAACAGCAGCAGCAGGCCCAGGAGAAGCAGCAGCAGCATGCCGCCCCTCGTCCCTTCGAGGCCACCTCCGCCTTCGCTCTGGGCTTAGGCAGCGGCCTGGCGGGCGCTGAGGACTTGCGGCTCTCCGATGACGAAGAAGCGCCAACCGGCCCCGAGCTGTCTCTGGGGCTGGGGCTCTCGCAGCAGCAGCAGGGAGCAGGAGGGGCCCAACAGCAGCAGCAGGCCCCCGCCTCGCATTCGTCTGAGCCGCAGCTGCCTAGACAGCTGTCGCAGCAACTCACGCAGCACTACGCAGCGGGGGCGCTGGGCGGACTGGGGGGCGGGCTGGGCGGTCTCGGTGGGCTGGCCCTCAGCGGCAGCGCCAGTGTGGGGATGGGGGGTGCGGCGGGCACAGGAGGAGGAAGCGCGGGTGCAGCCGTCGCACAACCTAAACCGCAGCAATTGCAATCGCAACCGCAGCGTGCTCCCACCACCGCCAATGTACCGGTATTGTCGGCCTCCTCTCCCGCACCTTCACCTGCAACTGCGGCGGCAACAATGTCGCAACTGGAGGCTGCCGCTGCCGCCGCCGCCGCTGCCATTGCGGGCCTGAATCTGGGCGGCGGCCACCATCACTCCACCTCCCCCGCACCCTCCACCTCCTCTACCTCCTCGGCAGCCGCCGCCGCCGTAGCTGCCGCCACGGCGGCAGCCGCCGCAGCTGCGCAAGCAGCCGTGCCTGCCTCAGCTGCTTCTGGTTCTGCTGCCAGTAACAGCCCCGCGACTCCGCAGCAGCAGCCGAGCGCCGCCACCGCTACAACAGCCGGACCTGCAGCGGACGCCGCTGTCACCGCCCCTTCGAGCGGAGTTGTCGGCCTCGGGCTGTACGACAGCCCTTTGTACGAGCAGTTGTCGTATGACCAGCGCAGCAGCAGCGGTAGTGGGTTGCTGTACCAGCAGCAATCCCTCGCCTCGCAGCCCTCCTATCTGCTGGCGCAGCAGTTTTCTCTGCCCCTGGCATCCCCAGGGGCGGGGCTGGGTGGCTCTGCAGGAGGAGGAGCAGCAGCCGGTATAGCGGGGTCCGCTCACGCGCTGCCCTCGCAGCACTCCGTGCCGCTGCCGCCGCCCTCGCTGCACCCTAACCAGCCCCAGCAGCAGCAAACCCCGCAGCAGCATGCTCCCGAGCCGGCGTTTGCGCAGCCCTCACCCTTCGCCTCCCCCTCCTCAGACCTGCACCCGCAGGCCCACTCCTCGCCTCCGCCCCCTACCACGCAGCACGCTCCGCCGCAGACTCCCCCCCAGCACCACCATCCCCACCAGCAGCAGCTCTCCGCGGCCTCCCCGCCCTTCCCCCCGCCACCGCCGCCACCCCCGGCGCACCCGGCCTCGGCTTCCTCCCCTCCCGCGGACCCCCATTCCCCCACCTCCCAGCCGCCCCAGCCGCTGCCGCCCTCCTCCCAGCAGCCTCAGCCGCAGTGGGAGGAGATGCAGCAGCGCGACGCGCAAATCCTGGTGCTGCAGAAGAAGCTGGGCCACTTCCGTTCCTGGCTGGCGAGTGTGCATGCCAAGGTGGCGGCAGCCAACCCCTCCGCCATCAACAACTACAAGAGGCTCTATGTGGGCAACCTGCCGGCAAACACAACGGAGGTAGGGGAGTTGTGGGGGGGGGGGAGGAGGAAAAGGAGAAGCGGACGGGGAAGGGAGTGGGGAAAGAAGGATAACCGATGTGTTGATTAAGTGGAGAAGGGAAAGAGCAGGAAAGAGGAGAGAAAAAAAGTGGAGAAGGGAAAGAGGACGAAAGAGGAGGGAGAACCCTGCTGTGTGTTGAACCTACATGTATGAACACGTGTCTATTGTGCTGTCAGGCGTGTTAACTGAGAGCATTGAGCTGCGGTTGTAGAGCTGAAGGCTTAATGTTTCCGCGGCACGCCTGTCCTGTTTTCCTCCTCTTGTCTGTTTCACCTCCGACTCCTCCGCCCGTGCGCAGGAGGAGCTGCGGCAGTTCCTGCACTCGCTGATGGTGCGCACGGGCGCCAACGCCGCACCCGGCAGCGCCATCCTCTCATGCAAGCTCAAGTCGGTAAGAGCGCGGGTCGATGGGTTAAGCGGAGGAGCAGCGTGTAGGTGGATGTCTCTTCGTTTGTTGCCTTGTTAATCGCACATGTCGCCCATTCCTGTCTCCCATTCCGCCCCGTACCTTGTCATTCCGCATTCGTCACATTCCGCATTCGCCGCCCCCTGGCAGGCTCCCGCCCCCGGCGCCCCCCCTGGCTCCGCCGGCCCCGTGCCGCCGCCCGGCCCCGGCCCCCCGGACAAGCACTACGCGTTCATCGAGCTGCGGAGCGTGGAGGAGGCGAGCAACGCCATGGCATTTGATGGGGTGGCATTCCGGAACTCATACCTCAAGGTGAGGGGGTGAAGAGGGAAATGTGGCCATGTGCGGGGGAGCAGGTTGTGAGATGGCCGTCCATCGCGAGGGGGTCTCATCGCAGGGTAGAATGCATGCAGATGAGGCAGTAGACGTGAGGAAGAGGTGTCCAGTACGTGTTCCCCCCGCCTGCTTGTGCCCCCGTCTACGCCAGTACATTGCCCTCCTCCCATTTTCCTACACTTCCCCTTTCCATCGGTCTTGCCCCAATTCCCGCCAACGCTGCGAACTCCCCTCCCAACACATAAATTTCAGGTTTGGTTACCTCTGTTTTACCTCTGTTTTGCTTATGTTTGCGGTTCACATGCGATCCTCTCCCAACTGCTTGCTCTTGTTTTCCGCTCAACTACACACACAAATTGGGTGTACTTCTCCTCATCCCCCAGGTCCGGCGCCCCAGCAACTACGATGCCGCCACCGCCATGATGCTGGGCCCCACCACCCCCGACCCCACCATCGACCTCAGCCAGCTGGAGATCTGTCGTACAGTGGTGGAGAACAGCCCGCACAAGCTGTTCGTGGGAGGCCTGCCCTGCGAGTGGAGCGAGGACATGGTGGGGGCTGGGGCAGGGTTGCTGATTGGGCTGATAGGGGAGATGTGGAGACGTATTACTGTTACCGTCGTTGCTGAGAGCGCACGCGTGCCAAGTAAACTGGCCGCGAGTCGAAAATCTGGCATGTGTATGCCTGCTCGCTCGTGCCGACAGGTGGTTAGCTGTGTCGTCCACTCGGGCACTCGTGTATGTCCAGTGGCCCGGCCTTGCCCCTGCACCTTTCCCTTCCTTCCTGTCCTCCTTCCGTATCCATGTCGTACCCTGCTCCCCACAGGTCAAGGAGCTGCTGCTGCCGTACGGCACCCTCAAGAGCTTCAACCTGGTGATGGACAAGAGCACCGGCAAGTCCAAGGGCTATGCCTTTTGCGAGTTCGCGGAGGAGAGCTCCGCTGAACTGCTCATCCGCAACCTGCACACGCGCCGGGTGGGCAGCAAGGCGCTCACCGTCAAGCGTGCCATGGAGGGCGGGCGGGGCGGCGGTGGACCGGGCATCCCGATGATGCCGCCTGCAGTCGGCGGCGGCCCTGGCGGCGCCCCAGGCGCTGCCGGCGGCGGCTCCGTTGCCGGTGGAGGTGGCGGCGGCGGCGGTGCTGCGGGCCTGCCTGCCCACGCCGCTGCGCTGCATGCGCACCTGAGCGGTCACCTGGGCCAGCAGCTGGCGGCGGCGGCTGCGGCAGCGGCGCAGCAGCCGGGAGTGGTGATGCCGGGAGTGGGCAGTCCGCCGACTCCCATTCCGCTGACGCCGGCGGGGGTGGCGGCGATGGCCAAACTGGCGGCTTCTCCGGCGGGTCCGAATGGCCCCGGCGGCGGCGGGGTTGCTCCCGGTGCTGGAGGTGGCGGCGGCGCGGGAGCATCGGCGGCGGCTGCGGCTGCCGCGGCTATGGCGGCGGCAGCGCTGAGCGGTGTGGGTGACGCCTCGACGCCGACTGCGCTGCAAGGTAAGAACTAGCGCCGATCTAGCTAGTCCGTCCCTCGTCACCTGCTAGGTGGTGGTGACAGTGGCATGGCGTCCGCCGACATGGGCTCTTCCCTACGATAAACGCACCCCCTGTCCGCCCTTCCCATTGCAGTTGCTGACGCTATCAGCGCCCTGCTACAGCAGCACAACGCGGCCGCCGCATCCCGCAGTAGCGCCCTGCTCTCAGCAGCCGCGGTGGCGGCGGCGGCAGCTGCGGCAGCCGCGGGAGCCAACCCGGGCGGTCCTCCGCCGCCGCCGAACCACTCCGCCACCGCAGCCGGGCTGGCGGCGGCGCTGCAGCAGTTCCAGCGCTCGACGGAGCTCTCATCCGCTGCAGCGGCAGCTGCTGCTGCTGCTGGCGGCAACGGCGGCGGTGGCGGCGGTGGCCCCGGCGGCGAGCTCCACCAAGCGCTTTCCTCCCGCGGCAGCCTGCCGCATCACTCGCACGTGGCGCATGTGGCGGCTCACCACCTGCATTCGCCGCTGCAGACGCAACACTCGCACCCGCACCTGCAGCAGGCGCAGGACGCTGCGGCGGCGGCAGCAGTGGCGCAGGAGGCCGCACAGCAGCTGGCGGCGGCAGCTGCGGCGGCACAGCAGCAAGGGGTGGGAGTGGGCGCGTTTGACCTGTCGAGTCTGGCCGGTTTCCAGGGTACTGGCTTCTGGTGAGGCGTGGCAGCGGTGAAGTGCGCTGGTTGGTTGCAATGGTGGAAAGTTAGGGCTGTGCGACGGGTGGCTTTCTGATAAATGCTTGTCGTGCGTGGCAGCTGCAGCCGGTCACAGCCAGTGGCAGGGCGTGTTGTGTTGAGGCCGGTGGACCGGTCCGAGTGGGAACTCGACGGGGCTGTCAGGCGTGGGAGTTGGTAGGTTGGGTGTTAGTTGCGATGCTGCTGCTGTTTCCTATTGCTTGCTGTTGTTGTTGCTGCTGCTGCTGCTGCTTTCCTCCCATGAAAGCAATCCGGCCATGACTTTCTTCTGACGCCACTGCTATTACGCATTCACATAACTCTTGCTCGATTACTAATGTGCTCTTTTGCCGCGAAGTGAGTGTTGTCGCGGTCGTTATTGACGCCGGTACTACGGGGCCTTGGGATGGTTTTTAAGGGAAAGGCGACTTAAGCGGGGGTTAGCTATCCTAAAAAGGGTTGCTATCCATGGTAAGCGTGCTGCCCTATCCTGTGCTTGCACCAAAGCAACAGGTATTTCTGGGAAAACGGATCCTACGGGGAGGGCCCACGGTTTTATCTGGGCTCATCTCGGGCGCATAAATGCGGCGCGGAACAGATTGGGGGTTCGCGCATTAAAGCACCGTGGGAATAAAGGCCTTATGGCTTTGGAGAAAGCGAGACGACTTCTAAAGGCGTTGGGTGTTGCATCGAGTCATAGCAATTCGCATGGGTGAATCCAGCAGCGCAACTACAGCTGTTTCGAGCCGGGAAGTGGTTGATTGATTGGGAGAATTGAGTTGCTTGGCACACTCGCTGCAGTGGGTGTTGGCTGGGAGAATGCGTGTGGTGGCGGCCTGAGATGATTGGCTGCCGTTGTGCAAGATACAAAGTCGTACCACGGGGTTTGAACACGTGTCTTCTCTGTATGGGTGTCTCCATTGGCGGCGGGCTGCCTGGGTTCATAATTACACGCACTTGTATACTTGTTGATGTTGTTCTGTCCGTTGTTGTTGTCGTTGCCTAGGGCTGGTTAATCCCCGCCTTGATTGTCCCAGCGTGGTAAAATGGTTAGCGGCTTGGGACTTGATTCGCTGCGCTGCCGCTGATGTTGCTTCTGCCGCCGATGGTGGTGGTGGTGGTGGTGATGGTGGAATGGTTTGGTGGACCAAGGCAGGCGAGCCCTACGCTCAGGGCTGAGGGGTTGAGTCCTAGCCACGACTGTGCGATGATCATGGTGGTGATGACGGTGGTTATCCCTTTTCGCTGTCGTTTGTTTGTTGCCTATGAGCATGTGTTGCGCTGTCGTACTCTTATCATTAGTAGCCGCAGTTTTCTCTTCGGTTGCTGCTGCTGCTTTGCGAGGTCTGCCTGACTCTACACGGCCACACTAGGAATGTTTTTGGCTGGGCTTGAACGGGATGATAGGGGTGTAGAATGAGGTGTGTTGGGGAATGGGTTCGCTGCTTTTGTTAAACCTTTTCGTGCGACAGCATTTGCGTGTGTGTTTGTCCCCGCCATGCGTGTATTGGGGTTTTGCGTTGCGCGGTCGTTCTCCTTGAAGGGGTTTTGGGAACGTTTCTGAACAAGGGCGATGGGGATCGTGTGGGCAATCAACAACACGGAACGAGATGGCGGATTGGCTTTATTCTTTGCTTACTTAGCTTTACGACTGTAGGAGGGGAGGGGAGGCGCTCCCTCCTATCGTTGTTGGGTGTGGGTGCTGGATGATGGGTTGTTTGCCGGGATGCTGAGGGCCGTGGCGTGCTCGTCATATGGGGCTTTGAGGTCGGTTGGTATAGTTACGGGTTGCGGGCGTCGTTGTCTTGAAGCCTTTGCCTCTGCGTATGTCGTCTTTCCTTGCTTGGGGTTTGCATGTGCTCCTCCACTGCTGGGTTGACCTGGTTAGGTCTGGCGGTCGAGGAAGAGCTCCAAGGGTCTTTGCTCATGCGCCTTTGGTGCTTGTCACGAGTTGTCGATCTGCTGGCTGCGTTTCGTAGTAGATGGCGGTGGCGTAAGGGCTGAAGAAGGGAGGGGAAAGGGCAAGGAGGGCGACGGGTGAGTCGTCATCTCGTTGGCTTTACTTGGCGCCATCTGCGTCAGCTTTATTTGTCAAGGAGGTACGTATCCTCCCGTTTACGCGAAGATATGTGATGTGGGGAAGGCGCGGGAGAAGGGCGCCTCTTTGTATGGAAGGTCGAAAGGGTTTTGCACGATGCTGCTGGTTCTTAATTCGAAGGTCGAGACATGCTGCATCTGCCCTGCTTGCAGCCCCACCCCCGCTTGCTGAGGAGCCCCATGTTGGCGGCCGCTTCGAGCTGATTGGGCGTTGATGGCTGCTTGCACGGTGCTGCTGTTGGAGGACTTGAGACGTTGGACAAAATGAGATCCGCATTTGCTGAGAGCGGCGACGGACGGATACAGACGGACGGCGCCTCCTCTTTATTTCCGCGCGCGCCTCATTCTAGCCTGACGGCCTGCATCTGCCGAGACACAGCTTTGTACCACAATCTGCATTCAGATTCATGGGCGCCGTACCGCGCGTTGCAGTGGGCCCGTTGACGTCGCTTTGACTCTGCAAAGTGCGCTGAGACTGTTCTGCTGCTTGAACCCGGGAGGCGGCGTGGAGAAAAGGTTTGTTGGTGTGTGTGCTGCTGCTGCCGGGACTTGGGAAGGTGGCGGCGGAGAGCGAGTACGTGCATTCCCCCGGTGGTGGGGGGTGTCACAGCGGTGGTTGAGACGGCTGAAAGAGGCCGTGTGGGTCCTGCGTGCTGTTGTGCTACGGGTTCCTTGTCTGCATGTACTGTTTGTGCGTGTGCGTTACGATTGAAGGTACTTATCAGGTCCTTGAAGCAGGAAAATGGCGTGCGTGTGCGTGTGTGCGTTACAGTGTACGTGTGTGTTGGCATGGGAGGGCGGGGGAGCGGTCATGAACCTCGGGGGTTGCTCGCTGCAGGTGCGGCAGGAAGTCGGGATGTGTATGTGAAGCTTTGCTCGGGTGGTGTTGAGCTGGTGAGCGGGGCTGGGTCGTGCCGTGAGGAGTCTTTCAAGGCGTTGCGCGCTAGTGTTGTGAAGTGTGGCGTGTGGTGAGCTGTAGGAGTATGGTGGGTGCTTATCGTCGTGGTGTCGTAGAAGCCTTGCCGAATCAGAAATAACACGCGGGGGGCAGGGGGGGCGGGGATGGGGGGCATGGCAGCGGCTCTAGGTTTCCCGCTTGTGACCGGCCGGGCGCACATTCTGCGTCCCTGCGATGTCGCGTGGGGCTCTTGCATTGCCGTACACTATTTGCCCAATGTCCTTTCCCTCTTGTCCCGCCCCCCCCATCCCTCTTAAAATAACTAGCCTTGCTTCTTTGTCGTGTTGCTCTTGCTGCTGGGCTGCTGCAATCTTTTGTTTTCATCTCTCTATACTCGTCGTCCTAATCACTCCGCAGCCCGTGTCGTTCTTGCGTTCCGGGGTCTGTTCGGGGCTGTGGTGGGCAGGCCATGAAGGAAGTGAAATCGCGTCGATAGCAAAGCACCTACTTTAACTCTCATATCACACTCGCTATTTTCAGCAGCAGTTGTGGGTAATTGTTGGTTACACCGTAGTTGGTAGTGCCTCAATAGTCTGGTAGTTCGTTGTTTCCTGTGATAGGCGTGTGTGTTGCTAATTTGACTCCCATCTTTTGAATCGGTCATCGTGGGAACGGCATAGTTCGAGACGAAAAATCATATGTTATTATTGGCATTGCTCTTGGTGTTTGTGGGTGCGGATTGTCTTCGACATTGGTGTGTGCGAATCTACCTGCCACTCAACAGCAGGGGCTGTTTCCGGCGGGGTTGAGGGGAGCTAAGTCGCGATGAGGGCATGTCAGGCTGTACGTGTAGGGTATGTAGCATGTACTGGATGGGGGATATATATGCGGACGCTATATGATATGTCACCATCTGGCATGCGCACCGATTCCGTTGTGGGCTCACATTCCAGAGCGTCGATATGCCTCTCGCCGCTAGGTCACACGCCCCTGACACGGTGGACTGTGAAGTGTAACACGTGTCCGTGTCCGAACGGTCTGGTATCGGCAAAACATAGCCATACCTCACGCGCTGCCGGTCGTTTAGCAAGGCCTAGAGGGGTCATTAGCTGCAGGCACCATTGGGGGAAGATGTGAGCATGCGCTGTGCCACTACCAAAGGTTTAGGAGCAGCTTTCAAGCATGCGGAGGGGGTTATGGTTGGCAGCAGCAGCGACACGGCGCCAGTGCCTGCAGTTGTGCATCACGTGGGCTCACTGTGAGGTCCCACAACCGTGTACCATTACGGCATGGTATAGCTGGGTATAGGTTGCAAAGCCCCTCATGCCGGGTCGCTTTCTCGCTGACCCCTACAGCAACGGATGCACTTGTTGTTAGGCACGCCCAGGAAAACCTGCCTTCCTTCTGACTGGGGTCGTGCATGAAGCGCGGCATTTTGTCCGCAGTGTGCATCGCACATGCCATCACGGTTAGTCATGACTGGTGATTCGCTCCGCCTGAGGAGTGGCCGGAGGATGCCAGCTCATGCAAGCGGCCGTTGATAATGCCGTCCTGCGTCACACTGGAGCATCGAAACGAGGTTTCCCTGGAAAGTTGAAGCTGCAGTCTATTTGTTGTACATCACAACGATAATGTTGCCGCGCCTGCCACCTGGAGGGAAAGCCTGGAGATTTTAGGGCTCCTGTTGAAAAACTAGCTGAGCCGCACAGATATGGTAGCTAAAGCACGAGCCAAGTCCTTGTGAGTTGGTTGGCGGCCACTCCTTGTCGTTTCCGGATTAAGAAGATCTGGTTGTTGGATGGCGTGCTCACCTGCGCTAGCATCAGAGTCCTGCCCTGGGCCCCGTAATATATTTATTTTGGTGATAGAAATGGCATACCGCATGAGGAAGGCGTTGGACACCCTCAACGCGTTGCCTTTTTAGCACATGCCATTGCGCAGTCCGGTGTCATGTAGTGATTTTTGAAGTGCAGTAGTAACTACTGTAATATGGGGAAAGGGCGCAAAGGCACGACCACTGAAAGCTCGCCCGTGTAAGAATAAAGGACCGCACTGAGGCACATAGGTCCCGAAAAAGCGATTGGCAATAGATTAGTATCTAGATGCTTCTTGTTTCACATTGTGTTATACTGTTTGGAAGCTAGTAGGTTACGTGACCAACGTCGGTCATGGGCGTCTCACCATCCGCACATCGCGAGGCAGCCGCGACTATTGAATGCCAGAGTTGCGCTGACAGCTTTCCTATCAGTTCACTTACCTGTGCTGGCGCTGATGCTGCATCCTCTAGCAGCGCTACCGCCGGCTGCGGTCACTACTTCTGCACTGCATGCATGACGGAGTACGTGCGCAGCGCTGTGAGGGAGCGCAAGACTTCCGTGATGTGCCCCATGGCTTCGGGCAGAGCTGTTGGAGGGCTCTGCCGAATGACACTGTCCCGGGACGCCGTTATGGCACTCTTGAAGGACCACCCTGCTGACCGTCAGGTGAGGGCCGGGCCGACAGCGGGATGAAGCTGTTCCGGCAGTGCCAGCCTGCACTTCACCTCACACATTGCAATGTGACAGCACCAGAGCTCACCTAATTCAGTTCTGACGATTGCGAACCCAACTCGAAATCCACCACCATGTCCCCTATCGATGTGAAACCCCCACTCCATGCACGGCTCCTGCATGGCTGCCTAAGGCTACAGCAGTGCTGCAGAATACAGTGCCGCTGAACCCGCCCTCACGAACCCTGCACCAACCGCCCTACGCCTCCGCCCGCTCAGCGCTATGAGGAGTCCGAGGCGAGCTCCCTCATCTCCGCCTCCGCGCGCATCTACTGCCCGCACGCCGACTGCTCCTGCCCCCTGGAGCTGGCGGACCTGGCGGACGTGCCGCCCGACCAGCCCGCCGTGTGCCCCGCCTGCTGGAGGGCCTTTTGCCCCCGCTGCCGTACGACAGGCTGGCACCAGGTAAGGGGGTGGGGGGGTGGCGGGGCGGGGTAGGGGCAGATGTTTGGGTAGGGCCGCTGCGGGGCACATGTTACGGCACACGCCCCCTGCAAACATAAAGCAACCGCGGGCGACCGCGGAAAAGCATATCATCCCACACCCCGGATTCCTCCCTCGGCCCCACTTGCACCCCAACCTGCACCCCAGTCCTACACCTGCGAGGAGCACCAGCAGCTGCCTCCGCAGCTACAGAGCCGGCCGGCGGAGGAGGCGGCCTCGCTGACCCTCATCCGCACCCGCGCCTGGCAGCCCTGCCCCGACTGCCATATGATGGTGGAGCGGAGCGAGGGGTGCAACCACATGCGCTGCCGCTGCGGGGCGGAGTTCTGCTACGCTTGCGGTGCACTGTACGACAGCCGAACAGGGCTCAAGAGCTGCAGCTGCGCGCTGTTCTATGTGCCGCCGGACACGGGCAATGTGGGCGTGGTAGGAGGTTGTTGGGAGGCGTTGGTGCAGGGGCGAACACCGCTGCTGCGGCTGCAGCAACAGCAGCAGCCCCAGCCCGGCCGGCAGTGGCAGCACAGCAACCCGTCAACCCAGCTCTACCTCCCGCGGGCCCGCTTCCAGATGCAACTTCGGCCCAGCGGGCTGCGGTGGTTCTGGAGCGGCAGGCGGCTGGAGAGGCACAGGCGGCCCCCGCGGTGCTACGTCCCTGGCGCAACGGGCGCAGGGTGAGTCGCACGCCCTGCCGCAGCTCGCGCACCCTGGCAGGCTGCCCCCGCGGGGAGGAGTGCTGGTTTTGGCACGTGGAGGATGGTCGCTGGTGGGAGGCTGGCTGAGAGGAGAGTGGGGAGGCGGTGTTCTGGGTATGTAGTGGTGGTGGGCGAGGGTGCTGGCGGGGGTGGGAGGGTGTGCGAGGTGGGGGGGGATTATAGATAAGTGCAACAACGCACGAGGTGGGGCGGTTGATGAGTATGCAGCGGCGGGCCTCCGGAAGGTCGTGTTCAGCTACGACTTTCATGTGTGCTGTGCAAATGTTACAGCAGTTGAAAGACCGGGAAGAGGACATGGCATGTACGGTACTGGCGTGTCGTTTGGGGCATTCATATGGTTGCCGCCTGTTTCCCTGTTCATTTCTCCCACCCACACACACAGCACAGCTACCAGTCACGTTACCTTGCATACCGGTATGCAGAGTGCTGGTTTGGCCGTTGGTTTGTGGCCTTTCCCTGAAACGGACGACTTTATGCCGGCCGTATCGCTTCCACAAGCGCCTCAAGGCCTACCCCATGCCACGAATTTGGGCCTTCCATCATTATGGTTGGCTAGTCCGACATATATTACCAAACTTGTATAGAAGAGAAGACGTCTCCGTCATCTTCACGAGCCTTATGAAGTTCACGTGCCACTCCAGTCATGTGACATGCAAACTAGTGCCACAGCAGCAACATTCCCTGTTGAGCAGCATTGCCCGCCACAGCGGCAAATACCCTGTTAACGCAATCCCTCCCATGTTGGACTTGCAGCACACACCAATCTCTCACAAATCATGTGCCCTTTGTTTCGGGTGTAGAATGCTCTTAACCATGCACGATACGGCCCTCCCTCCGTATCTTCTATTAATCTTTGAAATCTGTTTGTGTGTGACCGTTGCATGGGGCAGGTGCATGCCGATGCATGCCCATGCGTGCTTGTCCCGTTCTCCCAGCTGACCGGATTCAACCAGAGCCGATAAACTAGGAAGCGCGCACTGCGGCCTCCACATAAACTCCTGGCCGCTCCAACCCATTATTGATACACACACGTTGTCAGGTGTTGTGTGCGCCCGGTTGTGCTGTCCGGTGCTTGGGCACCTCGGGAGGCTTGCGTGACTCCTGCAGGGCCCCGAACACCTAAGAAACATGGGGGCGGCAAAGGAGCGGGAAACCGCTGTGTGGTAAATCATGGGAATCCAGGGGTGGCCGGTCCAACGCGTACGGAAAGCCAGGTCCAAATGAGAATGAAGGCAGTAGCCAACTGCGTACAGGAATGAAAGCCCCGCCGCGCCGCACCTCACCGCACGCACCTCCTCATCATAGCGGTACACCACCGCCTTGCCTTTCCTCCGCCCGGTGTTGATGAACTCAGGCAGCCTGTCGTGCATGCCAACCAGGAACGTAGGAAGCTTGCGATGGTGGGCATTAGAGAAAGTTACATCACATGTGAGGGCAAGATATTAGGGACTCGTGGCAGCAGGGGTTTGAGATGATGGGCGCAGCCCTTGGGAATGGCGGAAGGCCGGCCTACCTCGCCGCCGTCACGGACAGGTTGTTACGCCACGCCGGGCTTCTAAGGTAGCGGTGGTCATGCCTGCAACCAGGAGGCGGTCGTAGCTAGTGGTACAACACCTACCCTGCAAGCACCCTACACCGTGAAAACACTGCTGTATGCAGCATGGGCCCACTTAAACACCCCACCTCCAATTCAGTTTGAGAGAGATCTCCGGATCCGCCTTCAGGATCGCCGCCACCTCAGGCAGGGTTCCCTACAGCCATGCAGTGCAGCAGCTGTTGGGCTATGGAGTTCCACGTACGTCCAGAGGCGTTCCACCGCCCACACCTCCATGTCCTGTGCTGCATGTTCCTTGCAGCCCCACAAACTTCCTTTGTTGACCCAGGGTTGACCCATGCAAGATGTAACCCAGCAGCAGCAGCAGCAGCAGCAGCAGCAGCTGGCCCACCTCACGGTTCGGGAGCGCCAGCAGTGCACCCCGCAGCCAGCCCTGCAGACGAACGGAGGGAAGACCCGATGACGGCGCCATGAGCACATGTACTATGTCCAACACTGACGAGAAACCCAATCCGCAAGGACCGCAACCCTTACCCGGTAGTTGTAGGTCCCCCGGCCCGCCTTCGGCAGGGCTTTTCCTGGGGGTAGAGGAAAAGGGCAGCAGGAAGCCGTGCAAGGCGCGGTGGGTCTTGTATTTACTTCCGATGTTGTGTTGCGGAAATAGGAAAGCAGCAGGTCAGCCACCCACCAGTCAGCGGGTCTCGGCCGTGCTCCAGAGTGTTGCGTAGCGAGTACAGCTTCCACTTTACGGTTTGGTAAAGCTCGTGTTTTGGATCAGGCAAGTGAGCAATACCTGCAGGGTGAATGGAGTCCAACCGTCAGAGTGCTGGCCAAAGCAAGGCGCACACCGTCATCTATGCATCCTGCTTCTCCGGAAGTTACTTAACATGGACGTGCTGGCAGGAGGAATGATGGTGCATCATGCGCTCGCCAGCCAGCCTGGCAGCATGGTTATCAGCTCGTCATGCATCACGGCACGTTGGGTCACACCACCCATTCCTCGCCGTCCAGCATTGGCTATCAGGCACCCACCTAGTTTCTCCATGGCCTGCCTGATCTCCACTTTGCCTCCTCCCGTGGGCAGGGAAGCCAGGTGGGCCAGCATGATCTGTAGGCATGGGGCCGTCCGACGTTGAACCTGTGCGGTAATGGTAATGACTTACATGAACGAATGACCGTTACAGTGATCCCAAACCGGAAGGCAAGGGAAAGCGGACGATACCCAGTCCTACACTGCAAGAAAAACGCCAGAGCCCTTAGCCAAAGGGGATCAGGCCCATCCCGTTGGAGGTGGGGCTGCGAGTGCAGATGTAGGACCTCGGCTTTGCAGCTGGAAAACACTCCCCCAGCCACGCCCACCTGCACATCCTGCTTGCGCCACCGAAGCGTGTCACCTCGCGCCTTGGAAGCAATGACATGGTCTGCAAACCGTTGCACCTGGAACTCCTGTCGTTGCACATTGTGCAGCAAAACGGCTGCAGCAGGCTGCAGTGACGTCGGAGAGGCGCTGCTGACAGGCATGGACGTAACACCCGTGCGCTCGTGTCTTTGCACATTGTGCAGCAAAACGGCTGCAGCAGGCTGGACTGACGTCGGAGAGGCGCTGCTGACAGGCATGGACGTAACACCCGTGCGCTCGTGTCGTTGCACATTGTGCAGCAAAACGGCTGCAGCAGGCTGCAGTAACGTTGGAGACGCGCTGCTGACAGGCATGGACGTAACACCGATTCGCTCAGCGACACAACCTTGTTGGGATCCAGAGGGAGTATCTCTATTGTAGTATACTGTTCCGCTTATTCCGCTTACGGTCCGGCGTTGCGCGTTCCTGGATTCCTCATTGGACGTCGCGACGGTTGAGTATCATGGTGTGATGTTTTTTCTACAACGCTTTGGATATCCACGCACGCGCCAAGTTTTTAGAGTAATTTGCAATGCTTGAAACTTGTCGGAGACAAGAAGTCAACTACCGGTATCTGAGAACTTATGGAAATATAACATATTACATTATGTTATTATATTATGTTTATGGAAATATTGGTAACACGCACGAGGCATTTCCAACCCCTGGCGAGGATTGCTGGTTTAGCAGGATGCGGAGATTGCGCTGGGGCTGCCTAAGTAGCCCCGGAACGAGGATCTGGATCCGCGGGCTGTCGGCTACCGTAACCTCGATTTAATGTTCACTGTTGCTGCTGCTGCCTCTAGTGGCTCGCATCCAATGTACATTAATGCCGTAAGCCTGCATTTGGGCCAAAAGTGCATTCCTGTTGGCCTCTTCCCTTCAGCGGCCTGCCCCCCGTCTGGACATCCAGGTGCGGCACGGTACAGTGTTTGCTCGATGAGGCAGGCAAAGACCATCGACCCAGGAATTGTAAGAGGCCGTCACACCCCGGCTGGCCTTTCATAACCCCGTGGTCCTACATGGCATTACATGTGTCTTGCCCAGGTTCGGCCTTCATAGGGCATCTGCCGTACATCCCTGGACCTATCAAGCTATCATGCCTTCGTACTGCGCCTGACATGGTACGTATGTGTGCACAAAACATTTGTGCTCTATCCAGCCTTCCAAACAAATCAGTAATGCAAGCGGGACAGAACCAGCGAGTAGGTAGCACAATCAGCAGCCTCCAGCAGGCTAGTGCGACGACAGCACAGATCACCATCGGCATCTAGGTACCCAACCCCATCCTGTGATGAACCGGACGACGCCCTTCCCCCACGACCTCACGGAAAAACGGACGTCACAGCCGTACATCTTCCTGCTGCTGGCGCTGCTAGGTAGACACGCACGAGCTGCCCCGTCTGCTGCTCTCATACGATTAGCATTACTCCCTACTATCCTCTCTTTAACCCGGTATGCACTGTTCCAATGGACGGACACGCTGTCTCCCGGGGGTCCCCTGCCAACTCCCTCAGCTCCCTCCCCTCAAGCCATGTAGTGACACTAAACACGCTCGCCCCCGCCCCCTCCACACGATTCCGCGCACATCAGCGCGCGCGAACCCGAGGCCCTAGCTGCACAAAAGAACGGGACAAGAGGGAAGGGGCCCTCAGCAAAGGGGCTCCGGGCTGACAGTCGTCCGCATGTGCAGCCCACGCAACCCGCAGTTAGCGCTAGGACATGCGAGAATCAAGAGCTCGTGTATGGGGCACGATGGAGCCTTGACGCTACATTGGGCCTTGATACCGGTATGCAATTGGATACCGGTATGTGTGTGGGGAATTGACGTTACAAAGCGGCTAAGAAGGGCTCCATGCGGCAAGGAACGAGGGGATTTCAGTATTGAGGGCGGGAGGCTGCGTGGCCTTGCTTGCTGAGATGCGCAGCTACACAATGCATGTTACTGGCAACTGGTCGTACCCACTGATCCTGTTCCTTTCGTGTCTGCCCTGATGCTTGGGTACCCCCTGGAAAGGCCGAGTTCGACCCCGAACCGCCCACCTTTCCTCAGTTGCAACCACCGCGCGCCCCCAGATGCGGCACCCGCCCCTTGGGCGCCTTGGGCGGCTTGCGGCCCTCTTGCAGCGCCTGGGCGACCTGCAATTGTAGGCGACACTCGACATGAGGCAGTTCAAGCAGGTACTTTAGGGTATGCATGGGACAATGCAGCAAGATAGATGAAACAGCCCATCCGCACTTGCTTGCATGCATGCATGCTCGCGAGCAACCCCCAATGACCCAGCAGCCTGTAGGGGGTGCCCCGGTTGCCTGGGCTGGGAGCATACCCTATGCCTATCTGACGTGCGGGCCGCAAATGCAGACAACCAGGCAAGCCCCTGGAGTCAACATGTACAGAATACGCACGCACCCCTTCATCATAGCGGTAGATCGCACCCTTGCCCTGCTTCCGCCCAGTGTTGACAAATTCAGGGCACCTGCACCATAGCGGGAGGCAAGCTGCTCGCAACAGATGTGTATATGCACGTTAGTCGCTATCTCTGGCTTGCACCCATAAGTACAGTACCATGATGCTGCTCGCTTGAGGTGCGTTCGCCACACCGGAAAGCTGTGGTAATGGTGGTCCGGCCTGCAGGCATGGCACCTGCCACCTGTTAAACATTCTTCCTGGACGACCGTGCACCTCCCAAGGACGCACCTCCTGTCCAGCTTAGGGCTGATGTCAGGGTCCGCCTCCAGGATTGCTGCGGCCTGCGCCAGTGTGCCCTGGGTGCCGGATTGGAATTGTAATACATCTTTGACAAGGCGTATGCTCGTAGTGTCATCCTTAATATCCACGCACTGTGCATGACAACACCTACCTCACAGTTGGGTAATGTTAACAAGGCCTGCTTGAGCCAGCCCTGCAGCCAGCAGTCAGGTGTGGGGGAGGGGGCAATTCACAATGCACGCAGCCGCCACACTCCAGGTTGCCAGCCAATGCATGCAGGACGCCTCACCCGAAAATTGTAAGTCCCCGGACGGGCCCTGGGCATGGCTTCTCCTGGATAAGAGGAGGTGATGGGTGGTAAGTCCTGCGGATATCTTGGCAACCCCACCACCGGAGTACTGACAGCCACTCACCTGCCAGAGGGTCCCGGCCGTGCGCCAGTGTGTTACGGATCGTGTGCAGTTTAAATGTAACGCATACACAGAGCTTGTTGTCTGGATCAGGTAGATGAGCTATACCTGCAAGGAAAGGAACGAACCTCCTCACTGGTCGTAGTGCACCCTCCTATGTTATCTAGTCGTCAGATGTCACGGATTGCATGCGTCCGTTTTACCCTTAATTACTTTATAAGCTCTTACTCGCTACCCACCCAGCTTCTCCATGGCCTGCTTGGTATCGACACCGCTGCTGCCCGGGGGCAAGGACGCCAGGTGCATCAGCATGGCCTGCAGAGGTCGGCGTGGCATAGCCTTCACACGCTTGCGGTTCCTTTGCTGAGTTCAGACATACAGGTATATGGTAGCATACATAGATGAGCGAGTTCTACCATAAGATGCCCACCTTCACGTCTTCCGGACGCCACCGAATCCGGCCACCCCGCGCTTGAATAGCTGTTATGTAGTCCGCAAGAGTTCCTGGGCATGGAGATGTGTCAAACCGGTTATCCATTGTTCCTTCTTCCGCGTCGACCTTCATGGAAGCTCCCCCCAAAATATGTTGCGGCGTCCGGGATCGGGCTTGTAAACCCGTTCGGCCCTCGGCGACCTCAGGTGCCCCCGGGTCCATCTGCGGCGTCGGCTGCTTGCCGTGGCCGAGCCGCTGCAATAGGGTTCCGTGCTGTTGCAGGTTGTACAGCAGGACTGCTGCAGTAGGCTTTAGCAAAGTAACATCCATTCGCTTAGTAGTGAGGCCTGACTGTTGGGACGGCTGTCTAGGTTCAGAAGGCATACACCTATCGAAATATGCTTTCCCGCTTGCCCTGCTTGCATACACCTGCGCTAACCGGCGCCGTTTCTTATGTTGCTCGTCACCGCAAATCCCCACATACGTTGCAGAGAAGTCACGAGCTGCCATTCATTTGTAAGCTAACGCTATTTACGACTTATGTTAATGTTTTTGGCGTGCAGAGCGCTTTCCAAGGTGCCGGGCATCGGTGTAAGAAGGCTTGGCAAGAACAAGTGCGTAAAGTAGGATACAAGAAGATTAATATATTACAACAGTGTGCTCGGTTACTGTCTCTATCAACTGAAGCCAGGATCCAAATGCTGGATCCAGGGCTTGCGTTACCATCAACTCCCTCGCCAATGTATCCTCTTGGTCATTTGTAAGCTAATGTTGCCAGACACGACAAGGCTGACGCACATGCGAGGGCATATGGTTTGGCTTTTAGTTTTGGCAATCCGGCAAGGCAAGGCGTTCCAAGTAGCACCGCCTTACCAGCCAACCGAAGCGTAATCCGCCTGAATACGCGGTCTAACAGCTACCATTCAATGGTCACAATTGTCGACTACCGGTAGCTAGCTGGAAGATATCCGAAGGCATGAGTACACATACTGGTAGTGGGGTTAAGAACCGCATCGTTATTGACATTACGGTCCAAAGACGTATCCGGCTCTTGGTTGGTTAGAAGTCTCCTCAGCCCAGCACCCGTACGTACAGCACTGTGCCGATTACCCTGCCATATATTCTGGTGTACTGTCAGTTTGTGGGGATGGAAACTTAGCACATACCCTCGCGCCGCTAGCCGTACCCTCCCCCACCTTTGCTCTGTTCCTCTGTTATTGCTGTTCACGTCCTTACCTAGGCATCATCTCACTCAGCAGCTTCCCTGGGGCACGCAACACCTGTTTCAACAGGAACATCTACTACCGTTATCCCTTTGCAATCCGTAGGATTGCTCCGGGAACAATTACATGTCACTGGCCGCAGGCAGGGTGCGTTGATGTACCAGTACGAGCTTACCCCGTACTAAAGCAGCCGATAACCTGCCCGGCCGTCAGGGCCATGGATCCAGGGCCATGCTGGGCTTCCACGACAAAAACCGCTATTTCTGCAAGCGGCCATCATGCAGGATGAGATAATGAATATGTCGTACACGGAACTAACCACGGCCAATGAACCTTTCTGCGCGAAGCAGGCCGACAACAGCATCGGATGTACATCCACACGGTATATTAGCACATTCGCAAAGTTATACGACCGCAGGACGCACTGCACGAACACAGTGCAATGAAAACCTGTTAACAACCTGAAACAAAGCTACTCCCAACCCGAGGTCGCAAGTATGCGTGCACACCTGTACGCCGCAAAGGGACCGTCAGCCGTACCACCTGTTACAGGGACACAGGATTACGGGATGCTGCAACCGGCAGGCACGTACCTGTACCAGCAAGCCACAGCTTACACCTGCATGCACCTTTGTATGATCCCCGCCGCATGTCCTACTGAGCACTTAGCAGATCGTTACAGTCTCAACAGTCGTGCATTGCCGATCTCGACGCGTCAGCACTACGATGTGCCTCATGTGGGCAGCCTTGCCCTCACATCTACCACAGCAAAGACGACATAATCAGTTTCGGTTGGGAGGCTCAGTCATTGCACCATGTAACAATAACATCCTTGCCCACCCCAGCTTCTGTTTCATCTCGTCCTTCTCCTCCTAGCCCCATCATTCCACAACTCCACTGCCGCACCGCGCGTATGCTCATCCATGCTTGCATGTGTGCGAAGGCACGCACCATACATCCGCTCGCACCCATGGGGAACTGGGGAACAAAATCACCGCCACCGTTACTGCTGCGGCTGTCGTACCATTGCTCCAAACCTCCACTCATCCCCCCTCCTAGTCTGTTCGTGTTTTGTTCCGCTCACTGCATGAGTCGGGCCATGGGATTGGGATTCCAGTGCTTCACTTCTACTATAGTTTATCCTCCCTCCTCCCTGTTGGGCTTCGGGTGTTGGGGAACTTGAGTTTCGTGTTCTTCATCTTTCTCCTCCTCCTGCCTCTTCTGCACCCTCACCCACCCATGCTGCCATCACACAGCCCTGCAAACCCAAACCTCCCCGCCCTCAGGTCCTCCAACGCCTTAACCAGCCCAAACGACCCCACACTCAGCGCCCCGGCCGCTATCACCCCCGCCAGCGCCATCACCACCAGGCTAGGCCGCCCGCTGCGCCGTACGGCTCCCGCCACGACGTGCGTCCCCACCAGACCCGCCACCAGGCTGGCTGCGCCGAAGACCGCAGCGTAGGGGAGGTTCAGGCGGTGCAGCAGCGCGAACTGGATGAGGGCGGAGGAGGAGGAGAACAGCACCATGGCGCCGCTGGTGGCGGCGGACACCTGGGAGGGCAGGTGACGCATGCGACAGGAGGAGCGGGGAGGAGGAGGTGGGTAGAGGGAGAGGCCACGCATGAATGGAACTGGGAGGAACAGGAAGGTGCGAGTCCTGAGAACCATCATGCTGTGCTGCTATAGCGACGAGGCCGCCGCCAACGCATTGCAAGCATGCACAACCGCTGTGCTCAGCTCTGAAGGAGTGGAGACAGGATGAGTCACGGTGTTGGGAAGGTGTCCCCAGGCAGCTCTACCTCCTTCCCACAAACCAGGGGCTCTCCCTTGGTCACAGCGGCACACATACCGGCATCCATCTTGCCTTGTTGAAAACGCGCGGACAAAGGACAGAGAATTGTCACCTTCCACTCGCACCATTGACCCCTTCCCCCCACCTGTGGTTGCACACCGATGTGCAGCAGCAGCGGCCCTATCATCATGCCGCCACCCAAGCCCAGGAAGCCGCCCACAAGGCCCGCCAGAGCTGTCGTGCACAGTGTAGACACAGGCGCGCCAAGCACCAGCAGGGCAGCGGCCTCAGCCTCTGTGGTGCTGGCGGCGCCGCCGGCAGAGTTGCCAACGGCCGGAGCACCATTCTCCTGTTCAGCAATTGGAGCGTCGACAGGGGCTGCAGCGGTGGCGTTACCCCGCCTGCTGGCGTGCTGCTCCGCCACCGCCATCGCCACGGCGCCGACGCTGATGCCAAGCATGGAGGTAATTTGTACGGCAAAGAAGGCCCACCAGTATGGACTGCAGCGTGCGTGGGAGCCTCTGAGCACCTGAAGCAGCAGGTAGAGGGCCCATGCCGCAAGCAGTGCGAGGGCGTAGCGGAGGGGAATGAGACGCATAGCCGCGGCCGTACGACGTCCCCAGGCGCGCACGGCTTCTGCTGCTTTGACGAAGACGGCGCCGCAACGGTCACCCTCCTGCTCTGCATGTTGCGGCCCCAGTAGGGGCTGTTGGAGATCCTGTTCATTTGGATCTGTCGTACCGGCCGGCCAGGAGCCTCGGGCAGACGCAGCGTGCCCCATATCGGAGCTTCCTTCTTCCCCGGGTAAGGCCTCGTGTCCTCCGCTGCGGGTCCTGTCGCTGCCCTCGACGCCCCCACCGCTGCCTGCCGTACCGCCACTGCCGCCAGCCTCCGGGTCAAGTGTCCCACTCACCGCCACTGCTAGGACTTGAGATGCCGCAGTCGCCTCACTCTTGCGCTTGGACTCTAAACGCCAGAGGGCAAGACCCTGCATGGCACGAGGTTACCGTATGTGGGGGTAAGCGACCTGAGCGGCAGGATTGGCTCTGACACGGTTGAAGGCGCGCTATCACAGATTGTGCAACAGGTAGACAGGTTGTTACCACAGGTTGCGCTCCAGTCCCCGAGTCGATATGCCGTACCTTTCCCGCCGCTTGCTTGGTGAGCAGCAGCAGCAACAGGAGCAGCAGCACCGTCAGCAGCCAGGAGGGAAGCATCACGTTGAGCAGCACACCTGGGGGCGGCAGAGGAGGCGAGGAGGGCAGGGCGGAAATGGGAAGGGAGGGCGGCTCGGGGTGAGGGCAGGGATGCGGGGAGGGTACGGGGGCGTTAGTGAGCATAGCCTTGGCTAGGTGGGACGCTGGGACTGCAGGCGGCTCCACAACCACCACCTGCGCTTACCCGCTCCCACTCCCACCAGCAGCACAGGGGTGAGCATCACCATTAGCCGAAAGTCGATGAGCGACTCCCCTGGGGCGGTCGGGTGCTGGCGGTATAGGTTAGCTGACAGGGCAGCCAGGGAGCCGGCCGTGATGCAGGCCTGGGAGAGCGCCGTGCTGGGCTTGAGTGCTGCGTACGACAGGAAGGGAAAGGGAAGAGAGGAAAAGGAAATGCCTCAGACCTCGTACTACAATAAAGATCTCGTATTATCAAGGGCTTGCCGGTGACTTGCCTCCTCACGATATCACGCAGCAGGGATGTCCGCATGTTGGTATGCAACATTAATAGAGCTTTAGCGGACCAATAAGAAACAGCTTAGCGGACCAATACGATATAGGAGCAACAACATAGCAGCAACAAACCACGCCGCGCACTGTGGTTAACACATACGTCCTGGGAATGGAGATGCGTTTTATGACACCGCACACCGGTCTAAGCCATAAACATGCTTCTTGAGCATGACCTTGCTAGGAGCTTCTTACCAAACCCCACAAGAACATTGAAAATAGGGTTAAAGAGAGCGCCTCCTCCTACTCCGGCAGCCGTCGCCACCGCTCCGACCTGCAGGGCGGGTAGAGTCATGCTCAATATTGGATATGGTCTGCATCCTTCATGTCCACTATATTTCAAACCGCTCAAATCTTACAAGGATGGAGACCAGGAGAGCTGCTACTGTGCGGAAGTCGGAATGGAACGCCGAATCGACGTCAAGTTCCCCTTCCGCCATTTCCTTGCACAGTCACCAGTAACTGCGAATAAACACGTTGGTGTATGGAGCTATTGCGTGACCCGTTGGGCTCCTGGGCGAATTTTCTGGGGGGCGAAATGACAACGGTCCAGGCCATACCGTTAGCTCAGATTTTCCAACGGACAACCGTACAGGCCTTGACACTCATACGGTATCGCTCGACGCATTTGGAGGGCTTTCTTAATCTGGAGCTATGCTTTTAGGTCGAGAAACCACGTGGCGTAGCCTGAAGAACCAGTTGTCCAGGTGGCCCTACATTGATGAGCCGGTGACTATTGTACACCCTATAAGGCTTGCCGACAAACACTAAGCTAATCCGTCTGCCCGTGACAGTCATTTGAGACATTTCATGCTGTTCGGTACTGCCGAGGGCGCTTCCTGGATGGCAAAACCCTGGCTCCGCCATTTGAGCTAGCCAATGTCGAGCGCCGACAGCAAGTGAGCGGACATAGTTAGGACATCTACTCGTATGTACGATTAATATGAATCTTTGGATATGCACTGCGTGCGACTGGATCCAATTGACGCCTTGACACGATAGAATCAAGTTGTCGCAAGCATGACACGATTTAGGACGATTGCCGACTGACACAAACGCACTTGTAAGGCCCTGCAAGCCAATGATAGGGCATAAGGGGCGGAAGCACGCCACGAGCACGCGGCAGTACCGTTCTGTTCAGGCAATGCGGCCCACCATGGCTCTAGTGGCGCCCCGTCAACACAGACCCGCGCACTGCATCATAACAACCCAACATATATTTGACATACCCGCCCTCTGGACTTCAATCGTCGTTCCTCTGCCATTACCATTCCTGTTCCTGTACAGGCATCGACGTACACGGACAGCTACGTCACACTGGAGCGAACAGCGGAGAACCGGTATATCCCGCACGCAAGCAGCCATTCTGCAGGGGTGGTATTGCTGGTATGCCGCACAACAAATTAACCGCAACGAAACCACAGCAGACAACCCTTGCTGCCAAGCAGGCCAACGACAGCTTCGGACCTAAGCCACACGGATAGCAACTTGCATACTTGTGCAACATATGATGAAACCAGCGCAGGAAGCACCGCACGAGTCCATCGTGAAGCACCAATACGGCAATGCATGTTAGTTTGACAACATGGAAATGTACGTGCGCGAGCAGAAACGTTTGTTTTACACCTTAACTTGCAAGCATGCATGCACACACCTACGACAGAAGGCGTTACCTATCCCAACTGCTTGCCCTTGTTTCCGCTCAACTACACACCTACGACAGAAGGCGTTACCCGAACAACCTGCTACAAGTTTACCGGAAGCCGCAACCCGCGGACAGTAACGACAACAGAGCCCGGAGGCTCGCCCAGTTCAACTTGCAACAACCAACAACAGACTCAGTTTCCGCCCCTTGTCATCCTCCCTGCCCCCTCTGCGCTACTGCATTTCGATTATGATCAATTGCTCATACGAGATGTGCGTGCGTGTGTGCTACGCATGCAAGCACTATGTACATGCTCGCATACATGCCAGGAAGCCAAGACGATTCCTATGGCCGGCTGACCTACTACCGGTAACAAGTAAAGCAGCACTGTCTTCCTCTTCCCTGCCAATGCTGCCCATCCCTATAAAGCCTGTCCCAAATCGACAGCTACCGCCCACGCTACTGCTACTGCTGTCGTAATACCGCGCCGCTATTGCGCTGCAAACCCGTACCCTCCCAACCTCTCCCTTCTTATGATTCTTCTGCACCCTCATCCACCCATGCTGCCATCACACAGCCCTGCAAACCCAAACCTCCCCGCCCTTAGGTCCTCCAACGCCCTAACCAACCCAAACGACCCCACACTCAGCGTCCCCACGGCCATCACCCCCGCCAGCGCCATCACCACCAGGCTAGGCCGCCCGCTGTGGCGTACGGCACCCGCCACGACGTGCGTCCCCACCAGACCCGCCACCAGGCTGGCTGCGCCGAAGACCGCAGCGTAGGGGACGTTCAGGCGGTGCAGCAGCGCGAACTGGATGAGGGCGGAGGAGGAGGAGAACAGCACCATGGCGCCGCTGGTGGCGGCGGTAACCTGTATGGCAGGTCAACAGTAATAGGGCAGCAGTCTATTGTACGGTGGCGGTACAAAGGTTTTCGGTGCAAAGGATTAAGTTCCTGTTTGCTATTTACCTTCAGCCGTTCTACTTCCCATTTTTGCTACTCGGCGTACTCGCCCTTTTGTCTTCTCCTCCTTCGTTTGGAACCTTTAACACTTTCTTATCCTTTGTCTTTCTCCTTTCTTCAATTCATAGTTAACAAGTTACGATGTACAAGGACAACTCAGGACGCGGTCTTCACTACCGGTATCGTTAGCAACGCGGCACCACATAGGTGGTAGAAGCACAGGAGCACTCCTGACGTTCCGGACTGTACATACAACACTTATCTTCCACTCGCACCCCTTCCCCATACCTGTGGTTGCACACCGATGTGCAGCAGCAGCGGCCCTATCATCATGCCGCCACCCAAGCCCAGGAAGCCGCCCACAAGGCCCGCCAGAGCTGTCGCACATAGCGTGGACACAGGCGCGCCGAGTACCAGCAGGGCGGCGGCCTCAGCCTCTGTGACGCCTGCGCCGCCGCTGGCAGCAGGACTCTCACCGCCGCCAGGGCAGTTGGCTCCTGTGGCGGCGGTCGAGGACGCACTGTCACTGTCGATGCGATGTGCCGTCGGCGCAACCCCGTCCGCATGTGCAATTGCACTGTGCTGCTGCCCTTGGTTGGGGTTGTTGACGTGAGCGGCGATGGTGATAAGGCTGTTGGCGTTTGCAAACGGGGACTCAAAGCTATGACCTGCAGTGTTGCTCGCAGCCTGAACACCTTCCCCCGGTGCAGCAACTCGAGCAGCATGCACCATAACGCGCGCGTCGACAGGGGCAGCAACGGTGGCAGCTGCACCGACATCAGCCCGCCTGCTGGCGCGCTGCTCCGCTGCCGCCATCGCCACGGCGCCGACGGTGATGCCAAGCATGGCGATGACCTGTACGGCGAACAAGGCCCACCAGGAGGAGCTGCAGCGTGCGTGGGAGCCTCTGAGCACCTGAAGCAGCAGGTAGAGGGCCCATGCCGCAAGCAGTGCGAGGGCGTAGCGGAGGGGAATGAGACGCATAGCCGCGGCCGTACGACGTCCCCAGGCGCGCACAGCTGTTCCTGTGGCGCTGACGGTACGACGGGCGCCAGGAAAGCGACTGTGCCGTACACTGCCATACTCGCCATGATGGGGGCAGAGGTCAATGGCAGCGGAATGATGCGTTAACAAGGGCGTCGCCTCTGATGACGTTGCCGCCCCTAATGTGATGCAGCGTGGTTCAGTCGGAGGTGTCGTAGGCAGCGGTGGTGGCAACCCCGGCTGCCGTCTTGGAGTTACGGTGGCGGGTGATTGGCCCTTGGATGCCTCGTCATCACCGTGGCACTTGGCGTGAGGGCAAGCACCGTAATCGCCGCTAGCATCTCCCGGCTCCGTTGCCGTACAAGGCCCCGCTGGCGCCTCTCTGCTTCCTCCCACCTCGGTCACGGCTTTTGCAGCTGGAGGCTTGAAGGGAGACGACCGGGGCCGCGTCGGCGGTAGCGGTTCTTGGTGTGGCATGAGGCATGTCGCCAGCGGCCGATAGTCCTCCTCCGTGCCTCCGCTGACACTGCCGCCTATCGTACTCCTGCCCTTAAGGACGATGACGCTGTGGGTAGTTCTGCAGCCGTACTCGTCATCCTCCTGCTCTGCATGTTGCGGCCCCAGTAGGGGCTGTTGGAGATCCTGCTCACTTGGATCTGTCGTACCGGCCGGCCAGGAGCCTCGGGCAGCGAAGTGGGGACGCCGTGTTGCCGCCGACCTGCCGTTGGTGCCGTACGTTTCCTCCTGCGGCCCCACAGGCTGCTGGGAGGATCCTAGCAGCCGATGGCACATCTCCTGCAGCGGCAGCGCCGCCGCCGCTGGCACTGCCAACTCGCCGCTCCCTCCACCGCTTCGCGCCGCCCTTGACTTGGGTGTCTGCAGCAAACGCTGCGGCTGTGGTGGCGCCGCCGCTGCCACAACGGGACACGATGACACGCGCTGCGCAGAGTGCCCCCCAAGTAAAGCCCCAAGTCCGACGCAGCCGCCGCTGCTGTTGCCGCTGCGGGTCCTGTCGCTGCCCTCGAAGCCCCCACCGCTGCCTACCGTGCCGCCGCTGCCGCCCGCGCCCCCAAAGAGCGCCTCCGGGTCAAGCGTGCCACTGGCTGCCACTGTGAGGACCTCCGACGCCGCCTCCGCTGCAGCCGCCTCACTCTTAAGCTGGGACTCCAAACGCCAGAAGGCCAGACCCTGCATGGCAGGAGGTTGTGTGGGGGTAAGCGACCTGAGCGGCAGGATTGGCGCTGACACGGTGTTGTCCCAGGTTGTGCCACAGCCCACAAGTAAAACAGGTTGTTGTCACCGGTTGTGCACGCCCGTTGCTGCCACCTCAACCCCATAACACGCCGTACCTTCCCCACCGCCTGGGTAGTGAGCAGCAGCAGCAGCAGGAGCAGCAGCACCGTCAGCAGCCAGGAGGGAAGCATTACGTTGAGCAGCACACCTGGGGGCGGCAGAGGAGGCGAGGAGGGCAGGGCGGAAATGGGAGGGCATGGATGCGGAGGTTGGATGTTATAGGGGTGGGTGCCGACTATGGTCAAGAAGCTTTGCCCCCTTCTTCCACCCCGCCATACCCCAACGCCGACCTGCCACCTACCCGCTCCCACTCCCACCAGCAGCACGGGGGTGAGCATCACCATCAGCGGAAAGTCGATCAGCGGCTCCCCTGGAGCAGCTGGATGCCGACGGGGCAGGTTAGCGGCCAGGGCAGCCAGGGAGCCGGCCGTGATGCATGCCTGGGAGAGCGCCGTACTGGGCTTGAGCGCTGCGTACGACAGGAATGGAAAGGGAAAGGGGAGACAGGAAAAGGGCCAGACTTCCGTCTACAAGAGAATTTGGTGAGGAGCTTTCCCCTGTATAGCGCGGGGCTGTCCGCCTGCAGGTGTCCAAGAGACTGTAGAGGCAAGATAGACAACTGCGCTCACATGCTAAAATGATTTATCAATGCAGTTTATATGTTCTTCTTATTCGTCGCGCGACAGGCATGAGTGTTGCAATTGCAACACCAGCAAAGCTATAGCGGCATTGACCATTAAGGAAACTAAAGTAAAACAGCGTGAACACCAATGCAGTTAGTATATACGTTCTGGGCATGGATATGCGGTTTACTTGGTACCAGTACCGCCAAGAATACGCTTAAAAAGCATAGAATGCTAGGGCCTTCCTCACCAAATCCAACAAGAGCATTAAATAAAGGGATATAGATAGCGCCTCCTCCTACGCCAGCAGCCGTCGCCACCGCTCCGACCTAAAGAAAGGCCGATAGGATGCGATTAATTTACTATGGCTTGCATCCTCCATTGACATTTAAGCGCGTAACTTACAAGGATGGAAAGCAGAAGGGCTGTTACTGTGCGGAAGTCGGCATGGAACGCCGAATTGACGTCAAATTCCCCATCCGTCATTTGTTTTACACACAACTACTGCAGAATCGCTGCGCTACTTGCAACCGATTAGAGCTATGGCTAGCCCCATGTAGGGCACGCGCGCAAAACTCGGAGGGCGGCAGGCCGTACAGGCCATGCCGTTAGGTAAGATTAGGTAATAACCGGTTACCTTGCCGGCCTTGACGCCCACGCAGCATCGTGCGGCGTATCAGAAAGGGATTCCTCAATCCCAAGATAGGCTTGATGGTATGGGGCTTGATGGTATGGGGGAATTAGCGAGAACCCATGTGACGCATGACGCCGCACGTATGACGCCACCTGACGAGTGCCGGCTGACGTGCGAGTCCATGCAAGCGATGCGAAGGGCGTTACTGGGGCGGGAGTATTTAGCACGCCTCATTGCTTTGCTATGAATCCCATACCTCTGAGTCCAGACAGTACGAATGCGAAGGAAGGTGTCAAGCGGGGCACAGTTGTGGCCCGCACCTTCCTTCGCTTAACACCTTCCTTCACCACAGTTCAGCAGGCACGCTCATGTATGTATAATGCTTCTACAACTTCCGCCTCAGGACCTACTCCCAACAGCTTGGGGGCCGCCGCCTCGCTCCCGCCACCTCGCATTCCCAGCTTTAAGCTCCAGGTTCTAGTACTCCTCGCGGCAGAGGGATGGCCACCCGATACTATCAATCACAACGGCAGTTAAAAGCACAAACGCGTGGACAGCCCTGATAGGCTGGGTCGATTTGCCATCGCTGTCGTACACCCATGCAAGCGCGCCATCTGCTTCCACGCACCACGGCAGCTAGCAAGAAACCTACTTCTTCAGTCATACTTCCTTACAGAAGTGGCATCTTCTTGCTTTAGCTGCCGTGATGCGTTACAGCAGATAATGTAAGCCGAAGCCAACCAGCCGTACGTTGCCTCCACACCAAGAACCCTACCCTAACCCACACATCCCGACGCCCCAACCCATGTTTAAGATGCACTAGTGGCCGATTGTGCTGACAGCACCCAGAACTTGAAAGGACCACAGTGCTCTTAACCTTGGGTCGCGCCGACAATGCGTGCGGTAAGGGCCCGCTGCCGCGAGGAGTACTAGAACCTGGAGCGTTTAATCACAGTCACACGTTAAGTCCTCACTTGGTGCTCAGTTAACGGCACTTGGGTAAAGCAGAAGGGCCTTACGACGGATTTCGTGTGGCGGCTTTCGGTTGGTGGCACCGCACCACGCCACAAGCATCTTCTATTTCACAGACGGCAAACGTCGAGACAGTTGAGCCCAAGATATTGTTTCTCCGACCCAGCTGACGGATACTTCATACGATGAGAAGTAGGAAGCGAGTATTACACTGGAGGACCAACCACGGCAAAAGTTGACAGACCGCGGATTCAGATGGATCTGGTTTCGATGGTTAGTCGCAGGGTCGCAGCTTGGCATCTAGGGCGCCCTAAGGACCCAAGTGAATACTGTAACTAATCTGGGTAAATCACTGCGTTGCGTGCAGGCGGTTTGTTGTTACTGTCTGCCCACGAGCAAAATCAATTGGGCGAGAAAATTCATCACCATAAGCTTGTGTAACATGTCTATTAAGCTTTAGTATGCGTTTAGGCCAGAGCCAAATGGCAGCTCACCTGAGCTGTGCGACGCCTTGCGTTGTTGGCAAGAGTGACCAACAACGGAAACGGCGCCTACTATCGCAGGTGACTGCAATATAACCAATAAGGTAGCAAGCGTACACATTATGTGCATCTGTTCAACTTTTGACCGCCATCCCAACAGCCATGCGGTCCCGCCCAGCTCGAGGTTGGGGTTGGAGCCCATGCTCCCACCCCTGGTAACAGCTCTCCCAAGAAGCCGCTAACGCCTGCTGTAGCAGCATTGCTACAGAACGTGCAACGCCACGGGTCCCTGCTGCAGCAATGTTGTGTCAATCTTCGGCCGCTATGGCAAATGGACCCTGCTGCATTTGGCTCACCCAAAGCGACATCTGGCTCGTCCGGGGATATGCAACCTGAGCCGGGGATGCCTCATGGGACTGCTAGTAATGCTGCTGAACAAACGGAGCCAAGGGAAGGGGAGGGAAGTGGCCTGGGTACCCTTGCTGACTACTTGATTACTACCCAAGCGCGGGGTGGTAGAATTCAGTGGCGTCCGGAAGACTTGAAGGTGCGCATCTTTGGGGGAGAACTCTGTATTGCAAGTCCAACCAAGATGCCATACATGTGTAAGGGCTGTCCCCTGCCGACCTCTGCAGATCATGCTGAACCACCTGACCTCGCTGACACCAGGCAGCAGCAGTGTCGAAACTAAGCAAGCCATGAAGAAGCTAGGTTGGTGGGTGGTGGTTAGCCACTGAAACGGGCTACCAGTATCTGACTGATACAAGCATGCGGTAGTGGCAGGCGCCCGGTGCAGGGTACTGTGTAAAAGATACCCTTCCCATGTGCGTCATGTGCAGGAATTGCGCACCTACCTGACCCAAGCTGGAAGCTCCATACCGCTGTAGTGTCGAAGCTGCGCACGCTGCGTAACATGCTTGCACACGGCTGGAATCCTCTAGGAGGTGAGCAACTGCATTTGCTGGGCTGCATAGCCTGGGCAAAAACGGTTCAGGGTCTAACATTGACCTTCTTTCCTCCCAGGACTGACCTTGCCTAGGGCTCCCCGTGGAACCTACAACTTCAGGGTAGGTCGTGCCTCCCTATATTCTCAGTTACGGCGGACAAATGGTTGAGCTGCAGTCCGACGGAGCTTTTGGATACCCGTACAAACACCAATGCATGCAAGGCCTAGACAGCCCAAGATGCGCATGGGCCGCCGTGTCCTGGCCTGGCACCACTGTCTGCATGCTATGATGAGGCTCCCTTTATGTCGTACTCTCGCAGGCCTGGTTGCGTCACGCTCTCCTCACGCTGCCCAACCGTGAGGTGAGGGCGTTGTTGCTGCGGATACTGTGTTTTCTGCTGTGGAGGTGAAGGCCGTACGAGGTTGTAGGCCACGTTGAGAACTAGGGCATACACATGCTTGCAGGGTACTTTGCTGGAAGCTGCAGCGGTCCTTGAGGCAGATCCTGATATCGCCCCCAAGTTGGACAGGAGGTGACATACCGGTACCTGCTTCAAGACATCTCCCGACTCTTTGCTTACGATGCGCGTCATCATGCATTGCAGGCCTGATCGTCGCTTCCATGACACCCCTATGTGGCACCGCAACCTTCGCTTCGCAGCGACAAGGTACAACTAACTCTGTAACATTCCACGTCGTAATGAAAACAAGACACCATCCTGCACGCAAGGAGGCAACACCCTAACCTTCACACTCACAATTGCTGATGTAGTCATCCGGAATTTGTTGACATCGCGCGGCGGGGCAAGGCTGCAGTGTACCGCTACGATGAGGAGGTAAGGGCAACTGCTTGGGAGCCTGGGTGCCAATTCAGTCTTTCCAGACTTCCTTATGCGCCCCATAATTGGCTTATTTGGGCCTTCTAGGTTGCCACATGCCTCTGTTTCATAGCACCCGTTCCCTTCGCTACGGGCATGCGCAGGTTGCCCGGCAGCAGGACGCGCACACCAAGCCGCCCAAGGTGCCCAAGCGCCGGGTGCCGCACCTGGGAGTGCACGGCGGGGGCAACTGAGGAGAAGTGGGCAAGGACCGGGGACGCCCAGCTATGCCATGGGGCGTCTTAGCAGCGGGTGCCGTACATGGACAGACCATGCACGGCATGCAGTCATGAGGAGGATGGGCGCTTTGGGACCCAGGGAGGGAGGCTTCCTTCCGTCCTTTGACTAATCCTAGCGGCTCAGGCGGCCGTTACTAAGATTGTGTCGCGATCGGTGTGTGGCTTGGTTTTCGCTGTCCTGCTGTATAAGGCCCTTGGCAGCTGCCCCGCTCCTCGTCCACCCTGAGTCCCATTATCACCCTAAGACCGCACCACGGCACAACCTCGTTACAGCAGTCCCGCGTCTTCTCCTACCCCGTGTTTAGGTACAGCTCCAAACAAACTCTGGGACAAGTGTCGGCCATGTGCCCACACCTTAAAACCCGCAATAAACCCGCCCTCCTTTGTAGACAGGTGGGGGGAACAGGATTTGTTGCAAAACTTTGCCCCTCGCTCACTACAGTCCAAAATGCAGTCGGGGGCAACTCCAGGGGCCACATAGCAGCGGGCAGCCCGCATGGAACAACATGGCGTCCTGCGTCCTCTTGGCCACGCCTTTGGGCACGGAACCACAGCATCCCATTCCTTGAGTCGCGCCCGGCGTGGCACCCAGCCCGCAACTTCCCATGCATGCATGCGGCAACCAACAACCTCACTCCGCAGCCTGGACTATGCATGCATTATGTACAAGACACCTCGTTGTGGGCGAACACTGTGCGGCTTTTATTCAAAGGTGCAAGACAACTGACGTGCGCACTTTGAGAGTCAAGTGTGGTCCCAAGGGCTGCTGAGCGGGCACGCAGGTTGGGAAGGGAACGGGAAGGCGGGGACAAGGAGGCTGTATGGACGCTTGAAGGTGCGTTAAGAGAGTATGGGTAGCGGTGGAAAAAAGAAATTCCAAAGTGTGGCGTGATAATGATACAAGTTGCTGACAATGGGTAGCGGTGGAAGGAATGAACGCTGGTGGGAAATCATGAGCAAAAGGTGCCAACATCCCCAAAGCTGTATAAACGATGTAGCCCCCTACGGACGAGCACTGGATTAACGAGGCATGCGCACATGTAGCAGAGCGGAATGCCTTATTCAACAAACTCCCCTGGAAGCTGACACCTCCTCTCCCCCTGCCTGGAAAGCTTACACCCCTCGTCCAGTTGAGGCTGATGGGCATGTCGCATGACATGGACCATTGTCAAAAGGAATATCATAAGGAGAGCATATCAACTTCATGCACGTTCTTGTTGTGGTCACTATGCAGCACGTATTCAACGTAGCGAAAATCCGGGGTGTCGGACAAGGCGCGTGTGTACGGCGTAATGGCAAGACGGTACAATTAAGGCACCATTTCTATTTAAGTAAAATGATTGATTTCCCATTTACATTTAAGAGCGTTTACAGTAACTTTTAAAAGTTCGAGGTCCTTGGCAGCAGCATAAGTTTTCGCTGTGGTAACTATAATATCCACGCTGCTGCTTTGACTAAAAATTGCTTAGTAGGGTAACTTAGCGTCTACATGAGTTTCTGATGGCAGCAACTAAGGGAACTTGGCTATAGCATGCGGCCAAAGCCTACGTTTTGCAGTGTACCGTAACGTCATTCAAGTTTTTCGGCCCCTCTCTCTATCGTCCTGAAATAACCTCGCTAGTTGGTATTTGTTGTTCTGTGCAGGTTGCGGTCCGTGTAATGGCGAGCACATGAGCACATCTTTTGCGGTTAACGATGTTTGGCACGTGAGCGCAGGAATTGTAGGTATGTAAGTATGTACTCGGCTGAATTCTACTTTATGTGTGCAGGTATTCGTCGCGGTACGGCTACCGCTGGAGGTACCGAGGACAAAGGGGGCGATGTCCAGCATGAGGACAATACCACTACCGGCCGACGTTGCCCAGTGGTAAGTGTATGACCCGGGCCTCCTGATATCTATGTGCATCTTTGGATCTTGCATGTCCAGCCATAACCAGGCATGAACTTTAGTGCAGGCATGCAGTTGGGAGCACATGGGGTTTAGATGACAGATTCCCACGGGTTTAGGTGACAGCCCTTCTATGCAACGTGCTCAGTACCTTTACAATGCTTGCTAAAGTTAGTACCGGTATAGTAACACCTATGTCCTTTGCTCCCGGCCCTGTGTAGGTATGCCCACGAACCTATCGTGACAAGGTCAACGAGCTGAACGACAGCAATTCCAGCTTCATGTGAGATGTTCTTCCCGTCATCGTTACCGCCTTACTCTGCAGCGTTCGGCCGTCACGCATTTCCTCTCCCTTCACCGTCTCCACCTTTTTATCCAGTCTGTCCTGGAATTGCTTATGGACGACGGCACATGTACGACGAACCCCCCCGCTGTCTCCTGCCATAGCTGATGGGCTACGATATGGTGCTTGAGCGCAGTATTTGGATATCCGTGATGGTGTGAAGGGTGTAGAGCGCTGGTGGCCTAGGGTGCAGAGGACTACACCGTTGGGTCAACCGCTGCGGCGTGTGCTTGATTGGTGTAAAGTTAGCACACTAGGTTAATTGGGTTCGCTGATTACGGGTTCTTTCTACCGGTATACCATGTTGGACTGTAGCACACGTGCGTGCGTGGTGCGTCGCGGATTAGCCTCCCCACCTGGCTAACACACAGCAGTATATCCTATATTGCCTGATTGCATCCCATGTAAGAAGTGTGTTGGGGGCGGACAGGGGGGTGCTTGCGGCCTACCCTCGTCACGCCAAGGAATGCTCCCTCGTCCGTTGACCCTTCACCACACTCCATGTACGGCATTCATTTTCGGATGACCGATGGTGCGCTATGTTACATGCCTTCGGCTAAAATCGTTGCCACAGGGCGCATAAAGCCACAGGAAAGTTTGGAAAGCTTGATTACGGTCTGCCCATCAAATGGCTTGCACGACAGTAAACCGTATCAGCTTTATGACATCCATTAGTGAGGAGGAAAAGACTGTCAGGGCCAATGGCTGTCGCTGTCCTAATAGTGCCATAACGATAGCTAGAGATCTGACGAAGCCCTAACGAATCCTAACCGTTACCGAACCGACGGCAAATCCACCTAGACGGCATCCAGACCTGACAAGACTTGTCAACCGTTGGAGTTGTAAAGGTAGGTTTCCGGGTAGTAGGTAGGGCAATAAGGGAAGGAGAGAGGGGCAGGTGGAGGCGGGAGGTAAGGAGCGAGGGGCAGGAGGGAAGGAGGGAGGGATAGGCAGGGGCGGGAGAGAGGAGGGAGGGGTAGGCAGGGGCGGGAAGGAGGGAGGGGTAGGTGGGGGAAAGGAGAGAGGGGTAGGCAGGGGAGGGAAGGAGGGAGGGGTAGGCAGGAGAGGGAAGGAGGGAGGGGTAGATGGGAGCGGGAGGGAAGGGGTAGGTTGGTGCGGGAGGGAAGGGGGAAGGGGTGGGGTGGGGGCGCGAGGGAATGAGGGAGAGGTGGGTGGGCACGGGAGGGATAGGTGGGGCCGGGAGGGGAAAGGGAGGGGAGGAGGGAGGGGTAGGTGGGGGCAGGAGGGGAAGGGGGGGAGTCGGGGGCGGGAGGGGCAGGTGTGGCAGGCACGTGGGTGTGGGAGGGGTAGGTATGGATGGGAGGGGAGGGGAAACCATTGGGCGGGGGATAAACAGAAGGCTGGATGGGAGATTCCCGCCGTTACCAGGGGAAGGGTAGTCTTAGGAGACATGGAGTGCGCTGTAGCTACTAATGCCGTACGACCTTAGTAATGAGTACCTTTAATCATTTCTATCCCTAATCCACAATTCCCCTCAATAGCACATTTTGCGCAAATATAACTAACCAACCAACAAAGGGGTAATTATTTGTAGGCGAGGATGGCCAGCTTAGGCCTATGTGCTGGGCACGGCACCGCATACGCCCTGCAATTGCGAGATACTAACCGCGATATAAAGTGCCTACGCTCAACAACTTCTTGCATTCGCCGCTGCCTAGGAAGTCTTGGTGTTGCACGAAGCTCTGGCTCTTGCCCACCTCGGCGGCTTCAGTTGAAGTGTGCAGCCTCTTCGGGTAGAGGACAAGTGCAGCCATATGGCAAAGGTTGGTGTTCTAGGGCCTGTGTGCTGATAAGCGTGGGCATCCTCCACACTTTACCGCTGAGCGTCGCATTGAGAAGCGCGACGCGCTATCGTGCCTTAACATAAGTGTTATATTGTGTAATCCGGTGTAGGTCCTGGGCCGTTAGTTGGCAGCAGCAATGGTGGCAATGGCGTGTACCTGCTGATGCTGCTATGCTGTGCGGCCTTCCTGGCAGACAACTTGTTGCACCTGCCAGGGACCGCGGCCATGCATCTTAACCATGCGCGGTGAGAAGCGGTCGGGAGAGAGCGGTTGCACCAGGACAGGTTAAGGGGAAGTAGAAAGGTTACTCGCCAGCAGTGTTTGACCGGGTACCGTACCCTCCTCCATGACATGCTCATCTGCCGCCCTGTCCCAGCGCCGCTTCCCACCACCTGGGAGGCCTTTACCTCTCAAAACCCCCGCTACGCCCTTCCCCGTCCTCCTGCCTCCCGCCCTGCCCTTAAGCCCCCAGTGGTGGCAGTTCCTGAGCCACCTCTTCTGCCACGCCGACTGGTCGCATCTGAGCGGCAACCTCTTCAATCTCTGCGTGTTCGGCAAGATGGTGGAGGAGACGGAGGGAGCGGTGGGGGTGGTCGCAGCGTTCCTGGTGTGCGGCGTGGGTAGGTGGTGGGTGGCTGGTGAATGGTATGGGAGATTGGGTTCAGGGTTCAGGTATGGGAGATTGCTAGGGGCTAGGGGGGGGGTCAAAGACCATATCGAACCATAGGGGGGGAATTATATACCGGTAAATGAAACAACGAGTCCCGATCCCATATCCCGACTCATGTAGTGAGCGCGTTCGGAGCCACTATAGAATTTTCCCAACCCGTCCTAGTGGAAACCACAAGTGAGGGAAAGGCAGTAGGGAGAGGAAGCTGCGGGAAGAAGGGTGTGGATGGCCGTGAGACGGGGTTGAAGTGCGGGTATGCGTTACTTAATGGAGTCACTAGGCAATTGCAAGCCGTGTGGGCCAGGAGGTGTGAGGTCGTACTTAGTATGGCGATGGTCCTTTCCTCCCCTCACAACCGCTCCTCCCCCCTCCCAGGCGCCGCCCTGGCCACCTTCCTGCTCACCCCCGCCACCGTCAACGGGCAGGTCACCGTGTCAGTGGGTGCCTCGGGTGGGTGGGTGGGGGTAGGTGGGGGGTGGGGGGTGCACACTGGCCCGCGCCTGGTCACAGGAGGAGACTGCAGCCGGCTGGCAGCTGGTTGGCACGCGTGCTGCATGCATGCAAGGGAGGGGTAACTGATGCCCTGCTGTGTTGCGCCTATCCAGCGGCGCATGTCTACCATGCCTTCGTTTAAAGTCGTGTAACATCTCGATTGAGGTGCCAAACCCTGTCCCAAGCTGCTGTTGGCCCCAACTGCCTGTCCCAGGCGCCATCTTCGGCCTGTTTGCGGTGAGTGTGGCAACTCGGCTGAGATGGAATCTGAAGCAGCTGCTGGAGGCTGCCGTACTGGGGCAGTTTGTTGTACGACAGGTGCGCGGTGGGGCGCATGTGTGGCTGGGTGCATTTGTCGGCCTGTCCCTCTTGCCTTGCCCGCTCTTGCTGCATCTTTGTTAACACCTTTATGTACCTGCGCCACCACACTACAAAAAAGCGCCAAACCCAAGGTGCCAAAGCAGCGTGCATCAACCGTCAATACCTGCGCCCAACACCCGCCCCTCCCTCGCTTGGCTAATTCGGGCTGGGCGGGTCGGGCTGGCTCACATGTTGCAAACCGTGTTGATGCCTTAACACTCAGTCAGTTAGTTGTTTCCTCTTTACTCCCTCTCCTCCTCCTCCTGCCCTGCCCTCCCCCTTCGGCTGCTTCTCTTCTTTCTTTCCCCCCTCCCCGCCTGCGCGGAATGCCCTTCTCCTCTGCCTCCCCCCCTTAGCCCTGTGGTTTGGTATGGTCTTTGACCCCCCCTTGCCGCCCCCCAGGTGCTGGCGGAGGCGGGGCACCAGGTGGCTGGCGGCCTCAGGCTGGGCGGGCTGGCGGTGTCGCACGCCGCACACCTGGCGGGAGCGGCGGTGGGGGTGGCGCTGGTGCTGCTACTGCGCAGCCTGCCGGAGCCGCAGAGCGGCGCCGGGGGACAGCAGCAGTGAGCACCCGCAGCAGCACGACTGTGGCTGTAGGAGTTCGGCAATGAGTCATGGCTTCGTTAAACTTCGTAGATTTGTACGCTATATAGATAATAGATAGTGAACAGCCCCTGCAACTTCAGAGAGCTTAGCTAATGCCATTGGGAACAAAACCATTGGGAAACACTTTCCTGTTTCTGCAGTCCTTTGCAAAGCCAGCCGAGAACGTGTGGTGCAGAGACAACTTGCCAAATCACAGATGAGCGCGCCCCTGTAAGGCCGTGATGGGCTGTGACGTCAGCGACTATGGGTGATTCCTAGCCATGCGCGCAGTTGCACCCTAGCGGCCTTCCTGGGGGCAACTTGTGGAGCATGAGGGGCGCTCGTCACCCACATGCGCTATTGCTTATTAGTGTACAGCAGCACCTCAATCCACGGCAGGGCAACGGTGTGCAGATAGGTGAACCCAACATAGGAATCGGCGTTGGATGCCTGGATTCGTGCAGATATGCTAAGTAAGGACGTTACTTGCTGGCGAAGTTTCGCCAGGTCGCGCAGCCATGGGATCTCAGCCCTAAGCACGCATGGATCAGCCGTGGAGCCCTTGCACTGTAGCGGCCATCCCCGCGAGCACAGGCAGGCAAAAGGGTAAGAACGATGTTGAAAGAAGAGCCACAGCGTGACGACGATGCGCATTCTTGACATTAACCGTTGTAGAAACCGTTAAGGTTGAAAAGAGTCCAGCATAGATAGCTTACACATCCTCAGCAAGGGCAGTTTATCCATGTTGTCTGCAGGCGAAGCCTTGTATCGCATATGCTGTGGGCGTAAAGGCCTTGAGAGGATATAATGTCACATTTTGTTCGGGAAATGATAGGCTTGGGGTGAAGTAATCGACATTAGACGGGACCCAAGTTGTTATAAGCCTAGAAAGCCGCAACCAGCGTGACATTACGCACACTCAACAGCATTATAACAACACCTTATGACAGTGCGGCCAGGAGGCTGCGCTCATAAAGGGCCATCTATGGAAAGTATGCAAATAAGGGTAGACGTAATGGTAAGCGGACATTTCCTTTTTTGTCCTGGTAAAGACAGTTGTTCGCAAACTGCAAGCGCCGTACCTTCTGCTTCGACCAGCCCAACCAATAGCATCAAACGCATTGGCATAATGATGCGTGTGGCTCCCTATAGTATGTTACTTTTGCCGAACTTGCTTTCAGATGACTTTGTGAGTACTGAGTAGGCTCCCTTTCCAAGCCCATTTGGACCTGCTAATGTCAATTTCACGTTATAAATGTTAAAACATATTTCCTAGCGGCTAGGCCCGAGGATGCCTCCTCAAAAGCCTCCGCGGGACATATGACCACCGCGGATTGCGGGTTGTCTCCGCTGGACAACAGCAGCAGCAGCTCGGTTATGTCTTCGGAAAGCAACTTCAGCCGCGTGATGCCAGCGGAGGGCTGCTGGGGCGATATGCCCTATACGAGCACATACGATGTGAGACGCTAGTGGGCGAAAAACGTGTTTGGACAAGCATGACGCGTTCAGCTAACGCAATGCAGGCTTTGGCTTCACAGTACCCTGAGCGGAGCTGTTTCATCTTAAGGAAGCGAGCACATTTGCGGAAATTCTGTGTTTATCTTATGCACAACAAGTTCTTCGAGAACTTCATACTTTTTATCATCTTGTGCAACTGTGTTACGTTGGCGCTGGGCAGCAACCGGCAAGGATTTGACAGCACACCTCTGGGAAGAGCGCTGTTGGCGATTGACAATGTGTACGTCGCCATATTTACGTTGGAGATGTTGGTTAAAATTATCGCCACGGGGTTTGTCCTTGAGAAAGGGACATACCTTCGCGATGGTAAGTTGGAGCCGGGCGCATGGGTTGTGACCACTTCCTAGTAGGTAGTATAGGCACGCCCTGGCTTTGGGGTTCCAGGACTCCGTAGGGGTGTGCTTTTGCCCCTGGATACCTCGTTGGGCCGATGGGGCATCCTCGCTCGTTCATTCGGGCGCTGTGCGTACTTGCAGTACCCGTGGTTGGGCCGGCCCATGCATGACTAAAGTACCCCTTTACCCCGCCGCATTATGGCATGCCTGTTTCCGTTCCTGACGCTGCGCACCCTTTTGACGGTTTGCTCACCCCATGTGCAGGCTGGAACGTACTAGACTTTGTGGTGGTTGGCATGGCTTACGTGAACTTGTTCACCCCGAACAACCTGACGGGGATTCGGACGATCCGTGCGTTGCGTCCACTCAGGACAGTTAGCCACATAAGGGGCATGAAGGTGGGATCCGGCATGGCCTTGTTAGGCCATCTACTCTCGGGCAGGGCGCATGCATTCTGCCAAGGAAGAGTTGGGACCGGGCCCTTCCATGTGGGTCGCATTTGGCTAAGCCGGCTTAGGGAAAGAGCTAAGGCTGGGTCCTTAGTGACATACCGGTACAAAGGGGGCCGTGGGAGGAAACCCTGGTCTTGGCGCACTCCCCGCTGCAGCGGGTCTTCTGCAATCTGCCAATCCCTTCCTTGTCAGAGTTCCATGGCCCCCTCTTGTCCCGCCCCACTGCAGGTGCTTGTGAACACCTTGCTGAAGTCGCTGCCGATGCTGCTGGACGTGTTTGTGTTGTGCGCTTTCACGTTCTTCATGTTCGGCATCATAGCGGTGCAGCTGTTCTCCGGAGTGCTGCGCTACAGGTGGGTTGCGAGGGTTAGAGCATCGGGAAAAGAGGAATCAAGGGGGTAAGGCGGAAGCGGAGTGCGGAGCATGGGGAGGACATGGGCGAGGTGCAGGTGCAGGTTGGGCTGGTGCCCTTCGGCGCTAGGCGCGGAACTTTGCGCAGCCGCTATGCCTACGGCTGTCTTGCCTCCACCTGCATGCCCCGGGGTATACCGCGCTCAAGTCCGGCGCCCCAGGCACCCAGGCGATGTAACCGCTAAATGGAATGCCGTACAGGTGCGGCGAGCCGGACTTTACATGGGCCTACAACGTCACGGGCGCGGATGGACAGGTCATGTTACGGAATGTGTCGTACGTCGTACCGGACGACCAGACGGAGGACGCCTGCAGCGGTCCACTTAGCTCGGGTGGGTCCTCCCGTGTAACTGCTGCTGCGATAGCGAGCGGCTGCCTGTTATGTTAGAAACGGTTGCACAGCTGTCAGACGGCGCTGGCTTGGGGAACAGGGACTGAGGGCTGGGCTCCGCATCGAACTACCGGTAGCGCCGCATGGGGTGCCATGGGCTGGCCGTGCTTCTAGGTGCATGTGCAGGTTGTGCAACGTTCACATGGGAGGCACCGCCGCCACCATGTGCTGGCGCCTCCCCGCCGTGGACCTCGCAGCTGCACGCTGTGCAGAAGCACCTTGGCGTGCGGTTCCATGGCATGCGGTTGAATGGCCCCGCAGCAACCGCCGGGGTTTGCGGTGTCCTCATGGAACGAATGGAAGCACTGTACGGCTATTCCCAATCCAGAGCTTCGCTGCTTTTCGCACATGCATGTGCTTGCATGGCAGCGCTGCAAGTCTTGTAGCTTAAGAGCCTTCCCAATCCCGCGGCCCTGGCGCGCCCTACAGAGGCTGTTTGGTACCTCGTAGACGGCACCCCGACAGCACAGGAGGGGAGCGGCTACGGCGGCCGTGTGTGCGATGACGGGATGTACTGCACACTGTACGGCAACCCAGCAGGCGGATTAGTAAGCTACGACCACATCCTGTGGGCCTGGCTGACCATCTTCCAGCACATTACAATGTCTTCCTGGACGGACGTGATGTACACGACTATGGACGCCGTGAGCTTCTGGGTGTGGCTCTTTTATGTGGGCCTCATCATCTTCGGCGCGTTCTTCATGGTAGGCTCCCGCGCGGCAGGGTTGGGTGTCGCGGGGTTTGCGTGTAACGCGGATGATAGGTTGAGCTGCTGCCGAGGGCGTTGTACTGGATATTGGATAGGGATAACTGGGAGAAGCGTTCATTTGACACTATGCAGCTGTGACGTGCGGCCAAATCCTGACCCCAAACCTCGGTCTGGTCTGGTCTCGACCCTTCTTCGCGCCGTGTCGCAGGTGAACCTGGCTCTCGCGGTGCTCACCCTGAACTTCTCGGCGGATAACTTGGCGGAGGAGCAGGAGAAGCAGAAAGCGGCGGAGAAGGAGCAGCAGTGGGGCACAGGGGAGACAAACGGTGGAGCAGGCGGCGGCCGTTCGCCCGCAGCACCGATCAAGGTGGGAAGCATGGCCACAAGGAATAGGCCGTTGCAGAGGATTGCTTTGAGCCTGTTGTGTAGAGTCAAAAGACATAAACGCCGGCGTAAAGGTATATGCCAGAAGACCGGTATACATGGGGACAAACCGGTAGCATTACTGCGCCAGGTGCTGCTGGTTTCGGCTCCCCGTCTGTCTATCTTTCCCTTCCGGTGACGTTGTCATTGACTGTCTTTTCACGTCGCCGCTGACGACACCACCACCACCACCACACACACCGCAGCTCCACAAGCCAGCAGACCTGCCGACTGCCGAGGAGGAGGCCGCCGCGAGTGGGCCGCCCTCCCACTACAATGCCGTACGGCGAGCCGCCTGGCATGTGGCCGTGAGTAAGCAGCTGGAGTACACGACAGCGGCGCTCATCGTGGCCAACACCGCCATCATGTGTATCAACTGGCACGGCATGCCAACCAACATTGAGCAGGCCACGAACTACACCAACTACGGGTTTACCATCTACTTCTTGTTGGAGCTAATCGTCAAGTTAACGGCGTTCGGGTTTAGAAAGTAAGGGAGAGACCTGGGCGCAGAATGAGCGGGCCTGAAGGGGCGAGTTGGTTGGGGTTGAATGGCGAGGCGGGCGTGAGTTAGAGGGCCAAACCATCCTAACAAGGCATACTTGCTCATCCCGCAAATATTATCGTACACTTCGGCGTCCTGCTGTGCCAGCAGTTGTTTCCGCTCCTTCCCTTCCAGGTCCCCTTCCTTCTCCCCCTTTTCCTGCTCCCTGCACCTCCATGTCACTTGCGACTTCCGCACCGCTTCCTTCACACCTGCCAACGACCGCGCCACGCCAACACGCGCCCCCCATTGGGTAATACATTTTTTCCTGTCACCGCCATGCAAGCCCCACCGGTAACCCCCAACCCCACTCCCTTCCCGGCCCGGCCCGGTAGGTACTTTCGTGACGGCATGAACATCTTCGACGCGCTGGTGGTGCTGGTGTCCACGGTGGAGCTCATCATCGACATCATCCCCTCCATTGCGGGCGTGGGGCCGCTGTCCGTGCTGCGTGCCTTCCGCCTGCTGCGCGTGTTTCGGCTGGCGCGCAGCTGGCGCGACCTGAACGTCATCATCCTGGGCATGTTCAAGTCGGTGCAGGCGTCCATCATGCTGGTGCTGCTCATGGTGCTGTTCCTGTTCATTGCGGCGCTGGTGGGCATGCAGTGCTTTGGCTACAAGTAAGTGGTGGGGGCGGGCCTGGGCCTGCGGGGAGGGGAGCTGAAAGGGGTGCGACTGTGCGGTATGATGTGTAGTTGAGCAGAAACAAGAGCAAGCAGTTATGATGTGTGTATGGTGGTAATGGGTGGTATGTGAATCCTGCATTTAAGCAGTTTTGTTGGGATTGGGTTGTATGCCCAATCTTCAACTTGGTTGCAAGAGCGTCCTCCCCCTCCCTTTGCCACGCTCTCCCTCTCGCACAGGTTTATGTTTTGCGACTACGTGTCGGGGGCCAGCCCCGTGTGTCCGCTGGGCATGCGCGTGTGGGGCGACTGCCCCAATCACTTCCACTGCTACCTGCCCTGCTCGGCCGACCAGTACGGCAGCTGGGTGGACGCGCCCGGCTCCTTCTTCAACGACCTGGCCTACTGCCAGCGCTTCTGCGCCACCCAGCAGGACGCAGATGCCGCTGCCGCTACTGCTGCCGGCAACGCCACGGCTGCCACTGCTGCGGGTGCCGCCGCAACTGCGGGCGACTGCGAGTACTTGGCCATGGTGGGCAAGTCGCAGGTGCCGCGAGCCAACTTTGACGGCATCTTGTGGGCTCTCTACACAGTGTTCCAGCTGCTTACCGGTGAAAACTGGTGAGTCTTGGGGCATACTCGAACCCAAAGCGTGCCGGGTAAACTGACGATTACGGGCATGGTTACTGCATTACTCGGTGCTTGCCCACTGCAAGCGCCCCACATCGGGCTTGCGCGTGGCACATGCCGCCCCATGCTCCGCTACGTTTATCCGTCGGGCGCTGACCAATGCTCCCCTCTCCTCCCAACCCGCCCGCCCGCCCGCCAGGAACGATGTCATGTACGACACCATGAACACAGTGTCGAGTTGGGCGTCGCTGTACTTTGTTGCTGTGATTGTCATCGGCAACTACCTGGTCTTCAACCTCTTCATCGCCATCCTGCTGGATAACCTGCATATGCGGATTGAGGAAAAATCAACAGAAGAACCGCCGCGGCGCGTGTCAGAGGCGAACGGAAAGCGGGGGAGCAACAAGGACAGTGCAGTCAGGGGCGGTGCGGACGGCAGCCGCTCCCAGCGCCCGGGGCTGCCGGCCGGCACCGCCGCGCCAGGCAGGTACTGCGGCGACGCCATGGCATGGGAGCCCCTGAGCGCAGAGCATGACAACAAGGCGGGCCTGAAGGATGAGCAGCAGCAAGGGAAGGGCAGCTGCAATGGCGACATCAAGCCGACCCTGATTGGGGTAGCCGCCGCAGCGCTAAAGCAGCACCACCAGCTGCAGCAGCAGTATCACCAGCAGCAACCATTGCTGCCGGAGACACCCTCCGCTAGTACGGCCGGTGGCAGCAGCCAGCTGTCGGTTCCTGTTGCCAACGTGTCGTTCCCTCGACCCGTTGCGGAATCCTTGGAGCCTGGTTTGCCGGCTGCTTCGGTTGCCGCAGCAACCGCCTCTGTCGCCATCGGCGCTGCGGAAGCTGCTGGTCAGGAGGATAGCTCTAGGCCTAGCAGCGCCTGCACCCCGAACCTTGGCAAGTCCAATGCGTTGCCCAGGCTAATGGTGCAGTTTGCGGGGCTGCCCAGGATAGCGACACCGACGAAGACAACCATGGCAAACGACGCCGCTGCAGCTGCCGGCCCTGACTCGGTCGCCAACAGCAGCAGCTTCCTGCCGCAAATGTCGCAGCCCGACATGTCCCCCCAGCTCTCAGTGGGGCGCATCCGGCGCAAGGAGTCCAAGAGCTTTCTGGAAACCATGCGGTCACGGCTGCAGACCGATCCGGACTGGACCACCATTGAGGGCCGGTCGCTGATGCTGATGACTAAGCACAGTGGGCTACGTAAACGTGCGGCGAGGCTGGTGCACAACCGGCACTTTGACCAGGCTATTCTGGTGCTCATCGCGGCGTCATGCGTGTGTCTGGTGTTGGATGCGCCTGACCTGGACCGCCATTCGCGGTTGGCACGGGCGCTGCACATCATGGACTACGCCTTCACGGGTGCCTTCACCCTGGAGGCCATCCTCAAGATCATCACCTTTGGCTTCGCCTTCACGGGGAAGCACGCCTACATCCGCAGCGGCTGGAACGTGCTGGACTTCCTCATCGTGCTGCTGGGATACGCGTTGATCATAGTTGAGGTAGTGGGCGTCACCAACACCGGCAACCTCAAGGTGTTGCGCGTCATGCGAGCGCTGCGTGCGCTGAGGCCGTTGCGTGCGGCCAACCGCTTTGACGGGCTGCGTGTGGTGGTGAAAACGTTGTTCGCGGTGTTGCCGTCTATGTTCAATGTTGCGCTGGTGTGCGTGTTATTCTACGTCATCTTCGCCATCCTGTCGGTCAACCTGTTCAAGGGCAAGCTGTACAGCTGCGTGGACGCGGACAGCGGCGAGCGGCTGGACCCCGAGTACCTGCTGGCACCGGGGCAGACCCTGACGCGGCAGTGGTGCGAGGCAGGCAGCGTCACCATCACGAACTCGGCGCACACCGCCGCACTCAACGTCACACTGCCGGAGTACAACATCAGCACGGCGTGAGTGGGGCGGGAGGGGGCCACACAGGGACCCAAGCAGCGCCTTTACCAGTGCATGCGGTTGCCTTTCGGTTATGGCGTTTCGTAATTGACATGCTGCATGCGACCGTAACCGTGGCTTTCCTGGTCCCCCTGGCTCGTACGGACACACTATCCGCGCGTAAACACTGTAACTGTAACCGCTCTTCTGCGCAGGTGGATCAACCCGACTGCGAACTTTGATAACGTGGGGATTGCAATGCTGACGCTTTTCCAAGTGGCTACCATGTCGTTGTGGGTGGACATCACCTTCACGGCGGTGGATGCGACGGAGGTGGACGAGCAGCCCATCTGGAACCACAACCCCGCGGTCATTACCTTCTTTGTGTTCTTCATTGTCGTCTGCACCTTCTTCGTCCTCAACCTGTTCATCGGTGTGACACTCGACAAGGTGAGTTGTTCCCAACCTGGCGGCGTGCTGTCAGCTGCGGGAGGCTGATATTTCGATGTCGGCGGCGCCATCGTCACTATGTTCCGGCACTCGCATGTTGCCGTTCCCCTCTTCCCAAGCCTGTATGCATGGCACAAGTGCTACGTACATTACTCGGCTGCAGCAACTCCATGAATGCTCTTTCTTTAGGGTGGCAAGACTGAGACCAGCACAAGAGCCCTAAACACTGCTGCTGCTGCTGCTGCCACTGCTGCTGTGCCCTCGTCCTTCCCCTGCTGCCCCCAGTTCGCGGAGCTGCAGGCGGATCAGGAGCAGGGCGGGCTGCTGCTGTCGCCCGCGCAGCAGTCCTGGGTGGACACGCAGCGGGTGCTCATGCACACCAGCGTGCAGTACAAGCCGCCGCGGCCCCAGGGGCGGCAGCGGGCCGCGCTGTACGACATGGTCACCCAGGAGCGCTTCGACTGGCTGATCGTGGCCGTCATCGTCGTCAACGTGGCGTTCATGGCCATGGTGCACTTCAACATGTCTGGTGCATGGCAGGTAGGTGTGTGGCGTGGGTGGGAGCGGGTGCTGTCCTGAATGGGAGCACTGCTACGGGGTCTACGGCCTTGTCTGCGCCTGTTTTGGTTGCCGCTGCTGCTGTGTCTGCCGGTGGTGGTGGTGGGGGTGCATAGCTTTCGTACCTTTCCTGGCCTTTCTTTGCTTTCGTCTTTTTGCTATCTTGTAACAACCCTATCACCGCTACACCGCAACCGGCCCCGATGATGATCCCACCAGAATATCATATTGTATACAACACCCCTCCTCCCTGCACAACAACCGCCCTCCTCCCCACCAGAACATCATGTCATACAGCAACCTGGCGTTCACGGTAGTCTTCGCGGTTGAGGCGGGCCTCAAAATCACGGCTTTCGGGCCGCTCGCCTACCTGCGTGACAAGTGGAACTGCTTCGACTTCTTCGTGGTGCTCATCTCCGCAGTGTCCGTGGCGCTCGACTTTAGCAACACCAAGAACCTGAGCTTCATGCCGGCGCTGAGGGTGTTGCGCGTGCTGAGGGTGCTGCGCCTAATCCGAAAGGTAAAGCTGAAGGGGTGTGGTGCAGGATCCGATGGAGAGTTGGACGATGGGAGAACCGGATTCCTTGAAGCTGCCCTGTTACCGGTAGCCTAGTACGCTCGAATGGCTTAGAGACTTGGTCCGTCAGATGCATGACATGCTCTGCATTGTCATGTTATTTGTACGCTCACAGTCTACGCTGCGGCAAGGTAACAGCTGGGCATCCTTGCTGCGCGCACACAACCTCTTTGCTCTTCTCCGCAGGCCCAAGGCATCCAGAAGCTAATGCGGACGCTCATTTCGTCCCTTCCTGCGCTGGCAAACGTGGGAGGCGTGATGCTGCTGTTCTTCTTCATCTACGCAGTCATCGGTGTTAACCTGTTTGCGGGAATGAAGCAGGGCGAAAACCTGTCGCGCCACGCCAATTTCAACAACATGGGGAGCGCCATGCTGCTTCTGTTCAGGTGAGCGGAAGGTAACGGACTCAGCCGTTGCTAAACAAGGACCATTTGATCCCCTGACGTCTTGCAACGCTTCTCGCAACGCTAAGTCCAGCAAGGAATTCTAACAACTTCTGCTGCTGCCGAAAGCGCTAAACGTCTTCGTTTGCCTTCTTGGCTCCCCGTGTATGGCCTTCCTTCCCGTCAACCTGCATTTCCTTGACCCTCCGGCTCATATCTTTTCTCCCCGTTACCTGTTGGCTCTCCATTTCCTCGTGCCCGTCAGAATGATTACGGGTGAGAGCTGGGACGGCATCATGCAGGACTGCATGGTGACTCACGGCTGCGTGCTGCTGCTGTCCGACACCGTGTCCCCCTCCACCGGCGCGCCACTGGCCGCGGGCAGCTACCTGGACCCGGGCGACCCGGCGCTTGCGGGCCTGCCGGAGGAGGCGGTGGACAACCAGTGCGCCATCAGCCCCGCAGCGGCGGTCATCTACTTCCCAACATTCGTCATACTGTGCGGCTTCGTGCTGCTGCAGCTGGTGATAGCGGTGCTGATTGAGAACCTGACGCAGGTGAACGAGGCTGCTGAGATCCCGGTGCCTAAGAACGCGCTGGACAGCTTCATCGAGGCCTGGAGCGAGCAGGACGCTCTTGGGCGGGGCATGCTGCACGCCTCGCAGCTGCCGCTGGTGCTGGCCATGACGGAGCCGCCGCTGGGCACCCACGGTGCAGACAGCACCCTGGCAACGCAGCGGATGCTGTTTGGGCTGGACATCCCCATATACAAGGGCAATAAGGTAGAGGTCGCTTGAACGTTGGGTTGTAAGTCTGCTGGCTGTCAAGAAAGGGGGCACCGTTTTCCTCTCCTGGACATGCGACCCATACGACCCACCATTCTGCCCTCCACGGTTTCAACCGTGAGTCTTACTCGGGGTGGTACGGTACATCCATGTTGCTTACCGCACCCGTGTATCCCTTCCCGTGTCTTGTGGCACCCTGCCGCCTCCCTTCCCCCTTGCCTTGCCCTCACGTATGGTTTGGTACTTCTGTTACCCCCTTCTTCCTGCTCCAGGTGTCGTACATAGAGGTGCTGCATGCGCTGGCGGGCAGCGTGTGCTACGCCGCCCTGCCGGAGCCCGCGGTGGACAAGGTGCACCGGGAGCTCAGTAAGCGCCTGCCCCCCGACGACCCGCACCAGCGCTTCTCGGCCGCACACGTAAGACACGGTGGAGGGGCCTGGTAGCGGGCGATGGGCAGAGGCGAATTATTGGCGTGGTTCTGTGGCTCTGGTGCCGTTTTGGTTCTTTCTTCGCGTAGGAGTAGCGTGAAGATGTTGTTTGTGGTGTTATGGGATACCGCGCTGTTGCTGACGTGGCTACAACGCTGCCGCACGTCATCTGCGCGACGCACAGCAGAGCCACGTAAAGACGCGCGCAGGCGCCACTTGTCTCTCCTGTTGAGCATATTACCTGGCGTCCCGCAGCACCACAACGCCCCTAACCTTCTCCTTTCCTTTCCTCCTCCTCCCTGTTCCCCGGTTCCGCAGTACTACGCTGCCGTGCTGGTGCGGGCGGCCATCAAGGGCTTCCTGGTGCGCCACGCCTACCGCCAGCAGCTGCTGCACGTGTCGCAGCGGCACAAGTGCTCGGGGAGCGGATTCATCGAGATCGGCACAACGGGCGGCGGGGGTATGGATGAAGAAGCCTGCGCCCGGTACCTTCGACCGCAGCCGAAACTGCGCAGGAGTGAGAGCAGCGGCAGCGATCGAGCTGACGGCGAGCCGTCTCAGGCGCACGCTGGGGCGATGTCCAACGCCAACACGGACAGTCCGGATGTAAGACGCTGCGAGCCGCATGCCGAGGAGGAGGTAGCAGCATCAACACCCCCAGACGCAACCCCGAAGGCGATAGCGGAAGCGGAAGTGGCGGATCCTCAAGCAGCAGCGGCGGCTGTCGGACTGGTATGCCGGATAGACATGGGGGCAAAGCCAGTCACTCATCCTGCCGCAGCCACCTTGCAGACGCTACATGCCGACGCCGCGTCTCTGCCCCCGTTCGTTCCGCGGACCCCAACGGGCAGCCTACGGGTGCCCGCGTGTCCCCGGGCCTCCGCATCCATGCAGCGGCAGCCCAGCGTGGACTTCTCCCAGCCCTCAGCGTCCCAAGCCAACTTGCGAGTTAGCAGCGCGTGCAGCACGGCAACTGAGCAGCCCGCCTGCCCAGGGCCGGCAACAGGGCCGGGCGTACGGTTAGGGGTGTCGGGCATGCCGGCACTGCCAGGGTGCGGCAGTCAAAACGCCAGTGCCAGTCGGGGGATAGGCCGCCCATCGGAGCCCGCGCTGGCCCCGAGCCGATCCGTAGCTCGGTCCGCGGCGGATTCCGGGTGCTCAGGGCCGCGCGCGGTACCGGGGCAGGTTTCGGAGCCTGGCGGGGACATGATGAGGCGGCGCAGTCGCAGTGACATCTCGCACATTCGTCGGGAGAAGCGGGAAGCCGCGCGCTCCTCGGGTTCCGAGTCGGGGACGTTTTACAGCGCTGCCAGCTCACAGAAGAGCATGAGCTGTGGCACTTTGAAGGAAGGAGGGGAGTCGGAGGATTGCGGGGGAGCTGCTCCTGCTGCTGGTGGCAGTGGGGCCAGCGCTGGGCGGAGAGGCTGGTTCAGCTAATTAGTGCGAGGGGTATGTAAGGGACGTAGAGCGTGACATGCGGGACGTGGTCCATCTGTGCAAGACGGAGGGTGTATCACCCATCACCACGCGTGCATGGCGACCGTCGGGTACTGCGTAACGAGTGCGGTGTGTTGTTGGTGTTCACGTTACCTGAATCCAAACCTTTATCGGCGCGCCGGTGTGGTGGCGAGAGATGATGACCAACGAACGAATTCATGTAGCTAGGGTCGAAGCGCCGGAAGGAGGTCCACTGGTCAGGGCGCCCGTGTCCCTCCCGCCCCCGCGCGATACTCAAGAACAAATGGCCAGGTGCGTTCATGCTTCTTAGTGTTACTGTGTGCATCCTAAGTTGCGTTGAAAGGCAAATGAGCAAAATCCTTGCTGGATCGGCGCCATGTAGGCGCTGGTTTTCGCTGTTCACGGCCGCATAGGACTGATGTGCACTGCTAACGTTGATGTGGTCGACAAGGACATGACTGACGCAAGAGGCTGGTCAAGAGCACATACCCGGTTGACATGCGGGGGGGGCCTTTCCCAGATAGGTCCCGGAGGGGAGGGTTGTGAGGCAGCGGAGAGTCCCCCTGATCGTAATTGGAGTATAAAAATGCGAGTTTAGGGGGTTTTAGGTTTAAGGAGTGTCAGTTTAGACATTAGCGAACTTGCATGTATGTGTGCGCGACTCAACTCGGATGGCAGCGTGTTTGTGTTGTACGCTTTCTATGTGACCTGAACTGTGACTTGAGCTGAGTCGTCATATCTAGCTATCATCACGTCGGTAAGGAAGGTATGCATGGGCACTTTAGGCTTCCTTACTCAAGTACTGCTGGGAATATAGTTTTGAAGTGTATGCATTGTACTGCTGCTTGTGGGATGGTTAGTTTCACAATGTGCATGAACACGTGATCGACACGTGCATTGCGAAATGCACACTGACCTGGAGCTGGGTGCTATAGCCCGGTCAACTCTGCTGCCGTTAGCTTAGTCCCCTCGTGATGTGTCCTCGACCTCACTGGCTTGAGGTATTTGGACGGAACGCGCCTTGTGTCTGACATGTGCTTGCTTCGCGGTGACGAAGCCTGCGGAGCTCATTAGTGACAAGTGAGTTGTCCCCCGTGTTGGTGTCACAAAAGTGACCCTTGGGCAACCTGTAAGGCCGTAACAAATGCGTGTAGTTGGGTGGATGCCTACCTTACAATTTGCAGGCGCGTGCATCCAGTGGTTTTTGCCTGTAGCCCCAAATTCGAGTTGCGGAGCGCCCCTGCCCTCCACTCCCAACAGCTTGTTCGGCGCCGGTCCAACGTGCATAACCACGGATACCGCGTAATGCAAGGAAGTTCTTGAGGGTCCGAAAAAAACAGGTTCGAAGCAGGTCTGACTGTTTGAAGTACGGCAACACCAACAACCCGTCATAACCACATGCATGTTTGCATCTACGTCATAAGAAAAAGCGCGCGCCCCTGCATTTGATTATTCAAGTACTCGTTTCTGGTGTCAACATGCATTATAAACTAACAGCAACTGTCGTCACAAGGCAAGAAAACACCTGCATGGTACAAACCTTGGTTGTTTCCTGCATCTCGACTTTAAACCGCAACCCCAACACCACAAATGTGCAAGTATAGCAAGTCCAACAGTAATTCATATAGATTCACCCAACTTTCTAATGGGCAACCCATCATTAGTAGTACCCATGATTGCTAGTCCCGTCATAATTACTAAGTCCATCCATGATCATGATTAGCTTGGTGGCCTCCCTTGGGAGTATTGCCTGGCGTCATCAGGAGGGGTGACATGGGGTGTGCCGTTGTACAGCAGCGTAGTACGGCATGGGGTATGGCACGGTCTCCCGCCCCCTTCCATGCTCCCCATCCCTCAACCCACCGCATCACCCACACCCATACCACGAGTAGTCTCGTCCATGCTCACGAGTCCCATGGCTACTATAATGTCACCGCGGCAGTGTCGAGGCCAATGCTCAGTATCCCATCCGATTGTCCACACCCGCTAATCAAGGTGCCTATCGACAGTACCCAGTTTGCAAGGGGGCAATATCCCTCCCACCGCAAACACGTGTTTCACAGCACCGGCACCCACCTAACAATGCACCCACCAAGCATCGTTGCACCTACACAGCGCACCGATCGAACCCCCCTACAACCCATACAAACTAGCATCTCGCAGCTCAACACCAACACCAACAACATCAACATTCAGCTTTCAAATTCAGCTTTCAGTTCCCCTCCTGCTCGAGCAAGTAATACATTGCCCCCCAGGAGAGATTGCTAAAGGGGCTGAAACGCACAAAGGTGCTTTCGGCACCGAGGAAGCCAGGTAGCGCCATACATCACGTCCCCTCCCTCACCTGCTTCTCGTATCCCCCACTTCGCACGGTCCTACGCCCCTCAACAGCCAACCGCACACCGCTCCCTCCGCCCCTTAGTCCCGCAGCGCTCTCACCCCGCAGGGCTTACCGCATCCACCGGGCCCCTACGCGCCCTTGCCCTCCTCCTTACCCACGTCCTCCCTAATCGGATCCAGCTGCGCACTTGCCTGCACCTGCACATGCGCCCGCACCTGCTGCCCCTGCTGCTGCTGCTGCTGCCCCTGCTGCTGCTGCCCCTCCTGCTGCTGCCCCGCCGTCACGCGCTGCCTCCACGCCGCCGCCCGCGCCTTGCCGCCCGCCAGCGTCCGCATCATGCCCCTCAGCCGGTGCCGCGCCATGAAGCCGCGCACCGCCGCCTGCACGTGCAGCGCCGCGTGGAAGTGCGCGGCGGTGTACTTGGGGAAGAGAGCGCCGCCGCCGGGCAGACGCCGGGAGAAGCGCTCGAACAGCCACTGCTCCTCTATGTCTGGCAGCTCGGTGCCCGCAACCCGGCCCGACAGCGCATGCAGCGTCTCGATAAAGGTGACCTGCGGGGGGAAGACGAGGAGGGGCGGGGGTGTGGGGTGCTACCTCGGCCGCTCGGTCCCACAGCGGCGGCGGTGTGGGAGGCTGCAGCGTGTCACGAGCGGGGCGTTAAGCTACCGACAGTGGGGTAGCTTGGAGTGCGGATGAGGTGGGATTGGTACGAGGTCGGGGGGCAGGTGGCTGCAGGCAGGCAGGAGCCCCACAGGACCTCGCTCCGGACTTCGCAGACCCGGCAGCAAGGCAGTGCGGCTCCTCGCCGGGGGAGCTGAGAGCCCCCGCCACATGCTCCTCCCACAATAAAAACAACCTCACCCTTAAACTCACGATCCCATTCCTCCCGCCAAGCAACACTCCACGTTCCCCCCCTCACACCCTCGGGATTCGGGATTGGGACTCCGTTGATGCACTTATCTATAATCCCACACACACACGCACCCAGCCACTCCCACCCACCGTGTTGTTTTCGTGGATGGGAATGTCCACTGACAAGATGACCGACTGTACGGCAGAGCGATCCATCTTGCCCTCCGTCCGAGTGCCCAGCGGCGGGTCCAACGCGCCGATCACAAGCGGCAGTCGCGACGCATGGATGAACCCCGTGGCCGCCGGATCCACACTGCTCCACACGTCCACAAACTGCCGGATCATGCTTTTAGACACGGGCAGCTCCTCATCCGTCTCCGAAACCACCATATTCTCCAGGATCACCGCTATGATGAGGTTCAGCAAGATGAAGCTGCACAGTATGACGAATGTTGGGAAGTAGATGACCGCCGCTGCGGGGCTGATGGCGCACTGGTTGTCCACCGCCTCCTCCGGCAGGCCCGCGAGCGCCGGGTCGCCCGGGTCCAGGTAGCTGCCCGCGGCCAGTGGGGCGCCGGTGGCGGGGGACACGGTGTCGGACAGCAGCAGCACGCAGCCGTGGGTCACCATGCAGTCCTGCATGATGCCGTCCCAGCTCTCACCCGTTAGCATCCTGGGTGGGTGGTGGGAGGTGGGTGGGGTGTGAACGGGAGGTGACATGTGGGAGGAGAAGGTTGGGAGGGAGGAGGAGATGGTGAGGTGGTGGTGGCAATGAGGGATATATCTGAGGGAGGCAGTCTTGAGTCCAGAGCAGCATGCCAATCATCCGGTACCCACCAAACCCAACGACATTGCATGAACAAGCCAACATGCTAAAAGGCTGTACGGCAGCCAAAGCGGCATCTACAGCTGTGCTAGCCCTGGCAGAGTCCCTGCGTTCCCTGCCGCGTCAAGGCACATCCTCCTCCGCTCGCCTGCCCGCCCGACCGCCCGGCTGCCTCACCTCATGAGTGTCAGCATGGCGTTGGGGAAGTTGTTGAAGTTGGCATGGCGGGTTAGATAGCTGCCGTACATTATTCCCCCGAACAGGTTCATCCCGATCACCGCGTACACGAAGAACAGCAGCAGCATCATGCCGCCCACGTTGACCAGCGAGGGCAGCGAGTGCACCAGCGTCATGAACAGCCGCTGCAGGCCCTTCATCTGGGGGGGGGGCGGGGGCGGGGGTGCCAGGGGCGGGGGGAGTGAGGAGTGAGGTGAGGAAAGAGCGTTGCAATGATTGCTGCGTGTGTTGCTGTGTTGGAATTGCGACCGGGAGTGCGTCTTGTAAGGCCCATGCACGACACCCACGGGCGCTCCCGGCACATCAAGCGCAAGTGGCGCACCGACGCCCCTCTGCGCACACAACTTGACACCATCAAACCCATGTACGACAGACCTCATCACCACCACCGACATGCGACACACCTACCCTGGGAATGAGTCGAAAGATGCGGACCACGCGCAACACCCTCAGCGCCGGCATGAAGCTCAGGTTCTTGGTGTTGCTGAAGTCGAGCGCCACGGACACTGCGGAGATGAGCACTACGAAGAAGTCGAAGGCGGTCCATCGCTCCCTGAAGTAGGAGTGGTAGCCAAAGGCCGCCATCTTGGCGCCCGCCTCCAGCACGAAGATGAGGGTGAAGGTCAGGTTGCTGTACGACATGATGCCCTGGCGGGAGGGAGGCGGGTGAGGGGGGCGAGTAACCGGGTGGTGGAGGAAGGAGGATGGGAGGCTTATAACCGTAGAGGTTTCCTGCTGGTAGGGGCGTGGAGGTCGGATGTCACAAGTACCTCCTAGCGCCGTAACCTTTCACCGACTCCCAAAGACAGCCACCACCCCTTGCTTGCACTCCTGCCACCAATTCGAGCGAAACCCCAGTCCTCAATTATCGGTAGCTCCCTGGTAGCTCTGTCCCTGTCCAAGAACTGCCGTAACCACCGTAGCTTAGCCCGCTCGCATGCGCCCCCCCCCCTGCCGCACCTGCCATGCACTGCTCATGCCCGCATGCACCGTGGCCATGAACACCACATTGACCAGCACGGCTGCCAGGATGAAGTGGTCGAAGGCGTCGTGCGTCACGCAGTCGTACAGCCGCTCCTTCCAGCGCGGCCCCTCGGGTCGCGGCGGGCGGAGCTGCATGGCGGTGCGCAGCAGCAGCTTCTGCACGTCCACCCAGCTCTGCTGCTGAGCGGTCATGAAGACACTGCTGGCGGTCTGGGCGGTCTGCATCTCGGAGAACTGCGAGGGGGAGGAAGAGGAGGAGGAGGAGGAGGAGGAGGAGAAGAAGGAAGAGAGGGAGGTGGAGGAGGGTGGGAAAGCGAGAGGGGAGGGAGGGTGAGCAGTCCTCCTAGTCTCCCGCGAGAGAGCGCCCAGAACAGCTGCTGTGCGAGCTGGCGAGCGAGGTGGGTAGGGGCACCTCGCTGCCAGCAGCCGGCCGAGTGCTGCCACTCCTAAGCCACCTGAGGCCAACCCCCCCTATCCTGTGCACGCAGGTAGGTGTCTTCTCCTGTGTCGGTCACTGTATTACGTGCTTTTCTTGTGCTGTTCCTGTTGTTTGTTTGTGCCCGACGGCGCGGTGGGTCTCCAGCTCGCCTTCAGCCGCGTCCACGCACGCCCGCGACTATGGTAAGGTTGCTCCGTAACTGGTAAGTCCGGTACGTTTAGCTAGCAACGCTTCAGTCATCAGTTCGGCTCGACTCACGGATTTTCCATCAGGGCTTGTCAGCCAGTTTACCCCTATCACACCACACATTGGATATTCTTGTTCTCCCTATCATGCTCTCCTTCCGTCCCTTCCTCTCAACCTCCCCTTCCTCCTTGCCTTGCCCCGCCCTCCCCCGCGCATGCCCTGGCCCCCTCCCCTCCCCCTCCCACCTTATCCAGCGTCACTCCCACAAACAGGTTCAGCACGAAGAAGGAGCCCACCACAATGAACGCCACGAAGAACAGCGCCACCGCGGGGTTGTGGTTCCACAGCGGCTGCTGCCCCTCCGCCGTCGCATCCACCGCGCTGAAGGTGATGTCCACCCACAGCTCCAGCGTGGCAACCTGGAAGAGCGTCAGCAGCGCTGCGCCCACGTGGTCAAAGGTGGCGCGCTGGTTGACCCACCTGCGCAGGGGAGGGGAGGAGGGAGGCGTGAAGGGAGGTAGGGCAGGAGCAAACGCAGCGGGCAGGGCCCGCAGTGGGAATGCGAACCGGAAGGACCATGACCTGCCAAACCGGGTAGCATGCCAGCCGCCACACCGCATACCGGGCTTATGGTCGTACGCTGCGACACATGGCTAGAGTGGAACGCTAGTTGCAGGTGCTGCTGCTCGTGTCCCTGTGTGCCCTGTCCTGTACCGCCCCCCTCCCGCCCCACTCACGCCGTGCTGATGTTGTACTCCGGCAGTGTGACGTTGAGTGCGGCGGTGTGCGCCGAGTTCGTGACGGTGACGCTGCCCGCCTCGCACCACTGCCGCGTCAGGGTCTGCCCCGGTGCCAGCAGGTACTCGGGGTCCAGCCGCTCGCCGCTGTCCGCGTCCACGCAGCTGTACAGCTTGCCCTTGAACAGGTTGACCGACAGGATGGCGAAGATGACGTAGAATAACACGCACACCAGCGCAACGTTCATCATGGCTGGGATCACGGCAAACAGGGCGTTGACCACCACCCGCAGCCCCTCGTAACGGCTGGCGGCACGCAACGGCCTCAGCGCGCGCAGCGTGCGCAGCACCCTCAGCATCTGTAGGTTGCTGCCGTCCTTGCCGGCAACTTGAATGGCGGTCAGCGCAAACCCGACGAGTACGATGAGGAAGTCCAGCACGTTCCAGCCGCTGCGGATGTAGGCGTGCTTCCCCGTGAAGGCGAAGCCAAAGGTGATGATCTTGAGCAGCGCTTCCAGGGTGAAGGCACCCGTGAAGGCGTAGTCAAGGTAGCGGATCGCAACACCCAGCCGTGAGTGCGGGTCTAAAGAGGGCGTGTCCAGAGCAATGGTTACGGAGGAGGCCACGATGAGGAGCATTACGCAGGACTCGAAGTAGGTGTGGTGGACCAGCCGGGCTGCACGCCACCGAAGCCAACTGTCAGGGCCAAACAACCCCAACGACGTACCGCCCATGGATTGTGCTAGATGGTCGTTATGCCGTACGGTCCGAAAGGTAGAAAGCGCCCGGCTGAAGGACTGTGTAAGGTTGGAAGCCAGGGCGATGGGCAGGCGGCTGAGGCTGCGATGTGCTTGTAGTTCCTGCTGCGTCAAGACCCATGGGTCATCCGTATCTCTTGCGTCGTCGTCGCTGTTGTTGCGGTACGTAAAGCCCTGTGCTGTGGCTACGTGCTTCCTGCTGTTGGAACGCCCGTCCTCCTCCTCCTCCTCCTCTTCATGGGTATCCCTTTGCAAGAACGACACCGCGCGCGATGTTTGCGCGTTGCGGTGCTGCTGCTGCCCCACCTGCTGCCCCCTGCTCCCATGCAACAACACCCCCTTCCTCTCTCCTTCCCCCCTCGTCTGCGGTTGCTGCTGCTGCGGCGGCGGCGGTTGCTGCCCCAGCTGCCGTACATCGTCCCCCGCGGCCAGCAGCAGCTGCCAGGTGCTGTCGGTGACCCGCGCCAGCGCACTCTGCGGCCTCGGCCCCACCACCCCTCCGTGCCGAGCAGCAACTGCACCCGCACCCGCACCCACCCCCCCGCTCGCTGTTTGGAAGGGAGACGCTGCGGCGGCGTGCTGCGATGAGAGCTGCGACGCGGATGCCGGCCGGCCCTCCCCATCCACGGGCACCACCTTGCGCCCCATACCGCGAATGGGGCTCCCATCCGCAGCGGCCGCACCGCTGCTGGTGCCGCCGGCGAGCGAGCCCGCCGTGGAGGGCGGCAGGGGCGGCACGTGCTGCCACTCCGGGTTGCGGCTGCTGAGGAAGCTGGGCAGGCGCAGGGGGGTAGCGGTGCTGGGGTCGGCGTCCGTCATGGCATGGGCAGCTGCGGCTGTGGTGGTGACGTCCTGCCGCGGCTGTGGCTGCTGCGGGGAGGACGGGGAGGTCTGGGGGAGGTCTGCTTTCAGTTGCGACGCTACCACGCTCTGGGCAGACGGCATGGAGCTGGAAGCGAAGACGCGTGGGGGTGCGGTTGTTGTCGGCGTTGAGGAGGATGGCACGAAGGCACTGTGGAAGGAGGTTGCGGCGCTCATCAGCCGGACGTCACTGCCCGGCAGGCTGCGGCAGTCGCCGATGCTGGGCCCCGCGGAGTAGACACTGGTGGCGCTAGGAGCGGCCGACACGGGGGGCCGCGTGTTGAGGCTCTCCGACAGGTCGGACCGCATGCTGCCGAACACATCATCGCCCCCGTCGCTGCTGCCGCTGCTGCTGCCGCTGCTGTCCCTGCTGTTGCGGCGGTGGCGGCTGTCGGTTCCCGAGTCGCTGTGGTGGTGGTTGGAGCCGCCGTCCCGCCTTGATGGGTCCGCCGTCGCCGTCTCCGGGGTGGCGTGGGCCGCAGCGAACGCCTCGGCACTTTCCTCCAACGTGCCTGGAGCATCATGGGAGCAGGGAGGGAGGCGGCATGGCGGTGCTGATGCGGTCACAGTCTCCCAGCCCGCCGCCATCCGCCCTGAGGCCCCACCCAGTCCCCCCCCCACTCCTCCCACCCACCCTACACTTCGTCTCCTTCTTCTCCACCCCCCTCCCCCTCCCCCTCCCAGCCTTTCCTCCCCTTTCCTCCCCTTTCGTCCCCTCCCCCCCCGCCCGCCCCACTTGTGAAGTTGTCCAGCAGCACCGCGATGAAGAGGTTGAACACCAGGTAGGTCCCCACCAGCAGCACCACCACAAAGTACAGCGAGGCCCAGGGGGAGGTGCCGCGCATGCCGTCGTACATGATGGTGTTCCAGTTCTCCGTCGTCAGCAGCTGGAACACGGAGAACAGGCCCCACGCCAGGCTGTCGAAGTTGGCTCGCGGCACCTGCGACCTGCCCACCATGGCCAAGTACTCGCAGTCGCCCGCAGTTGCCGCGGCACCCGCAGCAGTGGCAGCTGTGGTGTTACCAGCAGCAGCAGTAGCGGCAGCGGCATCTGCGTCCTGCTGGGTGGCGCAGAAGCGCTGGCAGTAGGCCAGGTCGTTGAAGAAGGAGCCGGGCGCGTCCACCCAGCTGCCGTACTGGTCGGCCGAGCAGGGCAGGTAGCAGTGGAAGTGATTGGGGCAGTCGCCCCACACGCGCATGCCCAGCGGACACACGGGGCTGGCCCCCGACACGTAGTCGCAAAACATAAACCTGGGCGAGAGGGAGAGCGTGACAAAGGGAGGGGGCGGGAGTGGCATGAGGCACAACATACCGGGGGGTTGCCAGCTACCCCTGAGGCCAACAGGTGCGGCAGCTCCGCAGGAACGCAACTCCGGAGAGGTGCCGGTACGAAGGCACGGCTTCCCACGTCCAACTCCCTACCAGCACCAGTACTGCACTTCTAACTCTACATGCACCGCCATACTCCTGTGGCGTCGGCAATCACAGTACCGGTACGTTCCGACTCATGGTCAGCTTCCTTAACACGCCCCCCCCCCCCCGCCCGCTCCCCCGCCCCCACTACTTACTTGTACCCGAACAGCTGCATGCCCATCAGCGCGAAGATGAACAGGAACAGCAGCATGAGCAGCGCCAGGTAGACGGTGGAGGTGACGCTGTGGAACATGGCCCGCACGATGACGTACAGCTCCTTCCAGCTGCGCGCCAGCCGAAACACGCGCAACAGGCGGAAGGCGCGCAGCACGGACAGCGGCCCCACGCCCGCAATGGAGGGGATGAGGTCGATGATGAGCTCGGCGGAGGAGGCAGCCACGATGAGGGCGTCAAAGATGTTCATGCCGTCATGCAGGAACCTGGGGGCGGAGGGTGGGATGAAGGAAACGGTTTTGTTGATGGGCAGTGGCAGCGTGCATGTGGGGGTTAATAGGGATGAAAATTCCGCATTAGGCTGCATTTTAGGATTGCGCATAGTCAAACTTGTTGGGTTCGTAGCAGCACACAAAGTACAAACCGTATTAAAGCTCCATAACAGGCGGCTGTGCTGAGATTATATCATTGTCAAATTCCTGACGAGCTGTAAGCTGGCGTCTGAGCTCCACTGCATTGCACGTTGGGGGAGGGAGCATGTGGTGCGGAGAGAGGGCGCTGCATGCGGCCGGGTGAAGGAGATGAAAAAGCTGAGCACACAAGCATCCCCAGCCCCGGCCGGTGCGTAGGGACACAAGTCCGTTCTTCATGGCTATCTCCGTCTTTTCTCCCTCCAGCCGCCCCACCCACCCACCCACCCACCACGCTCCCCCCTCATCATACCCCCCCCCAAACCCCGCACCTTCTCGGGCCCAGCGCCGTCAGCTTCAGCAGCAGCTCCAGCAGGAAGTAGCCCGTCAGCAGGTTGTTCACATAGTCGGTGGCCGCCTCCACGCGCGCCGGCATGCCGTGCCAGTTGACGCACATGGTGGCCGTGTTGAGCCCGATGAGCCCCATGGTGACCCACTCCAGCTGCCGGCTCACCGCCAGGCGGTAGGCGGCGCGACGCAGCAGCGACAGCGAGGCCACCTCCTCGGCCGGCAGGGTCGTGGTGGACTGGGCCTGGGGAGGGCGGTGCGGGTGCGGGTGCGGGGGGGGGGGAGTCCACATGAGGCGGGATGTTCCGCATAGGCTGCGGCTGAGCCAGCTGTGAGTGCTGTAGTTGGGGGAGGTTTACGCGCGTGTGGGGGAGGGGGAGCAGGAGGGTGCCTCGCCCTCTTCCCGGCCTTCCCTGTGTCAGCTCCTGACCCGACCCACCCAGCAAGTGCGGACCGCGAGCGCCGCTCGTCGTCCCTGCACCTCCCTGGCCTCCATCCCTCAGCCCCAAGCGTGCCGCACTACCCCCTGGGCCCACACCCCAGTCCCATACCCCCCAGCCTCGACTCTCCCGTGTTCCCAGTTGTGCCCTGCGCCGCTACTTCCCAACGCACCAGCTGCCCAGCATGCCCGGCACAAACCCGCCCCGACCCGCCACCCACTGCTACCCCCACAACAATCACAGCCCCATGCGAGTACGGTAACCCCATCCACGCCACCCCGCCCCCAGCCACCCACCAGCGATGTGAGGCCCCTCCGCACGCCCTGTCCAATCGGCTCCAGCCCTGCCCGCAGCACCACGCTGATCCCCCCCTTGCGGCTCTCCACGGAAAACGCGGACCGCCCCGACTCCGAAACCGCCTCATCGCCGCTGCTACCCGCCTCGCTCTCCCCCTCCTTCTCCTTCTGCCTCCTCCTCCTCCGCCTGTCGCTGCTGCTCCCAGCACCCATCCCACCCCCTCCCTCCTGCTGCTGCAACTCCTGCTGCTGCCTCCACTGCTGCTGCCGCTCCTCCCCCGCCTCCTCCTCCTCCTCCTCCTCCTCCTGCCGCTGCTGCCGCCGCTGCTGGTGCCGCCGCTGCGCCGCCTCCACCACCGCGCGCCGCCGCTGGTCCTCCTTGTCCTCCTGGTTGTCCGCGGAGAACTGCAGGAACAGCACTGCCAGCGCCAGATTGACGATGTACAGCGAGCCGAACACCACCAGCACCACGAAGAAGGGCCACACCCACCAGGTGAGGGCATCGCTGGTGAAGTACATGACGTCCGTCCAGGACTCCTGCGTGATGCACTGGAAGATGGTGAGCCAGGCCCACAGGATGTTGTCGAAGCTGGTCATGCCGTGGTTGGGGTTGGAGTCCTGGCGGGTGCAGAAGCTGCCGGAGGGGCAGGCGCGGCCGGCGCCGCCGCTGGGCAGGTTGAGGGGCGCCGGGGCGCCGGTTGCGGTGTCCAAGTACCATGTGACGTCTGGGGAACAGGAGGATAGGGGGGCGGGGGCAGGAGTTGGGAAAGCACTGGAGGCGTTGGAAAGTTGGCAGCAAGGCAGGTGCGCCCACCACCAGCAGCAGCAGCAGCAGCAGCAGCAGGTTAACAACACCTGTGGGCCTACTACATGCGGCGTTCCGCCCCTCACCTTCCGCCAGAGGTCCGCTGCACAGCTCCTCCTCGTCCACTATCGCGTACGACACGTTGCTGTACTGCAGCCGGCCGCCCACCTGCTGGGTGGTGGCGTGGCTGAAGTCGGGCAGCGCGCACCTGCACACACGGGAGGCGGACAGAGGGGAGACGGGATGCGAATGAGCTATTGGAACAATTGTTACAAGACCAGGCATCGTTTGGCTGTTGAAGCCCTTGCTTCATGTTTGGAATCCTAAGGGTGTTTGGAAGGCACTTGGAAGGCACTTGGGAGCAGGGCGCACAAGGAGGGTTCTTTGTAACCATTGCAAGGCATGCTTGCAGCCAACCGGGCAACCGTCCGACTGATGCTTTCGGGCAGGCCACGCGGCCTGCATTCCCCGCCCCCGCTAGAGCACCACCGCCGCCACCACCACCAGCCCACCACCACCACCCGTTCCTCCGTACTGCCGTACGCTACCTGTACTTGAGTGTACCCGCGAAGAGCTGCACCCCCACCAGTCCGCAGATGAAGAAGGTGAAGGCGCACAGCACGAACACGTCGATCAGGGTGGGCATGGAGCCGATCATGGTGCTCACCAGCACCTGCGCACAGGGAAGGAAGGAGGGAAGGATGAGGGCAACGTTGAGGCAGCAGTTCGGGTGCTGGGGGTGGTCGAACCGGGACAGGAACACCCGGGCGAGGTGTGGCACGGTGGTGGCGCAGCTGCCCCCGCCTCCTCCTCCTCCTCCTCTCCCTCCTCCTCCTCCGCTCACCTTCATGCCCCGGATGCGGGTGACGGCTCGGAGGGGCCGGAGCACCCGGACTGTCCTCAGCGCGGTCAGGTTGCCAGATCTGGGTAGGAGTAGGCGGCATGGTACATAAGCCGGGTAAACGGTTAGGTGGTGGGGGAGATGGTGGCATGAACACCCAACACCGAGAGCGGCGGCAACACGGCTGGTTTAGCGTCTTTGCACAGCCGGTAAACGTGGAACGTCGGGTACTTACGCAAATATGTCGACATAGCTCAGCACAACTACAAGGAAGTCCACCATGTTCCAGCCTGGGGAGGGTCCGGTGCAAGGGGACAAACGTGTCGTGGTGCGAACTGAGATGGTCGTTAGATCACGCAATTAGCAAGTACAAGACGCACATATGGCCGGCGTCATGGCGAAGGTGCAGGAACAAAGCGCTTTGGGGAGTGTGTCGTACTGGATGCGGTGGTCTCAAGAGGGCTAAGCTGCCGTTCGTACCCAAAAGTGTGACAAGTTCGTACGCTTACCGTCTCGGAGGTACGTGCCCCGCGCATATACAAACCCCATCGAGATTATTTTCATCAAAGCCTCAATTGTAAAGATGGCCATCTGCAAACAAGGCCCAGGGTGGTTGGGGACAACTGCCGGGAAGTACCGTACCTACTTGGGAAAGGAAGGTCAAGCGCTCACCCATAAATACTCAAACTTGGTAAGTGCGCTGCCCAGCGATGTGTGCTCAAAGCCTTTCCGGTTACTCTCCATGGCTAAAGTAACACCATTGCACAAGATGCAGAAGAGAATGAAGTTTTCGAAGACCGAATTGTGCGAGATGAGGACACAAAAGCGCCTCACTATATTTGTTTTACGAAGTATGAATAGCGACCGCTCCGGGTACCTCAGCGTGAGCGCCTGCACGTCGACGTTAGCCGTGGGTGACAAACCTTACCGGACGGCAAATGCTGCAAATCGCCCACTCTGACGTACCGCCAAATGAGCCGATGCAAGCGCTTTTCGTTTCTGGTTTACACCAGGCACAGCAGGGCACTTTGGTGTTTGTAAAGAAGGCCCGGGTCCTTCATGTGGCACATGCCCAGTCGCAATACGTCCGTCGCCTTCCATTGCATTAGTCGCTTGCAGTGCTGGGAACACGACCCCCCAAAAACAGCTCCAGTGGAGGATTCCACCACCGCCCCTACCTATTTAATAGTTCTACAGTACGCTTCATTCCATGAACAATATCTTCCTTGTAAAATTGGTGGCGGAAATGCTGGGGTCCTCATATAATACACTGGTAAAGGTCTTAGAAAGCCAGCTTTCCGGTTGAGTAATTGGTTTCATATTTCGTATGTATTTTTCGCTATATGCGGGAAGCGTGTCAATGCTGTGAAAGCTAGCAGGCGGAATGAAACTGCCTTCATTGCCGTACATTAACACCAACGCTGTAAACCGCAGCTGGTCAGCAAGACCTGAAACTTGTATGCTAATTATACCACAGCTCATTGTATACATAGTTCTACATTATTTGCGGCTGATCTAGGCAGTGGACCTAACGAGAGGCATTTCCCAAACGAGATGGAGGTCTCGCCGTCCCTGCCCTTGCAATCTAAGCCTCACGATGCGCTCCGTCTTGGTCTAGCTTCTCTCAAGGAGGACGCCTCCTTGAAGCACCCGGTGGAGGTGATCCAGCGAGAGCACCGGCAGCGGACCGTGGCCTCACAGCAACAGATGCTTCGCGACCTTTATGGAATAGCAGCACCAGCGAAGGCACAGATCGAGGCCCAGATCTTGAGCAAATTCACGCGCCTGCCGGGAGGCGCACCGTCATCTCTGCTAGGGCTCGATGCGCTAACCGGTGAGCTGGATGAGTTCCGCTATGAGTCTTACCTTGGGCTCCCCGAGGTCTCCACGCTGCCGCCGGTGGACCTGCACTCGCAAATGGAGGTCAAGTGCGGCCTCCAAGGTGCGCTGAAGGACAAGATGGCGCGCGGCCTGCTGTGAACGGGCTGGCAGTGCTTTCCGGCCTAGCACATTATGAGTGACAATCCTAGGCAAGGGGGGCAGACTTGCAGTAGGTTTCAAGGCAGGAATGTGAAGGGGGGACCGGCGGTCTGCATAGTTGGGAACCGTCCCAGGGGTCGCTGCTTGCCCAGGGTCAGTGGAGACGGGGGCCGAAAGGGCACCGGCTCACGTTAAGTAGGAGCGTCACGGGTGTAGAGTAACAGCAAGCACCTGTGGGAAGATTGCGTGTTGGGTTTAATGTTGGCGGTGGAAGGCGGGGGTAGGAGGGATTGGGATGGGGATGCTGGCCGTTTAACATACGTGTTGGAGCTGCTGGCCCCAGCAGTAAAGGTACAGCTGCAATGGCCAAGCTATGCTTAACCGTACATAGCGCAGCGACAAGGTACCACCAACAGTACGAGTAACCTCGTGTCGTACATGTGCCCGGACTTATACATGTAACAACATGCTAACTGAGTAATCTGCCTGCGCGCTCTTGCATCCTAGCCATCCGAGGCAGCACCATTCGATACATATAGCGGGCCCTCGCGCGGTGATGCTCCGCTTTCCAAACAGCCGCCAACGAACCCCACACACGCTGTGATCCCGCATAAGAGAAATGCCTTGCAAACACATGCACGCGGGGGCAGGGCTCTCAAGGCTGCCGCCGGGTCTTCCTACTCGGTAACTGGGCAACATCTAACGGTTCCTGATTCGCTGCCAATACCGCGCAGCAGACAGCCTCACACTCCCGGCCCAAGTACCTAACCCTGGCTCTTAAGTCTTAACTAATGACCTGCCACCCATATCAGCCCTCACTGATCTACCTAGCCCTCAACTCCGCCTGGTGTAACAGATTAAACAGCAGGCTAACTGCATCCTCATTGACCGCCGTACTCACACCCTCCGCTGATGAGCTCGGTGCGCCCGCTGCCGTACGCCCCCCTCCTCCACCACCCGCCGCCGCCCCGCCGCCTCCCTGCACCTCCCCTGACAGCTGCGCCCCGCTCTCTCCCTCCACGTCATCATCCGAGATAAGTACGGCATCTGCGTCGTCGTCGTCCTCCATATCGTAGTCCCCGCGCTTATAACCGTTAACAGCGGCTGCCGTACACGGGTTGAGCCCCAGATCATCCATGGATGGCTCCGGAGTGTACGGCGTGCAGTAAAACACCTCCATGCTGTAGATCTTGAACATGACTGTGTTCATTCCCGCCGCCGCTGCTGTCGCCTTGCTGGCTGGGAGATCCGGACCCAGCGCTACAGGCTCCTCTTCGACCTCAACCTCTTTCTTCACTTTCACTCCTTGGAACTGCGCCGCCGTCTGACCCATGGGTCCGTCAATCTTTGGCGGCGGCAGCTCTGCTGGAGCTTGCAACGGAGCCCCCACAGGCGCGGCAGCGGACAACGCACTCTTGAGCTGTGCCCCTGCATCATCCGCCGTTGCAGCATCAGCCGTGTCAGCCGTTGCGCCGCCCGACGGCACATGCAGAACCGTAGCAGTACCCGCCACTGCCGGCTGCTGCTGCTGCTGCGCTAACTGTGCAGAGCGTTGACCCTCCTGCAATGTGCCGCTGCTGCTGACCCGCGGGTCAGGACCCGCGGCGGCCGCCGCGGCTCCATCGCCACAGCCACCCGCTGCAACCGCCGCTGCTGCTGCTGATCCGCCATCTCTACCACCACCGCCTGCGCCACCACTCCCCTCCGAAATCGCTTGCCCCTTCGTTGCCCCTTGTTGCAGCAAGCGTGCCATTTCAAGCAGCTGCCTGGCTACCGCCTCGCGATTGTCCAGGTTGATGGTAAAGTTGAGGGTGTTCAGATCCAGCTGCGTCACAGACAGCTTCACCGGCTCCGGCACAGATCCACACGGCCCCGTGAGCCCCTTGTCCGCCCCACTGAGGGTAATGGTACCGCCACCCGTACCGCCGGAAGAAGCGCTAGCAGCGGGTACCGCCGCTGCGCTGCCTGCGCTTGCTCGCAACGGCTGCAGACTGCCCTCCACCGGTCTCGGAGCCTCCTCGCGGCCTGACTGCTCAGGTAATCCGCCGACCCCAGATGCTGCAGGGCCGCCTGGCACCGCCGCCGGTGCCGGAGCCGGAGCCGAGGGGAGGCCGGGTATAGCCGCGTCGGCTTCGGGCTTGGGCTGTGGCCGCGTTGGCTTCTTACAAGCCCCAGCGGCAGCAGCTGCTGCTGCTGCTGGGACTGTGGCGGCCTGCATGGGGGCCTGCATGGATGCCGCAGCTGCTGTTGTTGCTGCTGCTGCAGCGGCCTGGGGTCCCAGTGGCAGCGGGGGCTGCTGCGCTGCTGCTGCAACCTGCTGCTGTGGCTGCTGGATGTCACGAGGCGCTGCCCGCCGCAGGTGCGGCGGTAGACCCACCGGTTGCTGGGGCTGCTGTTGCTGCTGGGGCGGCGCCTCCTTCAGCCCATCCCTAGCAGCGTCTTGCAGCTGCAGCTGCTGCTGCTGCTGCGGTTGCGGTGCCTCCACCGCCAGGCCCGGCGGCAGCCCCTCGTGCATGGGAAGCAACACAGCAGCAGGGGCCTTCAGGCCCGCCACCGCTGCTGCTGCCGGCTGCTGCGACGGCGGCGGCGGAGGCGGCGGGTGCTTGCCTGCAGGCGGCTGGCGTGGGTGATGCGCAGTGACGGGTCGGTGGGCGCTGCCGCTGCCGCTGCCGCCACTCCGATGCCACTCCCGCCCCTGCTCACGGTCCCGGTCGCGAGCCGTTAGTGGTGGTTGCGGAGGCGGCGGATGCTGTGACGACTCCGGCGGTTGCCCTGCTGCTCGGCCCGCCGCCGTCGCCGCTTCTCGGCCGGCTGCGGCTCCAGGGTCGGACCGCCGCCGCTGCGCAGGGGGCGGAGGTGCAGGGGCAGGTGCAGGCGGCGCGGCGGCCCAGGGCTGCTGCTGCTGCTGCTGCGGGTGGCATGATGCGGCCGGGAGCGAGCGGACCGAGTTGAGTGGCGCCTTGGCGCCGGGGTGCCGGTGCGGGGGGTGTGCGGCAGGTGGCGGCTGTTCCGGCGGAGGGACCTCCGGGGAGGGACTTCGGCCGCCGGCATCGTAGCCGTAGTAGCCGTTATCGTAGTCGTCGTAACGCCCACCCATGCCGTCGTCATCCGCAGCCAGCGGAGGCGGCACCGGAGTCGCACCGCCGGCGGACGTCGGCAAATGCGCTTGCATGCTGTTGTTGTTGCCGCCGTCGCCGTGATGACGTCTCCGGGCTTGCGACAGCGGCGCGTATCCGGTGTTCGCTTGGCGGTACGGAGGTAGCGGCGTCGCGGTGACACCCCCACCTGGCGGGGGTGGCGGCGGCGGCCCTCGCCGGTGACTGGCCGCCGCCGTCCCCGTCGCCGTCGCCGTCGCTGCCGTACCATTCGCGGCGACGGTGGTGCCGCCAGGTGCCTCCGTCGGATGCTCTGGCGAGGCCCCTCTGGCAGCGCCGGCGGGTTGCAGCTGCTGCTGCTGTTGCTGTTGTGGCGGTGCTCTGTTCCGCGGTGGGGGCTGTGCGGGGTGGGTGGGGCGGGGCAGCTGGTCGTAGCGGGACACGTCGATGACGAGCGGTTGGGCGGGCATGGGCTTGTTGTCGCGGATGCTCTCCATGATGGAGATCTGGGGAGGCGCGGGGAGGGGGGAGGTGGGGATGGGGGGGTGCAGGGGGGGAGGGTTATGAGTATTTCACACACCGCGAGATGAAGCAACCGTGGCTTCGGAACGCCACAAACCTCACCTACAACTCACCCACATCCCGTCAGGCACCGCCTGATCGGGCCCCACTCCCCATCTCCCAAGTGTCCCCCCCCTCTGCCCCCCCACCTGGTGTGCATGCTCCGTGAGCAGCGCCCGCACGAGGGTGCCGTCCCCGCTGTCCATGTGCGACACCAGCACCTCGCCGCTCAGCTGGCCCCTGAGGCAAACCCAAGGCAACGGGGAAGTTAAAGCAGTGCTTGTGTGCTGTTATTGTGCAGCCCCCTCCCCGCTCTTGATGAACATCAAAATGTGGCAAGTTCGGCTCGACCACCTCGGTTCCATTACCAGGAGCTAGTCGGCTTATTTGTAAGCCTCATTCAACACATTGTGTGTTCTTCTTTTCCCCGCCCTCGCACTCATGTGTATGTATGCTGCTACCCGTTCCCACACCCGCCCCCTCCTTCCCCCGGGGCCCCCCCCCCGCCCACCTGTCCAGGCTGTCCTTGATCTGCAGTATGCACACGGTGTCCACCACCTGCCCCGCCGGCCCCTGGTACTCGTACTCCTGCAGCAGCACCGGCTGCAGGTGGCGACACAGGTGCTCGCGCCGGGCGTCGGGGAGCTGGTTAGGGGGGGGAGGGGAGGGGCGGGGAGGAGGCGGGGAGGAGGACATGAGGAGTGGAGCGCAGTCCCATGTACCGACTGATGCAGGCGGAGGAGCGGGCCAGGCGGGGAAAGTGAGGAGGAATACAGCATGCGGGAGGGGGCGGGAGAGGAGCAGTCTGCTGTTGCCCTCCTTCCTGCGACTCAACTCCCTCCTGCTGCTGCCCCCCCTCCTGCTGCTGCCCGCCCTCCTGCCCCTGACCTCCCCCCTGTTGCCCTCCTCCCCCTCCCCACTCCTCACATTGTCCCACACGTCCATCAGGGCGGGCTTGCTGAAGGCCACCTCGGGGGGGCCGCCGGCGGGGGCGCCACCCCCCTTGCCACCACCCGTGAAGGCGCTGAGGAAGGAGGGCTTGCCGCCGCGCAGGCCGTGGGAGCCCATGATGTCCGCTGTTGCAGTACGGCAGTACGGCAGCACAGTACGGCACGGCACGGCAGCAGCAGGAGGAAGAGGGAGCGTCAGGAAGAGGGAAGCTGGTAATGAGCTAGTGGGTATATGTGGCATGCTGAAGGCGGCGGCAGCCGGTGTTGCGATAGGGTTGCTCGCGCAGCCAGCAATTGTCCCTTCCCACACTGCCCCCCGCCCTCTCCCAAGCCAGCGGCACGGCACCCCCTCCCCGTTACGGTACGGTAAGCCCCAGGTAGCCCACCCGCCCGGCCTTGATGATGACGTCATGCACCCGCCTGCCCGCCCGCCCATGAACCACCACCCCTCCGCACCTATCTTGAGCGGCGGCAGGGCCGACCGCGCCTGCCGGGCCGCCAGACCGGCCGCGGAGGGCGCCGGCGGAGGCCGGGCAGCCGCCGACCTGGGTGCGGGTGCGGCTGCCGCAGTCGGCTTCTGCCCTGGCTGCGGCCCCGCCGCTGATCCCGGGTCGCTCTCGCCGTCGCCGTCAGGCAAGGGCGACGGCGACGTGCCGCTGGCGTCGTCGCCGCCGCCACCGCCGCCGCTGGGTAGTGGAGGAGCCGATGCCGAGCGAGGCAGCGCCGCTGTGCCGGCGGAACCGGAGGGGGCGCTACTACCGGCCTTGGCGGCCCCGCCGCCACCCAACGGCTGCGCCGCCGTCGCTCGAGGAGGCGGCAGCTTGGCTTGCTGACCCGCAGCCGCTGCGCCGCTGCCAGCCGCCGCTGGCCGCTTGGCGCCGGCCGCGTCAGACAGGGCTGGCGGAGCGGCGGCACCACCTCGGCCGGGTGCAGGGCCCTTGCCCGGCCCTGCGGCCGCCGCAGCGGGCCCCCTGGCGGCACCCGCCGCTGCCGTACCGGAGCGGCGCGGAGCTGCCTCCGCTGCGCCGCCGGCATCGCCGCTAGCAGGACGCGGCTGTGGCTGCTGTGGCTGCGGCTTTCTTGCTCCGCTGCCGGTTCCCCCACCAGCTGCGGTGGCCTTCCCTGCGGCCCCCGCTGGCGGCCCCGCGTCGCCCTTGCGGACTGCCGCCTCGCCTCCCTCACCCAGGTTGGTTTCGGAACCGGAAGCGGAGGGTTCTGTTGCGAGGGGAACCACCTTGCGACGCTTGGCGCTGCGTGCGGATGTGCGCTGGGGCTCATCAGTAGCGGCGGCAGCAGCAGGGGAGGGAGAATGGTGAAGCGGAGGGCTCGTGGCATCTTTTCCACTACCGGTAGCGCCGTTTGAAGGCTTTCGGGCAACGCCGGCAGCTCCCGAAGGCTGAGGCGGGGGTGCAGTGGTGTGCAGCTGGGGGGGCTTGGGCGCCCCCTTTGCATCGCTCCCAGCCCTCTGCTGCTGCTGCTGGGGTGGTGGTGGTGGAAGTTGCCGGGGCTGCGGTTGCTGCTGGGGTCCCCGCCCCGGCTGTTGCTGCCCCGTCTGCCGTCGCTGCTCCTGTTGCTTTTGCTGATGCAGCTTCTGCTGCTGCAAACTCCCCCCAGGCGGCGCCAACCCACCCTGTGTCCTCCCCTCGTCCCCCCGCCTCCGCTTCGCCGCCGGCTCCCTCACCACCACCACCTCCTCCTCCTCCTCCTCCTCCTCCGACTCACTGTAACCCAAGCCCCCACGCGCACCGCTCACCACCCTCGCCCCACTGCCTCCCCCTCCCCCTCCTCTGCCACCTCCAGCCCCCGTCCCCACCCCCAGCCCCTCCTCCTCCTCCTCGAACAGCTCCGCCCCCAGCTGCGCCACCGCCGCCAGCTCCTCCTCCGAGTCCTCCTCAGCGATCAGGTACTGCTGCTCGCTGGCCACTGGCGGCACCACCGACCCCTCCAGGAAGCCCCGCCAGCTGACACCGCCGCCGCCGCTGTGAGCAGACGGCAGCTGCGGTGGTTGCGGCGGTTGCGATCGAGGAGGTGGTTGCGGTGGTTGCGACCGAGGAGGTGGTTGCGGTGGTTGCTGCTGCTGCGCCGAAGGAGCTGGGAGGGCTGCGGGTGATGCTGTCGCAAAGGGTGAGGTTCCAGGTGCGGGTGCCGAGGTGGGTGGCTTTGCAGCGGTGGCGGCCCCGCCCGGCTCCTCCGCGGTGGAGGCAGCGGCAGCGGCTGCGGGGGCGCTGCTGCCGCCGCCCGGCTGCGGGTTGAGCGCTGCGAAGGGGTTGGAGCGCTGGGCGGGAACAGTGGCACGCGGCACGCCCTTTCCCTTGCCCCTGCCGGGTTTCACAACCTTGGACGGCTGAGCTGGGGCGCCGGCTGCCGTTGCTGCAGGCGCAGGTAACGGGGGCTGCTGCTGCTGCGGCGGCTGCGGCGGCACGGCGGCTGCCTTGTTCGCAGCTGGATGCCCGTGACCTTGCAGCTGCTGTTTCGGTAGCCCTGCGTCTGATACTACTGCAAAGGCGGTGGGTGCTTGCGGCGGGCCCATGGCTCGGAATGCGAGGCCCTGGGGGTGGGTGTAGCTGGCCCCTAGCAGCACGTGCCCCAGCCAGCGCCAGCCCATCATGCGGTGGTGCACCTGGGCAGGAGGGAGCACAGATGGGCCGGTTGGTTGGTTGGTTGGTTGGGGAATGGAGGGCTCTTGGGACTCCTAAGCTCGCCTAAAGCGGGACCGGCTGAGGCGAGCGGTCGTTAACAAGCCGATCGCGTGTGCTCAGACAACATTATAAGCAAGGAGTAGGGATTTACCTGTGTTTCATGGCTTAGCACATTGATCCGCAGCAAGTCGCGGACAGCGTCCAAGTGCAATGGCCCCTGGTACAGCGATTGCATGGTTAGTTAGTAAAGCGATGGCGCGAGGGCCTATTTTGTGCCGGCCGTACCGACCTGGACCCCTCCTGCACCATCCATATAGCGCCAACCCTCAAGGAGGTTCATGGGAAAAGGTGTCTTGGCAGGTTCCAAGGTTGGCTGACACCAGCTATCTAATCTTGCAACCAAGCGAAGCTGTCAATCTCTGTATGGCACCTGCATATAGGACTGGTGTGGTTTTGCGAGATTGGGGCTTCGCAGCCCCTCGCGCGTCGCAACATGGGCAGCTAGGTGCTAGGGGCTCGTATCCAGCATCAGTGGCACTGCAGGCGCCATGTGAACAATATATCCACAATGGACAGCATACGAACTGTGATCGCTGCATCGCTGTGAAATTGCTGCATTGTCATAGTCGTACGGCTGCCACTTCGTCCAAGTTATTCTCAGCAGTGGCACGCAGGGACATACAACGGCTTGCAGACCGGCTCATCAGATTGGAAGTCAGCTCTCCGACGGATCTAGCCCTCCTCCTGTACCTTTATCTTTGTCACCACTACACTGACCTTTCCCTACCAGTGACTTTTTGCACTCTTCTGCTGGCGAGTCTTTAACCTACTGTTTTGCTTAGATACGTGTAGGGCCATAGTGTAGAACCTTTTTCAGAGTCCCAGTTCCAGCACCAGCATGGTGGCGCCGGTCTAGGCGTCATCTGACCGCGCTATGGGGTGCCTTTGCTTCGGTAGCAACAGCTCTGCTGAGACATCGAGCCCCAAGCCGGCCCCGGCAGTACCAACATCGGCAGCAGCAACACAGCGACAGGCTCCTTACCAGGCGCCCGTCCCGCCTCCACCAGCACCAAAGTCACAGCCGGAGCCAAAGGAGGTCGCGGCAGCGCCGTCACCTGCTCTCCTTGCGGAGTCTGCCGACTCGTCCTTTCAGACAGCAGCTGTTCCGCCGTGGCAGAAGGACGCACTAATCAATTCTAGGAGCAGTGGCTTGCCTTCAGCTGCGACTGGCGCTGAGAAACTTGAGGGAACACCCAGCAAGAGCATGGCGGGGACCAATTTGGCGGAAATCCTGCGCCTTAATCTCGGCGAGGTGGGATTTTAGGAGGCAGCCCTATTAAAGGAGGCAGCCCTATTAAGATTATAAACTGGTAACCTTTGTCGGCCGAAACGTTTCCCCAGAGCTCGTCTGTAACGCGTCCTTCCACTGCCACAGGTTAAGCTAGTCCTCCAAAAGCTAGCGTCGTTAAACCCGACGCCTACAATTGCCCTTAATGAGGCATCGGAGCTGCTTCAGAAACACCTGAGCGTGGGACTTTGCAGGTGCGTAACACCGATCATTGCGTTGGCGTATCAACCGTTGTTGCCTGTGCGTGGGACACATATTCCATAGTTATCACGTGGGCTTATGGTGTTGTTCAATGACCTACATTTGGGTGTTCCGGCACTTTTTTACACCATTAAACAGTAAATAGTGCCTTTCCTCGCGTCCCGCCTTTGCAGCATAACTGGACTAACGGACCACTGTACATCATTCGTGCTGCTGGCTGCTTACGGAGTTGGCGCCCATGAACTGGAGCGCACGCCGGTCATGCGCGGCTCGCAGTGGTCGGCTGCCCACTTACTGCAGCAGCCGGTATACCTGTACCTCACTGCGAAGAACGACGCGGAGGCAGCGCAGCTGCCGCTGGACTTCCAGGCGCTCTACAAGTACGGGCTGCGGTCATTCCTCTCCATCCCGATATCAACGGACCATGAGGTGCTGTCAGTGCTGACCATTGCCAAGGAGGACGCGGATGGCTTTGAGGTGGAGTGGTGAGCATGGGCCGGCTGAACCCCGGAGGCCTCCCAGGCTGGGTGTTGTGTTGCCTGTGCGGGCTAGCTGCGGGCAGGGGCCGAAGGTGGCCGAGTGGCGTTTTCGCAAGGGCTTCGAGCTTTGGGCGCCAAACCCCGGAATTGAGACTCTCTGGCCTTGCTTGTCCTATCGACCGTTCAGCCAACATACACCCTCGGCCCGCGCACCCCCGATGGCATCTCCAACTTGCGGGGCCTAAACATTGCAGTACGCCCTCCCGCATCTGCGACTGTCGGGGCCTAAAAGTCCTTTCTCTCCCTCCTCCCCTCCCTCCCGCCTTTCCTTCCTCCTCAACCCCATCGCCGTATCTTCCGCTTCCCAAACCACGTCCCTTCCCCCTCCCTACCCCCCCTACCCCCATTGCTTTGCCCCAACTTGTGGTCTCCTATGGTTTGGTATGGTCTTTGATCCCCCTCCCCTCCCTAACCAATACTTGTTTTGTGGTACCCTACCGCCTCCTATCCCCATTGTCTTGCCCCAACCTGTGGTTTCCTATGGTTCGGTATGGTCCTTGACCCTCCTCCCCCCCTCCTCCCCCCCTCCTCCCCCCCTCCTCCCCCCCTCCTCCCCCACCAGGTGGGAGCCCATGCTGGGCTGCCTCTCCACCGGCCTGCTCTACTACCTGCGCGCCGAGCAGACGCAGAACCTCTGCCAGCTCATGCGCAACCTGGACTCCTCCCCCGACTACACCAACGTCATCCACCAGCTCCTCCGCGGCGCGCACAGCCTGCTGCTGCGCGCCACCAACATCCGCACCGGCTGCAGGCTGGCGCTGCTGCCCTCCGCGGACATGTCCCGCGCACTCATATTCGAGCCCGACAGGGCCATGTCAGCAGCCGAGGGGTACGGCACTGCGGGAGCTGGAGGTGCTGCGGGCGGCAGCCTGCCACAGCTGCCTGAGGCGCGCGAGAGCTCGCCGCAAATCCACGTGACCGAGATTCAGCTGGAAAACACGCTGCTGCTGGATGCCGTACAAAAGGGCAAGGCACGGTTCGTGTCGGATTGCGCGTCGTACATCCAGTCGTGCATGAAGCCCGCGACGGATATTTTCATCAGCGGGCAGGAGATGGTTGCGAGCATTGTGGTGCTGCCGCTCATCTTTGACGGCGTCACGTTTGGCGGGTTTTACGTGACGCTGGAGACGACCAGCAACTTCCAGAACATCAAGGACCTGCTGATGGGGCTGGTGAACAGTGTGGTGCTGCTGCTGGCCAAGAGGCTGCAGCCGCAGAGGGACCAGATATGGGACAGCATTCTGTCGGTGGGGGAAGAGGGGGAGGGGAGACGAGGGAAGCAGAAGGGGAGGGGAGGGGAGAGGGTGGTTGTTTGTAGGCGGGGGGGCCGGGAGGGGAGGTGAAGGAGGCCAGGGGCAGGGAAGCATCACCCTACTACCTCTTGTGTATCGATACGTCGGTATTAATGGTGTTATGCAGCATTGTTGGCAACATCTTTCGGTTGTGACCCATGGGTCGGCCCATTCGTCCCTGTCTTTCAACTCTTGCCTCCTCTCGCCCCGCCTTCCCCCCTATCTCCCCCCCAGCGCGGCGGTACGACCAACCTGGAGGACCGGGAGCGGCAGGACGTGCAGGGCTCGGGGGCGTCGGGGCAGGGGCAGGTGGGGGCCGGGAGGATGGGAGCGGAGGAGGGCGAGGAAAGGTACCGCAGAGCTGGGCAGCAGCGGAAAGGAGTAGTAGGAGGGTGGGCGCGGGATGGGGTCGGGCAGGTAGAGGAGTACTACGGGGCGAGAGCCCCCTCCCTCCTTTACCTTGGCCCCTCTTTGAGAGAAGCCTGCCCCCTCCCCTCCGCTCCCCTCCCCTCCCCTCCAGGGCGACTCCGTGTACTTCAACTCCGAGGGTGTTGCCAAGCCGGTGGTGGTGAAGCGCTCCTGCACGGAGGCCATGCTCAAGGTGCTGCAGCACGAGCTGCGCAAGACGCACGCCAAGAGCGCGCAGCAGCACGAGTGGATCGAGGAGCTGACGCTGACGGAGATCGTGGGCAAGGGCGGGTTCGGGGTGGTGTACAAGGGCACCTTCAAGGGCAGCGTGGCGGCGGTGAAGGTGATGTATGCGCGGCAGCACGAGCGGCAGGCCATGAAGGACGCGCTGGAGATGGCGGTGCTGACGACGGTGAGCCACCCGCACATCATCCAGGTGTTCAACTGCTTCACCGACATGGTGGAGGACGCGGGAGGGGGAGGGGCGGGAGGCGGCACCAGCAACTCGCCCAGCCCGGCGGAGGGGCGCATCAACGTGCGGTTCCGGCGGCTGCAGCCCGACGAGGACCGCTCGCTGGCCACCTGCAACATCCTGGTCATGGAGTACTGCGACCGCGCCTCGCTGCGGCACGCCATGAAGAAGGGCGTGTTCCACAAGCGGCTGGGCAACACCAGTGTGGCGGTGGACCTGTGCGCCATCGTGCAGGTGCTGATCGAGGTGGCGCAGGCCATCCAGCACCTGCACTCGCTCAAACTCATACACTGCGACATCAAGGTGGGGGGAGGGTGGGGCGATGGGAGGAGAAGGGAGAGGAGGAGGGGTGTGGGGAGCAGGAAGGGGCGAGTTTCCTGCCGCAGCGCAAGGCACAGCAGGGCGGCTGGTTGTCTCATCGGTTGTCTTCTCCGTTGTAGTCTCCTTGCGGCACGATCGCTGCTGATCCGGGCAGGCGACCCATGGGTCCACGGATGCCGCCCCATGCCGCTCAGGCACACGCCATCCGACTCCCCTCCCCCGCGCCCCCTCCCTTCCCTCCCCTCCCGCAGCCCGAGAACGTGTTGCTCAAGAGCGACGGCTCCAAGCCCATCGGCTTCGTGACCAAGCTGAGCGACTTTGGGCTGGCCAAGCTGCTGCGCGAGAACTACTACATCGTCAACCGCAGCGGGTCGGGAACCGTGACGCACCTGGCGCCCGAGCTGTTCCAGGTGGGGGAGGGGAGGGGAGGGGAGGGGGCGCTGGGCCGCATGTTGGCATGTAACACCGACTGGGTGGGGAGGGGGAGCGGGGCCGGGAGGTATGGAGCCCCGGAATGGGGAAGGGGGGGGCTGGTGGAGGGGGGGGGGGGGGTAAGGAGAAGGGGAGCAAGGGGGAAAGGGGGAGGGGTGGTGTGGGTCTGGTGCTCGCTGCCCTTGTTACGTTGTTGCGTCCTGCCTGCAAGGTTGGAGCTTGTGCAGGAAGGCACAAGCTTGTGTATGGCCACTATTGCTGCGCTCAACTTCCCCTCCATTCCCTCTTTCACCCCCGCTCCCCCCTCCCACCCCCCCCCCTGCAGGTGGGCTCCAAGCTGACTACCAGTGTGGACACGTTCAGCTTTGGTGAGTAGGTGGGGAGAGGAAGGGGCGGCAGGGGGTCACGTGCGAGCGGCAATGGGACGTGAACCCGATTCTCCTCTTCCCTTCTTAGGTTCCTGATTCCGTCACCTCCCCCGGCCGCTCCTGCTGCTGTTGTCGTACTGCTGCTCCCAGCCGCTCATGTCGTGCTGTCGTACTCCGGCGGTTGTCGTACTGCCGCTGTCATACTGTCGTAATTGCTGCTCCGCTTCAGGCATCATGATGTGGGAGCTGTACACGGGGCAGCGGGCGTACGGAGGACTGGGGCGGGACGCCATCATCGACCGGTAGGCAGGAGGAGGGACGGGGCGGGGCGGGATGCGCTGGGGTGCCTGCTGTCAACGACACTCTCTCCTCCCCTCCACCAAACCCCTCTCTTCCCGCCCCCTCCTTCCTCACCCCTCCGTAGTGTCTACAAGAAGAAGGCGCGGCCCATCTTCCCGCTGGGGGTGCCGCAGCAGTACGCGGCGCTGGCCAAGGCCTGCTGGGACAACGACCCCGCCGCGCGCCCGCCCTTCACGCAGGTGCTGCTGCGCCTCGCAGAGATGCTCGCCTCCTTCACCTCAGCCTCCACACAGTCGCCATCGCAGCCTGCAGTCGCGCAGGCGGCGGCACAGCAGCAGCAGGCGGCGGCTGCGGCGGGAGGATCGGCAGGAGCAGCAGCAGGGGGAGCGGCGCTGGGGAGGGCGAGTGCCTCGCTGCCGCCCGCCGCGGGTATGGCGGCGGGGCCGGGAGCGGCTGCACCGCCGCCGGCGGGTGCGCCGGTGGCTGGGGTGGGCGGTGCGGGTGCGGGCGGACGGATGGCGTGAGGAGGAGGAGGAGGAGGAGAGGGCGTTGTGTGCAGGCGGGGGGGGGCTAGGGCTGGCCGTGTTGACGGCAGTTGGGGGGCTGCTGTAATGAAGCAGTGGGGCCGGTCGCGTCACCGGGTATTGGTTGAGAGAGAGGGAGAGAGAAGAGAGGGATACGGAGCCGCCATGTAGTGGACTGGCTGACCCAATGGCGGGTCGGAGCGGCAGGGCTCGGTTGCCCCGGCACACCTGCTTATGGTACTACCTCCGCACGCCCGTTCCCCTGCGGGTGGGTGCGGCTGCTTTGGCCATCGTCGTACATGGTTGTCGTACACAGCACCTCTACATTCGCAGCTCATACAAATGTACGGTGAAGAGAAAGGAGTTACTTAATTCCTCATGTCATATGTCTAGCATTTGTTTGGCGGTGCGTCATGCGTTAGTTGTGCGTTATGTGTTTTTCGTAAGTCGCGTACATTGAGGAAGTACTGCAGAGTAGAGGGATGAATAAATCTGCATTTGTTTGTATGCGGCTTTTGGTATCGGTAGGAGGCACCGGTACAGCATTACGTCTTCATGTGTATGTTTGTTGTGTGCTTGGTAGTGTGTGGTTACTGCATCCAATGCTAGATTCCCGCGTGTCACGTTGGTAAGTGCGTGTGTGGGGATATGGTGCTCACAACACGGATGCGGCCACATGTAGCAGCTGCGGGCGCCTCTTGGATTGCTGTCCTCCCTGCAACTCGTTGCAAAGGCAGGAGGAAAGGTGGGAGTAGGTGCAGTAAGACTGCTGGTAGCCTGGGCGCTCCCGGGTTCCGTACCGAGGCACGGCTACCGTACATGTGCCGTACATTGTCCTGTCGTACAGCCAACGGAGGGAGGGTTGGGGTGGTCGTAGCTGGGGCGCTCCCGGGTTCCGGATGGTTGCCGTACATGTTATCATCGTACTGTCGTATAGCAGTCGTGGGTTCTGTCCTTATGTGTCTGTGGGATACTTGAATGCATGCCCGCGGAAACGCGACTGCATTGGCCTTCCTGATATGGAGACATGCGCATGTTGAGAAGGGGAGCCTGACGGGAGGGAGACCTCCAGGGCACAGCTGTTGCAATTGAGTGGGGGCTGGCTGTGGTTGGGTTTGTGGCCGCTGTATGGTTTGTACAACGCATTGCATAGTCACAGGGGTGCGGCATAGCGGTAGTGCAGGGGCTGAAGGGGGTCTGCTTAGTTGGTTGGTTACTCGGCCATAGGGCGTGCGCGGAGCGGCCAACGGATTGTTACAGCATCACATTCCGGTTACGCAGTAGGATAATAAGGAGCACAGTTTGAAGTTGTTCAAGCACAGCTCAAGCCTTGCGACGGCGGCTGTTGGGTTCGCGCCATGCAGGCGTTATGCTGACGTCGTAGTGGGTGGTGTCGCTGCTGTGCAGGGGTGTAGAGGAAAGTTGACACGGCTGTGTGCAGTACTGGGGAGCTACACAGGGGCGCACCTTCAGGGTACAGGCTGCCGGGCTTTTCCACGTTCCCATCTCATCTTAACTCGTGCGCATTCGCCCATCTACGATACCTTATGAGGCCCCTGCCCGTCCATGTAGTCCGATGGCGGTTCGGGCTGCTTGTTTAGGCGGGGGGGGGGTGTTGCGGTCGGCACGTCGTTAGTCGGGTTGTTCGTGGCCCGTAAGCGTACAGCGGGTTCATCTAGATGGATGGGCCGAAGGGCAAATTCAGTAAGAGTTGGAGGAATTTTGCATGCGGGTGCGTGTGTACATGTGCGCATATGTTGTGCCAGACTTTTTTTTACTGCTGAGCATTTGTGTATTGTTGACGGGTCTTTAGACGTGTAGTTCATTAAGGAGAGAGGAGGAAATGTTGCGGAACAGATCTCCTCAACTTCGGAGCACAAGTAACGTGCGCTGCCGCACACGAGCTCCACAACCCCATACATGTCGCTTTCCTCTCCGCCTGGGGGGTCAAAGACCACACGAAACCACAGGGGTGTTGGAGCCAAGCGCTCCAGCCATACCGCTGCCCATACGTTGGGTCCCTGCACAGTGAACTAGACCTGCCAGTGCACCAGCAGCAGCACCGGGATAGGCTGCGGCCGGGGGGGTGTCTCAATGAATCGCATGAGAGCCGAGGGGCCGCAGTGAGAAGGGGGGAGGAGATGCGTATCCGCGCTATGAGGAAGTCCTCACCATCTGCTTCTCCACGCTTTAAGCATTTAACATGGAGGACTGCCGCTTTGTTCGGTTTTAACGCGGCACAAGGCAATTGACATTGGCAGCGCTACAGGTGGGAGTACTGCCGTAGGGCCTAGGCAGGACAAATCCATGTCCCATTCCACAGTTCCATCAAGAGACGGACTACGGCGAAAAACGGGCGGACACACAACAGTTTTCTAGTTCTAGCAGTACGTTTCCTTAACACACAACACTTAACTTAAGCAACATACCCGCTACTGCGATTCTAATTGCCGCGAAAGAGTTCAGAGACCCATGGGTCACTAACTTCAAACCCATTAGGCGAATCCAGTCACCAGTCGTCCTTAGACCGTCATTTAACCGCCTGATCCATGGCTACAAACGCCTAACTTCAATCCCAAGAGCTGCCCCCGCATGTGCGAACTCATTAAATAACGTACTTGTCCCAAATCCAAGGGCATCTGAAGGGCGAATAAATGGTCTTCCAAAGCGCCCGACGTGTCTACATAGCCGGCCAAGCATCACACCACACACGCACTACGCGACCATTGTCAATTGCACATGTCTTCTGTAAATGGCGGACCGGAGCTGTCCGGGCAGAGGTTAAGCATTGGAACCCCCATGAATGCATGCACGGCAGATCTTGCACAGATCACTAGAATGAAGTCACAACACACGCAGCTTCCAAGCAGACAGCTACACAAGCATGCGAGTATGCCACGAGTACCATGTTTGGTCGCTATTAGCCCCAAAAGCCTCAGTGCAGGGCACATGCAAGGGCCTGGAAGCCGATCAATGAACGGCTGCGTAAACAGTGCTGTCTGGCAAAGAAACGCGCGTGCGTGCGTACGACACCAATCTACTATCCAACCAACAGGCATCCTACTATGAAACTGTCAACTAGCCAAGGAACATGCAGACACAATGCAACAACGCTTGGCCACTTAGCAGCAGGCCGGGGTACTCAGGGATAGGTGGATCGGTGTTTCCGTACATTGCACACATAGCCTACGACATTGTACGGTTGCCCTCAGCCGTTTTCTTCGTAAGCCTTCAGCGCAGCCCTCCAACGTATGCCCTCCCTGCCCACACATCCTCCTGCCTACCAAGTACATGCCAAAAGCCTGCCACCGCACCGCAACGCAACGCATGCCCTCCTGCCTTCCGCCACTCCTGCTCCATAAATGCCCGCCACTCCATAAATGCCGCACGGCCACCGGTGGGCAGCGTCTCCGCTGCGTAGGGGGCTCGAGCAGCGCACCCTGCTTCAACCAGTCGCCCAACTTAATGCCACCTGTTGTTAGTTGTTACCCACCCTCAAGCCGGTAGGTACAAACAGGGACCTGCCAGCGTCGTCGCCTCACATTGTCCTGTCCTGTGCGTGCTCCTGTCTTCTTCTCCGTTACCGCCGCTAACAAGTCCTCAAGCACCGGACGCCCTGACCACGACCCTTACAACGCCGCTTGCGGCCCTTGCACCTACACCCGCCACTATCGCCGCCAGCTGCATCACCACCGCACTCCTGCGGCTGATGCGGCGCACCTACAGCCGCCACCACAGCAGCAACGGCAAACAACTCACTGCCCCAATTGCGGCTAGCAGTAAACCTACCCCCGTTGGGTATTTTCTCCTTGTATCCCCCCTTTCATTCCGTTGCTTCACTATTCATTTCTTGTTCCCCTCATTGGCCTGCCTCGCTACCAGCTGCCGGCCGCAAGCAGACGGCTGCCGAGGGGTCCGATCAGTCCAACCCGCAGCTCCCAAACCCGCCTACCCCTGGCTCCCCCCCGCCTCACCCGCGTTCCTCACAAACTAGCATCACCCCCCACATCCGCTGCCACCATGCCGCAAACCCATCCCCTCCACTGCACCCTTCCACTGCACCCCCGTTACAGCCGCCTGCGTCCCACCGAGCTACAGCTGACCCAGTATGAGGCCGACACGCAGGAGGGCGGCGGGTTGGTGGCGGTGCCGTAGTCGCCCACATTCACCTGGAACTGGATCCCGGGATTGGATCCACAACCGCCCAGGAGGCTCATGCCGTACGTCGTCCACGCCTTGGCCAGGTAGCTGAAGGCGGGTTGCATGCTGAAGCCGTCATTGTAGGTGAGGAACTCGCCACACACCTGGCTGTACTTGTCGGCCCAGGTGTAAAGGGAGAAGGCGGTGAAGACGTTGGCGCCGTAGGAGGCGGCGGAGGCGGTGATGTTGGCGACGATTGCGGCGGTTAGGTTGTTGACAAAGGTGGAGGTGAATTTGATGTCGTAGGTGTTGAGTACGGTTGCGGTGAAGTAGACGCAGACGGGGCAGCGGGGGATGGGGGGCGGAGGTGAGGGGCGGGGAGGGGAGGGAGGAGAGGGGGGAGAGGGGGGTGTGGGGGGTATGGGAGGGGGCGAGGGGCCGGGTGTGGGTGGTGGAGGTGAGGGTGGTAAGGGCGGGGAGGCACCCGGGGGCGGAGGGGGTCGGGAGGGTGGTGGGAGAGGAGGAGGCGGGGCTGGGGGTGGAGGGGAGGGAGGGGGGGGAGAGGGGGGAGGTGGGAGGGGAGGAGGAGGAGGGGGAGGAGAGGGAGGAGGTGGGGAGGGAGGGGGAGGAGGGGGAGGAGAGGGAGGAGGTGGGGAGGGAGGAGGAGGAGGGGGAGGAGAGGGAGGAGGTGGGGAGGGAGGGGGAGGTGGGGGAGGAGAGGGAGGAGGTGGGGAGGGAGGGGGAGGAGGGGGAGGAGGGGGAGGAGAGGGAGGAGGTGGGGACGGAGGGGGAGGAGAAGGGGGAGGCGGGGACGGAGGAAATGGTGAGGGAGGTGGTGGGGGAGGAGGAGAAGGAGGAAAGGGTGAGGGCGGTGGTGGGGGAGGTGGAGAAGGTGGTGAAGGTGAGGGTGGGGGTGGGGAAGGAGGCGGAGGCGACGGAGGCGGTGGCGACGGAGGAGGAGGAGAAGGAGGCGGCGGGGATGGGGGAGGGGGCGAGGGTGGAGGAGGCGAGGGTGGTGGCGGTGAGGGAGGTGGCGGAGAAGGAGGAGGCGGTGAGGGAGGTGGTGGGGATGGCGGAGGAGGTGAGGGTGGGGGTGGGGAAGGCGGAGGCGGTGAAGGAGGAGGAGGCGACGGAGGAGGTGGGGAGGGAGGTGGTGGAGACGGGGGCGGAGGCGAGGGAGGAGGGGGCGAGGGAGGAGGAGGCGAAGGCGGGGGTGGGGACGGGGGCGGGGGCGAGGGAGGAGGGGGTGAGGGAGGAGGAGGCGAGGGAGGAGGAGGGGAGGGAGGAGGAGGCGAAGGCGGGGGTGGGGACGGGGGCGGAGGCGAGGGAGGAGGGGGTGAGGGAGGAGGAGGCGAGGGCGGGGGTGGGGATGGAGGAGGAGGCGAAGGCGGGGGTGGGGACGGAGGCGGTGGAGATGGGGGTGGAGGTGACGGAGGTGCAGGAGGAGGCGGGGACGGCGGTGGAGGCCATGGGGGAGGGGGAGGCGGAGGGGAGGGGGGCGGCGGCGAGGGTGGAGGGGGAGGAGGAGGGGATGGGGGCGGCGGCGAGGGTGGAGGGGGAGGAGGAGGGGAGGGGGGCGGCGGCGAGGGTGGAGGGGGAGGCGGGGGAGACGGCGGGGGAGGCGAGGGTGGCGGGGGAGGAGGAGGGGACGGAGGTGGAGGCGAGGGTGGAGGAGGGGACGGAGGTGGAGGCGAGGGTGGAGGGGGAGCAAAAGGGAATAGGGGCGGCGGTGTGGGAGGAGCGGGAGGAGGAAGATCAGGTGGCGGCGGTGAGGGTGGGAGGGGGGAGGGTGGCGGCGGCGAAGGTGGCAGCGGCGAGGGTGGAGGCGGCGAAGGTGGAGACGGAGAGGGCGGCCGAGGCGGCGGCGGCGAGGGGGATGGCGGCGGCGAGGGTGGCCGAGGCGAGGGCGGTAGGGGCGATGGGGGTTGTGGCGAGGACGGCGGCGGTATCCCCGGTGGCGGCGGCGGTGGCGGCGGCGGCGGTGATGGCGGTGGCGACGGCGACGGCGGCAGCGGCGAGGGAGGTGGCGGCGGCGGCGACGGCGATGGCGGCGCGGGGGGCTGCGGCGGCGGCGGCGGCCACCTGGCTACGTCAATCTGCGACACGGGGCAGCAGCTGCTGCTGCCGTCCAGCAGCGCCACCGCACAGAAGCCCGGCGGCCTGCCCGCGGGTGGCACGCAGAGCTGGTCCAGCGAGTTGCATCCGTAGCCCTGGCGGTTGAGGCGGAAGGTGAGGCAGAGCTCGGCACCCGCGCCGCTGCTGCGGTTGAGGTGCAGGCCGCTGAGGCGCAACAGCGTGCTGTACTGCGGCCCCTCCGCGGGGGAGATGAAGGCGGAGGAGGCGGCGGGCAGCAGCGTGCCGTTGACCGACACGTCCACGGAAATACCCGGCAGGTCGCAGGCGGGGTAGACGTCCAACTGGGGGGGGATGGGGGGCAGGGGGCAGGGGGCAGGGGGCAGGGAACAAAGTGGGGGCCAATGTCGATGCATGCATGCATGCATGAGGCATCACACAACCAGCAGCAACCAAAGGGGAAGGGAGGGAGGGCTAGCCCTGCTTGCTAACGTTAACCCCTGGCCTCGTCCCCTTCCCGGGCGCGCAGCCTCTTTCCCCTCCGCCTTCTACACCCTCCTCGCTTCCCCTCCTCCTCCCTTCCTCCTCATTCCCCCGCCCGCCCCGCCCCCCACCTCTATGCTCTGCAGGTCCGCCCCCACGCAGCAGTACTCGCCGCACCCCGGCGGCCCCGCCCCCGTGTCCAGCATGAGGCAGTACTGCCCGCCACCCGCCGCCCGCACCGGCCCCGTCACACTGTAGGCGGAGGCGCCGCTGGAGCAGCGCGCGTAGGGGAAGTCCGGCAGCGCGCCCGTCTGGGCCCGGGAGTGGCGCAGGTAGTGGGTGCTGCGGGCAGGGGGAGGGCGGGAGGGAGGGAGCGGGCCGGATGCGAGCGAAGGGGTTAGGGCCGCGGTGTGGTTGGTGGGGTGGTGGGGTGACGTACGGGGGGGTAGGGTGGGGCACGGGGGAGGGGGAAAGGGGGTGCGATGTGGGTCACAGCAGGGGGCGGCAGGGGGTGTAGTTTAACGATGTATGGTTCTGGGTCTGCAGGGCAGCGGGGCAGTCTGTTAGCCGGTGTGTGTGTTAAAATAACTGGCGTGTGTAACTGGCGGTGTGTGTGTGTGTGTGTGTGTGTGTGTGTTAGCCGCCGCTCAGCTGCCACTCACAGGACGGTTGGGAGCACCACCACCGTCGCCACAAGCAGCAGGGCAGCCAACGCAAGGGCCAGCAGGTACCAGAAGCGGCGCTTGCCGAGGGGGTAGGGGGCGGGGGCGGGGGCCGGAGGCCCCTTGGCCGCCCTCGCGCCCGCGTCATAGGGGCTGGGCGATATCCTGCAGGTGGGTGGGTGGGGGAGTGGGCGGGTGGGGGAGTGGGTGGGTGGGGCGCAAACACATGCATGCATGGGGGACACAGGGAGGGGCAGAGGTGGCGCTACGTTGGTGGAAGGCATGGCTGCGGAGGTGGGGTGGAGGGGGCAGCATGGGGACACGCCGGGGCAGAGGGGGCATCCCCACCACTACCACCACCGTCTCAGAGGTGCGGTCTGGGGACTGAGACCCGGCTGACTGACCACTGCAGCTTGCACGCTGCTCGCCCCTCTCACGTAATCCAGCCGCCTGGGATGCTTCCCTCGTGTCACATGATTGCATTCCCACGCAGCACAGCAAAGACATCACCTGAAAGCAACCCTCCAAAGCGAAACCCCATCCTAAGCCACAATACGCAGCCCTCCTCCCCTCCCCCATCGGCCCCTCTTGCATGCCGGCTGCTCCAACACCGCGCCAACCCCCCGAGCCACCCCCTAGCTCACCTGTTGGGAGCTCGCCATGCCCAACTGTTCTTCCCCGTCTCCTCCACCACCGCCATCCCCCGCGGCGCTACCGCTCCTGCACCTGCCGCTGCTGCACCCGCAGCGCCCCCCGGCTCCAGCTTGCCCTTAGCCGGGTACCCGGGTTTCGGAGCCTCATGCGAAACAGCCGCAAAGGCGGGATCCGGCACACGCGGCTGCTCCGGCTCCTCCGGGGTGGAGCAGCACGCGGTGCCCGGCGCCAGGGAGCCTCCGGTGGGCGGGCCGGAGGGCAGGGGGGGTGGGGGCTGATCCAGGGGGGGCTTGGCGGGCTCGGGTGGCGGCAGGTACGCAGGGTCTGGGGCGGGGAGCTCCCGGGCTTCCCGGGGAGTGGAGGCGGGTGCTGCGGCCGATGCTACCCCTGCTGCTGTGGCTGCTCCTGCTGATGCCACGACGGCTGCTGCTGCTGCTGCGGCGGCGGCGGCTGATACCGGCAGTGGTGCGGGCGACGAGGACGGTGGCGGTGCGGGAGGCGCTGCTTTGGGCGGTGGCGGGGGTTTGGGGAAGCGTCGGGGCGGCTTGGCCTCCCAGGCCTCGCGCGGTGCGGGCGGTTCTACCGCCTGGCTCCTCGACTTCCCGGCTGTCAGGGAGCCCGAGGGCCGCGGGGTGGCCTTGGCCGGGGTCTTCGAGGAGGGCCGCTGCAGCTGGGCAGATGCGCTCCGCGCCGACTTTGGCAACTTGGGTACCGGGATTGGAAGCGAGCTGGAGATGGGGCGATCCAGTGAGGAGCTAGCGAGCGCCCTTGTTGACTGCCGGGATGCAGCGCCCCGGGCCGCCGGCAGGGGTGGGGGTGGCGGGTGGGGCGGCAAGCTGGCGGGATCGCGGGCTGTGGGGCCGGGTGCTTCCGAACTGGGTGCAGGCTGGGCCGGCGCCTCCCGCGCCTCTGCTGCTGCTCCCGCAGGAGCCACAGGTGCTGGTACAGGTGCTGGAGGGTGCATGGGTGCGGCGCTGGCTGCTGGCGCGGGTGCAGAGGCCCCAGCCGGCGGCCTGGATGGCCCCGGTAGGTATGCTGGTATGGGTGCCGCCAGGGCCAGCCGCGAGGCGGGCTGCGCGCTGCTGCTGCTGTGGGAGCGCTTCAGAGGCGAGCCGAACCCTGACCCGGACATTTGCGGCCACAGCAGGGGCGCGGTGCTCGTCCGCCCCAGCGGGTCCTGCGGGGGCGGGTCGGAGGCGCCCTGCCGCCAGGCGCCCTCCAGCAGGGGTGCGGTGGTGGGTCGCAGGTGCGGACCCGGCAGCGGGAGCGATGTGGTGGCGAGGACCACTAGCCGCTGCGACTGCGAGGGCGGTGATGTTGGGGGGCCGGCAGACGGCGTTGTGAAGGAGGGTAGGGAGGGGGTACCTGGCAGCTGCTGCTCCTGCAGGGATGCATCGTCTAGGGGCGGTGCTGCGAGCGGCGGCGCTGCTGCGGAAGATGGCGCCGCCGCCTGCTCTTGCTGCTGCTGCTGTGGCAATGGCTGCTGCTCCTGCGACCGCGGTGCCGCGGGGGGCCGCGGAGGTTTGGCTGAGGCCGGGCGCGACGGCCCGGCTGAGCTAGGGCGCGACCGGCTGGGCTGGTCTGGCGGGCCGGCGGGGACCGGCGCAGACGTTCTGGTCAGTGCCGGCGCCCCCGTTTGTTGCGGAGGAGGAGGGGGAGACGCAGTGCCCTCGACCCGAGTGTTGGGGCGCTCCGGTGGGGGCAGTGCGTCCGTTGCCGAGGGGGGCCACTGCGGCAATGCTTGCGCTGGGCGGCTGGGCGGCCGGGCTCCGAGAGACTCCGAGGCTTCTGATGCCGCCCGAGATGCGGACCGTGATGGGGGTGGCAATGGTGCTGGTGCTAAGGATGGTGGGGATGCCTGCAGCGAGGACAGCGAGGGCTGCCGCTCAGGCTGCATAGGAGGAAGCTTTCGCCGGGAGGTCGCCTTTGCTGGCGGTAGCGGTGGGGGCGCCTCCATGGCTTGTAGGTGTGGCAGCTAAGGGACGCGGGCTGAGGGGGAAGTACCGGGGCGCAACAAGCGGCAGTCGCGCCTGCAAAGTCATGTTGATGTCATCAGGAATATGTAGGTGAATTGAAGGTAAGCTAGGCGTTGAAATGCAGCTAGCGATAGCCGGGGACTACTCGAACTAAGGACACTTAAGGCACCTTAAGGAGCGTACACGGCAACTACGACCGGCTTCTTGCCTAACAAGGCCCCTAAAAGTTACAGGCACCTCGAAAAAGGGAACAGGAGAAGGCAAAACGTATTGGTTTTGGTGAAACGCCGTACTTACTTGCCCCGGAAGCTTTACTAGCCAAACATGTCTAGATGGCTTGTATCTGGTGCGACTAAAACAATTAAGTCACGCGAAGGTAGTCGATGACTTCGTGGGCCATTACATGCGATTCGATGTCGTGGCAAACAAAAGGGGACAGTAACCCTAACGGGAAAACGGTGGTGTGATAACGCAATGCTATAGCGAGTTGTCTATGGTAACTTGTTGCAAAGCGGTATGCATCAGCCATCGTCCACCAAAGCGCCATCCTGGAGCTCAACGTATGCGTTTCCGCCTCTCGTCCCGTTTTCACCCTCACACATCGCTATTTACATACACGTATATTCAAGGCACGTTCTCCCCGCTCCGTGTACCACCGCCTGACCCGACGCTTCGTTTATAATCATAGCTAGGGGCTAGCTGCGCACCAGTGTTGTTACTCGAACAACTTTCGTGTGCCTTTAAACTGAACTTGTCCCTTTCTTAAGTGTTTCATTGTGCTGCTTCCATCCTTTGCGCCGCGAGTCACAAAGTCAACCCCCGGCTACCGCTAAAATGATACATCTACCGGTACAAGTGGAGCCAGCAAGGCTGGACGGCAAGAATACATAACACGCTGGGCCTCAGTGATGTCGGATGAATTGGCAGACCTGGCGTCCTTGATGGAAAGCAAAGACGAAGGGGATTCAGGGAGGAACGTCGGGGCGGAACTTGGGTGTTTCAGCAACGCCCAGCCTCCACCCGCGGGTCCTCATCCGGTCGCCGCTTTTTTCGACTCCTTCTCTTCCTCTTGCTGATCTGTGATACGTCCAGATGGCTCCGTGGGATCGGGGGGAAAGGCAGGACAAGAATGTAACAGGATATGGGGAGGAGAGGGGCGGTGATCAGGCATATGGAGATGATGTGCCTCGAATGCATTCCTGGTGCTCGCTTATGAGGGCAGTACCGTACTGCAATGATTAGCCCCACCTACCACTTCCAATACCCCAGGACGACGGTGCTCGTGGCATAAGGCCTCCCTCACGGCGTCCCTCGACACCAGGTACAGCCAATTACATCCCCGAACCTTCCTCTCCTCCCACGCAACCCTTAACATCCGCCCTTTTTGCCGTGCGGTTACTCTTTCACTCCCATTTCCCTTCCAACTGAGCTCTAACCCTAGCCCCTCCGCTACTCATCTTCCCAACGCAGGCTAGGAGAGCTCCTGTGTCCTTGCTCCGCCGGCCGCTAAGAAGTAGACAGCGGCCTCGACGCTCTCTCTCGTCAAGCGCGTCAGCCAGCGCCGCGCTGACGTCGTCGTTTTCCATCATATAACTGGCTACCGCCACCGTGATGGCGAGCGCGTGGAGGCGGCCCAGCGCGACCACCGGGCGGCCGATGATGGCGGAAAAGGGGCGCAGCTCCTGCGGGCCGGCGCGACCCCAGCCCTCATCGTCGCAGACACGATATGCAAACATTGCGGCGGCCGCCGGACCCCAGCGGGGCGCGAACACCCCCTCCAGCAGCTGGCGACACAGCAATGTGTTCAGGGACAGGTCTGCGTATGGGCCAACCCCCACAAGCGGTGCGGGTGGCAGCGGCGGCGGCTGCCCTGCGCCTCCAGGCGGCGGCCCATACGCAGACCTGTCCCTGAACACATTGCTGTGTCGCCAGCTGCTGGAGGGGGTGTTCGCGCCCCGCTGGGGTCTGGCGGCCGCCGCAATGTTTGCGTATCGTGTCTGCGATGATGAGGGCTGGGGTCGCGCTGGCCCGCAGGAGCTGCGCCCCTTTTCCGCCATCATCGGCCGCCCGGTGGTCGCGCTGGGCCGCCTCCACGCGCTCGCCATCACGGTGGCGGTAGCCAGTTATATGATGGAAAACGACGACGTCAGCGCGGCGCTGGCTGACGCGCTTGACGAGAGAGAGCGTCGAGGCCGCTGTCTACTTCTTAGCGGCCGGCGGAGCAAGGACACAGGAGCTCTCCTAGCCTGCGTTGGGAAGATGAGTAGCGGAGGGGCTAGGGTTAGAGCTCAGTTGGAAGGGAAATGGGAGTGAAAGAGTAACCGCACGGCAAAAAGGGCGGATGTTAAGGGTTGCGTGGGAGGAGAGGAAGGTTCAGGGATGTTAGGGCGCTCTGGCGAAGAAGATAGAGCAATAGCACTGAATAGCAGCGAAGATTTCTGTACTTCCATTGTTTCTGCTTAGGTGCTGAGCTGTCTTGCGCACACATAACCTCTGACCTAGGGCAATAAGTAACGACCCAGGTTTTGCGACGCACATTGTGGTGAAGCCTGGGCGATGTTATGGCGGGTTGGTTGCTCCCCTTTTTAAAGGAAACAAATCACTCACCGTGTCCTGAGCCTGGAGTTGCCAGGTCCGCAGGTGTTGTTGTCAAGCACGTGTTGTCGAAGCCACGGAGTCGGTTACTGCCATGGAGTCGGTTACTAGGATGAAGTGCGTGCCATGCACGCACTATGGCACGCACTTCATCCTAGTAACCGACTCCATGGCAGTACGCTATATTTGCACCGCTAGCGTACGTGACCTACACGGCAAGCTGGCGCGGTACGCAGTGAAGCTGCAGGCTTACGACTTTGAGGTACTCCACAAGGCCGGCCTTCGCAACAGCAACGTCAACGGACTGAGCCGTCTAGGGCACTTGCTGCCGGAGGTGGAAGCCACCGCCACACTGTCGCGAACATAGCGCTGAACCGCAGTTTATCGTTCTGTAGTTTATTTCCTGACACAGTGCTGCATGCATGGCCACCTGCTGTGACCTTTTCTAGTTGTTTGCACACACATACACCGTGCCGGAATTTATCGCTACGGCTCTCTGGCAATGCTTACTCCCTGGCAACATCAGGCCATGTCGGAGAGCCAACGCGCAGTACCGTACTTCTCCGGACGATACACATCTGTGACCTACCAGGTAGTAGCGCTTTCGTCGTATGGCATTGATCAACTACACTCCTATGGCCAGGATGTTGCATCGGCGGGAATAGTTTTGCTGTGTCAGCGTCTTGAAGAAGGATGATTAGAATGTTTGGGTGCCGAGGTCGCGCAGTGCGCAGATCCTCAGCCTTGCAAAAATTAAGCCCTGCCGGACACCCGAAGGGCCGACCACGGAAGGCCCTCGCGCAGTGCAAGGCGAAGTCCAACCGTGTAACCGAGGCCAACAGGACCACCTCGAGAAACGGGCCAGGTAAGTATGATAAGACAGGCAAGCGTCAAGGGCTACCCCTGTGACCGGTAACACAACAGCATTCACTGCGGCGATGGTGGGTGGAACCTAACCTGGTGGGCCAGCTGACCATGCAACCAAACCTCCAAGAGTGCGCATCCACGAGGCCTAAGCCAAGGAGGGCTCCCGGCGAACTCGTGTCTTAGCCCAACCCAACCTCACCTTGGGCAGGGCAGGGCAGCCGACGTGGCAGTCCTTCCCCACACCCGCTGCTGCACTTATCTTTTATTTTTGCCACACCTGCCGGCCACCCCGTTGCGCCCAATGTCCTGCTTTACTGGGAAGCCTTCGACCCCATGCCTTCCATCTGCCAGTACCTAACGCCAGCCTTGCTGTACAAACCACACGACGTATCGCTCTGCTTTGATTAAGGATGACACGCATGCGCTCGTCTAGTCAACCAGCGATGAACCCAAACGGGTGTTGTTACAAGAGTTCTCCGGTTACGTACAGGTGGGGGTCAGTGCTCTACCGGTAGGTACTACGCATGGCGGGAGCACGGGGGCATTGGGTTTCTGCTGCTGCCCTCGCTTTACCACGCCCTGGCACCTTCCCATGTACCGGTATCCGTGTTACGATGTGCACCGTACACAGCCCCTGTGGCTCAGACATGCTTGGTAGTGTTGGCTGGTGTCGGGGCACAAACAACTGTGACGTGGCATGTGCACCACATGCAGAGGAGGTCACGAACGACCCATGGGACACATGCACTTGTTGTGCGGCTAATCCACCTAGTCACCGCGTGAGATAATTTGACATTCGTAGCATGACAAGCACACTGAAAGGTTGCGTGCAGTGTTGCGTGCATGGCCACCTGCCTGCTGTTCGGACAGTGAGATACACTTATGGTGGGGGCTATACCTATAAGCTTTACCGTATGGCGTTTGTGTTGTCTGCACACACATAAGCCCATACTGTACGAAGTCCGAGTTGGGTGCGCTGGCGACAGTGCTGCATGCGCTACCGGTGCACTTGCTTGACAGTACCGGTTCACGGATAATCCGGATTGGGTTGACGAAGGCGCCGACATGCGCGTCTACGGGTCCTTGTATTGTTACATCTTGCTCCATCAGGCAAGGTGTGCTGTGTACTGTTTGTAGGTATTGTGATGGTGCTGAGGAAGAGTTGCAGGGCGCTTATATACGGAGGCTGTAAAGATGTTGGTTGGACCTCAGCTGCTAGCTGACGGCGGCAACATCCGGAAGATGCCGCGAACGGCGCCTCCGGAATTGGGCATGGGAGCGAGTGTCCTCAACTCCACAACCCGTCCATTTCGACCTTGCGTTTGAGGCGCAGCCCTCCAGTGGACATGGGTGTCGCCGGTGGCCCAGGGATCCAGCAGAGAGGAGGTGGGCAATAGGAAGGGTAGACATGAATGGCCTGCATTCTCCGTGTCCACCCCAGGATGGGCCCGCCATTGTTAGGACAAATGTGCCCTGTTCAACATTACCCCACATCATTGTCTCCCGGTCACGGGAAACGATGTGTGATGTGTGCGTTAGGTGTGCAATCATCTCTTGCTGCACGCATTGCATGGATTTTGACCACCAGCGGGATTTGGGGACCGGTCTAGCACCCATGCGTGTGCATTACAACATGCACAGCCCCCGTGCTTCAAACCGTCAGACGTGCTGGATATAGTGTTGGCTGGTGTCTGGCAAGGCGATTACAAGCGACCCATGGGACACACACACCTGTAGCCCCACCGCATGAGAATGTTTTGACATTCTAGCATGGCAAGCGCACCCGGAGAAGATAATTCATATAGCGTATGTGCACTGGCAACATCAGGTCATGTTACGTCATCGAAGGAAGTCATCGCGCAGTGCCGTACATCTCCGGATCGGCGTACATCTGCCACCCGGGCAGTACCGCTTTAGTCGTACGGCCTTAATCGATTATAACGGCCTTGACATTATGCATTTCATCGGCAGGTACTCTTTGCTGTGTCTTGCAGGCAAATGGGTTGCAAAAATTATATGTTTAACATGGTCCTCGGTCCAAAATATTGGTTGGGTGCCGAGGTCGCGCAGTGCGCAGATCCTCAGCCTTGCAAAAATTAAGCCCTGCCGGACACCCGAAGGGCCGACCACGGAAGGCCCTCGCGCAGTGCAAGGCGAAGTCCAACCGTGTAACCGAGGCCAACTGGACCACCTCGAGAAACGGGCCAGGTAAGTATGATTAGACAGGCAAGCGCCAAGGGCTACCCCTGTGATCGGTAACATTGATACATTCATGGGCCAGATGGTGGGTGGAACCGAACCTGGTGGGTAGCAGGACATGCAACCAAACCTCCAGGGCAGAGGACAGCCTAAAGCCAAGAAGGGCTCCCGGCGACCCCGTTCCTCATCCCAACACAACCTACCGCAGCATTCTCCTTGGGCAGGGCAGCCGACGTGGCAGTCTTTCCCCACAGCTGGAGTCACCCGTGGCCCGCCTGCTGGCCGCCCCTTTGTCCTTCGACCCCTTGCCTTCCATCTGCCAGTACCTAACGCCAGCCTTGCTGTGCAAACCACTCAACATATTGCTCTGCATCGATTGATAATGACACGCATGCTCTCGTCTTCCTGCCCTGCTATCGGACCCTGCTATGAGGGAAACAGTGAATAAGTACAGGACAGTGGTTCCCGTGCACCTACTGGACACCGGTGATGAACCCAACCGGTGATGTGAAAAGAGTTCCCCTCCTGGTTACGTGCAAGGAGGGGGGTCAGTGCTCTAGGTGCTGCGCATGGCGCCAGCAGCGGGCAGTGGGCTTCAGCTGCCCTCACTTTACACTCCCTGGCACCTTCCAGCGTGTATGCCAACGGTAATGTACAGTGCAGGCGGATCTGATCTGCCCAGCACGGCATTGCGTCGCAGTAACCGCCGCTTACAACCGTACACTTCAAGTTCCTCCCTTCTACAGGGATTTGCTCAAGAGCCAAAACAGGAACAGCGCCTTGGTAATCGCGGCATTCAGGCCGGCTACTTCCCGCAATACCCACAAACCCACAGTACGACAGTGCTGTAAGCGTTAGCCGGTAACTGCAGATGCTGTACCTGCTGTCCCTGCTGTCCCTGCTGCTCATGTGTGCTATCCTCGTCAATGCACAGCAAGGGGCCATGTGGCCCACCTCCCCTCTTACAGCCTCCGAACGACGGCCACCCCTCAACAAGGCCACCTGCCCGTGAGGCGCAGTCCCTCCCTTCAGGTTGGGTCAGATCGCCAGCACCTTTACTGAACCAGCCGCAGCCCCCGCCCCTCCGCCACCCCCCTACTCCAGCTCGAAGTTCAGCGCCCGCACGTACGACACCATGTCCTCCGACCACCCGGGTCCGCCGTACATGGGCCGTACGTCCCGCATGGGCTGCAGCACCTGTTGCCGTACCACGCCATGGCCACGTGCATGCGCATGCAGGGGTGGGCGAAGGGAAGGAGGGAGGGAGGCAGGGATGTATGAGTGCTCTCCGAGAGGCCTGTTATCGTAGCCGGTTGTGTTTAGAGGCAAAGGAGGAGGCGGAGGAGGAGGAGGAGGCGGAGGAGGAGGTATGTGGGTGCGACGACGGGGCCGTCAGCGTGAGACGCGCAGCGTGTCTAGTCCCCCAACGTACGACAGCAAGCACCAATGGTCGACGGCAGGGGGTGATCGCACACGGCCTGTCTGCCCCATCCCACCGGGAGCCTGAAATGGCCCCCCTCACCTCATAAAAGTCCGCTCCCCCCCAGCCCACCACCAGCCGCCTCAGCAGCTCCCGCGGCAGGCTGGCCAGCTGCATGCGGGGACTGCCGTACACCTCCCGTACCCCGGTGTACGACTGCATGTGGCGGGCGGGCACCGGACCCAGCACGGTACCCAGATCGTACAGGACCTGAATTAAAGAGGGGTAGGAAAAAGGAGAAGGCAAGCACGTGGAGAGGGGTACGGCGTGCGGAGAGGTGCGCGGGGTATAGAGTGCGGAGTCGGGGGGAGGATGGAGGGAGACCAGCAAGGCACCACCAGAGGACTCCCAACCCCGGCGGCCTTTTGGACCCAGCCCCCAGCCATACACACACACGCGGCCACTTTTCTTAACACACACACGCACGACACCGCGGGCCGGGCCGCACCTCCTGCGTCACACTCAGCCGCAGCATGGCCTCCAGTAGTCCCCGCCGTACACCGTACTGCGGGTCATCCGAATCCGCCCAGTCAGCACCCGCAGCAGCAGGCGGTTGCAGCAGCGGACTGGCGGCCAGGGGCGGCAGGGGGGTGGCGGAGGAGCGGGACGGCTGGTTGGGAGGTGCGGTGGAGGAGGAGGAGGCGGAGGAGGAGGAGGCGGAGGAGGAGGAGGCGGCTGCGGGTGCGGGTGCCCCCTGCGGATGCAGCAGTTGTCGCCAAAGGCCGCTGTGCCAGAGGTGTTGGAGACCTGGGGTGGGTAGGGGGTAAAGAGGAAACAACTCACTGACCGTGTGATAAGGCGGGTGGGGGGGCCGAGGTTGCGGGTGGGGGAGAGGAGTGGGAGGGAAGGAGTGAGAAGGAGTGAGAAGGGTGGTATGGGGATGGGGCGGCCGGAGTTGCTGCTCAGGGTCAGGGAGGGCAGGCAGGGCAGGGGGGCAGGCAGGGCAGGGCAGGGTTGCACCCCCGCATGAGCACTGACAGCACTGACAGCGACTGCGGAGTCCTCCCCGAAGCCTCCTGCCGCGCCGCTCGCCACACCCCCTACCGGCTGCTAGGGTGGGGCAGGCGGAGGGCAGGCGCCATAGCCCGCCCGCCCGCCCCTCCAGCCCGCTAGCACCCACGCATGTGGTGAACCCTTCGCCGCACAGCGACCACTCGCCCGCCCACCTCACCCATCCCCCTGCACCGCCCCCACACCCATTCAGTGGCGTTTGCATGCTCCTACCCCCTACCCCCACGTACCCTCTGATGTCTAATCCACCCCAACCGCATTCCCCCCGGCCCCCCTCCCCGCCCCCACCTTGCAGATGCGCGCTTCCCACTACCAGCACTATGCTGCGCCCCCCCTGCTGCTGCTGCCCCCCCTGCTGCTGGCCCCCCTGCCCCTGCTGCCCCTCCTCCCGCTGTGGCAGGTCCCCGGAGCACACCCCGTGCACCACCCCCAGCATCACCGCCTCGCGCTCCTGGGGGGGGGGGGGTGGGGGCCGGGGTGGGGTTGCAAGGGTGGGGGGGTGGGGGTAAAGCGGGTGGGAGGGCGGGTGGCCGGGCAGGTGTGCGGGTGGTTCGGAACGGGTCTTGCGGCGGCCCCATCGCTCCTTTCCCCTCTACCTGCCTTTGCACTAACGCTTCCCAGGTTCAGAGACCGGGCTTGGCTCCACCCTACCCTGCCCCCACCCAGCCATGCAGGTGCGTCCTGTCCCGATGCCCAACCCAAACCCCTGACCTCCCTACATCCCTATCGGAATCTCCGTCATTGTGCTCCCCCGTAAATCCCTCCACGCTTTCCCCCAATCCCCTTCACCATTCCCACCCCCCCACCCTCCCAAGCCCTCCCGCGCCCCACCAGCATGAGTATTCGCTCGGTGGTTGGCAGTTGGTTGGGGTCGTACGGCGGGGGCGGGAGGCCCAGGAAGGAGCGGTAGTTGGCCTCCGCCGCGTGGCTGTATCCCTGGTCCAGCTGCGGCAGGCTGCACTGGGAGAACAACCGACTGGGGGGGAGGGGGAGGGGTAGGGAAAGGAGGGAGGGAGGGGTGGGAAGGGAGGGGGAAGGGGGGCCGGGTTTAGGTGAGCGGGCCCTCTCCCCTTCCTTTAACACGGGGTCCCCTTCTCCTCCCCCTCCCCAACCTAGCCCGCCCCCTTCCCCCACACACCTGTAGGTGAGGTGTTTGGGTCGGTCAGCGAACACCAGCGGCGCCCCGGTGGCCAGGGCGCCCAGGTAGGCCAGCTGCTCGCCGTTGTAGGCGCGGGACACCTGGACGGAGGGGAGGACGGAAGGGAGGGGGGAGAGGATGACGGAGGGGAGGACGGAGGGGAGGGGGGAGGGAGGGGGGGGGGAGGGGGGAGGGAGGGGGGAGGAAAGAGGGGAGTCCGTCGGGTCGGGGTGAGCGCCCAGACCCCACCCGGGTGATACCGGTACAGGGTGCTTACATGTGCATGTGCCGCTGTGGGTTATTGAGCCGTCCTAGGCCCCCAACTCTTCCAGCCCTCCCCACGCCTTATCCCTCAGCCAGTTAGTTGTTTCCTCTTTACTCCCCACTCCCACCCTTGCCTCCCACACAGGGATGTTGTCGGCTCGATCATCCTAACCCTTCTCACCCCCTTAACTGCAATCTGCCACCCTTTCCTCGGCTTAGTTCATCTAGCCCCCCACCTGCCCCCACAGCGGCGAGGCGGTGAAGTCTCCCCCCATGTGCTGCTGCAGGGAGGCGCCAACCTGGGGGGGGAGGGGGGAAAAGGAGAATACCCAGTGTGTTGCATGATAGAGTGAAAGAAGGGAGGAAGGGAGGGGCCACGGAGGGAGCGAGGGTGGGAGGAAGGCAGGGTGAGGGAGGAAGTGGGGAGGAGGGAGGGTAGGATAAGGCAAGACCCACCAACTCTATTGGCCCCTCTTCAATCCGTCATGTATGAGCGCAGCCACGATTCATGCGGTCCCTACGCGCGGCCGCCACCGCGCCAGTGTCCCGTGCGGCACCCCGGTGTGCCTTCCATTGGTGCGTCTTAGTCGGCCACTGGGTGTTGGAAAACTTGGAATTTGGGTGCTTCGCGTCTTCTTACCTTCCCCAACTCCCCATGCTGGAGCCACGTCACATGGTTCGTTCCATCCTCGTCACCCCTCCCTTCCCCTCCCCTCCCTCCAGCTCGTCAGTGCCCTCTTTTTCCCTCCCCCTTCCCGGGGATAATCAGCTCCCCATGCACCCCCCCTCTCCCCTCCTCCCTCCTCAGTTGCTTCATTTTCCAACTAATCCCCCGTACCCCCATTGCTTTGCCCTAACTTGTGGTCTCCTATGGTTTGGTATGGTCTTTGACCCCCACCTGGCAAAACATGCGCAGGTAGAAGGCCGCGGAGGGATCCGCCAGCCGCTGCCCTGCCACCACCACCGACCCCGCCTCCGCCCCGTGCTCGGACCCCAGAGCCGTCTCAACCAGCACCGCGCAGGGGCGCCGGCGCAGCACCCACTCGCCTGAGGGGGGCAGGGGAAGGATGGGGGGCAGAGAGAACCGAACTGAACCACTTGGAACTAAAAGTTAGGACAAAGGCATTGGGGAGGGGGTAGGGTGAGAATGTATCTGGGACACACAGCCTGTTGCCTTGTGCGGCATTTTTGTAACATGCCGTACGAGGCGCCTGTAACGCATGCAAGGAATGACTTGTAATCAGTCCGAACCGCGTCCGAACGCACATCCATCTATCCATCTTTCGCGCATCGTTGCCGCCTAACGCCAGAGCGCACGTACCGATGTGGGGCTGCGGCTCCAGGTGTGAAACTCCAAACACGTGGATCGTGGTTCCGGTTTCCGTACATTCCAAGGTCAGGTCTGGGCCAGCAGCAGACTGAGGGGTTTCGAGGGAGGAGGAGGCTGAGGATGCGAGGAGCGCCTCTGATGTCTGTGCTGAGCGGCACACAGCCATGCCATACGAGGCCGTAGAGCGCTGCGCATTGCGGTGCAAGCCCAGGTGATTTCTAGCAAATCCACTTGAAGTTCCTGCATTGCAGTAATCTACGCATTACAATAGCACTTGTTTGGGCAGCATGTATAGCATGCGGCAAGGGGAAGTTGCGAGGCGTTGACGATTTCCAATGCCGCAAAAAGGCAGAAAGGTAACCCTCTTCGACGCCTACGTATGCGCACCAGGGAGGTTCCAAGCCGGAGAGACATGCAGCGCGCGACATGATTGTGGTACGCATTTCTCCGCCCGAGCGCCAGCGCGCCGATCCGCTAGCCCTTGGCTATGATGTAGAGCTGCCATGACTTTAATACATTTAATTCGATAGCCTCAATATGCCTGCTTGCTACTTTGCAAGCTGAAGGATGCAAGCTTAAGGTAAAATGCACAGACGGCAACGCTGCGTGCCTGGCAGCGTACGCTGTAAAAAGCCGTGTAAAGCTTGTAAGACGCGCCCTGTAAAACAGGCGCTGCTGTTATGTGCTTAGCTAACTACTTCGTCTCCTGCAACCGTCATGCCGTACGACGGGTTGCGCCAGCGGCTCAATACAGGTCCCTACGGCTCAACCTTGATGGAACTCAAGAAAGCGGCAGGCTTCAGGGGCCCCAAATACGGGTACCCCAAGGCCACCACGTACTAAGAAGTTATCAATTACACAGTTACCGGTAGCAGCAAGGGCAAGAGCATCTGGAGCCGCACTAGAGGACGAGGCGGCGGCTGGAATGTTTGGCAGCTGCAATGGATTGGGCAGCAGCCCAGCGTCCGAAGACTCATCTATGATAATGGAGCAATTGCAAGAAATTGCTAACATGCAGCAGCAAATACTGGATCTGCTGACCTCATACCACCCCACCTCGGATGATGCCGGGGTGGCTTCTCTTTGACCCCGCCTCGGATGCAAGACGCCTGCATGCACTCTCCCTCTCCCTCCCCGCCTCCTCCTTCCTGTTCTCATCTCGCGCACACAGTAAACCCCATCTTCAGCTCGGCGCATCAAAGCACACGCACACTGCGCCAGTTTTCTTACCACACTGTGCAAGGCACCAGCAAAACTCCCCGGGTTTGTACCCGTCGCGTGCACATGCCGCGGTTGTTCCAACGCCGCGTGCATTTCCCCAGTGCGGCAGAACGTAGTGCCGTACAGGATGGGCAGGATGGGTGTCTTGGAAAGCGCGTCTCCCCGCTCGGGCCCTTCGTTTCACTCGCCTCCACCAAACCACAGCCCTTTTGCCAGATCACACCCGCCCTATCCGTGCAACCCCTGCCCTCTCCCGGAGTGTACACACACGCGTTCACTGTGTACGGTACACACAGTACGTTTCGCCTCGCGGCCAGTTCTCTTAACCCACCTGTTTCCATCTGCACACCGCCCGGCATCCACACGACCCATAACCCCTCAACCCGCTCCCAGTTTAACCTCCAGCCTCCTGGTTAGCATCCCCCCTCCTGCCTCTCCCCCCGTGCATCCTCCCCATGCGTTCCCGCTCCCCCCCCTCACTCCACACATTGGTCTTTCTTTTTTCTCTCACTCCTGCTGCCGCGCCTTTAGCCCCGGCATCAGCGGCGGCAGCACGTCCTTCTTCTGCCCGCCGCCCCGCCCCGCGCCACTGCCGTCGCACACCAGCGCCACGTCCACCCCGGCGGCCGTCTTGGCCAGCCGCGCCTCCACACCCGGGCCGAAGAAGGACTGCAGCTTGGGCTGGAAGGGCTCCCAGCGCGCCAGCTCCAAGCCGGAGGAGAACTCCAGCACCAGGCTGTAGCGCCCGCCCTCCGCAACCTCCTCGCGGATGCCTGGGGGGCGGGGGCCGGGGAGGAAAGCGTGGGGGAAAAATGGGAAGTGAAGCAACGGAGTCGTACTCCCATGTCCCATGTCGGTGGGGAGGGGGAAGGGTCATTGGATTGAGCCTTGGGGAAGGACCGACCCTGGGGGGTACCTACGGTAGTAGCAACCCTAAGTGGAAGGAGAGAAAGGGATGGAGCGAGGTCGCAGCCGCGCAACGGGTTCCGCCCGGCCGCCTGCCCCACCTTGCAGCACCGGCAGGTCCTTCTTGGACAGTCCGCCCGGCCGGCCTGGCTTGAACACCCGCGCGAGTGCCTCCTCCAGGTGCGCCTCGTCGCCGTAGCGGAAGCGCGTCACGTCCTCCCGCACCTGGCGCTGGATGTCGGTGGCCTGGGAGTCGCGCAGCGCGAGGGCGGCGCGGGTGGTGCGGCAGGGCACCGGCTCCAGCTGGTGGGGAGGAGCAGGGGAGGGAGGGGAAGGGGAGGTGTTGGTGGTACGGCAGGGGACCGACTCCAAAGGTTATTTGGGGCTTGCGGGTACTGGTGGGAGGGAGCGAGCAGGAATGCTACCCCGCCTGGGACACCCCTACACGTCTTCCAACAGTGTGCTGCTGCTGCTGGCGATGACACGGGGGTGCATGTCATGTATGCAAGGCCCAGGTCGCACACGTGTCCCTGCCAGCAAGCGAGCACCATGCGACCCCCCGAAGGCCGCTGCCCAGGTACCTTGGCGTAGCTCAGTGCGAAGCCCAGCAGGCTGATTGGGAAGCCGTAGATGAGGAAGATTGATGATAAATCGGCGCCTGGCAGCACCGTAATGTAGGCGCCGAAGCCCCAAAACAGCAGACCCAGCCCGACTGGTGTGAGAATGGAGCCGAATGACACCTTTGAGATGTTGAACTCCTTATCCTCGACATATTCCACGGGTTCAGTCGCTTCAGCGGCTTTAGCTGGCGCTTGAGGTTCAGCAGATGCGCGCACACAAACCGCACTGCTGCGCCTGTGTGGGATGTCCAGTTGGATGTTATCGCAGCAGCCAGAGCTACGCTGTATTGCTAGTCTAGCGCGTTGAAGTTATAGCCATTGTAAAGGAGTGAAAAAGTCGTCACCGCGCACCTTTGGCAAAGGGGCAACCGCGGCGCAAGCGTGTGGACCACCGACGAGCGACGTGCGACGTGAAGCGCCCCGCATGGGGCTCGAAGCATAGTAACAGCCATTATAATAAAGGCTGATTTCGAGGCTTGTGTGCAGTTCTTGCTGGGCGCAAGGGGTGTAAGCAGGTTCTCACAACGCTCCAGAACCAGACAATGAAGCCAAAACGGGAGAGGGTTGACCTGCTTGTGTTTGGCACTTACTCTCAGCCACGGTCCTAGCTTGGCTGAACGCAGCAAGCTCCAATGCTGAACATCTCCAGTCGTTAGGTACTCAGCCGGTTAGGGCTGCACAGGTTTACTTGCTGATCACCGATAAAACATTTAGCTTCTTATAGCTCTGGTTTCATTACAACAATGGCAGGAAATCAGGTGCACGCAAAAGAGCTTGTCCCTTCCTGAATGCGCGCAACAGCTATGTTTGCCAGCGCATGAGTACTTTGCCTTGGCCATCCATTATAATCTTCGTAAACTGCTCCATGTCGCAGGAGGACGTCTGCGCGGAATCCGACGCTCCAGCGAATGAAGAAAACTGCTTGCACTTGCAGTTGCACACCGATGAAGCGGTGTGGATGCGTCAGATCGGGCACTTAAAGGACTGGTGCTCTGCAACTCGCACCGTGAAGCTTGGCGTTCCAGCCTTGGTGTCCACTCCGCTCGCGGCAAACAGCATTCGCCTGCTGTGGCTCTTTCCCAACCTCCAACGTTTGGATATTAACTTCAACAGCACACGTAGTTGCATTGAGCAACCGGTGCTAATTGCCTGTGCGGAGCTGATGGTGCGTACCGGGGCTTTGGGGTGGGGGACAATTGTGTCCTGGAGCGCCTGCGCCTGTGAAGGGGGCGCGACCAGGGTTCCGCTGTCTGGGTTGTGTGAGGAGGGCTGCGTGTGGGTGAGGGGGGGATGCAAGGCAGCAAGGGGGCGGGGCGAAGGAGAAACACGACAATGGCAGGATCTGACAGACGCACCTACGAAGACATGTTGCAATGGAGCGCAACAGCGCATACCACTCCCAACCACGCCCCACTTCTCTCCCGCCCGGCACGTCTAGCCTCCACCTAGCTGCATTGGCGTCCAATACCCTCACCGTCTCCCTGCCACGGTTCTTAATTCCCTCATCCATGTGGCACTCGCCTGCCTGCCCTTGCCCTCCTCACTCCCGCATCTTCCCCTCACTCCTCCTCTTCTCCTCCCCTCCCCTCCCCCGCCCTCCCACCCCAGCACCTCACCTCCCTCTCCCTCTCCGGCGGCCATCTCCCCCGCCGCTCTGCCGACCTGGATCTGGGCGTGCTGACCAGCCTGCGCCGGCTGGCCGCCCTCGCCGTGCGGACCCACGGGTCGGAGGGGCTGGACGGTCTGGAGGACGAGCAGCTGGTGGGGGTGGGGCGGCTGACGGGGCTGCGCTGCCTGGCTCTGCGCGCCTCGGAGAACGTAACAGACGAGGGACTGTTCGCGCTGAGCGGCCTCACAGGTGGGGCGGGGGGGGAGGGGGAGAGGGGGCTAGCGACACGTCACGGTATGGGGGCCTTACCTCCCCACCTTCCTAGTTGCAGCCTTACCTCCTCCACCTCCACCTCCACCCCACCTATTATATTCTTCTTTCCCTACCTCCGCCTCCTCTCTACCTGCTCCCCCGCCTCCCTGCCTCCCTCCACCTTCCCCCCCCAGGCCTGACCCGGCTGCAGCTGGTCCCGCTGGGCCTGTGCGTCACCCGCTCCGGCATCTCCCGCCTGGCCGCCTGCCTGCCGCACCTGGCGCACCTGGGGGTGGGGCTGCACGAGGCGAGGCAGGTGGCGGCGCTCAAGGGACTGGACGACGCCCCCCCGCATGCGGCCCCGCAGCCACCAGCGGACCACCCACTGAACAGCAACGGCATGAGCAACGACGGCAGCAGGGGCCACAGCGGGCACAGCGCCTCCCTGCTCCGGTCGCCGCCCGGTGCTGCTGCGGGTGCGGGCCCCGCCACCGTCACCGCCACCGCCATTCCGCCACCCTCTCCACCACCCACGCAACCCACCCCCGCCACCCCTCCCTCCCCCTCCACCTCCTCCGGCTGTTCCGCCTCTCTGTCGGTTGTGTTGAACTCGCCCGAGGCGTGCGCCTCCGCCTTCCTGTCCACCCTGACGCTGGTGCTGCGCGGCCGGCTGGGCTCGCTGCGGCTGGGCACGGTGGAGGCGGCGGAGCCAGCCTTCCTGCTGGCGCTGGGCACCCTCACGCGCCTCTCGGAGCTCAAGCTGGGGGTGAGGGGGGGGGGTCAGGATAGCTGGGGGTGAGGCGGGGTGAGGGGGAAGGGGAGACAGACCAAACCATAGGATTCCACGAGCAAAACCATGGGGATAGGCGGCGGCAGGATGCCACAAGACAAAGGAGGAATTTATCTGGGTTAAGGAGGGAGGTGGAAGAGGGTGGACGTGTCGTATTCTGTCTCCACCCTCGCCCCTTCTTCCCCTCCCCGGCCCCCAGGTGAGCCTACCCGAGGGCGGCCGCCCCTTCTCCCTGCCGCTGCCGCACCTGGCGCCGCTCAGCCGCCTGCGCACACTGGAGCTGGCGGTAACTCGGGAGCTGCGGCTGCCGCTCACACCCAAGATGGTCGGGTGAGGGGGGGCGGTGAGGGATGGACTGAGCCTTCAACACCCTATCCCCTCGTCCTCCCCAGCTCCTCAGCCTCTCGCCATGACCGCTCCCCCGCCCCCCCCCCCCCCGCCTCCACCCCCCCCCGCCTCCCGGCCCCTCCCCCCCCAGTCTGCTGTCCGCCAGCTGGCCGCACCTGCGCAGTCTGAGCCTCTCACTGATGACCAAGCCCGAGGTGGCGCCCGAGGCGCTGCGGCTGCTGGGGGCCTTCGGGGAGCTGCGGGAGCTGTCGCTGTTCGCACCGCTGGACTACTGGTGGGGGGGGGAGGGTGTCCTTGCCGCTTTGCGAGGGAGGTTGGTGCGGTGGTTAGGGGAAAAGGCTGCGGCACAGGCCATCGTGCTATCCATGTTGACCCCTCCTGCCGTCGCCATGCCTTCTGCTCCCCCTTGTCTCCATCCTCCACGCGTTTAACAACACTCCTCCCGTTCCCTGTCCGGTTTGCTGCGCTGCTTACCCAACAACCCATCTCCCCTCCTGTTCCTCCTTCCCTCCTCTTCTTCCCTCCTCTTCTTCCCCCTGCCCCTCCCCAGTGACGAGGACGAGGACGGCGAGGAGGAGGGTGGCTTCGGAGGCGGTCCCGTGGGCAGCAGCGGCGGCGGCATGGGTCCGCTGCTGCTGCCCGTCTCCCCGCGCCACCTGCCGCCGCACCTCACGCACCTGGTGCTCGAGTGCGCCCGGCTCGCAGCACACCAGCACCAGCACCAGCACCAGCAGCAGTCCGCACCTGCCACTGCTGCTGGTGCTGGTGCTGGTGCTGGTGCTGGTGCTGGTGCTGGTGCTGGTGCTGGTGCTGGTGCTGGTGCTGGTGCTGGTGCTGGTGCTGGTGCTGGTGCTGGTGCTGGTGCTGGTGCTGGTGCTGGTGCTGGTGTTAATGGTGGGGGTTCCTCTGCGGTGCCAGACGGAGAGCCGCAGCCGCCACAGCCGCCCTCATCCTTGGCAGCAGCAGAGGCTGTAGCAGGAGGAGATGGTTCAGCAGGGGCAGGGGCAGGCGGGGGGCTGCTGCCGGGTCTGCAGCACCTGGAGCTGATCAGCTGCACTGCGGAGGAGGAGGTGGTGGGGGAGCTGCTGCGGAGCGCTACAGGTGGGATGGGGGGCTGATGCACAGCTGTGGGGATCTGGGTCGAGGGATTCAAGCTTGGCATGATGGGGCGGTCGATCTGGGTCGGACAATGGGGAGAACCGGGGGATCTAGGTCCGACAGATAGGGTCTTGCGATCTGGGTCGGGCAGGTAGGATCATGTGATCTGGGTCGGACAATGGAGACCCGGTGATCTGGGTCAGGGTGCATGGGGTCAGCTGCGATCTGGGTCGGACAAGTCGAGGGGCAGTTCCATCGTTGCGCATGGCCTCGTCGCGCGTAGACGCGCGGGCGCTGGTATCGAGTTGTGGCGATGCAGTCCAATCCTCAATGGCCTACTGGGCGTCCGGTCTTAAGTGTGTGGGTGGCAGCGATTTGGGTTGACGCTGTATTCCCTCTTGGTCATTTGGGTCGGCAGCTATCCAAGTATCCTTCCTTTTTGGCTTGCCTCTGCGCGCTTTACGACAGTTGTCGCACCCAGTTTCAGGTGACACTACACAAGCAGCAATTTGGGTCAGCGTGGGGCGTATGGGGGGCACTCCCTCTCACCCATTAGGGTCGGCAGCTATTCCAGCCTTCTTCCTTGCTGACCCTCTTCTGTCCTCTCCTCACCTCTCCCCTCTCGGGATTCGGGATTGGGTCTCCGTTGCTGCACATATCATGTCTTTTCCCCTCTCCTCTCCCCCTGCCGCCCTGCTGTCCAGGTTTGCGCCACTTGGAGCTGAGCGAGGTGCGCGGCCTGAGCGACGCCTGCCTGCAGCCCCTGGCCGCCCTCACCCGCCTGGACCACCTGGCTCTCCGCCTCACAGATCCGCAGCAGGGGAGGCTGGCGATGGAGGCGGGAGACGGCGCTGTAACACCCCCGGCGACACCCGCACGGGGCGGCAGCAGCCAGTCGGGTCCCGCCCGCCCGGTGGGTGCGGGTGGCGGGGTGACGCACCGCAGTCTGGCGCTGCTGCGCAACTGCGGCACGCTACGGCACCTGGAGTGGAGCCTGCCACAGCCGCTGGGGGCGCGGGAGCTGCTGGTGGGGCCGCTAGGGGGGCCGGCAGTGGGCGGGACGCCTGCGCGAGCACCGGCCGCCTCTCCTGCGCCAGCGTCGGCAGCACGGAACGAGGAGCAGGGCCGTGGCGGCGGGGGTACTCCAGGGCCTGCTGGTGGGGCTGGTGGGGCTGCTGTGTGCTCTCCTCTTGTTCCCCCGCCCTCGTCCTCTGCCTTGGGGGTGTTGATGACGCTGAGTGGGTTGCAGGAGCTGTCGCTGCACGTTGCCCCGGAGTTGAGGGTTGGGGGTAACGGCGGTGGCAGTTTCCTGGGCGGTAGCCGTACTGCAGTTGGGAGCGCGGGAGTAGGGGGAGGGGGAGGCGGTGGGGTGGGTGGTGCGGGAGGGGAGGCGGGCGGGGCGGAGGTGGTGGGCTGGAAGGAGCGGCTGCAGCGGGCGTTGCCATTGTGTGTAGTTGCGGAGCGGCCGGGCATTGTGATGTACGACTTGTGGAATGACCAGACGGTGCATTTGGTAGGAGGACAGTAATCGTACGTCGCACACGTGAGCGCCCGGGTCGGGGACTTGGTGTACATGACTACTTTCATCCGCAGCGACTAGACTCGCAGCGACTAGACAGGGAATTGGAACCGTGGGAAAGTAACGGTCAAGGGGCGTTGCAGTGCATTTTGCGCATGATGCCTAGCTATGCTAAGAATAAACGACCTCGGTGGTATGCCACAGTGATGATCACCTCCTACGGTGGGGGTATGGAGGCATGGGAAGGGCGGTCATTCTTCGGGTCCCCCTTGCTTCAGACCTGCCCAAGTTGACCTAACGGCAAAGCTTGCGGACCTGTAGCAGGCCGTAGATCCGGCTTGCCTGCCTGCCTCTGCACCTCGCATCGATATCGTGATCTGGGTCGGCCTACTGTTCAATTGTAACCAGGTTTTGGGCACTGTTTTTTTCAGCCCAACTGTATAGTGGAAGGAGCGTGCGGGGGCTGGCGCTGATGCTGCAGGGGGCCTTGGATGTGCTTGCAAGGCTTGGGCTCCATGCTTTGGTGGGAGGTTTTGTGGTACAAGTGGCACGCGTGGCTTGCGAGGAATAGCAGTTGACACGCGCATGCAGACGATATAGATAATATATCATGCGCGCCCATTGCGGTGTACTTTCATACGTGGCGATCAGTAGGGGTACAGTTATTTGGCCAAATTTTCTCACAGCTTCTTTCCTCGCGTCAATGTAGCATTCCTTTCACATGCCTTGGGGGCTCCGCCTGTTGACGGCACACGTTTAAACAAAACCATGTTATTGCCTGACACTTTGATAGCCCCCTCACTGCGCAATCATGCGGGTTGTGCTGCCGTGATAGGGGAACTGTGCATGCGGTTAACGGCACGGTTCCTATCAAACACAGAATGCACGTAGTTGGCGCCTCGGGGCTGCTTAAGACTAGCCATCCTTGCATACTCGGGGCATGCTTCCGACTGCATGACGTGCCTCCTAATTGGTCCTAATGGGATCCTCGAATGTTGCCGTGAACAGCAGCAGTGTGAGCAACGGATGGCATCTGTTGTCAGCCGCAAGCCCACGGCAAGCGCCTTTTGCCTGTCTCTGCCTCTTGTCATTTGCTTATTTCTATGCACTTCTGTGCCTTAGGGGCCTGGATTGCCAAAGGGGTGCGAGTGCTTGTGGCCTGAGGGGCCCGAGACCGCAGTACAGGGTTTGTGGCTTCCAACGCGGTTTTGCCAGTGAACGTGTCATTTCGTCCGGCTTGACTCCTAACCTGCTGCGCACCCATTACCGTGCGCGTCTTTAATAGCTCGATGTGCGTGGTTTTAGCCAAGCGGGGAAACTACTCCAAAACCATGAAGTACCAATATCATTACAAACATGCGTGCAGCTGGAAGCCGCCTGTAGCACGATGAAACCCTTCGGAGACCCTTTGATGCTAGTATCAATAAAAGCAAGGGCGTGTGAGCACCAAATTGGATGTTTTGCACCGTTAGAAGGGTGTTCAACAAGCAAGTACAAATGGTGACATTACAATGCAGCCCTCTTTAGCTGCGTGTATAAAGGTGGTGTTTAGGTTGCAGTCCATAACGGTTTCCCTGCCCCGAAGTTATCTGGATAGGTTTAAAGTCAACCAGTACGACGGGCGCCTAAAATGCATAAATCGCAGGAAAGCGTACGTATACATATATCCATGCACGATTTACCTTATTCTTGTACGTAAGCCATGCACGCTTTAACGCAGAACCTATAGAAAAACAAGTTTGTGTCGCGATGAAGACAAGTCTCTGCTGAACCAATATGGGGAATCTATGCGGGAAGCCTGATAGCAGTTCGCCTAAAGCTTCTGTTCCTGCACCACCGGCTTCAGCTACGGCCGCAGCTGGTCCCGCGTCCAAGGCGCCCGACGCAAGTATCACCCCTCTTCTAGCGCCCACCCCTGCTAAGCCGGCGCCGCCGCCACCGCAGCAATTAGCGTCACCAAAGTCGCCAGAGGCTATTCCAGCTGTTGCCGACGAGAAGCCTCCGGGCAAACGTCGGTCACAGGACCTCGACAACGGTGTAAAGCACGAGGAGATTGAACTCTTAAAGCAGAAATCCTCAGAGCCCATGGCCCCTGTTGGAAATGTAGCACCAGTTAACAGCCCCAAGGCTGTTGTGGAGCCGGCCGCAGAGCGTGCCTCCCCAAGAGCATCTGCTGGCTGTGCACCAGCAGCATCTGGGGCCCCTCCGTCTCAAGCGGCACCGCCTGCAGTCCCTAAGGAGCCAGTTTCTCAGCCGCGGCCAGGGTGAGGTGCTGGATATCCATTTCTGCATATATCTTGCCGACATTTCACATAGCTGGCCCTTCCTCTTTTTCAGGTCCAAACTCCGGACGGACGTTAAGCTTCGCGATGTGTACAAGCTTGGCAAAACCCTCGGCACAGGAGGTAAGTTTTAGTCAACCCTTCTTTGCCCACGACACGTCCTATACCTGCATTTGTTTGGCTTGCAGGCTTCTCTGTTGTCAAGCTAGCTACGGACCGCGCAACCGGCGTGGAGTACGCCTGCAAGATCATGGCTTTACCACCTGTGGGCCAGGAGGTTGGAGAGAACGAGAACACTCGGTAAGCGCAACTGCGTACATGCGCATTGCATGCAGTTGGTATCGGTTATGCTGGCTCCTTTATTTTCCCTACAGCGAGGACATCTTCAAAGAAATTGACCTGCTGTGCGGCATGAACCACGAGAACGTCATCTTCCTTAAGGAGTACTTCGAGGAGGGTAACAAGGTGAGTCCTGTCGCGTTTTCTTAGGCGTCCTCCAGGAGAACCTTTACCCGCACCTTTCGCCGTTGTGGCATTTAACGTTGATGTGGATGGTGACCTCGCAGGTTTACCTCATTACCGAGCTGTTAACGGGTGGAGAGCTCCTGGAGGCGGTACTCAAGCGGGGAAGCTACTCGGAGGCGGAAGCACGCCTGTGCTTCGTTCAGGTCCTCCGCGGTATTGAGTACCTGCACAGCAAGTAAGCCAGCCCTTTGTAGGGAGGGTGCCGTACTAACTTCCGGCGTCCGTCGGCAGCGGCATACTGTTGCTTGTTTATGCACAACCCAACAGCAGCGAGGATTCTTGCCAACCTCGCTTAGGCACCATGCGCGTTGCCCGAACCCATAGCTACTTCTCCCACTCTCGTACAGGAACGTCGTGCACCGCGACTTGAAGCTCGAGAACCTGCTGCTGGCCAAGCAGGACGACATCAGTCTGGTGAAGATTGCGGATTTCGGCTTGGCGAAGCACGCAGTTAACGGCATGCAGACGATCTGTGGGACGCCGCAGTACGTAGCACCGGAGGTCATTGTCGGCGCCAAGGGGCACGTGTACGGGCCCGGCGTGGACATGTGGAGTGCAGGTGTTGTGTTGTACATCCTGCTCGGCGGTTACCCACCTTTCTGGAGTGACAGCGAGCCGCAACTGTTTGACATGATCCGCAAGGGCAAGTACAGCTTCGGCGACCCCGTCTGGAACAAGGTATCGGAATGGTAAGTGTTTAGTTCATGTGATGTTGACTTCATGTGCTCCACCTCAGCGTGCTTGGCACTGGGAGGGTCGTCACCGTGCTTCGTTTTACGTGCGAGCTTACCCTTGGCTGATGATGCTGGCCGTTTCCTCCTAACCCACAGCGCCAAAGACCTGATCCGCAAGCTTCTTGTCGTCGACCCAACCAAGCGCCTGACTGCTACGGAGGCGCTTCAGCACCAGTTTATCCTGGAAGGCAACTTCAACCCGCCCTCGGAACCTAAGGGTAAGTATGGCTGGGGGCTTCGCGTGCTATGGGTTGGGCTCTCGCTGCGACTGTTGCTGGAGGGACTATGAACGCTTTGCTTTGTACGGCAGCGCAGGGGGCGGCTGTCCACGAGGGACTTACATCTGACTTGATCCTGATCGTGCCCATGCCCTTTGCAGGCCCACGGTAGTTGTGTGCATGCGCATCGAGGCTACCTTGGAAACGCGCTGGAAGTGCTGATAATGGATTGCGCTGGAATCCGTGATACAAAAGATGGCCGGCATATATAAATAATTTGGCCTTGGAAGGTGGAAAGTGCTACGCACTAAGTAACAAGTGTCGTTCGATGCAGCTGACCCGACTAGCTGGCATGTGTGAGCCCATCGTCAGGATGATCAGTGTGGGGCCGCTGCCAATTGTCCCTTCTCGCTTGTATAGCCTTAGGATATAGTCTCGTAATGCTTGCGCGCCGGCGGCACTGCATGGAATTTTTTTCGGCGGACATGGATGCAGAGCTGGCACGCGTAGCTGTAGGTCAATTCATGACATGACATGCTGACATCATCGCTGGGTGTTCTTGCTAAGTATTGCTTTTTATAGTGTATGGTACGAGCGACGTGGCGTGCGGTGTTCATAATAGTCAGGGCAAAAACCAATGCACCGTCAAACATTAGCTAGAGCGACACGGCCATGATAGCGTTGGTATCATGTAGATTACATGGGTGCATAAAACCGTTTGGTTTGTGTGTAGTTGTGATCCCATGCCAAACTTTTAGACCAACTAGAATGTAACAGTCACTTCCATACGTACGGCAGTCATAGACAGTCGCCAGCTTGCAGTAGTAGGCTAAGCCACCCTACGGACCTGGATAGCTACCGACAGCAGCCAACGTACAACAAGACAAGACTAACCTTCGTTGCCCTTCTTCGATACTGCAGCAGCCGCAACTGTAACGCTAGCAGCCATATGCTACGCCATTCCAATTACAAAGCCATACAGTGTGTTAGCAACGAAGTCCGTTGACTAGGAGGCGTTACAGGTGCTCCAACCCGAAGATGCGAACGTCCATAGAAGGCTGCTCCAAACTCTACCGTGCACGCCCACGGCCACGCCCACGGCCGCGCCCGCGACCTCTCCCGACAGCTGCAGGTGGCAAAATCGGGGGTGGCAGTGCGGGAGTACGCAACGGTTGTGGGTGCAGACAACAGCAACGACGCATGGAGACCCCGACCCATGGGGACCCCGTAAGTGCGCAGTACGTGTATACAACACAAACCTCACCTGTTCGAACCTTCGTGGGTCGCTGCTTGGGCTTGTCAATATCCACCAGCAGCGTGTCCAGGTTGAGACTGTCTGGCAGGATATAGTACCGAATAGTGTTGCCGCGGACGCTCAGATGGTCCAGGCTAACGGGGTTCTTGCCCCTGGGTGTCATTTTGACAGCTTTTAGGTGTGTGTTCATGGCAATGTCAACACCTGCGGACACCAGGCGGCGCAGTTTGCTGGGATTGTAATTGAGATTAATCCTCAATTAGGAGAGCATTTCGCATGTGTGGTTCGAAACGGTGGCAATAGCGCAAAAGTATTTCGCGCGGGTAGCGGCGGCCTGTATCTTACCAGCGATAGTTCCCTGAATGATCGTTCCATTTTTAAGTTCTATTTGTACCGTCTCATTTGCCAGCTTCATAAGGAACCTGTTATAAAGCCGTGACGAGTCAACAGAGCTCTCTTTTAATCCTTTACTGCTGCCAGGTGAGCGACGCACTTACCGCACGAGCTTCACCATGGTGTCTGCTAAGCCTCCTAAGCCCCAGCGCTAGCAGCCACCGACTGTGGCAACGTAAAAGGCTTCCAAGATCTCTGCTGCTCTTGCAATGGCAATAACTTCAAGGGTTCGCTATGAGGTAAACAAAATAGGGTTTCCGTCCTTTAACCCCTACTCTTTGCCTGGCAATGCTCGCTTGAGGGCAGCTGGAAGCCTGGAACGGAGGTTTGTACGGCATCGCTTGTTACGAGCCATCGAAGCCACCAAAGCTCCGCACGGCTTGCGACATTGCGAGCCAGCCAAGATTCTTAGGAAGATTGTAAGCACACCATTTGAGGCTTTCGACATTACTTATGGTGCACCGTAAGACGTATTGAGTGTGCATTTTTGAGACCTTGTTTTCCTCAGCCTTAGAGTCTATACCGGATATGAGCTTATCTCCTACCTTGTCGGTTCATGGCCCAAAATCTGGACTTTTGCTACGGAGAACAGTTTAGGTCGTCAGCGTGCTTTCCATTTTCAGTGATTATTATCTTGTGAATACAAGTAATTTAAGCATCGCGATGATGAGGCTACCCTTCTAGTACCGGAGACTCGGCATTGGCTGAGGTCGTGAGGACAAGACATCTAGACAAGAGCACGGAGAATGGAGGACCTTGCCACACGTTGCCTAAAGTACGGCGACACAATCTACTTGAAGGTGGATGGCAAGCAGGCCTTTGTCAGTGCACATGACCGCGCCACACCTCAGGTATGCGGGCGTCCTTAACCGATGTAACATGGCTGACATTGACGGCTTTGATGATGCCACAGTAGCCAATATGTGTTTTTATGTAAGCTGCACGGCTCTCATTTGGTTATCCTGCTTATGAATGGGCGTTCATGCTCTTGAACTCAACAAGCATACCACGTGGTCTCCTTGAAAGGTTGCCCGTTGCGCTATAATTCAATTTGACTTTGCCGCTGTATGACATGACCCGGGGAGGCCGTTGACCCAGGGGCCCAGTGACCCATGGCTATGACCTGAGTTTGCCCCGGTGGTGCACGATGCACGTTGCTTTGAAGCCGTACTTCCGTGTTCGTTTAGGTACGAGCTGAGGAGCTCTCGGATGCAGCAGAGAGCCCGCCGGACCTCAATGACTGCCTGTTTGAGGTATGTAAGGCTACAGGTCAAGTAATGCGGGGGTACGGAGGGGGCGAGGTGGGACGCAGTCTGGTTAGGATCCTGCTGGGCGACGCCGTTAACCCTACTACAAAGGAAGGCTGTTCGACTCAGCATCGCAGTTGAGCAGAAGGCCATATAAAAGAAGATGAAGCAGCTCTTGGGGACGGAAATAAGCAAAGGTTTAATACAACAGCAAGCCGTATGGACGCGGGCTATGGCCTTTTTCCAAACCGGCATCCGTGTACCGTAGCTCTAAAGTCTCTCCGATGTGTTTATCTGTGTAACACGCAGACGCCCCGCTCCCAACTCCTTACCGTTGCCCCGATAATCTTTACCCCACCGCAACAGGTCACTAAAAAGTACCAGTACACCCAGAAGAAAGCGCTGGTGCTTGAGCTGGCGCGACAGGGGCTGGTGCCGGAAGAGGTGCTGGGGGACAAGAGCATAGACGGAATCAGGTGTGGCGGTGGCTGGGCAGTGGAGAAAGGGGGCGGCGTGGAGGCGGCAGCAGGGCGGAGTTTAGCCAGGAGTTACCCACCTGCTGTTTAGTTACGATACTTGCTGCTCCCTCATTTCAACCGCCCCCCTCTCCACTCCACTCCCCACAACATGTATTCCCTGTCAGCGCCTTCGAGGCGCACATGGTGGCGCTGATTCCCAACGCCAAGCAGCGCAGCAAGCTGCTGCGGCAGTACCGCGTGTTCGTGCGCGAGCGGGACACCAACGAGCAGGAGGCGCTGCAGGTGGCGGGCGAGTCGGTGCTGTACGGCCAGGTGAGCAGGCGCAAGGGGCAGGCGGGGGCGCGGCAGGGGGGGTGGGACACGGGGGCTGTGGAGTAGGGTAAAAGCGGGGCATGCAGAGCAGAGACTAAGCGGGAAGGGAGTCTGCAAGCAGGTGTAAAGGGAGCCTGGCGAGTAACAGCATGAGCACGGTCCTCCTCGTGGCCTTCCATTCACACTGCCTTCCTTACACCACCACCAACTAATACAACTCCCAGCACAAATTCGCCCCAGCCAGCTGACTAACCAAACCACCCCCATTCGGCCCAATGTGCACAACGCCCTGTGCACGCGCCCCCACCCTCCCTCATCCCCATCACATTGCCCTTCAACCGTTCCCCTCCACACCACACCACACCACTCCCCCTGCACAGGTCATCCAGCTACGCCACGTGCCCACCGGCAAATTTCTGACCATCAAGCGTACGGCAGCTGACGTGGCCCGCGGCGCGCTCAAGGTGGTGCTGGAGGCGGGCGGGCAGGAGGGCTCCTGGTTCCAGGTGTTCTCGGGGTACCGCACCAAGCCCGAGGGCGCCAAGCTGGTTCCGGGCGAGGTTGTGGCGTTCAAGGGAGTGGTGTTCAGCGGCAACGGACTGCACACCTCCGTGGGGGACATCTGGGACCCCTCCATGCTGCCGGTGGATAGGCACCCCTACGTGACCTCGTCTAAGGAGGTGGGTGTGTGGGGGGTGTGGAGGGGTGCAAGTGGGGCGAGAGGGGGAGTAGGTGAACGGGGCTTTCAACCGTTCGTTTGAAGCAAAGATGGTTGCTTGGTCTTTGCCGCCACTTGCTGAGGAGGCGCCGCGGTGCGTTAAAGAGTGCGCGTTGGCTTCCGGCGGGACGCCGATTGCGGTGCCTATTGGCTGGGCAGAACGTGGACGCGTGAGGGCACGGGACGGAGACGGGGCATAACGCATAACTCGAACCCAGTCCTGCCTCACCTCCCCGGTCGTCCTCCGCCTTTCTTTCACCCCCGGTCGGTCCTTCATTAACCCTTTGCCGTCCCTCCGTCCTTCCCATTCCCCAGGTGTGCGCCTCCCCCGACGTGACGGCCTTCAAGGTGATCCCCTTCTCCATGCACCCCAAGGTCTGCCCGGCAGTCAAGGACCGCCTGTGCGGCCTCAACTCCGTTTCCATCCAGGTGGGGGCAGGAAAGGGAGGAAAGAGCGCTGCTGAAGGGGAATGAGGCTGTGTCTCGACATGCGGGCGCAGACAAGCCTCGCCTTGAGGAAATCACCACACTCCCCCCCCCCCACACACACACCTTCCCAATTGCTTGCTCTTGTCCTACTCAACTACACACACACACCTTCCCTCCTAAGCCGAACTCCTCCACTCCCTCAACCCTGGCCCCCTTCATAGGACCTGGTTGCCAACACGGTGTACATCAACTTCCTGGGCGCCCTCAACGACAAGTACCTCTACTTCGAGAGCCCGCTCACACGCCCCGATCCGAGCAGGGTGGGCGGGCCCGACTGCTGGCGAGTGGAGCTGGTGGTGGAGGGGGTGAGTGGTGGGCTGCAGGAGAGGAGGGTTTGCAGACAGGGAGAGAGGGTTAAGATGAGATCGGCTTCAGAGTGTTGTTCAGTGTATTGTTGCGTGGTAAGGTGAGGAGGTTGGTAGGAGAGGGGAGGGGAGGCATGCGCTGCGGTCGGTACCGGCAAGTCCATTTGGTAAGCGATGTCACAGGTCGTCATGAAGGTCTTTAGCCTGTCCTAACCGAATGCGGAATATGTAGCCTGGCCCTCCTCCCACCCCTTGCTCGCAGTCTTTCAGTCCTTAAACTGTTACACAACGCAACTTCCCCACCTTGAAACCGCAGCGCTCAACAGTACTAATCCCCGGTTTCCAACTCCCCCGCCTCGCTGCTCCCTGCAGGGCGCCTGGTGCGGCATGCCCCTCAAGAACGGCAGCCAGCTGCGCATCCGCCACCTGCCCACCGGCACCTACCTGGCCGCGCTGTCAGGCAAGGCCAAGGAGGCGGGCAGGGCGCTCAGGGGGCGCAAGGCGGGCTCCTCGCATGCGCTGGCAGCGGCGGCAGCTGCACAGGCCAAGGAAGGGGGCGCCGCAGCAGCAGGGGACGCCGGTTCCGACCCCTCCCAGCGCGTGTCGACAACCGGGGTTGGCGCGAGCCAGGCGGCGGTGCTGCGCAACGCGGTGGCGACGGCTGACGACGTGCTGCATGACGAGGCGTTCCGGCTGGTGCTGACGCGGCGCTACAACGTGCCGGACACGCTGTGGGAGCTGCACACCTTCACCAAGGAGGAAGCGGTGGGATGCGAGGGAGGGGGAAAGAGGAGGCGAAGGGGTCCGCTAGGGTCTGCATGCGGGTTTGCTGGCGGTTAGCAATTACTACATGCGTGCCCTACCAAGGAACGCATTGACGCGATCAAACACAGGCCATGACATCCCACCTCACCTTCCTCATTCCCACCTCCTGCCCTCTCCAGGTGGGCAGTAAGGCGTACGCCTTCTTCAAGCACGTGGCCACACAATACTGGTTGAGCGGCGCGGGGCCGCCCATCCCGCAGCCCGACAACGGCGACCCAGACGACCCGCAGGTCCGTGGGTCGGTGGACTCAGGGCACCGGTGGGCAGAGGGGCGTGGCGGTGGCAGTAGGGGCGCAGGCGTGCCGGTGCTGGTGGGGCGGCTGCCCGCCGCTGATTCCGCCGGCGGAGAGCGCGGGCGGGGTCAGGTGGGCGGCGGCGCCTGCGACCGATTGGTTTAGTGTGTTGTCGCGTGTTCATGCATTTGTCGTGCGTTGTGCATGTAGGCTTGCATCCTGTTTTCCTGTGTAGGTCCCTTTCTGTGGTTTTGGTGTTCATACCTTGGTTGTTCGTTGCCATGCATGCATCAGCGTGAAGCATTCGTCGCTGCGCGTATGCCTGGTGTGTAGAGCACTGCTGCTAGGCATGTCCATGCATTGCTCTGCTTTGTTGGCAAGTGTTACTGAGCAATAGAGAATGTATCTAAGCATGTATGCATGTTTACATCGCTAAAGTTGAGCATTCCTGTTTGGTGTCCATTTTGATGCACCCGTTGTTAGTTAGTTCAGTTGCGTGTTAGCATTTGGCATCCTCTATGTGCACATGGTAAGTTTTGTGTCAGCATCGGAGCGACGCACACGATGTGACCACCTGTATTTAATGGCGGTGGTGCGAAGCATGTGCTCATGCACGCATCAGCAAAGCATGTGTGCTGCATGCATGCAGGTGTATATGAGTTGGTGTTGGGAATGTTTGTTCATGCATGCATGTAGGTATACATGAGTAAGTGTTGAAGGGGGATTGTAGATTGGTATGAGGTGCCTCCGTGCAGCGTACTGGCGTGGGGGCGAGAGTTGTGGTTGGAGTCGTGTGGAGCTAGGAGGGTGTCAAAGCCTTCTTGGGAGGGGTGGTGTACTCGTTTTTCAGCTACCTTCGCTGACAGGTAACGGTTTGCGGGATGAGGGTTGGTCATGGCACGATAGAGACGGAAGGAGCTGGTTCGCACGCCCTGTCGAGCTTCATGCTGCATGGGAAGGTCTCCGGCGCTGGTTTGGGGCTGGGGCACTTCTCTCCCCATCCCGTGCATGCAGATGCGTGCACCTCCGCGCTCCTGCTCCCCAACCCTACCCCCCATGCCTTCTTGCGTCCAACCATTGCGACCCCCTTGAGGTCCCCTCGAGGGTCCAGGGACACCACCCACGCGGCCGCGTCTTGTGTGGTGCGGTGCCCTGCAGAGCTTGGTCAATAGGTCATGCTCCCTTGGCCGGCAAGCGACGTTCGCAATGCGGGGAACAGCTGCAACTGCCTGCGCAGCGCCACTAACTGAACAACCTCCGCAACTTTGTTACCATGGTTGCCTTCTCCATCGCTCCACACGTGCCACGCCCACGCAAACCACCCCGCATACCCTTCTCCTCCCTCGATCCCCTGTCCCGCCCACCCCCACTCCTCCCATCCCAAGCCCACCTCCCTAGCCCCTTCCCTTGCCCCCCCTCCATCCTTCTCCACCCGCAGGAGGAGCAGTTCTATCCCATTGTGCACCCGGAGAAGCTGGAGCGCAACGTGATGCTGGTGGTCAAGGTGTCGGACGATTTCACCGCAAAGGTAAATGAAGTGCAGTAAGAACCGCGCAGTTGCCCGGGGTCGTTGCGGTGAGGTGTAGGGCGCGGAGGGTGCGATGCCACTTTGGCCATTGGCCATTTGGTTCCTCCTCCCGCCCCCAACCTTCCCTCTCCTCTCTCGCACCCCACCCGCCTCCTCCCCTTCATCTCCCCCTACAGATCCAGGACCTGCAGCGCGCCATGGTGCTGCTGAAGGAGCTGCGGCACGCGCTGAACAAGGAGAAGATAGCGCCCGAGAGGGAGCTGCTGGAGCTGGTGGCGGCGGACAAGGAGGAGCAGGTGGGGAGGAGGAGGGCATTTAGGGGAGCAGGGAAGGGAGGAAAAAAGGGCGGAAGGGCCGCTTGGGGGGTTGGGGACAGTAGGGCTAGGCATATGAACAGGGCACCCGGTGAGGTGGCTGCCTTGGTTCGTAAGGAAGGGGTAAACTGGCAGCCCCTCCGGTGAGGTGAGGTGCATAAGGCTTGTATGGCTCCTTATCGGTTCTTTCGTTCACACACCAGGTTCTCCAATCGCACGCCCCACCGCCAAAACAGCGCGGCACCCTCTCCCTGTTGCGTTCTATCCATCGCCCATTCACCCCTTGCATGTTCCTCCCCACCCTTTCCCCTGTCCCCTCTGCCGCCAGGTCCTGGAGGCCCTCGCGGCGACCCACTACCCCGACAAGATCCGGCTGCGCTACCCCGCGTTGAAGCGCGTGCTGGCGGACCTGGTGCGCTGGCTGGACCAGAACACCTGGAGCGAGGGGGCGCCGCACAGGGAGTACCAGGTAGGGGCGGAGGGGGGTGAGGCATGGAGGGGGCGTACTGGTAGGCGGTAGCAGGGGTGGCGGCTTAGGCAGAAGGACTGGGGGTAGGAGGGCGGGGGAAGAGAAGCAGGGAGGAGGAAACAAAGGAATGTGGGTTTGCGTCTTCCTTGCATACCGTACCCGCTCTGTCGCCCCTCCGGCCCCTGTATCCCTGTATATGTACCCCACCCTGCTCCCCCCCCACCCCCCCTTGCCCCCCAGGTCCTGCTGCGCGAGCTGGGTCTGGTGGACCTGCTGGTGCAGTACATGGAGGCGGCGCGGGTGCGGTTGTTCGCGGCGAGCGGCAAGCTGCGGACCACACGGCTGGGGCAGTGGGTGGTGGACAGCGGCAAGCAGTGCCACAGGTGGGATGGAGGCAGAAGGGCGGGGCGGGGGAGGAGGGGGTGGGCCTAGCGGAAGGGGTCGGGATATACAAGACTGGCAGGATACCATGCTTCGGCTCTTGCAGTCTCTAGAGTGTTCCTCCCTTCACCTTCCCAACCTCCCCCCTACCCCTTCCCCCCCAGGATTCTGCAGCTGGCTTGCCAGGGCAACGAAATCAACCAGGCCTACCTCTCCCGCTACGCCGCCATGGTCATGTCGCACCTCTCCCACCCGCTTACCGCGCCCGACACGCTGGCCGCCATGTACGAGGACAACATGGCGCAGATGCAGACGGTGTCGCCAGACATCGTGGCGGCCAGCGTGCGGCTCATCCGGCTGCACGGCCAGCAGCCGCGCTTCATCAACTTCCTGCGCCAGATCTGTGGCACCCGGGAGCGACCCATGCCCAACAACCAGGTGGGAGCAGGGGTGGCGGGGGGAGGGGGGTGGGCGGGGTTCCTCACGGTGCTCATTGTAGTGAGGATACGGCTCGTTGGTCATTCCTAGTGGCCATGTTTTCTCGCGCTTGTCTTCTGTAAGCCATAACTGACTTGCCTGTCCATGTGACAATACTTCAGCCCTGCCCCCTTTCCCCCTCCTGCCTTTTCTCTTAACTCGCTCCCGCACAACCGCACTCGCTCACCCGCTCTCTATTACCACCACTCCTCAACCGTCCCCCCCATCGTCGCGCCTTCCAACCCCCAATCCCCAGAACTGGATCGTGGCTGAGACGCTGGGCTCGGGGCACGACCCGCTGGACGTGTTCTGCCGCGCCGGCCCCGCCAGCCTGCCGGACAGCGCGGGGCAGATGCGGGAGACGTGGGCCATCACGTGCCGCCGCAGGGGTGGGTGCGGGGATGGACGAATGGGGGAGATGGGGGGCGGGAAGGGGAGATAGAAGCCCTGGCATGTGCCCGTACAACCCTGCATACACCCTGATGGGCTGGTTTGTAAGGGTCCAGCGGTGGCAACTGCGTTCGAACCCTTCCTGGGGCGTCATCAGCCTCTCGTACCGTATGCTACGTTCACGGACAGTACCTTATTCATGCGGCTCAATCTGCTCCCTCCCTTCCTCCCTCCCTTGCTCTCCCCCTTCAGACGACCCCAACCAGTTTGTGGTGGTGGACACCAGCCAGTTCTGCCACGACGTGGAGGACCTCACCAAGCGGTCCATTCGGGTAAGGGAAATAGGTAAACTGAGCCGCAAGGAAACACTGACCGGGTGGACGGGTATACGGGTAGGAGGGGGCATGCAGTGCCGTAGCAGGGGGGATGCTCGGGCGCTCGGCGGGAGGGAAGGTCGCGTCCCGGCCGCTTGGTTGGCCTTGCGCTTCAGTGTGCGGAACCTTTGCGCCTCCCCGGTATTGGTGCTGCTCCTGTAATCCCGTTTTTCCCCTCCAGGCCCTCCATGAACCCCTTCCTGCCGCTGCCTCTCATGTCATGTCGCTTCAGCTTATCATTCGCACCGCACCCCTTCCCCGGACCCCCCTGCCAACTCGCACAGGAGTGGGACCTGTCGGGCGAAGACAGCTTCAGCCCGCGTGAGATCTTCATCTACTACTGCTACAGCCTCAAGTTCATCGTGTCGCTCTGCTACGGCCGCAACAGCCTGGCGCGGGACCACATTCTGCGCGCCTCGGAGCGACATGGGCTGGGGCTGGAGTTCGGCGCGCTGCTCAGGGCGGTAACCGACAACCGCCTGCCGTACGGCATGCGCAGCTACCTGATGCAGGTACGGTGCGAAGCGCAGTGTGTGCAGTGCCGTTCAGTCTAGTGTGATGAGGTTGAGCAGCTTTCCTACCTCACCACACCTTTCTGGCCCCCCCGGCTTCCCCTGCCCCTTCCCCTCTTTCGCTTGCACCTGCAACGGTCCAACCTCTCACCCACCCCACCTCCCCACCCTCCCCTCCCTCCCCCCCGCCTGCAGGTCCTCCGCGCCCTGTACGTGGACATCGAGCCCTACCAGCCGCTCAAGCTGCCCCGCCACGTGCGCATGATGTCGCGAGCGGGCGCCATGCGGCTCAGCCTGCTCTCCGCAGCCAACTCGCCCACCATCAACATCCTCATCGCCACACTGCTGGCGGAGCTGAAGGAGGCGGTGGCGGCGCCGGCGGGCTTTGACGGCACGCATGGGGAAAAGGCGGCAGCAGCGGATAAGGTGGGATGAGGCGTGGGGGGGGGGGGTAATGTGATGGGGCGGGGAGGATGTGGGGCTGGGGGCGGGGTACAGGCCTCATTGCCGTTGCTTCTTATGCACATGTCTTCTGCATGCGTCACATGTAGTCCTCCTCGCCAACATACGGTAGTATTGAAACTCCCAACGGGTGTCCTTTAGCCGCTGCGGTTATTGCACACCTGCTCCCTTGCCCTGCCCCTGCTCCGAGCCCTGCCCCTGCTCACTCCCCTCCCCCCTCTCCGGTCTGCTGCTGCTTCTGCTGTCCCCTCAGGGCGAGGAGGCGACGGATGACGCGCTGGAGCGCGGCGAGCGAACCGTGGGTCGCAACATGCTGGTGCTCAACATGCTCAAGCTGGTGCACGAGATGTTCCGACTGGGCATGATGGATCTGGACTCGCCCGTCACGCAGGTGGGGGGTGGGGGAGGGCAAAGAGGAAACATCTAACTGACCGTGTGGGGGAGGGCGGAGGACGGGGTTGCATGGGGGGAAGCCGGGAGGTGACAGGTCCTGGTTGGGTAGGGGGCAGGACGACGACTTGTTGTGGGGCCGGGGAGCGGCTGGGTGTGGCTCGTTGGGTGGAGGCGCGCCTGTAGTGGAGGTTTACGGCAAGAGCCGGCAGGCTTAGCGGAGCCGGCAACTCCTCTCGCCCTCCCTGTCGCCCCCCCTCTCCCCCCTCAGGAGGTGTTGCTGGTGCTGCTGGAGCTGATTCAGAAGCTGGACTCGTTGCCGCTGGACATGGTGGAGAGGTTCAAGAGGAGGTAGGAGGGGGTTGCATGCAAGGGGACTGGGCAAACCATCCAGTCGTGATTTGGGGAGAGCCACTAGCCAACGCTTCGCTCCCTCCTGGGCCCTTTTCGACACCTCCTCTCCTTCTCTTTACGGCTCCGCTTCTCCTAGCCCCACTGCTCCCTCCCCTCCTTCCACCTCCTTTCCCCGCGCAGCTACTCCTCCAAGGTTGTCATGGAGGCCAAGAAGGAGGCCATGAAGACCATCGACTTTGCGCTGGACATGAAGAGCGAGGAGCAGTGCGCCGCCATATTCGAGTACTTCGCCAGCTGGCAGCGCAGCCCCGAGCGCCAGGAGTACTGGGCGCGGCGCCAGGCGGCGGATGCGGCCGGCAAGCGCAGGGGCGGCAGCGGCGGCGCGGTGGCAGGAGTGGCGGCGGCGGGAGAGGCAGCGGTGGCGATGATTGGGGCGGCGGGCAGCAAGGCGATTGGGGCGGTGCAGGCGGCGGCAGGGTGAGTGGAAGGGGAGGGGGTAACTGGGGGAATGCGGGAGGTGTTGGGTTTTACCATGCCTGGTAAGTCATGTTCCGACGGTTTATTCCCACCTGGTGGGGCGATGAGCTTCTAGGTGCGTGATCTCGTGTTGGCTTTTCCCAGGCGCGGAGGTAGCAGCGTGCTCATGCCGTGCTATCTGTTCATGAGTTCATGACGCACCTTCACGGTGCCTTTGTCGCTGTTCACCCCATGCCCCCTCCTTCCCTCACTCGCCCCTGCAGCCTGCTGGGCGGCCCCCGGGTGCGCTCCGGCGCCTCCCTGCTCAGCGGCGGGGGCAGCAGCAACAAGGTGGCCCCCGCACCCTCCACCGCCACCGACTCCGCCGCGCGAGACCCCGAGGCGCCGCCACCCGCCTCCAAAGACAGCACAAGCGGCGCTGCCGGTGCTGGTGCTGAGGTTGCGGGAGGCGAGGAGGAGGGGTCGGGCTCCTCGGACTACGGCGGGCTGATGCGGTGGGTGTCCTCCGCGTACGACCGCCTGGCCGCTGACAACGAGGAGGACGACTTCCCGCTGTTCCGGCTGGACACGCTGAGCGACACGGAGCCGCTGCACCGGCAGGAGGCCAGCCCCGTCATGAAGCTGCTGGACCTGGCCAGGTGGGGAGGCACGGGGGCCGGGCACCGGCGTGCAGGCGTTCACAAGAAGGCACGGACTCTGCATATCGGTATCGGTGCCCTCCTTCGCAACCCGCGGCCCCCGATCTGGCGCCGTTGCGCACACCCCTACTAGCTCGCTTCCTTCATTCCTTGTGGTTCACCGCCTCCCGCCCCACCCCGCAGGTACGAGGACCAGGACCTGACCGCCAAGACCTTCCAGCTGCTGGAGCGGCTCACCAGCAAGCGCGAGAAGCTGCTGGGGGAGCTGATGCGCACCTTTGTGGTGACGGATGACGACCTCATCGCGCTGGCGACATGGGCGCTCAAGCAGGTGGGGGGGGCGTGTAGGGTGCCGGGCAGGGCAGGGCGCGGTGAGGTATGCCTCCTCGCTCTCTGCGCTGGGGCCGGGGTTGGGCTGTGGCCCTTGTGTGAGTGTCGAGTTTCGATCCACAACCGCATGCGCACTCCTCATCCCTGCTTGCCGCTTTCCCTCCCCTCCCTCCCTCCCTCCTGGTGCCTGCAGGTTGAGGTCGCCCAGCACGCGTACAACTACCTGGGCTCGCTGGACCCGCGGGAGAGCCGCGACGCCTGCAACAAGGCGGCGCAGGCCATCGACGCGCTGACCAGCCTGCTGGTGCCCTACTCCAGGATAGACATCGGGGGCGGCAGCATCGAGGAGGCGGCAGCAGGCGGGGGAAGGGGGGCGGGCGGGGCGCCGGAGCGGGTGATTGTGTCCCGGACGACGGCCGCGAACTGCCAGTACCTGATGTACGACATGCAGGTGGGCGGGGAGTCCTATAACGGGGGTCGTTTACTACGCATTGCTTGACTGTGCGGGGTGTGTTTGGGAGGCCTGGCTAGCATGTTGCTGGCTACAGAAGTGGAACGAGGGCAGATGAGGCCCTAGCGTCGTCCCCAGGCTGCCAGCCTCCTCCCGTCCTGCTCCTACCCGCTGTCACCCCCCCTCATACTCGCCCATGCATCCCCACCTTTCCCCCCTCTTCCTCTCCCTCTTCTCCCCTCCCGCTTCAGATCCACCTCATGGTCCTCAAGTTCCTGAAGCTGCCCCTGCGCCGCAAGCCCAGCGCCAACCCCCGCGAGATCCAGCAGGCGGAGGACCCCGCCCGTCTGGAGGTGTTCCGCGCCTGCCTGGCCTTCCTGCGCCACTTCATGGTGGTGGGCGACCTGGAGGCGGGGGCCGCGTGCGTGTACTCGCACCCCAACCAGGTGAGGGAAGGGGAGGGGGGCGGACAGGGGCGGCGGGGGTTACGTAGCTGCCGCAGCGTCGCACCCCAACCGCTACGGGTGAAGCCAGGTCGGTGTGTGTTTCGGGGGTGCTGCTCCTGCGTTTGCAATACCGGTATGCAAGGCAGCACACCGCATGCTGCTGCGTCCATACGTACGACCTCCTTCACTCCCCTGTCCCCTTTCCCGTCGGGCCCCCAACCGGCACCTCCTGACCCATCCTGCCCTCCTAGGATAGTGTCTCCGCATCCGCCCACTGCATGAGTCGGAAACTGGGATTGGGACTCCAGTTGCCTCACTTCTCATGTGTTATCCCCCCTCGCCAGGCTGCCGTGCTGCCGCACCTGGGCCTGCTGCTGTCCTTCCTGGACACCCGCGGACTGCCCACCTCGGACACCGTGTCGGCGCTGTTCGTGGGGAACAAGGTGGGCTGGGGGCCGGGGGGGACTGTACTGGCGGAGGAGTAATCGTCCGCTTGCTCGGGCTGCTTGCTGTGTGCAAGTATGGTAGTCGCTGGCATCATGGGTCTCCCTCCTACCCCTCATCCCTCCGCCTCCGCCACTCCCATACCCACCCTCAGGCCAATGCGGTAGCCGAGGGCGAGAAGGTCATCCGCAAGCTGATCAAGCTCATCATTCGCTACGGCGACAAGCAGCACGCGGGCTGGCTGGAGCTGCTGGGTGAGAGGGAGGGTGACCCGTGGGTCGGTGGAGGGGCTGGCGGGCTGCTGAGGACGTTGCGGATGGGTATACGGATAACGTGCCTGGATATCGCAACACCGGGTTACCTTACTTGGTCCAAAGGCCAACACCACCATGAAGTCTTACGCTCTTACCCCGTCCCGTCCCTGCTCCCCTTCTTCCCCCCTCCTCCTCCCGCAGGCAAGGTGATGGTGGTGGAGGGCGCCCCCCTCAAGCGCAACCAAATGGTGGCGCTGCAGCTGCTCACGCAGTACGACGAGACCGTGCTGGAGCTGCTCACCGGCCCCGACTCGGGCGGCCTGGAGGAGCTGGCGGCGCTGCTGGCCTCGGAGCGCCTCTCCGCGCGCCCCTCGCCCGAGCCGCCCGTCTCGCGCCTCGCCTACCACACCGCCTGCGTGCAGCTGCTGGCGGAGTGCTGCACCGGCAAGGAGCCGGAGCTGGTGGTGCGCGCGTCCGGCTACCTCAGCCTGGCGCAGGTGCTGGACGTGCTGCTGCTGCAGCCCAGTGAGGAGGCGGGCGTGAGCGAGGCCAACGTGCGCTACGTGCAGCGCGCATACTGGCGGCTGCTGCAGCACTGCTACTTCGCCACGGACACCGACAACACCAAGGTGCAGGTGCGGCACGGAGGCAACCGCATCTGGCCGCTGCAGGAGGAGGGGGAGGAGGGTGCGGGCGGAGAGCGGAGGGGCGGCGGCATGGGGATGGGAGAGGAGGCAGCGGGTGGCGAGGGCGGTGGAGGTGGAGGTGGGGGAGCGGGGCTGCTGATGCACCGCTTCCTGGACCTGCCTGCGGGTGCTGACCGCAAGCAGCTGGGCGGTGGGGGCGGCAGGTGCCTGGTGCAGGCGGTGCTGGAGGAGGTGAAGCGCGCGCTGGCGGAGCCCTCGGACGCGCTGGCCAACGCCGACAGCGCCGCCTTCTTCCTGTCCACCTGCGTCTTCCCCGCGCTGGCAGAGTACTTTGACAACCACTGGCACAGCCACGTGGCCAAGCTGCCGGCGCACCCCGCGGTGATGCTGGCAGGTGGGTGGTGGGGGGGTAAAAATAAGGGGACACTGACGAGGCAACTCACGAGCTGGGGGATGGGGGAAAGAAGAAGCCCCACATGTGGCGCGGGGAGATGAGGGAGGGGAGGCTGCTCAACAAACGATATGGATACACAACGGTGTGGATTCTCATGTTTTCCCGTCCTTTCTTTTTAGCTTTTTATCGCTCCCCACATCAACCCCTTCCCCGCCGCACCACCAACCCAGATCTGTCGAGCCACCTGGTGGAGCTGTACGGCAGTCTGCGGCGGCTCAAGGATGTGGCCAACAGCCAGTCCGTCAAGGCGGAGATCAAGTGGGTGCCTTACAGGGTTGTTCAGGGACGGAGGGAGGGAGAGAGGGTACCGGTACTAGGTCGAGCTGACTTCCGCTGCTGGGTACTTCTTCATGTCCCATGGGTCGCCAGAGGCCAGTGGCTTGGCCGCTCCCCGCCTCCACCACCCCTTCCCTCCTCACACCCTCGCGCTGCCTTCCCTTCCCCAGGATGGCGCAGGCCAACATACGCTCGCTGCTGGCCGCCATGCCCCCGGAGACGCATCCGCCTGAGGCCGCAGCCATACTGGGCAAGACCACTGCCGCAGCAGCGGCCGGGGTGGCGGGTCTGCTGGCTGCCCCCGGCGGCAAGTCCTCCGCGCCCTCCACCTCGCAGCGCACCACTCAGTCCACCAGCAGTCAGAAGGTGGTGCAGCGGGAGTGGGTGCTCTTCCTGAGGCGGCTGGCGGAGCAGGTGGGTGGCAGCAGGGAGACAGGGGGAGCAGCGGGGTAGCTGGAGGGTGGGGACTCCGTTTGCTTCTTCGAATGCCGGTACCCCCTGTTACGCCCCTCTCCTCCCCTCCTGCAGGTGAGTGTGGAGCTCAACCCCGCCAGCCACGAGATCGTGGAGGTGCTGCACTCCAACGCGCTGGTGGCGGCGGCGGCCTCCTCGCTAGGCATGGGCGACCGCACACCCGTGTTCGAGCAGGTGGGGGGGGAGTGGGGGGGGGTAAACAATATAATGAGACACTGACGATGCAACTGACGAGCTGTATGACAAGTGTGTGTGTGGGGGGGCGGAGGGTGGTGGCATGGGCGGGGCAGAACGAGGCGAGGTGGCTCACAATCCGACTTGGCTCCTAGGATGGTGGCTAACCTTTCTGTGAGCCCCGCAAGTGCATTCTTACGGCCTCCTTTGCCCTCCCCCTCAGGCCGCGCTGTTGCGCCTAGCCCGGCTGTTTGCCTCCCCCTACGGCCGCCTGGTGCCCTGCTCCAGCCCGCCCATGTGCTTCGAGGAGCTGATGGCCATGCTGTGCGAGCTGCTGGCCTCACGTGGGCGGGGCGGGAGCAGGGGCAGGGCGGACGGCGGGGGCGGAGGTGGGGGTAGCGACGGCAGTGGCGGTGAGGGGCGGCTGCAGGTGGGCCCTGCGGACTGGCGGCCCGAGCTGCTGGTGAAGCTGGTGCGGGTGGTGCGGGCGGCGGTAGTGCTGGACGACGGGGCGGGGGCGGCGGACAGCGCGGCGCTGCGGGACGCCTGGGCGGCCATGGGGTGAGAGCTGGGGGGCAGGGGCAGGGGAAGGGAGGGGAGGGGAGGGGAGGCTGGGTGCGGTGTTTGGAGGATGGGAAGCCACAACTGGAGGCAGGAAGGGGTGGGCTGCATGATGGCAGGTGTTTGGGGAGCCGCGCGGTCTTGCTAGCTTGCTAACCTGCTAGTGGGACCCGCGGTCGCGGTACCTCACCTGACGTGCATGCCCCATGTTTTCTGCACATCAGGTTTGCCACAGCCGCTCACTCTCGACGACATCCTCATTGTCCTCCCTCCGCCCTCCCTCCCTCCGCCTTCCCTCCCCCAGCCTGCTCCGTGTCGACTCGGAGCGGGTGACCGAGTGGCACCCCCCCTCCGCGGCCCGACTGGAGTGGCGGCAGGGCAAGTACGACAAGCTGGGCGCCACGCGGGCGGCCGCCACGCTGCTGGCGCACCCCATGCCGGAGGTGCAGCTGGAGGCGCTGCAGCTGCTGGACGTGCTGCTCAAGGTGGGCCGGAGGAGGGGGGGCGGGAGGGGGTAGGAGAGCCCCAGCCCCAGCATGGAAGCACTGCAATCCCGCAACCCCATGGGCTGGGGTGGGGATGCAGCCGCTGGACGTTGGCTGCTCAACGGTGTCAATGCTGCCCTCTGGCAGGGCGGTTGCACGCAACCGCCCCTCCCTAACACGCACAGCCAGCGCTTCCCTTTCCGTTCCTTCTCACGCCTCTCGCCGTTCCCCTCCCTCCCTCTTCCCCTTCCCCCTCCCATCCCTTCCCTTCCCTCTCCCCCCCCAGGGCAGTAATACCTCGGTGCAGTTCACGCTGCATGACGTGCTCAAGGACGGCTCCCCGCTGGCCGACGCGGTGTTCGCCAACGGCAAGGCCGCCTTCGACCGCTGCCGCAGGTACGTGGCGCAGCGCACCTACGGCGCCCGGCTGCGGGAGGCGCCCAAGCGGAAGGCCACGGAGCTGGCGGAGGAGGCGAAGAAGGGTGGGTGGGGACTGGGGCGGGAGGGTGAGAGGGGTGCGAGAGGGGGCAGGGGGTTGGGGTCCTGCTGCCCAACCCACCTCGCATGGGTGCCCCCTCTGGTGTCCGCCACCACCCTAACCCAAGCCTCCTCGCTTCCTCACTCCCCTCCTCACTCACCACCCTAAGCAACAAGGTGACACTCTCCTACATGCCTACCCTCCCCCCCCCGCCTTCTCCCGCACAGCGGTTGCTGGCGCGGTGAACGCGGTGCTGTCCCGGGGCAGCATGGTGGCGGGAGTGGCGGGCTTGCTGGGCAAGACGGTGAGAGGACCCCCGCAGAGGGCGGGGGGCGGGGCGGGCGGCAGCGCAGGACCCACACTGCAGCCCCACACATAGCCAGCTAGGCGTGCGCTGGCGTATGCCTGGATGTTCGTTACCCCGAGTCACGCCTACTTCCCACTAGCCCCCTCCTCGCCGCCTGCATACCTCGATTCAACTCCGCCTCCCCCTCTTGCCTCCCTCCCCCCCCCTCCCCCTCAGGTGATCAACACGCTGGCCACCACGGGTGTGGCGGCCCGGGACGCGGGCGCCCGCCTGGTGGCCGCACCCAGCCGCCCGCAGCGCACACTGGCGGGGGCGGCAGCGGCGGCAACATCGGCGGCGGCGCTGCTCAAGGCAGGGCCGGCGCCAGCAGCAGCAGCAGCGGCAGGAGCAGCAGCGGGGGGTTCAGGTGGGGAGGCGAGGCAGCGGGGTGGGGAAGCGGCTGGGTGGGGGTATGTAGCAGGAGGAAAGGGTGGCATGTGTATGTCTGCTTGCCGTACAAGTCTTTGCTGGCTCGGGAAGGATAAAGGCTCGTGAGTGGCGGGACATGACGGCGCGGAGGTCCAGTAGGGTACTGGTACAGCCCCTTCCTCATCCGCATCTCCCTCCCTCCCTCCCTCCCCTTCTCCTTCAACCTTCCATCCCCCCGTCAGGAGCCAGCGGCAGCGCCTCGTCCCCTCACAGCCTGTCCCGCCGCTTCCTCTCTAACCGCGTCGGCAGCCGCCTAGGCAGCTCCAATGCCGGTGCCGGTGCGGGTGTGGATGCGGCGGTGGAGGACAGCGGGGGCGCGGCGGCGGAGGGCCGGGGCGGCGGCCGGCCGCTAGGGGAGGCGCTGGAGGAGCCCCTTGGCGGTGCTTCCTCCGCGAGTGGGGGCGGCGGGGGTGCAGGCGGGGAGGAGGAGGAGGACGAGGAGGAGGAGCTGCGTTGGGAGGACAAGGCGCCCCGGCTGAACGCCGCTGACAACGCGTACGAGTTCAGCCGTGTGCTGCTGGCGGTGCTCAAGTCCATGGTGGAGGGGCACTTCAAACGTGAGGGGGGCAGGGAGGGGGCAGGGAGGGAGGGGTGTAACTGGGCCGCGATATGGAACACTGACCGGGAGAGGGGAGAGACGTAGACGGGTAGACGCGTCGGGCTGGTAGTGCGATAAAATGGGCAAGAGTTGGGAGGAGGGAAAGGAGGTAAAGAGGGAAAAAAGAAGGACAGGTTACTGGATTGCGACCTCATCCACCCACTCACCCGCCAGCCCCTCCCCCCCTCACCCCTGCCTCCCCTCCCCCTCCCCCCCAGACCTGCAAGCGCTGCTGCAGCTGCAGCCCGCCTCCTCCGCCAGCATCGACCTGGTGGTTGAGGCGGTTGACCTGCTCAACGTTCTGCAGGACTTCCTGCCCTCCGCGCTGCTCAACGAGGACAGCGAGCTGGCGCAGCTGATGGTGCTGGTGTGCCTGTTCGTGCAGGAGATGGTGCAGGTGGGGGAGGGGAGGGGAAGGAGGGGAGGGGAAGGAGGGGGTGAGGAAGGAACTGAGTTACCGTCTGGGCTGCAGGGCTCCAGCCTGGGTTGCATGAAGGAGCGGGGATACAGCGGGATACAGCGGGGAGCGGAGGGCACATGGTAGGGAAGGGGGGAGCGAGCATGCGTTGAATGAGGGGGTGCCAACACGGGGCGGCAATGCGAGGGGAGGAGGTGCGCGCATGGCCCCTCCTTCCACACGTGTCCACCCCGCCTCTGCCGCACCCGCCCAACCTGCTCCCCCCCGCCTCTGCCGTACCCTCCAGGGTCCCTGCCCTGGCAACCAGCAGTCGCTTGCCGGCACCAACTTCCTGGCCTCCTGCAACCGCATCTTCAACGGCATCGAGTACTCCAGCCGCAGTCGCGAGGGGCGGCGCGTGATCGCCAACAAGTGCGCAGTCAAGTGCGCGCTGCTCAACCTGCTGACCAGGTAAGGGGAGGGCGCTGGCGGGCAAGGGGCTCATGCGGGGGCCAGGGACAAACCCCGATGTGCGCTGGGGTGGTATGCAGCTGGCTCGGTTGGGTACGGCGTCCTTAAGCCTTGTGTACGGCATCCATCCAGCGCCCACCGCCATCGTAAACCACATACCATGCCAAGTTGCCAACCCATGGCCAGTGGCATTTCCCCTCGTTCCGCTTCTCTTCATTCGATTCGTGCTTTCTTCCTAAACCCCCTCCCTCCCCTTCTTCCCCCTCCTCCCCCGCTCCCCCTGCCAGCCTGCTCGAGGCGTGCTCCTCCAGTGACATCCCCGCCCGCTGCCATGACATCCTGGAGTTCGCCTCCATCGACCGCCAGATCTTCCAGCTGTGCAAGGTGCTGGGGCTGAGCGAGGGCTGCAGCGTCATGTACCCGCCGGACGGGGAGGACATGGAGGAGGGGGAGCCGGAGGAGGTGAGGCGAGGGACGGGCGGAGGGGTGGTTGGGGCTTGGCAGCTGGATTGAGAACCTCCTGCTGCTAACATGCAGCCTCCGTCGGAAGGTAGTGGCTTCAACCCGGCCCCTCCATAACCGCCCGTGTCCCGCACCGGCTGACAACCCCTTCCACTCTTCCACGTCTCGCCTCCCCCTCCCCGCCCCCCCAGCTTGCCGACCTGTCTGCCCGGCTGGAGGACGAGCTGCTGCTGTTCTGCGCCTACGTGCTCAAGCTGCACGCCGTCACCCCGGCCAAGGAGCCGCCGCTGCCGTACATCTTCAAACTCTTCAACGGGGAGGATGTGGACAAGGTAAGGGCACGGGCGGGCGGCGGAAGGGGAGGAGGCGGGGAAAAGGGATGGTAGTACAGCCGGGGATTAGGGCTGTGCTCCGTTTCACTGCGCCTTTCTTCCGCAAGGACTGCTGTCTTCCCTCTCTCCCTTCCTCCACCGCCTCTCCTCCTCCCCCTCCCGCCCCCCTCCCGCCCCCCTCCTCCCTCCCCAGCTGCTGGACCAGCTGACCCCCGACCAGGCGTCCTACGCGGGCGAGCTGCAGGCCTTCCTGCAGCGGCGGCTGGGCTACGTGGAGATCAACTGGAAGGGGCAGCTGATCGAGCCGTGCTTCTTCTCGCTGACGCCCGAGTGCAGCGCGCTGGTGACCAGCAGCGTGTGGTGCGAGGCCACTCTGGACCGCATCAACAACACCGTGTCGCCGGACAGCCGCGCCTTCCCCACTGTCAAGGCGGCGGAGCTGGTGGATGTGATGGAGGTGGGGGGGAGGGAGGGGAGGGAATGGGAGATGAAATGGGTAAGGGAATGGGAGGTGGAGGCTGGCTGGCAGGTTGCTGTGCGACAGCTGGGTTGGCAACGCGACGAGGGCAGGGCAGCCTTCCACTCTCCACTCCGGTTTCCCTCTCTCGCCTCTCCCGTGCCGTACCGCTAGCTACACACACTACTAAAAGTAATCACTATTCCTCCCTCCCTCCTCCCTCCCTCCCTCCCTCCCTCCCTCCCTCCCTCCCTCCCTCCCTCCCTCCCTCCCTCCCTCCCTCCCTCCCTCCCTCCCTCCCTCCCTCCCTCCCTCCCTCCCTCCCTCCCTCCCTCCCTCCCTCCCTCCCTCCCTCCCTCCCTCCCTCCCTCCCTCCCTCCCTCCCTCCCTCCCTCCCTCCCTCCCTCCCTCCCTCCCTCCCTCCCTCCCTCCCTCCCTCCTCCCTCCCCAGGACGTGGTTGACGACATCGAGCTGCGCTCCCAGCTGATGCGCAGCAAGTGGCTCAAGCTGGTGAGCGTGCTGGCCAACTGGCGCATGCGGCTGCTGGAGGCCACCTTCTACCTGGCGGTGGCCACCCTCATCTTCCAGGCGCTGGCGGACGCGCGCTGGGGGCCGCACGACGAGTTCAGCTCGCGCAGGGACAGCTGGGCCACCCTGGCGCTCAGTGTGGCGGTGATGGTGCAGTCGTTCGTGACGCTGCTGCTGTACATCGCGTTTGCTTACACGGGTGAGGGGGAGGAGGGAGGGAGGGAGGGAGGGCGGGGAAGAGGGAGGGAGGGAGGGACGGGAGGGAGGGAGGGAGGGAGGGGGCCGGTGGGCTGGGCCCGAACCCTACAGAGCATATCCGCAGCCCCCAACCTTCCTGCCTACGTGTGTCTCCCTGCCCCCTTCCCTCCCTCCCCCTCCCTCCCTCCCCACCCCCAGACCTGAACAAGTACCTCAGCCACCAGGTGCCGCACACCTCGCAGCACACGCAGCACATCCTGGCCGCCGCCCGCGACTTCACGCTGGCGCTGCTGGGGCGGGGAGAGCAGCAGCAGAAGGGAGCAGCGGCAGCCTCAGCCGCCTCCTCGGCCGCCGCACCCGCACCCGCGGCAGGCGGCGGTGCCGCAGCCGCTGTGGATGCTGGTGGGGTCGCCGCTGGGGGCGCCGTGTCCGGTAAGGACGCTGCGGGTGCAGCTGCTGGTGGCGGCGGCGGCAGTGGCGGGGGCGCGGCGGGCGGCAAGGCCCGCGAGCTGGCCAGCCTGCGTGAGGGCGCGGCGGCGGCTCGGCGGCTGGAGCTGCGGCCGCCCCCGCAGGAGTCTCGTCGGGGCTGGGGCGACCTGCTGCTGTGGGTGTTTTCGGTGCTGGTGTCGCTGGCGCGGTACACCAAGTTCTGGTACTTCAACATGCTTGTGTCCGCCTCGCTGGCGGGGTTCTTCGTGTCGCCCTTCTTCCTGGTCTTCCACTTCACCATCTACTTCCTGGACTTTGATAGCGGTAAATGGTGGCTCGGGACGGGGGGCCAAGGAGGGAGAGGGGGTGGTGGTGGTAAGGAGGGAACTGGCGGCATTGCGACAAGGCTCCACCATGTATGTGTTAATGCATCCTGGACAAGGAGGGAAGGCGCGGCGGTGCGAGACGCTGTCGGCGTGGTACCCGGAGGCCTTGTGAGGCATTCGAATCCTAGGTGGTATGCTGTTGAGGCCGCTTGAGGCCAAATTCGTGACACTGCCTGATGCACGCTGGTAGGCGCCCATCCGCAACCAAACACACCCCGCGAAGCCTGACTCCTCCCCCTGTTGCTTTGCTATTCCGCATTTCCGCACTCCCCCCACTCCCCCGCAGGCAAGCAGCTTGTGTTGGCCATCCAGCGGTCCGGCACCAGCATCCTGAACACCTTCGTGCTGGCCGTGCTGTCCATCTACGTGTTCGCGGTGGTGACGTTCCTGGTGTTCAGCGACCCCACGCGCGTGGACAAGGGCGACGGACCGCCCTGCGACACCTTCTACAAGTGCATGGGCGCGCACATGCTGACGGGAATCATGGGCGACATCTCCACACTCTTCAACTCGGACCTATGGGACACCGGTAAGGAAGGGAGTGAGGGATATGGATCTCTAGTACCGTAATCGCCTCTTCTACCGGTGGCTAGTCTTCCCCTCTTTTCCCCTTTCTGACAGCACCCCTTACTGACCTGTTCCCGCTCCGCTGCCCTCCCTGTCCCCTCCGCCCACCCACCCAGTCCCCGACAAGGTGGGTATGGACGGCCTGCAGCAGGCTCGCAGCCTGTTCGTGCTGGCGTTCTTCATGCTATGGAACTTCGTGCTGAGCAACATCTTCGTGGGCCTCATCGCCTCCGCCTTCGAGGCCATCCGTGACGACCAGAACACCATCACCTCCGACCGCCTCTCCAAGTGCCTGGTGTGCAGCCAGGACATGTACCTCTTCAACGAGAAGATCCAGGGCGGCTTCGACGAGCACATCCTGAAGCAGCACAACGCGCTGTCGTACGTGTACTTCCTGCACCACCTGCGCGCCACGCCGCGTGACGACTACACGGGCGCGGAGAGTGTGGTGGCGGCGGTGCTGGCGGGCGCCAAGACCACCACCGACAAGGGCACCTGGCTGCCGGTCTCCAAGTCGCTGGCGGTGATGCACGCGGTGGCGCTGGCGGCGCAGGCTAGCAAGGAGGCGGGCGGGGGCGGGGCGGGGGGACAGTAGCGAGGGAGGAGGAGGGGAGGAAGGTGGGGTGGTGGATGGGGGCTGGGGAGGGGTGCTGGGTGTGGACGTGACTTATGATGCGTTTTTTATGCTTTACTGGTGGGCAGTGTGGTGTTAGGGTGGTGGTAAGGAGGGATGCAGCGGAGTATTGCGGTAGCACTGCCTGCATGCGTGCATGGACGTATGTTGCATGGGTGTGGGAGGGTGTAGGTTGTATGTAGTGAGGTAAGCCCCTTGATCTGGCGGGGTAGGGGGTGGTTGCGGCGGCTTGGACGTGAAGGGGTATGAGTGTGGTCAAACAAGGTGACGTGTGGGTCTGATTTGGTTTGGTTTTGACAGGAGCTGTGCGGTTGAAAGCAACGACTGCTCCAAGACCCTCAGCTCGAAGTTCATCAAGGTATGGGGATGATGATTTGATAAGACGGTTTACGCACCCGCTGTAGCGATGTGGGTCACGTCTTACTCGGCGTGTATATGTGTTGAGGCACAGACGTGCAAGAATTTGGCTACTAGCATGGAGAACTGCATGTCACTGCATGTTCAAACGATGAGGTGTATCTGATCGTGTGGGCAATCATGGTCCATCATAGCATGCACTGCGAAGTAGGGGGGTTCTCGAGCCATCGGGATGTGTGATCCGATGCCCCTTTTACCTATCCGGTGGTCAATGTATGGCGGCATTATACCATGGTTCGAGCATAGATGGTCGTCGTACAATGTTAGGAAAGCCACGTGTCTTTCCGTAAGGAGGCTTGCGGGCCCCCTACCTCGTGATTGTTGTCGCGTTCGCTGTTACGTAGCTAATGCTATACTATGTGGGTGTTGATGCCTTCTGGCGGGTGTCACCCGGATCGCATCTGTTACAGTTACTTGCACTGTGGAGCTCCCGTCTGGTCTCTTTCCAGGGTGCACTAAATAAGACTTGTGCCTGGACTCTGGACGGCGACTGCCAACGTAGCGGCGGCTGCGGCATTCGTACACATGGGCACCCACCCTAACACAGCTGTAACGCATTTTTGACTCCCCCGTGTAACACTGTCGTGGCGTACATCTAATGTCATATCCCCACAACCGTGGTGGCTAGGTAGCTTGGTATTAGGGTATTCTACATGAATACAGGGACTGGTGTGTCTTTGCATGCCAACAGGTAATGGGCGAGGCAACGCTGCGTGGCTGGTTATAGGCGCTAGATCGCCAAGTTCCCCCAGGAAATTACATATTCTTGAGACTGCAATCGTGAGAGACCCATGGGTCAAGCCGCCTGCATTACCCTACTCCGCTGGGCCCGACTGCCCCATGCAGGCAGACCCGCTGTTGCCCAGCCCCACGGAGTAGGTTGTCCCCAAGGATAGCAACCACCCTAAACCCTTACAGACCGAAAGCTGCATTGACTGGACATAGTAGTCATTCATGTCCATCTACTAGCCTATTCGCTACCAATTGGCTGCGACGGCGCCCATCCCAGCGTCGCAAATCTTCAAATGGCAGCAGCTGCTCCAACCCTTAGGGCGCTAGCACACCCACCAGAAAGTCACCATCACCTCACCACGAAAACAGCAAATACAATAAGGTTTTATCTTCTCTACAACCGAGCAAAAGATTACTGGAATGCATAACCAGGAAACGAGCATCAACAGCCCCACAAACACACGTGCATGTCAATCAAATCAGCAACAGGCCTAGAAGCAAGCGCGTGTGTTGCTGTCTACTGTACAATTACACCCGGACCAACAGAGACTGTTGAGGGCGCCCCTGGGCTTGCCCCTCCTGCAGGACCCTGAGCCCTGTCTCCCCCGTCCGGAGTCTTAAAAAGCATAAAATACAAAACAAACAGCGGCATCAACATGCTTATCTAACGGAAATGCCGCCTAGAAGCGCGCCCAAGGGGTTATCATCGCCGGAAGTGCCCATCAAGAGGCAAGCGGGCGGAAAAAAGATGCCTGCAGCGCCTAGAGCCACGCTTGAAATCAAACAGCCCAAACAGGCCTCGGCAACGGCATCAAGCGACTGCCTGACCGACCCCCGAGCAACCCTTAAGGTTGTTCCTTAGTCGTAGCGCATACAGGAGAGAAGAGAGCCAGAGGCTGGGCACATCGCGACCATGCAGGCCGACGACAGACGACGGGCCGTTGCAGGGCCCTCGCAACGTTGCACTTCTAGCACGTTTCCAGTATTCTATGTATAGCTTAAGTTCAGTGCTTCTCCTTTGCAACCCAGCAGCCCGTCAATCTCCATTATGAGTGATCAACGGAACCCTAACCAGCAACACAGGCTAGGTCCAACAGCCAATCTAAGACATGCTGCTTGCAACGCGGTGCCGTAGCTGGGGCCGCCGTGCATCTTCGGAAGCCAAAAGGCAATAGCCGAGGGAGTGCAAGACCGAAAGCGCGACGATAGCTGGCCAAACCCAAGCTCCTTCGTACATTAGCCAGTTAAAGAAGTACTCTCCACCACTGTAACCTCCATGATCGCCAAAGCCTCCGTTGAAGGACCCGCCTTTCCATCCGCCTCCTCCAGAACCGCCATCATCACCGTCGCTGCCGTCATCACCCTTGCCTCTCCGCCGTTTCCGAAGCTTAGGCTTGCTAGCAACTAGTTCTAGGAAACGAGATGCAGAGGCGCGGGTCCCCGTCCTCGGCGGTCTTGTCGTTGTCCCTCGAGCAACGACTACTAGGTGACCACGGCTGGCGCGCGGATGCACTGCTTCAAAGCTTTGGGAAAAACTGCCTTCAAACAAGCATGAAGGAGGAGGGGCTATCGCTGGCAAGCCTCCGACGCCTGAGAGGGCGCCAAGGCCCTTGCTCGCTCCTCCAAGCGTTGCTGATCCTGCTAGACCAGCCGGTTGCAAGAGTGCGACAACCATGTGTAGCGCGTAGAACTAGCAGGGCAAGGCTTGGGTAGAAAACGCTATGAACAGTACTTAATGTATACTGCTATGTCTTGAACGTGTAGCGTATAACCGTCTAACTTTGTCCAGCTAAGCCCCACCTTATGCACGTAGTCTATGTTTTAAATTGGTGTAGGCAACATACATCGAGCCTGCCCTGTGTACGGCTGGCGAATGGATTCTGACTACCTGAATGGGAAAAGCGGATGCCAACTTCTTGTGATTGGTTCTTACAAATTTTTGCTTCTAAACGTCATACGCAAGGGGGCGCTCGGAGCTCGTACCATCATGGCTCCTACCACGTCAACTGCAGCGGACAGCGACATCCGCGACACGCTCCAAGCAGCGCTGGATATGTTTAAAACACCATGCACGTCAGAATCGCCTCTTGTGAACCGGCAGCAACTACGGGACCTTGCGGAGAAGCAAAAGCAGGCGGCGGCGAAAGGTGCGGTGCTGGTTTGCAGGCCAGCGGCGAGCGTCGAAGGCGCCGGCTGCAACATGAACCCCCCTGGCAGTCCCCTTGGTCCCCCCGCTCCCTCCCACAAACACACAACCCAGCCGACTCCTCGCGACGCCTGCCCCATAGTCGCCGGGTGGCTCCCGCTATGAGGAACGGACAACCATGCAGAACAAACCTCCTCCACGATCCCGAGCGTGTACGCATGTTTGCGAGCCTGAAACACCGCTTCCCCTCACCCTCTGCCTATACTAGTACACCCCACTGCCTACCGGTAGCTTGCTTTCACATTTCCTCCCTTCCTCCCTTTCCCTCCCTCCCTCCCTCCCTCCCTTCCCCCCCTCCCAGCGGCGCTCCTCGCCTCCTCCTCCCCCTCCCCTGCTCCCGCCGAGCTGGCTGCCGTACGCGCCTCCCTGGTGCAGGCGGCCGCGGCGCTGCTGGGCGGCTGCTGGCGGGGGAGCGGGGGCGCGGGCCCCTCCCTGGGCGACAGCCTGAGGGGGCGGGCGGAGGGGCTGGGGGCGGCGGTGGGCGGGCTGCTGGACTGCATGGTGGGGGCGGGGGGGGGGAGTGGGGGGTCAAGCACCATACCGAGCCATAGGAAAACACAGATCGGAGCAAAACAATGGGGATAGGGCAGGGGGGTGGGGGAAGAGGGCTGGGTGGGGGAGTGAAGGGGGGTAAGAGAGAAACCCAGTGCGTGAAAGTGGCGGTTAGTGCACGTAGGGCAACCAGCCGTGTGCTGAGAAGGGGAAAAGAGGGGGGAAAGCGGATGGTTCAGACAGAGGACCATACTAGTTGGGGAGAAGGTTGGGTGCTACCACCAACTAGCTATTACGCTGGTGAGCTATGTTGGCTACACAGCCCGCCCATGCGGATATGGGACAAGGCTGTGTTGCGGCCGAACACCTCCCCCCCTTTAGTTGCTTGCATTTCTTATAAAATTTCCCCCCTCCCCCTTCCCTCCCGGCAGGCGAGTGGTGACGCGCCAGCGCTGCGGAAAGCCGTGGGTGGGTGCGGGGGTGGGTGGGGGGCGGGGGGCCAGGGCATGATGGCAGCATGGGCGGCCGGGGTGGGGACACGGGCGCACAGCTTCAAGTGCCCCAGCCTGTGTGTTGGTGTGCGGTGTGCCCCGGGGCTCGGGGTCGGGGTCGGGCCGGGTGGGTTGCAGAAGCATCCCTGCAGCGGTCTACCTCCTTGTGCTTATGCCTGCAGCGAGTGCTGCACCCGCCCCGCCCCGCGCCGCGCTGCCGCATGCCCGACATACGGCAGCAGGCGTTGCCCCTCCTCGCATCCCAGGAAGCATGTAGCGCAGACGTGACACCCCTCCCCCCCCCCTGGCAGGCATGGTCTGGGCCGCCAGTGACGAGGTGGCGAGTGGGCCGCTGGACAACAAGGGTTGCCTGTTCAGGCGCCTCGCGGAGGTCATGCAGGGGGTCAAGGCGGCGGCCAAGGAGGTGCGGACTGGGGGTGGCAGGGGGGGGAGGGTGCGGGTATGGCCTCCAGGCAGCTGTCAGGGTGGAGAGGGCAGGCTGGCGCATGTGGCGAGGGCCCCTGTGAAGTGCAGGGGGCTGCGCAAAGCTCCCCTGACGCGTCAGCAGGGCGGCAGCTGGGTGGGGTGTGCCGTGTGTTCCTGGGCTGCAGCAGTCACAACCCCAATCTGGTGCCTGGCCGCTCCTGACCCCCGCCCCTCTGCTCTCCCCCCCACACACACACACAACCAGCTTGAGGAGCTCATCGCGGCCTCCCAGCAGGCGGCAGAAGGGGGCGAGGGGGCGCAGGAGGGGCGGCAGGAGGCGGGGGACGGAGACGAGGCGGCGGAGGCCGGGCGGGAAGCTGGGAAGGCAGAGGAGGAAGCGGAGGAGGAGGGAAGACAGGAGGATGCCGACGACGAGGGTGAGGGTGACGAGGAGGGTGATGGCGACGACTCTGACGACTTCCGCGACATGGGTGTGCTGCGGGGCGCCGAGGTGGGCACCGCGGAGGCGGCTGCCGGGCTGCTGGGTGCGGCGGGGGGGGCGCTGCGGGCCATCAGCAGGCCGCTGCTGGAGGGTGAGGGGGGGGGGAGAGGGGGGGGAGCAGGGGAGGGGAGGTGGGAGGTAAGGAGTTATGTGAGAGGGTTAGGGGGGGGTGTGAAGAGTAGTTGGTAGGCGGTGGCAGGGTGAGGAGGACTGAGTGGCAAGAGGGCTCTGCGGGTGTTGGCTGGTTGCGGCGAGTGGGTGCACAACACGGGTGGGGCGGGGGAAGCTGCGAACGGAGCAGGGGAGCGGGCGTTGGGTCGGGAGGTGGCGGGCGGGTGGGGTCGCGGGTTCCTCAGGAAAGCCCTGCCCAATGCAAGGGCTACCGGACTCCCAGTCGGTCATGTGTCGCCCCTTCCCCTCCGCACCCTCGACCTGGGGCACGAGACACGCCTCCCCCTGCCCTCCCCTCCCCTCCCCCTGCCCTCCTCCCCCCCCTGCCCCTCACCCAACCCCTTAGGTCCCCCGGTTGACGCCGAGCACTGCCTGGACGAGTGGGAGAGCCTGGCCTGGCATGCGGACAAGCTGCGGTCGGGGTGCGAGGCGCTGGTGGCCTGCCTCTACCCGCCGCATGTGGGTGGCGGAGCACCGGGCAGGGGGGGAGATAGAGCCGGTCAGCAGTGCGGCCAACATACACGCTACAGGGGCAGGGGCGTCCTGCCTGTGATGATCAACAGCGAAACAAGTGCTTATAGGTCGCACGGTCTGGGAGTCCGGACATCTCCCTGTCCCACCCGACTCCCCTGTCCAACCTCCCCACCATCACACACGGCTGGTTAGCTGTCACACGGATACCTTCCTCCTTACCTCTCCCCCTCCCTCTCCTCCCTCCCTCCCCCTCTCCCTCCCCCCCTCTCCACCCCCAGGACGATCCCTCCGAGCTGCAGGGCCAGGCGGAGTCGGTGCACACCACCCTGGAGCTCATGCTGGCGGAGTTCCCCGAGGACTACCTGGGGCAGCAGGCGGAGGGGGAGGGGGAGGGGGACGGACCCGTGGGTCGGCAGCTGCGGGCGGCGGAGGTGCAGGTGGAGGAGGCGGCGGGGAGGCTGGCGGATGTTTTGTCGCGGCTGGTGTGAGGAGTAGGGAAGTAGGGGGGAGGGGGGTATGCTGCCGTGAGGGCTGTGGGGTGTTTGCATTGTGCAATGCGGAGTGACCCGTGCTGCGGTGGGTCGGCGTTGATGAGAGGAGAGGAGGCGAGTGGAGCGCACACATGGCGTTGTCGGTGGTGCGGTGAGTCGGGTGGCGGAGGCTAGCGGCGGCAGTGAGTGAGTGCGCCCTCTGCACCCAGCCAACGGTGGCAGGAGCTCCTGGGGGTGGTGGCAGGACAACTACCACTCCACCACACGTGTTACGCCACTGGTTGACTGATGTTTCGTCGCCCCTTGCTGTAAGGTCGTTCTCTCTCTTCAAACCATGCGGCTGGGTCCAGTCCACGTCCCTCCTTGCATCCGAGCGTTGGCTGGAGGGCCGCTGAGCAGGGAGGGAGGCGGCCAACCGCTGCCACACTGGGTAGCAGGAAGCGGGGCTGTGACTGTCACTCTAGATGGCAGGTAGCGGGGCTGTGATGGAGGATGTAGCAAAGCTTTGACGGCAGGGGCGCCGGAGCCCCGAGCAGCAACGGCAGGCCCCACCGGCGCGGCGCCAACACGGGCAGCCGGGTTCCGGCCCATTCCACCCACCATCGCCGCGGTGTATTTAGCCATGTTACCGATCCCAGGGGTAGCCCTTGACGCTTGCCTACCTAATCATACTTACCTGGCCCGTCTCTCGAGGTGGTCCAGTTGGCCTCGGTTACACGGTTGGACTTCGCCTTGCACTCCGCGAGGGCCTTCCGTGGTCGGCCCTTCGGGTGTCCGGCAGGGCTTAATTTTTGCAAGGCTGAGGATCTGCGCACTGCGCGACCTCGGCACCCATCAACAACACTTCTCTGCTCCAGTGATGCTCCAGCGAATTCTATTGACCGGATTGACTACCGGGCGCATGTAACATAGCACATGCAACATACCCTGCTAATATTGTTTAGCAATTTCTGCTGGCGGCTTTGCGAGCGTGTGTACGAACATGCATGGATATTGTGTAATGATCGAGTGTAATGAGGGTCCAAAGCACCTCACAAGCAAAGACATTGTAGCCTCGCTACGCGGGGAGACGATGCCACTTCTGTAAGGAAGTATGACTGAAGAAGTAGGTTTCTTGCTAGCTGCCGTGGTGCGTGGAAGCAGATGGCGCGCTTGCATGGGTGTACGACAGCGATGGCAAATCGACGCAGCCTATCAGGGCTGTCCACGCGTTTGTGCTTTTAACTGCCGTTGTGATTGATAGTATCGGGTGGCCATCCCTCTGCCGGGATTGTGGCCGCCTAGGTCCCACCCACCCGCCCGAGGTCGCGCCTAGCGAGTGGGGGTTTGCTTGCGTTTCGTCTTTAGTAGGACAACCAGTTTGGGGAGCTTCTTGGACGCCGGTCTCTCAATTAAGGGGGTCAATCGGCAATCGAGGTGCAACACTGGGTGCTGTCAGCACAATTGGCCACTAGTGCATCTTAAACATGGGTTGGGGCGTCGGGATGTGTGGGTTAGGGTAGGGTTCTTGGCGTGGAGGCGACGTACGGCTGGTTGGCTTCGGCTTACATTATCTGCTGTAACGCATCACGGCAGCTAAAGCAAGAAATGCGCATCCACGGTATTACTGTATGTGTGTATTACTAATGTTTAACAGCACTGCAGCTCGCTCGTACATGGCGGCCGCCTTGCATGGCGTCCAAGTGGATTACCATTGCAATCGACGGCATGCAATGCTGCCCCGCCCTGCTCCAGGGTGCTGGCGGGCGAGGCCTGGAAGCACACCACCCAGCTGGCCAAGAAGAACTACACAGCATTGCGGCTGGCCGCCCGACCTTGCCACAGATAGGCCCCACAACGCGTGCTCATCTGTATGAGCCATAAGGCGGTCGACAGCGGTTTGCGGGTGGGGGACGTCATTACGACATGTGTTGCAGGGATAACATGTATGGTGAAGGAAAAGGGGTGAATGCTGCAAATGCAGGTCGTGATACCAACACAAGCGCGGGAGGGCGGATCGATTACAGAGTATGTGCAGCAGCTAGGGTTGTTCGCCGCATTTCGGCATTCAACGCAAACCTATATACGCAGACTTGCGCCGACCCATGGGTCACTGCCGCTCATTCGATGTACTGCATCAGAAAGAAAGGAAATTGCAGATGGCAGATATTATACGTCGGGCTATACGTCGATGCCAGCAGCCGACTAAGAGTGAAGCTTGCGGCCAGCTGTTACATATATGTGGCAATGTGGGTAGGAAACGACCCCTAGTTCCCCATGAGCAGCAGCAGGGGGCCTCCACCTCCAACGGACTTCCGTTTGACCAGCAGCCCGGTTGTCCTAGCGGGCTCTCAGCTTTGCCTAGCCTGGATGCTCCAAACTAGCAAAAATGTCATGCAGCATCATATGCATCATTCGAAAGGTCGTACGAAAAAACGGCGTACAGCGAGTCGAATTAGTTACCGCAAGGTCCGTATGTATCACTTTCGATAAGCAATAACTACTCCGGCTAAACCATGCAATGCCTGCTAGAACCTCCTTATAAGAAATTAATGTCCCGGCTCGCTCGATACACGTGCCATGTACGGCAAGGAGACATGTACGTACGTACGTAGCACATACAATAAAACCAGGATCTAAATAGCCTTGCTGGGCCTAACCAAACCCACTTCTGCAGTGTTATTTCCACTAGGACAGAAACCTGGGAACGATCAGTATGCATCGATGCACTAATCGGTGCCCGCCGAGAGGGGCTAGTACTAGCCGGCCCGTACGCATGCCGGTATGCAGCTGCGTCCTTTCATGCCCCTAACATGGGTTCCTAGGGTTCCTAGCAGCAAGGCTTCTATTCATGCTCCTAAACTGCCCATGATCACAAACTACCAGCTAGAAAAGTAAACCAAGGTTCGCTACTGCATCTTGTCTCAGACGCACTCGGATAAAGGTTCCAAGAAAAGTTCTAACCAAGGCTAACGCTAGTCCAACAGCGCAGGGCACGAAGACGTCTCCCGTCACCAGCAGCCCGCAACACCACGGATGCCCTGCATCCCACACCAGCACCCAGAAGCACGCACATGTCCTCCAGAAATGCTGTTCACGGATTCCTTCTTTCCCTGTTAGCCGAACACCCACTGCAACCAGAGCCAGGGGGCAGCAAGGGGCAGCGGTCGCATCTCTCCCGGGTAGGTCCAACGGTCCTGCACGCGCGAACGAAGGAGACGGACAGCTGTAAGAAGTATGTGTTGCATGCTGAAAGAAGTATGTGTTGCATGCGTACGTGAAGTACCGACGTCTGCTCGAATCTAGGTAAGACGGGGTTACAAACAATGGATGTGATTTACCAAAGGGTGCTTCTTACCTTGAAGCCATCAGAAAAAAATGCAGAAATATCCCAGTAGAAGAAGAAGGAGAGAGATGCCGAAACGAGTAATTGGGCTGGCATTGACGGCGGCAGAATACATAGGGTTGGGGTCCAAGGAAGCAGAGTTGAGGCGGGCTGAAAGCGATGACGGCGGGGAAGGCGACGGAGGTGACGGCGGCGAGGGTGACGGCGGCGAGGGCGACGGCGGCGAGGGCGACGGCGACGGCGGCGAAGGCGACGGCGGCGAGGGCGACGGCGGCGAGGGCGACGGCGGCGAAGGTGACGGCGGCGAAGGCGACGGCGGCGAGGGCGACGGCGGCGAAGGCGACGGCGGCGAAGGCGACGGCGGCGAGGGCGACGGCGGCGAAGGCGACGGCGGCGAGGGCGACGGCGGCGAAGGCGACGGCGGCGGCGGCGAAGGCGACGGCGGCGAAGGCGACGGCGGCGAAGGCGACGGCGGCGGCGGCGAAGGCGACGGCGGCGAGGGTGACGGCGGCGAAGGCGACGGCGGCGAAGGTGACGGCGGCGAGGGTGACGGCGGCGAAGGCGACGGCGGCGAAGGTGACGGCGGCGAGGGCGACGGCGGTGAAGGCGAGGGTGACGGCGGCGAGGGTGACGGCGGCGAAGGCGACGGCGGCGAGGGTGACGGCGGCGAAGGCGACGGCGGCGAGGGTGACGGCGGCGAAGGTGACGGCGGCGAAGGCGACGGCGGTGAGGGTGACGGCGGCGAGGGCGACGGCGGCGAGGGTGACGGCGGCGAAGGCGACGGAGATGTGGAAGGCACAGCGCTCTTGTAGTAAATGACTGCAAGATCCAACAACGGAGCAGTCAGTGCTTGGCAAATGCTGGACTAGCTTACATAATCTTGCAAGATCCCGAGGCTTTCTGTGACACCCGCTGCCCTACAATCCATCCGACAGTAAGCTTACGTACCGTTGCCGACTTGAGACATCAAATAATTAGTTACGTCGCTATACGCGTAAGTGTACGTGTATCCATCCGTGTCAAAGCTCTTGCAGGTGGAGTCGGCATTGCAGTTTGTAGCCAAGCGACTGAGGAAGGTTCCCATCGTCTCGGAACTTAAGCGTGTGTAGTAATGTATGAAAGTCCTGCAAGACGGATGCAGTGCACACACGTAAGTACTGGAAACATTCCTATCGTTAATCCCATGTAAAAACACACTTACATGTAGGTGAAGTCAACGCGAGTAACCGAGTAGCCTGTAACTGGTATCACTGCGAGAAGGAATAGTGTGAGGGAAATGGATCGACAGTACGGTACATCAAGCATGATACCAACATGCGTTGGCATATGATCGGGTCGGCTAGCCTAAGGCGGTAGTGGCTGCCGCGTCAATCCGGCACAACAGCAGGTGCGGCCGTCCTAATAAATAAGCAGCGCCTTATCCCAGGCTTGAAGAGCACAGGTTACGAGCTGCTTACCGGTTGAGAAAGCGCTTCTCGCGAAGCAGGCCCTGCAGCCATCCAAGGCAAAAACAGTATGTTGGGACTAGCCAGAGGCAGGCAACATCGACGAACGTAATGCAGCTGCTGCTTACAAGCAGAGGAGACACAGAGTCAGCGTGTCGGGTCGCATTCCGCCCCATGGCCGCCCTCCCGTTTGGCGCAACTGGCTGAGCATTAGAACTCGGGCAGACAATCCAATGCTAAAACCTCACGAGTACCGGTATATCAAAGGAGTAGCGGTTGCAAAGTAACTGTATAAAGGCATGTCACTAGCTTATGCATTTATAGCTTACCCCGGATTTCCCGTAGCGGCAGTACCCCGCAGTAGTAGCGCCGTGACAACATGCGGCGTCCCTGGAGCAGCTCGGATGCACGTAGAAGCATCGAAGGGCACATCGAATACGCCCTTCATGGGAAATAGCTTGTTGATGCCAGGAAGGTTGCACGGTTCCTTACCATCAAGCTTTGAGACGAAACTTGCCAATTAAGGATGGCCCCAAGGAGGACTGCGCCAATATCGCTACTTTAGCAAAGACATAACCAAGTACGATGATGGCTCTTGCAGACTTACAATCCCCCCAAAGCATTTAACAGCTTTTACTGTGGCGATGGGGCCCACCGAAACAGTCCGAAGCATCACAAGCCATACCTTGGCAGTAAGACATAACACTATCATACCTTGTAACGTGTACTAACCTTTTCCGAAGAAGTACGCCTTTGGACCGGCACGGAAGCAGCTGCATTTTACGCGCCCCAGGCCGGCGTGTGTCATTCGGTATTCTCTCTTGTAAATAAATTAGTACGATCATACCCTTGCATTGCATTCCAGATTACAAATCGGTTATGAAGACACCTACACGTGTTCCTGCCTGGCCCACCCAACGGTTGCTTTAAGAGGAGACTATACAAGGGTAGCCGTTAGTGAAATATAGGCAGGCGTTGAACTCAGTCACATGACTTCTTTCGTTGCAGCGTTGCCCGACGTAAACGTCGTCCTGTTAATGGTGCGCCACTTTAACGTTCAGCAACACGCCCCGAAATGATGAATAGTCCAGGCGTTAAGCTCATAGGTAAACAGTATATGACCTCTGGCAAAGAAACGGATACCGTAATACGCATCGTATTTACAGCTACATGACAACTTGCACACTCCCCTTACTTGCTTGCGTGCTCCAATCCACCGAAGTCTGTGTAGTGGTCTCACACAGATGAGCATTTGAGTGCTGATGCAGGGCAGCGGGGCATTTGCCAGCGCTGGACCCTGTGCTTCATATAAGCAGCTGCTGGGGGGTGCACGTGGGTCTCATGGACGGCTGCTGCAGCAGCTCCCGGTGGTGGGGAAGGCGGGGCCATGTGGTGCGGCACGTGACGTCGTGTTCGCAATGGCGTCAGGTTAGTTGCAATAGCGGCCGCCTAATGTGCTGGTGGGAGCGAACAGCAGCGTGCGGGTAACATATGTGTCCAGTCGTCGTACCCCTCTAGTTGCTGGAGGCAGAGCCGAACGGCTGCAACCTGGCATCTCCGGCTCGGCAGCACCGGTGCCAGGGGGACAAGCTAAACACATCCTGGCAGCAGCAGCAGCCAGCAGCAGCCAGCAGCTCTGCACCCTGGGTTAACGTGGCTGGAGGCATGTGGCTGCCCCCAGCAGAGGGGTGCGGGTGCTGCGGTGCGGCCTGGCGCGCTGACGGATCGGAGGGGCAGCGGTGGCCGCAAGGCATGCCAGCCGCAGGTTGGTGCGGCGTCCGCCGAGGGCGGAGCGGCGTGGAGGCGTTGCCGTACGCACATAGTGCTGCAAGGCGTGCGGCCGGACCTGCTAGCGGTAAGCCCGTGAGGCGGCTGCTATTTGTCAAGAAAACTGGTCGCGAGGCGGAACGTACTGTGATTGCTGCTGTATGTGGGTGGGTAGCCGCTTGCCAGCCCGAGGCTGTGGCCTGGGTATGTACGGCTGTCCTGTACGAGAGGCGGCGGCTGGGGCAGGGCAGTTGACCCCCGCGGCGGTAACCACATGCGACACGCAGCAGCTACTTAGGGCGCCGGGTAGGGCGGGGGATGAGGCGGGGAGGTGCGGGGGTGAGAGGAAGGAAACTGACGAACTGTATGATGAGGCTTCACCATGGGTTGCTAATTGAACCCGGCCCATCCCACACCACCCGAATTAGTCAAGCCAAAACAACAAATGGGCTTACCGTAAAGATGAGACTTATTGCAGCCATGGGCATCCGCGATGGGAGACGCCGGGTAGCGTAGATGGCGCATCGAGGGGGGTCGGCCACGCCGACAGTCCGTAGATACCACAACCCACGCAGCGACAGCCCGATGACCGAGAGTGGGGTAAAAGTAAGGAAACTGACGAACTGTATGACCGAGAACGGGGGGGGTGAGGAGGGCTGGCGGCGAGGGGCCATGGGGCGGGGCGCGGGAGGAGGGGTGAATGAGAGGAGGGTGGGGATGGGGTAAAGAGAATGAAACTATCTGACTGTATGACAAGCCTTCACCAAGGGGGGTTACATTATGGTGGGGAAGGGGTAAAAACTAATGTGACACTGACGATGCAACTGGTGGGGAAGTAAGGGGTGGGGGAGTGAGTGGCGGCGGGGGTAACAGGAGGAGGCTGTGGTGGTGGGGCTGTAGGTGGCTAAGGTGCTGGGGGCAGCAGCGGAGGCAGCTGCAGGAGGAGGTGTGCTGGGGGGGGCTGCAGCAGGGTAGGGCCAGCTGCTGGCGCTGCTGCTGCGGTGGCGGCGGGAGCGGGTAGAAAGGAAGAAACCGACGAGCTGTATGGCTGCGGGACGGGGGCGGCTGCCCCTGGGGCGCAGGCACGTTACGTCCTGCACGGATGCGGAGGGGGCATGCGAGGGGGATATTGCGAGGAGGTGCTGCAGTGGGTGGCTCAGCAGGGCTGCGTGCAGGCAGGTGTTGCGGATGTCGGTGTGGACTGCTGTCTGGACTGCTGCTGGGTGCTGATGAGGGAGATGAACACAGGGGATACCTGCTACCACTGTGGCAGAGGTGATTTGAGGCAGAAAGCTCAGCAAACGTGCCACCCAGCTGCTGACAAGGCATGGCATGTTTATGAAAACCGAAACGTAGGAACATACGCCATATGTGGTATTACTGCGACCCATGGGTCACCTTATCAACCGCTTATGCGGCCCCTCCCTATCAGGTCATACGCATGGCTCCCTTACTCGCGACCCAGCGCAAGATCATGGCACCCCCCACATACGTCATGCTGACTTCCGCGCTGCCGACCTGGCCGCCCTGCACTGCCTTGCTTCGTACGGCGGCTGGACTGCCCCTGGGACCCCGCCGGGTCCCTCCTGGTGCGCGATGAGCTGCATCAGCAACCAGGCCGTGCTGCGACCCGCCTGCCGGTGCTGAGCTGCGTTGGAAGCCTCCCGTTTACAGGCAATCATGTCTTCTTTTGCTTTTACATGAAGGTATGCTAGGCCAATTCCCGCCAAACGCAGAAAATGCATTGTAACGGTCATTGCTGCACATCCCGTACAGCGTGTTGGCAATAGCACCACCAACAACCCCGTCCAGATAGACAAGTTGGGTTATATCAACGGCATGCGACGAGTTGCATGATATCGCTGTCCACTTCGTTAGTAACGCCAAAGTAAAGCATCTGAGGCGTATGGAGGGAGACCCCTCAAGAAGGCCCAGGGGGATACCGATACGGTAGTTCCACATAACGGAACTCTACTTCGAGCGGTGACGGAGGGTGCACAGGGGAGGGGATCCTCACAACGTGTATCAACAGGTCCCCATTACCCCCGCCCCCTTAAACCACACCAGGGCAAGCCGGCGTAATCAAATCTTTAAGTAGTTGATGCAATTATAGATACAAGTACCTGTTTACGGGTACTAAACGTAGCATGGAAGATAAGTCACGTTAACAGCAGCAGCGAAAACAACGAGAACCAAGCAACGAAAACTGAACAAAGGGTGTCGGCCGCCGGGGACCCCTGTCCTTGAAGCAGCCTGCGAAATCAAGGGCTTATTTATGGGTAAGAAAGAAACACCGCACATATGAAAAAGACACTGATTCAAGAGTAAAAGGCACGTCCCAAATTGGTTCCAGAACAGTACGATACGCTACTACCGGTATCTCGTCCGCAAACATTGTTGGCGGGGTGTGTGCAGGAGAGAACCTTGTCACGTTGTAAACCTTACTATCCCCATAAGCCATGCCAGGGCCAACTAGCCCGGCGTAATTTAAACACTTGATTGTGAGTCATTATTAGCCATAACAATACGGGGTCTGGAAAACCCGGCTTCCCGCAGAAAAAGGAAACGTGGTTATTATAACCAGCCACCGACATTTAGCCTTGCTTGGAAAGAGTTGTTTGTCAGTTAGCCGGGCAACATACGTGATAATGAATAACTTATATAGTTTCTTAACGCCTTCGACAAGCCGCCTCAGCGTGTGTTGGTACAAGTGGCCACGACCGCTAACCCAGCAGTCGCAGGCCAACCGCCGCCAGATGCGGTAGCTCAGACTTCGCAGCCACAGTTGCGTTGCTGACAGTGACCCGCACAGCAACCACCTCGCAGGCGTTCAGCCCGGCATTGGTCTGCGGCGGTTGCAGAGCAGGTGCTGCCGGTACGACAAAGCGGTTGAGTCCCGGACAGCTCAACGGCGGATCCGAGGAGCCGCCCACGTACATGGTCACCCACCGCTGAGTGATCCCCTGCTTGGTTGGTAGGGCCGTGAAGAGCGAGTGGACGACGGAAAGGGGGAGGGGACGGTGTGAGAGGGTTTAACGGCAGAAGGAGGGCTTTCGTCATGGGCTTCCGTCATGAGAGGACGGAACCTTCTTCGAGGCCCAGAGGAGGAAAGCAAGCGCGGCCAGTTCTCCTAAACACATGCTGCATGCACGACGATGTAGCAGCAAACAAATGTTTGCGACAGTATGCGGACCCAGGCATGCGCAACGAACCCAAGCAGCCAGCTACGCACGTCGGTTTCACTACCGTCCACAGCATGGTACATACCGGTACGTAGCCGGCTGCATGGCCCTCGCTGGATATGATCCTCGGCAAGACGTGTGCAAGGATGTAAGCAAGCACCATTCACTGCCATCCACGCTTGTGATCTTCCTTAACGGGCGCATACCTGCTGCTTGTTAGTCGTTCCCTTGAGCAGCAGGTCGATGGAGGCAATGGCGGGGTTGAGGCTGCCCTTGTTGGTGACGTAGAGCTCCACAGCCGCCACCTGGGCGCCCCGTGCAGCTGGGGTCTGGTTGAAGTAGGCCACCACATAGCGGGGAACCTGGTAGCAAGGGACGCGAGTGGGGCTAGTTGGGAAAACGGCGGAGAGTTGGCAGGGGCTTCACTTGTGGCACACAGGGCGTTCGTTTTCCTGGCTGGGAGGCGCTGCCTTGGCAGCAGCGAATCCTACAGCGTGTTGTGGACTGTTGCGGTGATGAGAAATGCATGACACTGGTCCGATCCACTGTCCTGGGGCGGTGTTAATCGCAAGCGAGCGTCTCGACAGCTACCGGGAGTTGGGGTGCCCGGGTGCTGCGCTCCAAACCCCCCGCATTCCTACTGCTGCTGGCTGCGCACTCACCGCCAGCGTGGGCACCCAGCTGACGCTGGGCGCGGGGCCGCAGGTGGCGGTGCGGGTGATGCGGGCGAGCCGGCCGCTGGGGAGGCCTGCCAGGAGGCTGGCGGAGCCGGGTTGGGTGCTGGAAGCGGAGGGGTCCTGCGCGCATGCAAGGTAAGCAAGGTCAGCAGCAGTGCTTCGGCCAGCAGATCTGTAGCAGCCGGGGGGCGCCTTACACTGGGGCCGGAGGCGGACGTAGCCCAGTACATGTTGGGAGGGGGTGGGGGCGTGGGAGGGGAGGGTTGAGGCGGTGGCGGGGATGGGGGCGGTGGTGTGGGAGGCGGAGGTGAGGGGTGACGAGGAGGTGGGGAAGCCGGGAGAGGGGGTGAAGGAGAAGGCGGTGGCGGGGGGAAGGGAGGCGGTGGGCTGGGAGGGGAAGGTAGGGGTGGGCTTGCCGCAGGTGGGGAAGGAAGCGGGCTTGGGGGCTGGGGCGATGGTAGGGTTTGGGGTGGCGGGCTACTGGGAGGAAGTGACGGTGAAGAGGATGGTGATGGAGCTTCGGAGGTGGGAGGCGAGGGGCTGGGCGGGCTGCTGGGTGGTGGATGGGGTGCAGGGCTGGGAGGCGTGCTGGGAGGCGGCAGCGGGTAGCGGCGAGGTGGGGGCGGAGGAGGGGGTGGACTGGGTGATGGAGGCCGGGGTGACGGGGGAGGAGGCGACGGAGGAAGTGGGGATGGTGGTGAAGGCGACGGGGGTGAGGGCGAGGGAGGTGAAGGACTTGGAGGCAGAGGGGATGGTGGCGAAGGCGACGGGGGTGAGGGCGAGGGAGGTGAAGGACTTGGAGGAAGTGGGGATGGTGGCGAAGGCGACGGGGGTGAGGGCGAGGGAGGTGAAGGACTTGGAGGAAGTGGGGATGGTGGCGAAGGCGACGGGGGTGAGGGCGAGGGAGGTGAAGGACTTGGAGGCGGAGGGGATGGCGGCGAAGGCGACGGGGGTGAGGGCGAGGGAGGTGAAGGACTTGGAGGCAGAGGGTATGATGGCGAAGGCGACGGGGGTGAGGGCGAGGGAGGTGAAGGACTTGGAGGAAGTGGGGATGGCGGCGAAGGCGACGGGGGTGAGGGCGAGGGAGGTGAAGGACTTGGAGGCAGAGGGGATGGTGGCGAAGGCGACGGGGGTGATGGAGGCGGGCAGGACGTCGGAGTAGAGGGTTTGTAGTAAATGACTGCAATGCATGAACCGGGAACGGGCGGCCTTAGTTATGATGCCGTTCGAAGAAGTGCACGAATCGAAGCCAGTCTGGTAGCAGTCCTAGACATACCCAAACAGCCGTAGCCCTCGAATATTCTGCTCACCATTTCCAACCTCAGTCATTATGCCACACGGGGGGGAAATCGTGGCACCAACTTCATAATCGTACATGTACCCATCGGTGTCAAAGGATTTGCACCAGTCAGTAAGGGTGCAGTTTGACGCCATCCGATATAGTAAGTGTTCCAGCGTCTCGGAGTTTTGACGAGAGAAGTGCGTGTAATAACACCTGCAAGACGTGAAGAGCAACTACATTCGTCAGAGGGAGCGCGGTTTAAGTGCATGGCCAGGTCGCGGCAGTATTGCTGCCATAGCCTATCTGGGCGGCCAACACTTCATTTCATAACTGGTTACGATAGACACACATGCATCCCTTAAGCACGCGCTACAGTAGTGCGCAAACGCAAAGCGAGTATTTTCATTAGAACCCCACGCGGAGTTCTCTTACACGTAAGTCATATCTACGACAGTCGTCGGGTAGCCGCAGATAGGAATTACTGCAAAGGAAAGGGAAAGCAGCACTGGGTTAGGCAATCGGGACAATAGACGGAAGCAACGACCATTCTGCCCATGAGTAGATGGCCAGCCCATTCTGCCCATGAGTAAAGGGCAAGCCCATTCTGCCCATGAGTAGGTAGCCAGTAAGCAATTTAGGGCGAGAGCGGGGTTACGCCGCCATGCCGATGGCAAAGAGCCTATTCGCCGAAACATATACATACTATCGCAACTGGCAAGGTTATTTACCTGCCGTCGAGTAGACACAGCGCGCCGACAGGAACCTGCAGCGGTCGAAGACAAAGTCCAGCAACTACGGTAGTAACTCCATCTAGACGTCATAGTGAATACAGCGCAAACACTTACAGACAGAATGAAACCAGTAACCAGGATAGCACTGCGGAGAATGATAGTTCTTTCATTTGTGTCCTCTGCCCCGCGCGTGGAAGTTGCCGTCCTTGATGTCGTCCTTTCGCGAATGCGGTACTATGGCTTATAAACCCCTTCTTGGTGTACAATTATTTCCCTCACAGAGGGAGACCACTATTGCTTTTATATGTATGTATGTATGTATGTATGTATGTATATGTTACGAGCTTCGTACAGAGCTCGTAAGATCCGTCCGAGCCAGAAGGCTCATGGATCGCGAGCACAACACGCAAAAACAAAAGGAAGAAAATTGCGACATAGGAGTCGTAGCTCTATAGCTTCTACTAAACAGTGTTTGCTTGTGGTAAAGCGGTTACTAATATGCCTAAGCGGTTACCAATATGTTTCCGCCCGCCTTTCGGTGGATACCCTCCTTCCGAGATTGCTCCATCGCTAAATCTTTTCGCTTAGCTCATAAGGAGACTGCGAAACAAGATGTGCTGCTCTGAGTGTTTTCCGGTCCTTCATCCGGTCCTTCCGGTCCTTCAAGGACAGCAGGACATTCCGTAGAGTCAGACAGCGTCTTCAAACAAAAGCGCCTTCCCAGCACTCATTTTATAACCAATTTCATTGAAGGTATGGTGCTATATTTAGTAGGTTGGCCATTAGAGCAAGAGAAGCTACTCGAATGCGAAAGTTACAACCTATTAGTTACAGCTATTAGGGTACGTACGACCGCATCCTAGCACCCATTATGCCCACAGTCCAACAGGGTGTTGCTACTTGGCGGCCCGGTAACTGGCATACCTAACAAGCTGTTAGCTACACAGATCGATTACACAGATGTGTATGCCCGTTTCCACTAAGCCGGCGCCGAGACGAACCACAAACGTTCTCCCTGGATATCTACATGCTCTGGGTTGTGATGCAATGTCAACTTGTCAAATGGGCTATTGCGTATATTATTCTGTGGTATATCGATGGCGCCTTCCAACCCTGTCGCGCACACATCCTGCGGCATAAAGTGTGCATACCAAAACACGCTTCCTTCACTGGTTTGTATGGAAGTATCTGAAGCCAGTAGGAAATTGCGGCAAGCTCTCGTGGGCGTTTACAAACATAGACCAATGGCCGTTCCGCCGAGCTTTATAGCCAATTTCGCACCCTTTTGTTGCCCTAAAACTTCCTACGCAACCTTCTGTATCGTTTAGTGAATTGCCATTTGTTGGAATAGCATAGACGCCATAAGCCTGGACCCAATACCGCAATGGCCTTGGCGCTCAAGGTGAGTGGGCGCCCAGCCCGGCCTATTTTCACGGTGGTACCTGAGAAGATATAAATCGAGCTCCTAGGGCTGTATGCGTCGTGCATCAACAAGGGTCCGTGGGTCGGCAGGGCTTTGCGTAGGTGATGGCGTCCATGGCGGGCTGACGTGCTCATAGGTGCTAGTCTTTGGTGAACACATTAGCACTCCGCTCCTTCGCTCTTCCCTCTCCCTTTGGCATAGGGACAACTAGCATCCGATGTGCCTCAGCATACCAAACACGCTGCTCTCTCTCCCAGCCGCGCCCTCCATCACGCCATGGCCACCTAAAACGCCTAAATCCTGTAGGCCACCTTTGGCATCTTTCCTTTCCCGACAGCCTGGCTTCCTCCACCTGTACCCGCCACTGAAGATAGACAGGTATTGTACAAGTCACATGGCTCCTTTCGTCGCTAGAAACAATTGTCCCCTGTCATTGGTGCGCCGGTGTAACCGGTAGCTAGTATGCTCGAATTGGAGAAAAGTCCAGGCGTTAAGCTAGTAAGTATGTGTAATCTACAAGCCTGCCACGGACGCACAAACGGGTTACATGCATCGTATTTCCAGCTACATGGCATTTCGTACACACCCCTTGCGAGCACCAATCCCATTCGTCGTTCTACCGTAACCCCCACCCCATGCACGAAAGATACCTCCCCCAGATCCATGGATTGCGGGAGAGGGACTACTCCTGGGACGCAGGCACGTTCAGAAGACTGCGGATGGGGGCTGTGAGAAGTTGTTGGAGTGGGTGTATGTCGGTGGGTGTTGCGGGTGTTGGTGTGGCAGCGCCAGGAGCATGTCTTAGGACCACTAAGCCGACCATGCAATAACCCGTGTAGCGCCAGGCCCTGCCCCGTCGCTTGTGACTACCGGTAGATGCTTCTCTGGATGCATGTGTCCCCTATGCCCCAGCAAACGGCATTCGTCCCCTATGCCCCAGCAACGGCATTCGCCCCCTATGCCCCAGCAAACGGCATTCGTCCCCTATGCCCCAGCAAACGGCATGAAGCTCAACTACCGTCATCAGCACCCACGCAGCTATCGTCATCAGCACAGTGACGCGGCTCAACTGCTGTACCCCGCAAGCTGTGCCCACCCCACTGCTTCCCGCACCCCCTACCTCCCCCTGCAAGTGCGCACGCCTCCCCGCCACACCCGTCATCCCAGCCCCGGCCATGCTACCAACCCTCCTTCCTCCCCCTCCCCCTCCTCCTCACCCCAGCCCCCGCCCCACGCCTCCTGCTCCTCCTCCACCACCCCTGCAGCCCCCACCACCGGCTCCAGCTGCCCTCCGCAGCGGGCCAGACAGAAGGAGGCGCCGGGGCCCCGGGGGGAGGGGCAGGGGGGGGAGGTGGGAGCGGAGGAGGCGGGCGAGGGCGCCACACAGCTGAGGAAGCGGAGATCTCCGGACACCAGGCCAGGCTGCAGCGGGTGACAGGGGGGTGGGGGACAGAAGCGGGACCATGGGGTCGGGGCATGCAAACGTGTAGGGAGTAGCGGAGGCAGGTCAGCCAAGGGCCAGTGTGCAATGCCAAGCTGCCGCCCCCACGCACGCCGAGTGGGGTGTGCAGCCCGCTGCGCCAGCCCGCGGCCTCCCGGGCCTGTGTGGCGCCTGCGGACAATCAAAATCAGCCGCAGCGCTCCTCCTGTTCCCAAGGGAAACAAACCCAAGGGCTCCCCTCCCAGCACCCCCTCTTCCCCCCCTCTTCCCCCCCCACCTCCTGCATGGCCTCCTGCTGCGACATGTCCGGGCCGTGCAGCCGGACCTGCCGCAGCCCCGGCAGCCCCCGCAGCGCCCCCGCCAGGCGGGCGGCGGTGAGGCGGGGAGCGGCGCCCAGCTCCAGCTGCTCCAGGCGGGGGCTCAGCAGCGGCAGGGACTGCAGCAGGGACCTGAAGGAGGGGGGAGGGGAGGGGGAGGGAACGGGGCGGTAAGGCGTGTAGCGCATAAGGGGCATGCGGCAGAAGTGCGGCGCGCTGTTCTTATACTCCCTAAGCCACTCCAGGGTTTCCTCACCTCGTAAGGCCCCGCCGCGCTCCCTGTTATTCTCCCAGTCCCCGCCCCGCCCTCATCCCCCCTCCAACCCCTGCCCCCTCACCAAGGCTCCACCGAACCCCACTGGCAGCCCATCATCCGCAAACTGCGAAGCTGCGGCAGCGAGGCGCGCTGCGTCCGTGTGTGTGCATGCGGAAGAGGGCGGGAGGGGGAGAGGGGGAGGGAGCAGCAGTGGCGTTAGGGCCGTAGCCGGGAGAGCAGACACGTCGCCGTCAGTAGGTTGCCCGCCAACCCTTCCCAGTAAAAGACACGCACGCACCGTTACCCGCCATCCCAGGTCCGGAGCCCCACTCGCTTCCCTTCATCACAGCACCAGACAAGCCCGCCATGGCTCAATACACTCCTCCCAACCCTTCCCGCTCTTCCCATGGATAAAGATATATGGAGCTCTAGCCCTTCCCCAGTACCATGAGGTCCATGCCCCCATGCCCTCCCCCTCCCCTTGCTTCCCCCCACCCACCTTGACCCTCTCCAGCCCCTCCTGCGACAGCTCGATGCAGCCCCCCAGCCTCAGCGCCCGCAGCGCCCGCAGCTGCCCCAGGCAGGAGAAGACCAGGCCGCGCGTGGAGAGCGGCTCGATGGTGAGGACCTTGGGGGGGGGGAGGGGAGGGACGGGAGTGGGGCGGGAGTGGGGGCCAGGGGTGCAGGGAGGAAGGGGTGAGCATGTGCGACCGGGCGGACGGCGGGGATGCACCGGTATCCAGGAAAAAAGAGGCGACAGTCCACTGTCTTCCGCCCGCGTCTTTGCTTGTCATCTCCTATTCTGCCTACCTCCCCTACCTCATTCCCTGTCCTTATCTTCCCAAAGTGCAGCTGGCCCCCCTCCCTCACCCGCGCCCTCCCCTCCCCCAGCCGGGATATGGGATTGGCCAAGAAGCCCTTTGATGCGCCATTGACTTTGATTTAGGGAGCCCTTTGATGCGCCATTGACTTTTGATTTAGGGAGCCCTTTGATGATGGTTTGCTCGTGATTTAGGCACGCATTGATGGCTCTTTGATGCGCCATTGAGTTCTGACATTGAACGCAGATTGATACGCCGTTGATAGCCCTGATTGATGCTACATTGATCATTATGTAACAGCTAAATCCATTGAGTCGCCTAAAATCAATCCGTATCAATGGGAAGATCAATGCAAACTAAATCGGAAATATCAAAGGAAACTAAACCTGCCTCAATCCAAAATCAATCTGATCCTTTCTGGGAGTGTGGGACTCGTTGTTTCACATTTTTTGCCCCTCTACCTCCCCCACATCGCCCCCACCTGCAGCGCCGTGAGCTGTGTGATGAAGTTCAAGTGCGGCTCCCTCCTGCCGCCCCAGGAGGAGGGCGAGGGCGAGGAGGGGCCCGCATTGGCGCCGATACCCCCTCCCCCTCCTCCAGCTGCCGGACCAGGGAGCGCCAGCCCCAGCTGCTGCGCCAACAGCACATGCGGGGGCGGCTGCTGCGGGGGCGGGGGCGGGGGGGCCTGCTGCATGGGGGGTGCTGCTGCTGCCGCCCCGGGCGGCCCTCCTGCCGGCCCTGCCTGTGGCGGCGCCCCTGCCGCTGCCCCCGGCTGCGCGGTGAAGTGCAGTGCGGTGAGGGCGGTGAGGCGGGAGAGCTCGTCGTGGCAGCCCAGCTTGCAGGTGGCCAGGAAGTCGCGCTCGGTCATGCCTGGGGGGGAGGAAGAACATTCCGAACAATAGGAAACCACACGTTGGGGCAAAACAATGGGGATAGGAACCGGCAGGGTGCCACAAAACAACTATTGGTAGGGACGGAGGGAGGAGGGAGGGAGGAAGGGCGGCGCTTGGCTAAGACAAGAAACCAGGAGACCTCCCCCACCCGCCCCACCCGCCCCCCTACCCCCCCCCACCTGTTATCCGGACCTGCCTCAGCCCGCGCATGTTGGCCAGCGCCCGGAAGCGGCTCTTCATGAACAGCGGCCCCCCCGGCAGCTCCAAGCTGGCCAGCCGGGGGAAGGGAAGCTGGAGCAGCTCCTCGCCACCACTGCCGCCTGGAGGGGTGGGGGCGGGGGAGGAGCGGGGGATGGAGGTGAAGGATGGCAGCGCAGGCGAGGAGGGTGCGAAGGAGCGAGAACGAAGGGGCAAGAGGAGACGGGGCGAGGTGAAGAGGTAAGCAAATGAGGGATGCAGTGTTGGAGTGCCCGAGCCCTCGGTGCACGTCTGAGGAGTAAGTATAAGGAACAGCGACTACGAAACTCCAAACTACACATGTGACATCACCACAAGAGGAAAGTGGTCTCTCAGCGCGCCCGCCGCAGCCACGTATCTGCCACTTGCGCTCTCCGCACCCACCCACAACGCCCCCACCCCACCCCACCTGCCGCCTCCCCCCCGCCCGCCCCCTCCGCCGTCACGAAGGGCAGCAGCGCCAGCTCCCTCGCCCCCTCCGGCAGCCCCACCCCGTGCAGCGGCACCTCCCGCAGCCCCAGCCGCCCCAGCTGCGGGGCCAGCAGCGCCAGGTCGCGCAGCAGCAGGTCGCCACCCAGCTGGAAGCGGGGGCGGAACCTGGGGGGGGAGGGGAAGAGGGGACAGGGAGAGGGGAGGAGGGGCATGGGTTGAAGAGGTGTGTCTTTAAGCAGGGCAGCGGGGCGGGGTAGGTGGCTCAGTGGGCACGATTGGGCTTTCCTTTACATGTAGTATGTAGAACGACAATTCCCCGACGCATGCACAGGGCAGGTCCCTACTGGCAAGCCATAGCGACAGCATCGCACCCTTGTTGCGCCACCGTGTCCGCGCCCCTCACCCTCACCCTCACCCTCACCCTCACCCTCACCCTCACCCTCACCCTCACCCTCACCCTCACCCTCACCCTCACCCTCACCCTCACCCACACCACCACCACCACATGGGCGGCTTCCCGGCATATGGGCCCCCGGGTGCCCCTCAGCTCCTCCCCGCTCACCCCCGGCCCCCCGCTCACCTCCCCCCACCGCCCCGCCCCCTTCCCCACACCTGAAAGCCCCGCTCACGTCCAGCACACGCAGCTCGGGCAGCCGGCTGCACACCTGGAGGGGCGGAGGGAGGGGGGGGAAGAGGGGGAGGGCAGGAGGGGAGGCGGGGTCAGGCTCCGCAGTGGGCCCCCGTGACGCCACGGATCCCCTCCCCTTCAGTTGCCACACATGAACTTGGCGCCTAGCCCTCTACCGCCACCAGGAGGCAGACCTCCTCTCTACGCACCCCGTCCAACCCTTTCTTAGCCAGTTCAGTTGCTACCCCATCCCTCTACCCTTCCCATTCCGCCCCCCTCCTCCCAGCCGCTTCTCCACCCCTCCCCCTGCGCCCCCACCTGCGCCACCAGTGCCGGCGTGATCAGCTCCCCCGCCCGCGGCAGCTCCAGCCGCACCAGACCGCTGCAGCCGCCTCCCGCCCCGCCCCCGCCTCCTCCTCCCGCTGCTGCCCCCGCTCCCGCTGCTCGTGCACCTGCCGCCGCCGGGCCTACCCCCGTTGCCGCAGCCTCCACCGCTCCTGCCCCCGCCGCCCCAGCCGCTCCCCCCCTCCCGCCTGCTGTTGCGGGTGCTCCCGCTCCCATGATGCTCAGCAGCAGCAGCGGACTGACGCACCGCCGCAGCCGCAGCGCCCGCAGCCGCACCAGCGGGGCCACACTCAGCCGCTCCCACACGCGCTGCTCACCACCGCCTGCTCCGAAACCACCACCACCACCGCCTGCTGCTGCTGACGTCGCGTCTCCAAAGTCTACGTCCAGGGCGAGCAGGGAGTGCCGCAGCGGGCCGTTGACCAGCTGGGCCCACAGCGCCGCGGTGAGGGGCGCGGGGGGAGGCAGGGCGGTGGTGGCAGCGGTGGGGGAGGGGGAGGGCGGCTGCCAGAGCAGCGCCAGTTCGGTGAGGGCGGAGAGGGAGGCGAGGGCGGAGGTGTCGGAGGGGTGCAGGGGCTGGTTGCGGAGGAGGAGGCAGCTGCGGCGGAGGCATGGGTGGGTGGGGGGAAAGGAAGGATGAGGGGAGGGATGGCTGTTACAGTACGGAGGAACTGCATACACCGTATACGGCGAGGGCAGCTCTAGAAGAAATAAGGGAACATATTGCATATCTTTCGGAGCCTTTAGGCTACTTAGGCTAGGCGTGGCTCCCAGTCCACCTCTTCCTCCCTGCGACTGAACGACTTACTTCAGGTCAGGCAGCGAGGCCAGGCAGCCTGCCATCCCGTACATCGGCAGGCCGCAAGGCGCCCGTCGATCTTGAAGCGAATGCGGCTGTTGAGCTGCTGCGAACACGTTTATTGCGCTCGGCCGCGTTGGATACCGTTTCAAGCAAAGCTCCAAGCGACGAAGCTGCGACAGCCGCGGCAAAATGGTTGCCAGTTCTGCCGCAAGCGCAATCTCCGGCCGATTCGAGGCCGATCCGGTCACCGACTGCTCCTTAACAGCTTTAACAGCATTGAAGGCAAGGGACGTCAGGTGCGTCAGGCTGGCAAGGGCCGACATGTCTGCAATGCTCATGTCACATCTTGAGGCATCAAGATGCTGCAGGCGCCCAGCCAAAGGAAGTAGTACTTGAAGGCCATGCTGTCCCAGCTGCTGGCCCGCCACATTCAGGCTAACAAGGCTTGGGAACTGCGTCCCGAGCGCTGCGAGGTTCCGGACTGGAGCAAGGTGCCGGAATCCCAGCAGGGTGCTTCGCAAAATGGAGGCATCTATTCTGCGTACAGAAGTGAAGTTGCTTCCAAGCGCAGGAGCTCCAACGTTATGGATACGCAGTTCAGTAAGCGTTGCTTTCAGGGAATGGTGCCAGGAGGAGCAAACGCGGAGAAGACACGGAAGCTCTGTCCGATCATCTAGCAACCTAGACACCCGGTACAAGAGATCAGCCGGAAGGCTGGCCCAGTCCCGGACTTCGCTGTTTGTTTGCAGCAGCACATCGTGGCATAGGTTAAGGGGCATTGCAGAAAAACTTGCCATTTTGCAGCAAAGGGCTACCATCACAGATGCAAGGGCTACCACTGTTAAGATCGGGGCTGGCAGCAATTTGCCGTACAATGCGCGCGGGAAGAAGGAAACGGTATCGGCCTTAGTAAGTGTTGTATGAGTCCTTTCCGAATGAAATGCTCTTCTATGTTTTATTCATTCGTAGGCTTTGAACACTTAGCGTGGGAATTGCTCTCGGCTCTCGGCAATGGCTGTTGCGGCCACGAGTGCCCCGCCTGCGTCCTGGGCCGACTACTTTCCACCTCAGGAGTACTCTCGCGATGACAGGCGCACTCTGCTAATTCAGGACCTGCTTCGTTTCTTCGTATCAGATAGTGGACATGTCTTCGTTGAGAACTTGCGCCCGTGTGGCAACGGCACATATGCCTTAGACGTTGACTACTCTGCCTTGGAGACCCAGTCTGGCCTTGTGGACCTCCCAGCAGCGATGGAGGGCTCGCCGGTGGAGGCCTTGGGATGCATCGGCGTGGCAGCACATGAGGTAGGACAAGGTAGGGTAATTTTGGCAAGCTCTGGTTGTCAATATTGTATTAAACAATTACTATTGGGATAATTATAAGAGCACATTTAACTAATATTGGGCTGTACCAAAAAATACTAGCATGCCACCTGACAGTATTGGCTCGTCCGTCCATCCTTCCTGCCCCGCCCTGCCCTGCCCATCAGTACCTGTGCAAGCCCCGCATGAATCTGCATGCTTGCCATTCCCCCTGCAAACCCTCCACCCCTGGCTTCCCAATCCCCGGCATCCCCAGCCTAACCCTGCCCTCCTCACCCCCGTCCCGCTCCCTCCTCCACAGGCTGCCTTCGCACACCGCAAGGGCCGACTAGCCGGCTGCGGGGGCAGCGCTGCTGGCAGCGGGGGCAGCAGCGGCGGCCCGCCTCCCCCTGGCCGCATTGCCGTACGGCTGCACAACCACCCCGCCTCCAAGACCCACATACGGCAGCTCAAGTCCAGCTCCATAGGTGGGTGGGCTGTACGACGCCCACGCCGCCCTTCCCTCGCCAACGGTCCTAACCAACCCCCCTCACCCCTCGCTCCCCCCCTACTTCCGCTTACAGCTCTCCTGCTTCCCTGCTCGCTGCCCCCTTCCCTCCCCCCTCCCCTCCCCTCTCCTCGCCCCCGCCCAGGCAAGCTGGTCACCCTGCGCGGCACGGTGGTGCGCATGAGCCCGGTGCGGCCGCTGGTGACCGCCATGGACTTCATCTGCGCCAAGTGCGGAGCCAGGAGCGGGGTGGCATTCAGCGACGGGGTGTACGCGCTGCCCACCAGATGTGCGGGTGAGGGGGCGGGGTTGGGGGGCCGTGGTGGTGGAGGGAGGCGGGGGGGCGCGGGGCCGCCTGGCTCAACACCCGCCAGAGAGGGGTGACCTGCGTGCCACAAACTCCCATGCCTGCTTGCCTGCCTCTACTATTCGGAACCCAGATAAACCGCCTGCCTGCCTACTATGACCTCCTGTCCGACCTCCGACCCGGCCTGCCTGCGTACCGCCCCGCGACCGCACGTCTGCTCCCTCACTGGCCCACCCCCCGCCCCTCCCCCCCTCCTCTCTCCCCCAGGCGACGGCTGCCGCAGCCGCACCTTTACTCCGCATCGCGCCTCCGCCCGCTGCGTGGACTGGCAGAAGATACGATTGCAGGTGGGAGGGTGGAGGGTGGAGGGGGGACGGTGGGGGGCGGAGGGCGGAGGGCCGGTAGCAGAGGTGCTGGGGGTAGGGGTGTTGCAGCGGCATGCGGCACACGCAGCAACCTAATTGGATGTGCAACGATGTGAGTGCAGAAACCCGTCCAGGGGTCAGTAACCTGCGCCGCTGGTGCCGGCGCAAGGAACCGGCGTGTCATGACTACACCCCCCCGCACGTTGTTGCACCTACACGCCCCCTCCTGTACTCCACTCCCCCACCGCTTACCCCTTACCCCGCTTTCCATGCTTACCTTGTCCCCATTCATCGTCCCATACCCTTCCATGCCTTTTCTCTCCGCCTCTCCTCCCCTCCCTCTTCTTCCTCCTCCCCCTCTCCCCCACCTGGCCCCCCCCAAGGAGTTGCTGGGCGCCGACAAGGGCGGCGAGGGGCAGGTGCCCCGTTGCGTGGAGGTTGAGCTGTCTGGCGAGCTGGTGGGGGCGGCGGTGGTGGGGGACGTGGTGACGGTGCTGGGGGTGGTCAAGGTGATGGCCACGGGGGACGACCTGGGTGGGTGCGGGGGCTGGGAGGCGTGGGGGGAGGGGGGAGGGAGACCATACCGAAGCATAAGAAACCGCAGGTTAGGGAAAACGCAGGTGTGAATGAAGCAATGGGAGAGGAGGGGTGCTGGAGCAGGCGGGCTGGGTTCCATGGTGTGAGGGGGAGGCGCTCGTTGTCACCCTGGGGGGGCGGGTGGGTGAGGGCAGGAGTGGGGTGAGCAGGAGGGCGCAGGTGGGGGGGGGGCGCAGGTGGGGGGGGGGCGCAGGTAGGGGGGGGCGCAGGTGGGGGGGGGCGCAGGTGGGGGGGGGGGGCGCACGCTGGGCGCATGCAACAAGCTGCCCCGCTGCGGCCCCCGGGGGGCATACCTGCAAGGCAGTGATGGCCGGGAGGGAGGGGGCCGGGAGGGAGGGGGCCAGGGGTCCGCCATGCAGGCTCCCCATGGGGGCCTTACTCCCCCTCCCCAGGCGGAGTGATCAGCCAGGATGCAGGGGTAGGCCCCTACCCACGTTGCTCCGCCGGCCTTCCCCGCTTGCACCTCAATACTGCTAAACCACCACCACCAACAACAACAGGCAAGTTTGCTGCAGCGGGCGCCGCCAGCGGCGGCGGCGGTCGAGGTCCCGGCGGCGGCGGTGGGCGCGGTGGCGGCGGCGGTGGCGGGCGAGGTGGTGGCAGCAGCAGCCTGTTCCTGATGTACCTGGAGGCAGTGTCGCTGAGCTGCCCGCGAGCGCAGCTGGGCGGGGGGGCGGGTAGCGTACAGGTGGGGGCGGGGCAGGTGGGGGCGAAGGGGGGGCGGGGAGTGTGTGGGGAAGACCATACACCATGTGCTTGCTAGTGGCAACGGGATGGGGGGCCGGGGTAGGGGTGAAGCACAAAGGTAGGGGTGAAGCACAAAGGTTATTGTGGCACATGGTGTCCGAGTGGTGTAATGTACCCCACCCACCATCGCTGCCATGAATTCGACCACGGCAAGGGAGTAGGTAGAGGAGGCCACGGTCAATCCATCCACGTCATACCTTTCTCGGCCTTTTGGCTCAGATCATGTGTAGTATCTGTTCTTGTAAGTCTAATCGCTTACATGGTCCTCATTGAGGACCTGCGATTAACTTCAATATTTTGAGGGGGTGAGGTCAATGGGTGCGCTTGCGCTCCCGACCCACCAGCATGGTTGCGGCCTTTCACTACCGCCGTAGCCGTGCACCCTACCCAAGAAATTACCCAACATCTGGTTATTATATTGAAAGTAGTGAGAACGGCAGCAGGGGCCCCACTCCCTTCAGGCCTCACCAACATTCCCCTTCTCACGCCACCTACGCGCACTCTCCTCCCTTCTGCATGCACTTATATTTTTATCTTTCCCCTCTTGTTCTCCCTCTCCCCCCCTTTACCAGGCCCCCTGCCTGGGTGATGTGGCGGGCGGGGGCCCCGAGGCTCCCTCCGCTGCGCCCGCATTCACGCCCAACGACCTGGCCTTCGTGGTCAAGTTCTGCGAGGTGGGGCGGGGCGGGGTGGGTTCGGGGTAAACGAGATTGCAAATGAGAACTTCAATGGATGAACTCTAGCGGGGGTTGTCGCGTGCTGAGACGCATCATTGCTCCAGCTTGGGTCCTGACTACCGGTTACCCCCCCTCCCCCCTCCCCCCTCCCATCAGAGGTCTTGTCAGCTAAATTACCACTACCACACCACACATTGGAACTTCTTCTCTTCCCTCCTCTCCCCCCCCTCCCCTCCCCGCCCAGTCCTACGGCGGCGACCAGCTGCGGCAGCTGGTGCACGCGCTGTGCCCCGCCATATACGGCCACGAGCTGGTCAAGTGCGGCATCGTGCTGGCGCTGCTGGGCGGCGTCAGGAAGCATGCGGGAGGTGAGGGAGGTGAGGGCGGGAGGGGCGACCCGTGGGTCGTCTGGGTCTTACCCGACCAAAATACCCACACTAAGTAGCTCGTTCCAAGGAGAAGGCATTGCTTTATCACGTTCGTGGCGTCCGTTGTCGCTAGCTACCTTTCCCGACCGCCCATGTGTGCCATGTCATCCGCCGGGTGTAGGTGCCAGCGCTGCTGCCGGCGGCAGCACCGGCAGCAGCAGCAGCAGCAGCAGTCGAGTGCCGGTGCGGGGCGACATCCACATGCTCATCGTGGGGGACCCGGGGCTGGGCAAGAGCCAGCTGCTGCAGGTGGGGGTCGGAGCTGGTGGGCGTGGAGAGGCGGCAGGAGGGGACCAGCCCATATGTGCGCCTGTGTATGCAGTCGGAGCGGGCAGGTGCAACCAGCTTACCTCCTCTCCTCCCTCTCTTCCCCGCCTCCCCCCAGGCCGCCGCCTCCGCCGCCCCCCGCGGTGTGTACGTGTGCGGCCACACCTCCACCTCCGCCGGCCTCACCGTCAGCGTGGGGCGCGACGCGGTGACGGGCGACAGCGTGCTGGAGGCGGGGGCGGTGGTGCTGAGTGACGGCGGGGTGTGCTGCGTGGACGAGTTCGACAAGATGAGCGCGGAACACCAGGTGGGGGAGAGGGCAAAGACCGTACGGGGTTTGGGGGGGAGCTGGGGATTAGGTATGCTGGGGGGGAGGGAGGTGCTAGTTATGGTGATGTCTGTGGTCGACTTGAGGGCTGTGTATGGAAGCAGCAGCTAGCTAGCCCCCCAACGTCGCCATGTGCCAGCGTTCATGCGCCCTTGCCACCACCCGCCCGCCCCCTCCACCTCCCGCCAATGGGCCCCTGGTCCTCCCTCCCGCCCCCCTTACAGGCGTTACTAGAGGTCATGGAGCAGCAGGAGGTATGGGATGCGCGTGCGGGTTGGGGGCACTCTTGAGGGGGGGGGGGGGCGTGTGAGCGTCGTCTGACAGAGCGAACTGAACCCTTGTACCTGACGTACGTAACATGCCAGATTGCAGTCATGCACCTTCGCTCTGTGTTGCGGTTGCCTCCTCGGGCTGCTTGCATCCGCCCCTTTTAAGCATTCCCGCGCCCCTCTCCTCCGCCCTTTCCTCTCCTCGCCGTCCACCCCCACTCCCCCCACCCCCACTCGGGACTCGTTGTTTCACATATTTAATATTTTACTCCCCCCACTCCCCTCTTTCCCCCCTCCGCCTCCCAGGTCAGTGTGGCCAAGGCGGGCCTGGTCGCCAACCTGCCCGCCCGCGCCTCCATCCTGGCGGCAGCTAACCCCAACCCAGCAGGCGAGCAACCACCCCCACCGCAAACCAGCCCACCACTGCACTCCAACATGCATCCTGCCGCAGCAACTCTAGCTCCCACCACCTGTGTGCATGCATGCCTGCTCACACCATGCCTTCCTATTCCGCTTCCCTGCTTCCTCCTCCTTCGCTGTTCACCCCCTGGCACAGCCCACCATCCTGCCGCAACTACCCTACTCCGGAGTTTGCAAAGGCGCATGCATGCCTGCTCACACCACCGCATGCAGCTCCCACCGCCACCGCCACCTGCATGCATGCATGCAGCTCACACCATGCCTTCCTATCCCGCTTTCCTGCATCCCCCCTGGCGCTGCCCACCTGATAACACTTCCCCGCTCCCCGCGTCCTCCTTCTCCTTATATCAGTCGCTTTCGGGTAGCCTTTCGTGACACATCCCTCCCTCCCTCCCTCCCCCCCCCTCCCACACCTGCAGGCGGCAGCGGTGCCGGCGCCGGCGGTGGCGGCGCGGGCCACTACAACCGCGCGCGCAGCCTGGCTGAGAACCTTCGCGGCATGAGCCCCGCGCTGCTGAGCCGCTTCGACCTCATCTTCGTGCTGCTGGACCGGCCGGACGAGCTGCGCGACCAGGCGCTGAGCGAACATGTGATGGCGCTGCACTCGGGTGGGGCGGGAGGGAGGGGCGGGTGGGCATCAGCAACTGGCAAATGGTCTATTACTGGGTGGTGGCTCCGCGTCCTGGATCCAGCATCACCGCATGTGACTCATCTCGCATGGTGTGTGTTGCGTTTGGCGCCTCGAGAGTGCGCTGCCCTCCCAAGCCTCCCCCCCTCCCCACCCCGACCAGGCATGCCCGACCGCGCCCACGCCGCCCGGCAGCGCCTGCTGGAGTACGGCAGCAGCGGCGCGCCCGCCCCCTCCGCCTCCCGCCTCTTGCTCACCCCAGGGGCAGGAGCAGCGGGACCTGCGCCCTCCGCCTCCGCTAGCCAGCTCTCCCTAGGGGGTGCGGCGGGGAGCTACGGAGGAGGGGCAGCACCCTCTGGGGGCGGTTTCGGAGGCGGCGGCGGCGGGGGTGCTGCCGCTGCTCGCCCCCCGCTGTCGCAGCGTCTCAAGCTGGCCAGTGCGGATGACAACGCGCAGTTGCCGCTGCCGCTGCTGCGCAAGTACGTGTCGTACGCTCGGGCGCACTGCCACCCGCGGCTGAGTGAGGCGGCGAAGCAGGTGCTGCAGAGCTTCTACCTGCAGCTGCGCGCGCAGGCGGCACCGGGGACGAAGAACCCGGTCACGGTGAGGGGGAGATTGGGTGGGGGGGGAGGGTGAGGATGGGGAGGGGTAAGGGAGAGGAGGGGTAGGTGGAGTGAAGGGATGGCTCATGTTTCATTAGGGCCTGAGCTGAGGCGGGAAGTAGTGCACCACATCTTCGGCAATCCTCCTCTCCACCCCCCACGCCCGATTGCGGGAGTAACTCGTTAAACCCTAAACCTTCCAACCGAAACCCACGCCCCGCCCGCCCGCACGTTCAGGCCCGGCAGTTGGAGTCGTTAGTGCGGCTGGCGGAGGCGCGTGCGCGAGCGGAGCTGCGAGAGGTGGTGGAGCGGACGGACGCGGAGGATGTGGTGGATCTGGTGCGGGAGGCGCTGTACGACAGATTCGGGGGAGATCTTGGGGCGGGGTGTACGGATTACCGCCAGGTGGGTCCCGGGGCGAGGAGGAGGGGGAGGGGGGCGAAGGGGATGGGGAGGGAAACGGTGGGGAGTTTTGGGACCGAAGGTATGGAGGACGAGCAAAGCAAGTAGCCCCGCTATGCCCGCACATAAACACACGCACGTCTGCCACACAAAAGCAAATCACATCCCGCCCACCACCTCCCTCCTCCCCTCAGCTCGGCGGCTCCCGCCCCGGCAGTCGCGGCGGCGAGGCGGCTCGCTTCCTCGCCGCGCTGCGCGCCGCCGCCACTCGCGAGGGACGAGTCGTCTTCTCCGCCGCCGAGCTGCACTCACTCGCCAACGAGCTGGCGCTGGCGGTGCGCGACGTGGGCGGGCTGCTGGAGCAGATGAATGAGGCGGGTGGGTGCGGGTGGGACGGCAGGGGGGCGGGCGGGTTGGGGGGGGGAGGAGGTGGCTGACCCGTGGGTCATAATGCATGAGACGATGTCCATGAGATGTGCGGGCTCTCGGGTTGTATAGCAGAACCTGCCCCACCCGCGGATCCGTGGTTCCTGACGTGCTGCCGCCCTTCCTTCCTCCCCCACCCCCACCCCCCCACCCACCCCCCCACCCACCCCACCCCCACCCCCCACCCACCCCCACCCCACCCCCACCCCCCCACCCCCACGCCCCCCCGCGCAGGTCAGCTGCTGAAACGGGGCCCGGGGCAGTACAAGGTGGAGGGGGTGGCGCTGCCGGCGGCATCGCTGCAGAACAATGGCAGCGTGTGCGGGTAATAAGGGAGGAGGAGGCGGGGGGAAGGTGGAGGAGTCGTGGCTAAGAGGGTGTGCTGGTGGAAAGCCTTTTGTCTGTTGGTGGGTTGGTGATGGCTACATGGAGGCATGCGCACAGGAGGTGGCACGCCGGGGCGCGGCATGGGTGGCAGCGCAGCGAGGGGGCAGATGCGGCGGCGAGTGGCGGTGTAGGGGAGAGAGGGGCGCCGGGGGGAAGGTGGAGGAGGGTCGTGAGAGAGAGCGGAGGCTGCTGCATGAAGGAGAGAGGAAGCCAGGTGCATGGGGGAAGCGCGGGAGGATGCAGGAGTGAAGGGAGGTGCGAAGCGATGGATGGTTGCAAACATGTAGACAGAGGCAGCAGGATGGGTAGCAGGATGAGCTAGCATGTACAAGATATGTGGAGTACGAGAAAGTATGTGCATGGGGGTTCAGGGCGTGCAGTTGGCGGTTCGGTCTACGAACCGAGCTGACCTGGCGGTTGGCGGATGTGGGGGCGCTAGTTTTTATTTTTTTTGCGTGGGTGGTTGGCACCTTAGGCAGCGCCACAACGCTGATAACACCAGTGGCGTGGTCAATCCTCGTCGTGACCCATGGGTCAGTAACCCAACGAGAGAAATGCTACCTGCTGCCAACCACAACATGTTGGTTGGCTCATCGTGCTTCTACGTGCACATGACAGGCCTTACGCTAGCAAGACCTCCGCCGATGCCAAGGAGCCCCCACAGCACCCATGCTTCTTACACCTGCCCAGCTAAAGTCCGCACCTGGAAACAAGCCCCGCCATGCATCCTGCATGCCGTGGATGGCTGCCCTTCAAGACTCTCTTGCGTACCCACTGTGCTCGCGCACAAAATCCGAAACCTACTCTTCTCGCGCTTTAGACAAGCAGTGAAGGATGCGGAACATTCAATCAAATTACGGTAACTGCCGACGAGCCCTGCTATGCTGCACAGAAGAAGCCACTTCCACACTAACACTCCCAGAAGCAAAGATACCAACCCTTCCCTCGATGGGACCTGTATATATGCAAAACGGAAACATCATACTGCTAAATACGACATCCAAGGATAAAAGTGTGTATGGTGTTGTGGTGACACCACCAACACCCTAGCCGCAACCAACTAAAGAATTAATACGTACTGCATATGTACGGCGATGCCATCAACGGTAGCACCAAACCCAGGGGTACATAGCTCAACATGAAGTCACCTTTATTATCAGGCCTAGGCACCCTAGCGCTCTTCTGTATGTTATAACTCCATCAGCGGGGCACACCGGGACACCGCCAAGCGCACATCAGCAGGAAACCCACACGCAGGGAATGGATGAAGAGAAAAAAGGAAAAATGCATGTGATGAAAGGGAACAATGAAGAATTCCAAACAGAAAATTGATTAACCACGCATGACATCGTGTCATCAAGCATTTTGGGGGCCTATCACACTGCCCTACAGGGTACGACACCAGATGTTGTGTGCTGCCGGACACTGCTGCCACTCCCTCATCTATCGTCGCATGCAACCAGCCAGGGAGTCCTACAGGAAGGCAATGCCATGCGGTCGGAAGCCTCCCTTGCCGGGCGCAATCTCAGTGAAGTTAATGATCGGTCCACGGGCGTACGGCCAGCGGTCCCGCAGAAACCTCTTCCCTTGCTCGTCCAGTCGAAGGAAGCGAAGCGTGCAGTCTCCGGGGTGGTGAATCTGGGTGGGAGCAGCGGGTATGGTAGATAGGGCCACGGGTGAAAGGGTGGGCCAATCGCAGGGCAGGGCAATGTTCGCGTACGTTCGTGGGCCCCCGTGTCAACGGCTGTATGCAGCGTTGCTGTTGACGGGTTCATAAGTCCCATCCACCACAGCAACACACGTAAGAGACCTATCCATAACCCGTCTTGTAGCACACAACAATCCGGTGTTTGTTCCGCGCTACCCGCCGTACGGCAGCACCGTACTACTACGAAAACGCGCTTGTCGTACCTGGCCGATCGCCCCCTCATCCAGGAAGTACGTGGTCACGCCGACCAGCCTCTCGTTCTGGGAGATGCGCACCACGTGACCACCTGCAGGGAGAGAGGGCAGGGGGAGGGGGTAAAGGCGTCAATGTAGAAGTGAGGGTGTGGGGCATATACTCCAAGCACAGGGATGGATGAGCATGGCAAAGTGGCTAAAATGGATGGAAATGTGGGGAAGGCGAGGAGGGTGGGAGCGCTACTTCTGCCGCCCCCGTAAGGGAATCCAGCGGCGTGTGTTGGTTCAGGCCTCAATCAAGCAAGTGTCCCAGCAGCAGTGGTGCACTCCACCGTGCACCCGCAGCACCTCCAGTTGCATGCGGGTGGTGCCTTGGGGGCGAGTGTACGGACACGCACGCACGCATGCGGGCATGCGGGCATGCGGGCATGTGACGAAGGGCAGGATTGGCCACTTGCACGATACAGCATGCGACACTAACTATGATGTACGCATGTCGCGTCGGGGCTCCCACCTGCACCCTTGGGGAACTGGTAGAAGTCTAGCACCGTCGGAATCCGCGGCTTGGTGGTGTCAAGCAGGTAGACCTGCAAGTGGCATGCATGTGTTTGTTTAGAAAACTGGTGAGCATAGGAACGTAGTGGAACGTGTCTTTGCCATGAATGAATGACCGTTACAATGGTGCCCTAAAAGGGAACACGGTGATGAACCCAACCCTTTGTACCTGTGTCATGGTACGTCCAGTACACTGTGTATGTGCCGTACAGAAACACGCGCTGACACGTGTGCATGCGGTCATTAACAGGTGGGGGCGTCCAGCTTCAAGCTTTGTTGGCAGGTTCTTACGTGGGTTATGTCTGCCTCTACCCACTACCCAGCCGCTGGTGCCAAGACCCCGCTCGCCCAACTTCTTTGGTGCCCTTATCACTTATTACTACCCCCCACCCACCCGCCCAGCTGACCCACCCACCCACCCACCCGGTCCAATCCGAAGAAGGTAGCCAGCAGCCGAGTGCCCCCGCGGAAGGGCTGCACGACGCAGGACCCGCTGCCCCGCGGACCGGCGTCGAAGGCAATCTGCATGCCGGCCAGGCATCAGCACAGACGTACGGTACACATCGTCGCTCATTTCGTTACCATCAGCAGCTGACGACCGTTTCGTGCGGCCAAGCAAGGTGGCGCTCAGGTACAGGGGTGCTCCATGTCGGCCGCACGCTCGTTTAGCACTAGAGGTGTGTAGCAAATTGTACGTTTCCAAACGCACGTCGCTAGGCCTGCACGTACGGTAATCCCAAGCAAGCACGGCTGCCTACCTCCGGAGTGGACTTCTTGCCGCCGTTTGACGGGTCGAGGTAGTAGATATAGCCATTGCCTCCGGTAAGGTAGTACCCGCCTGCGCGTGTTAGGAAGGGACGTGCTCCCCAGTTGGGTCAAAGAGCAAGCAAGCAAACAAAACAATTATGGTTTCCTAACGGCCTCTATCTTCCCCTAGCTGGCTACCCCACGCACCATTGCCGGTAGCCACTGCGTCCATGGCGCCCTGGGGCCGTGCGTCCGGGTTGGGCAGGGTGTAGGTAGCGGTGATGGAGAGGTCTCGCAGGTTCCACACTCGGGCGGTGTTGCGGGCGGTGAGGTTGAAGCCCACCAGCGTGCTCTCGGGCTCTATGTAGTCGACCGTCATCATGGTGCCTCGCTTGAAGTCAGCGTCCATGCCTGCGTGCGTGGGAGGAGCTTTCTTATACGGAGAACATGGAGCACATCGGTACACGAGGTATGGCCCAGGGAATGTGGCAACAGCAGCCCTAATGCATGCGTGCAGCACTACGCAAGGCGGAAAGGCGGTGACCGCAAACACGAACCGCGTACAGCCTGTCACCAACGCTGTTGGCGGGTGGTATCGATACCACAGACAAGGCGTTTGGGTACAAACGGTACATTCGGATTCAATATCGACAGGTCTGTACTGAAGATGACACATACGGAAACAGCGCCGCGTACCACTTACTCGCTGCACTTACCATGAGGATTGAAGCCGCGTGCCGCTGGCATGATGTTGACATTCTTGGGGAACTCTCCCATCAGGTTCAGGTTCGCATCGTAGCGTGCCACCCTCCCTGGCGCCCGGCCGTTCTTGTCACCCATCAAAGTCACCAGGAAACCGCCGTCAGCTGTGGCCACAAACTCATCCGCAAAGGCGCTGTTAGGTGGCATGGTTACGTTGTGCAGCAGCACGGGCTTGGCAGGGTTGGTGAGGTCGAAGAAGGTGATGGTGGGCAGGCCTGAGAGGGAGGCCAGGATGTTGCTGCACCCTAGCCAGCGGCCATCGACGGAGGGCCGGCAGTGATGAGGCTCCTGCGGTGGTCAGCATCGTGAGGCGGGGTGGTTGCATGCATGGTCAACGGATGGTCACTTTGACTTCAGGCATGTGTTGGGCATGTGTCAGTATGTCAGATGGCTATCCCTATCGAAGATACCGGTGAAGCTGCAACAGGGTGCAAGCCCACAGAGAAATGGGGGTTCCATTGTGGGGCGTAATACTCGTTTGGATAGGCCCGTATGCCCGCTCGCCGCCCGCCCCGCTGTTACCGGTACTCAGCAATGCTAAGGTGCTCAAAGATAACATGTTTACGCACCAGGCCATTGTACGGCGTCTCGATGATGTTCACTAGTTTGCCGAAGTTGGGTCCGGGCACTACATTGAAGACGAAGAGCGAGTCCCGAGCCAGGGAGGCGTTCTTGGCGCCGGCCCAGGCGTACAGATACTCGGGGACATTCCTTGCCGCTGATGCCAGAGGTGTCACACTGCTCATGCAGGGCGGAAAGGGAGGGGCCGGCGCAAGAGGTTTCCGCGGATTTGGGACGATTGGAACTCGTAGGCGCCAACAGTATTATTTCAATGCCATAGGACCACAACATTTATGGAGCTATGCTGAGTTCTATAGTTTCTTGTTTGTTCAGGTAATCGATAGGACATACATGGATGGCTAATGATGAGGTATGCTTATACAAGTCCAGAATGTGCATGATACCCTATATTACGTAATTAATGCTATACAATACAATTTGCGGAAGTACATAATATCCACGTAAACGCTTGCCTTAGTTGCCAAATTGCGAACACGATGGCCATGGCTACGAAGGTGGCGCGTCGTGCGCGTGAGCGCGCTCCTGTTACAGAAAGAAACAGGATGGCATACGCATTGAAGAGCACTGGTAAGGGTTTTATTAGGGCAAAGGAAATGCGAGCTTGCGCCACACGTAAAACACATGTTTGACATGACGACAGTTGGATCGGCGTTCTAATTCCACGCGCATGTAGAGCTACGAGTAGGCAGCTAAACGCCCTCCATAGGCATGAATCAATTTACGTTCGGCGACGTGTTCCGTCAGCAACATACATACCGTGCGCTTGCATGTCGTCCGCTTGTAGGCGAAGCTGCCGTAGATGGTTTGAGGCGCTAAAAATTAAATGCTAATACAAGTTTACTTTACGCGTAGTATCAGCCCTTGAAAGCGTGTACAGTCGTGTGCCGTATGTCTAGCATGTACTTATTGCTTCATTGCCCACTTCTGCCTTTTCTAGTTCTCAGAAGTATATGTATATTTCAAGCGCCATGTTTTATAGTCTTAGCGCGGGTCGTGTCACCGTCATTGCATGGCTGCCCGGTGGCCGTACTTGCAGTTGCAAGGTAGGGTCGCACTCGTGGTCCTGCTCCCCCTGGTCCATGCGCCCCCTGGCTCGCCTGGGCCTTATGAGCCTCAAGCTCGTACCACAATCGTGAAACCCATTAACGGCGTGTACAAGATACAAATGCGTTCCAACTGCCATTCTCTGAGCTTGCTAGCTAGGTCCGGCCCAATTGAAGTCCTTGCTCGCATGAAAACTGCCATTCTCAATATCGCGCTGTGTGCTAGCACCAATTATACGCTGCAACAGGACGGTCTCCGGTGTTTCTCCAAGTATGTGACGTGATACGACCGACACCACACAGTCCACGGACAACTCCACCCAGTGGGTTCCACTGCTGCCAGGAACCCAGGTACAGGGTCTCGGCTGATGCACGGCTAAGCTGCGAAACGGCCGGTTCCTCCCTCCAGAAGACCTACCACCACTGATCGTGGTCCGTACACATTGGGTTAGTTGTATATGGAAACACCATGATGCACCATGATGGAGGTTTCCACTTGTTCCCTGTGTCCGCAAAAGCTGCGCTCCAGGTGTGCAACAGTTGCCAGCTTACTTCCCTGCAACTATGCGTGCCGCTGTCCTGGGTAGTATTGGGCAGGCATCCGCAGCCACTGTACCGGTAATGGCGGGGTCTGCACAGCGATGGTGCGGGGGTCCGTGATGTACGGAGGAGGAGCGAGTTCAATCAGTTTGGATGGATGCGTGCGCGCCCCACATTTTTGGAAATGTGGGGGCCGGGTAGATGGATGGGGAAGGGTAGAATGCAGCCATGATGCTACCGGTATGCGCCGCCATGCATGTATTGACTGCTGCTGTATGTTTGCTGTCCAGCGGCTGTGGTAACAGCAACAACAAGGGCTAAGGCCAGCACCTCAGCAATAGTGCTGCCGCCCCTCTAGGATTTTCTTGGCTGCAAGACGGGGGACGGGAGGAATCTGGAGCTGAAGATTGGTGGCTAGGCACTTGAGGCAAGCGCGCAGATGATTACAAGGAGGACAACTAACTGCCACTCCGTACAGCAAAATGGGTTGTCGTACAGTACACACCAGCCGGTATTAATTCCCCGCGCTCCAGCGGCAAACCATGGATCACAGCAACGGTCGCACACGCACCATCCAACCAGGTTTACCAATCAAACCTAAGCCAGTCACACTGCTAGACGGCCTGTGTGGCCACCTGAAGCTTTTCAGCACCAGGCTATTGAACCCGCTGGCTTGGTGCACAAGCTGTTTTACTGCACGTACATCCCCTCGCGTTCAGGCGCCCTAAGCATATCACTCGCGAATAAACGCCGCGATTTCCGTACCACACCATCAGTATCCCACGTAAGCAGGGAAACCCGGCCCCTTCCCCGACGCAAACGGGATGTGCAAGAGGCTCATAGAGCGAGCTAGCAGCTATCACAACATGTTATGGAAGGTGGTTCACACACGGAAGGTGGTGCACCACGCACCTGCTAAGTAATGATGAACGATGCCAAAGATGCCAACAATCCCAAACGAAGAACAGAAATGCACAACACAGTGCGTTCGATATGAAGTTGTATTTAGCGCATGCAAAACACAACGCATGCACCACATCTACGAACGCTCGCAGCCAACCTGCTGCCAGGCAATAAGAGCATCGCGGCTCCATTGAACACTCCCTAACACCCACTGGTTAAGAAGTAAGAGTTGGCGCCATCCTAACTCAGGACGGAGGCCTTATGGAATCTGTACGGCACTTTGTACGGTGCTATGGAGGCTATGTTGCGGCCATTTGTCACACAGGCCTTGAAGGATACAAACACTATCTATGAGAGGGCTGCAGGAGGTTGTGTAGACATTACCACTCCACCTCATAGCCCCCTTAATACGGTACGCGATGAAAACTACCTGCATTACCAGTATGTACCGCACGCATGAGGCCAAACGGCAATATGTCACAGGGTCACCTGCCCGCTTGCCTCATGCATGGCATTTCTAAAGTATGACAACACAACCCGTACGAACGACTGTAACTCAAACAACAATACACCACGAATAGAGATTGGACATTTCTTTGACCCCTTGAGCCATCGAGCCAAACTATCTACAGGAAGGCAATGCCATGCGTCCGGAAGCCTCCCTTGCCGGGGGCGATCTCGGTGAAGTTGATGGTGGGTCCGCGGGCGTACGGCCAGGGGTCACGAATGAATCGCCTGCCCTGGGCATCCAGCTGCAGGAAGCGGATGGTGCAGTCGCCCGGGGCGTGGATCTGGGAGCAGCAGGTAGGGGCAGCAGCGGAGGGAGGTCAGAAGGGGGTGGCATGCATGCGACCATCAACATACAGCAACGCAGCAACCCACTGTTCTCCGACATTCCATCCAAGCCTAGGAATCTAATCTAGGAATCTAATCTAAGGCGCCCCTAGCCCGTTGCCAACGCCTTATAGATGACCGGCATTGCATTGTGCCCTGTAACGACTTTCATGCGAGTGGACAGGTGCGGAGCAACACACCTGTCCCGCAGCTCCCTCCTCCAGGAAGTACGTGGCGAGGGCAAGCAGCCTCTCATTCCGGGAGACACGAACCACGTGACCGCCTGCATACGAGGTTGTTGGGTACTTTTGAGTATACGGCAAGTGCCAAAGGACGCTGAGGTTTAATAAAGTACGAGGAGACTTCTCTCTGGGCGTGCGGGAGTGCAGCAAGTCGATCGTACAGGGTGGATCGCATGCATGGGGACCGCATGGCCAATTCAAGGACTCCCAACGTGGAGGTCGGGGTCGGCTTGCTGGCTGCCGGGGCCCTACCTAGCGTCCACCAACACACACCCCGCCCACCTGTGCCCTTGGGGAACTGGTACAGGTCGAGCAGCACGGGCTTGCGCGGGTTGCTGGTGTCGAGCAAGATGAGCTGAGGGAGGGGATGCATGGGCGTGTTAAGAAAACTGGGTGTGTGGCACGCATAGCACAGGAGCGAGGGAGGGCAGGGTAGCATTGGGAGGGGCAACAACAGATTACCATCTTGCCAAGAGCCGGTACAGGTGGGCAAAGCCGTCACAAGCACCATCCGAGCCCACCCTGCCCCGAGCAACCCACTCACCCTGTCCAGGTCAAACAGCGCCAGCAGCAGCCGGGTGCCCCCGCGGAAGGGCTGCAAGATGCAGGACTCGCTGCTCCGCACACCGCCGTCGAAGACAATCTGCATGTGCGTGTGTGTGGCAGCAGCGCACCAGCCAGCCATCAGTAGCAGCAGGAGCGGCGGGCAACCAACAGCGGTGCACACCCTTACTTCCACGGGCCATAAGCAACGCCTCGCAGGGGGCATGTTGAATCCATACTGTCGTACACGCGCAATTGCCACCGCATCGCCAATTGCAAGGGCTGTAAACGTGTACGACAAGGGGACGGAACGAGGCGCGCGTACGGCACGTACCGCTGGGCCCGACCGCTTGCGCTCCTTGGGGTCAGTCGGGTCGAGATAGAAGACGTAGCCGTTGCCCCCGGTGAAGAAGTACCCACCTGCGTGCGCGGTTGGGAGGTGGTTGAAGCGGTTAGGGGTCATGGGAAAGAGCGTCGGATACTACTGTCGGGGTTGGGTTGAGGAATGCGGATGACGGTGGTGAAAGCAAGGATGAGGGGTACGGCTGTTGAATGCGGGACGACAGCGGAAGGGCTTTGCTCAGCCGAGGACCAAGCACAACCATGACTAACGAACAAACTAACTAGCAGCCACCAGCTTCTCCCTCCCTGTCACCTACCTCGGCCAGTAGCCACTGCGTCCATGGCGCCCTTGGCCCGAACACTCTTGGGCAGGGTGTAGGTGGTGATGATGGAGAGGTCTCGCAGGTTCCACAGTCGGGCGGTGTTGCGGGCGGTGAGGTTAAATCCCACCAGCGTGCTCTCGGGCTCCAGGTAGTCAACCGTCATCATGGTATTATGGTTGAAGTCAGCAGCGATGCCTGCATGGGGGAAATTTCATGGTCGGGAATATAACGGGTGCGCCCCATGCATAGCGCATGCCAGCTATATCCGCGGTGCAGCTGCATGTGCACTAGTAGTACGGTATTCAACATGGGACAAAACAGGACAGGAACAGTTACAGCAAAACTGGCATGCTGTGTGCTGCGTTGTGGGGACTCCTGTACCACAGCCTCTTCTTCGTACGCACCATGCGGGTTGAAAGAGTTCGCTTGCGGTATGGTGCTGACATTCTTGGGGAACTCTCCCATCAGGTTCAGGTTCGCATCGTAGCGTGCCACCCTCCCTGGCGCCCGGCCGTTCTTGTCACCCATCATGGTCACAACAAATCCACCGTCCGGGGTGGCGGCGAACTCGTCCGCGAAGGCGCTGTTAGGTGGCATGGTTGCATTGTGCAGCAGCACGGGCTTGGCAGGGTTGGTGAGGTCGAAGAAGAGGATGGTGGGCAGGCCGGACAGCGCCGCGAGCAGGGCGCTGCAGGCCAGCCAGCGGCCGTCAACAGAGGAACGGCAGTGATGAGGCTCCTGCGGTGGACAGCAGCAGCAGCAGCAGCCGAGTGCACTCATTTGCGGTGTTGGTAGGTGAGGGGGTGGACGCACGTGTACGGCAGAACAGCAAATGTATCCGTACAGAGGCGCGTAGTGGCTGTTAATGCTCATCAGCGGCACATGTACCGAACATTCGGAAGTTTGCATGGAACACTCAGTGCAATCTGGGCTGTCAACGTTCAAGTGCACGACCTCTGTTGGGTAACGAGCTGCGGGTATCAGGAGGCGGTGTCACGTCTGTCAGTGCCCACTCCCGCACGCGCCCCCGCCATACATATACATGCATGCAGGCATGTCCTGCCTTAGCTGCCTGGCTCCGGGCAGCCCAGGACTCACCAGTCCATTGTAGGGGGTCTCAATGATGTTCAACAGCTTGCCGAAGTCGGGGCCGGGGTCCGCACAGAACACAAAGAGCGAGTCTCGCGCCAGGGAGGCATTCTGGGCGCCGGACCAGACGTAGAGGTATTCGGGTTTTGACGGATCCGCAGCACATGCAAACCTGCATGTGCAGGCGGAGCAGGAGCAGGAGCAGGAGCGGGGGAGGCAAGGTGAAGATGGTTAACAGCAGGGTACGGCGGAGCAGGATGAAGAGGGATGGCGGTGGGGGCTGGTGACATTTGAAGCCTGACAGTAATCGACAAGTGGTGAAGGGGAAACGACTGGATCCAGGGCGTGGTCACGTACAGATAAAGGCAAAAAGGGAACGATTGTGAATAGAGACATAACAATCAACACGAATGAAGGGCCAACACCACCCAAGTGAGGGGGAAGTGAGCGTGCAAAGTCGGTTAGGGAATTCTAGTAGAGTAGTGGGAGTGGCAGATGGGAGGGACGCGGATACCATTTAGCGCGGCTGCTTGTGCTCCCTACGATTTGTAGGCCACGTTTAATAGAACATAGTAGACGGTACCGGACAAAAGCCATCCGTCATAGAAGGCAAGGGTCCTAACAGCCGGTAACTCAAGGACACCCCACTTATTTAAAAAATACATTGTATGTGCTTGTTGAATGTTGAATGTTGGAATAGCTTACCGGAAGCGGACGGCGGTGAGCATAAGGGCGGCCAAGGTGATCATGGATGCTCGTTGCAAACATAAGCGCATACCTGGAATTGCAGCAAAACAAGGGAACATTCTATGAAACATATAAGACTGTCGCCAGCACGCAGCCTTTTATGCCTGTGCACTGTAGTAAGCAGTCGAGACACCAATAACATTTGGGTAGGGAGGACCAGTATCGGTATCCCGGTCTACACGATTGTGCAAACGTAGCCCACAAGTTTCGCCTGCAAAATTGCCATAAAGACGTGGCCGGCGGCAACGAACGATAGCAACTCACTGTATGCTTGCATCATGATGGCGAGGAGAAGCTCAGTGGAAGACCGCTTGACGTTTTACCAAACTGAGCGTGTTACAAGCGGAAGACCCAAGACACGGTAAGCGATCTTTGCGGGTGCTACCTGCCCTCGAAAGCCGATCGAGTGTGGCTTAGACCTGAGCGGTGTTTCCTTTTCCAACAATAGTGTAACTGTCTGTTCAGGTCGACAAGTTGGAGATAGTGTTCATGGCATGTAACCAAACCTTCAACCTAGCAGCTATATAATCTGATGCCGTACAACGTTTCAGGGCAGTAGTCGTATTTTCAGTTACCAGCAACCCAGGTATACGCCTCTCTGTATCCTAAAATGCCTACTTGTATCCACCGACGGTTGGCCGTCACCAACGTCCGTTTGTATCCTCCAACGGTCGGTTGTTAAAGGATACAAAGAGACAGGCAGCTCTTAGTCCTGAAACTGGTCTCACCGCAAGGACACATATTGCTGAGCTAAAGGGTCTTGCACTGAGCCATGTTTCATGGTCAGCGTGCATGCTTTCACTCAACTCCGCGGACATCCCGCACTAGTTGCAGGTACACGTCGCGTCATATCGCAGCCATGTAAAGGCCTGAAGGTGCTAAACCAAGCTTTGTTGAGAATTTCCCGTGCCTTGGAATTGCCAAGGGCGACATGGTGCGACACCGCAGACGCTAGAGCCAGCATGTCCATAAGCCGGTGTTACACTTTGTAAGAGTGGACAGAAGCGTGCACAAGGCCGAACCGCGGGTGTCATGAAATTCGCATATATGGCGTTACACTGCATGTAATAATGGACGGTCACGATGCTCTATGGTCACGATACTCTACGGTCACGATGCAGTCCCACCCTCGCCGTGCTTCCGCCCGCTCACCAACACCCTGCGGAAGTGAACGACCACTACCACTTAAATTCAAACCGTCAATGACTCATGTAATCAACGAAACGGTTGACATGAAACGGTTCTGTCCCGCACGTCGGCGATCAAGTCGTGCCACGTGCATGATTAGTACTTCTTCTCCTTCTTGTCGAACTTGATGGTGTACTTCCAGGCCTTGCCGGGCTCCAGGACCTCCGAAACGAGCACACCGGAAGCGCCGGTATAGCGGCCCGTGCCACCGGTGATGGCCAGATCGGACTTGGCGCCCTGGCGGTTGGGATGGTGGCAATCGGGGGTGGGCATAGAGGTCAGTCGTCACGCTGGTGACAGGAGGGCGTCATCTGCAGACAATCCGCAGGCACTCCCAGGCTCGCCACCACTCTTGTGGCCGGGCGCATGTAGGTAGGCCAGTGTTAACGTATCAGGAGCGCGGGTTTGGCATGAGGCGTGCGCGTTAAGGGGTTGACTGTCATGTAAGTACGGCGGCCTCGAAAACGAGCGTCTGCCCATAGGATAGCGCCGGCTTACCTTGGCCTCGTTCTCGCGGCCCTGCACGGTGATGGTGCCGTACTTGTCGAGGGTGATGCTGATGAGGCAGTAGTTGACGCCGCCAGCAGCGGAGGAGGGCGCGAGAACCGTGCAAATGCCAGCAGTACGCCCGATCTGGTTGGGACGGGAGGGGGCGCAGGGAAGGATAAGAAGTTGGATTGATGTCGTAAAGGCTTCATATTGGAGGCAGAGAAGGGCATGCTCATGCACGCAGGCAGGCAGGCAGGCTGCATCCATTGGATAAACAATGCCAGTGACTAAGGGGCCCGCGCGTCCTGAAAATGAAGCAGGGTATACGCCTACGTGGCGGCCTGCCTGCACCATGCCGTAACGCTACCCAATGCATGGCAGGTCTTCGCCGCTCACCCTCTTCCCTTTGGGCGAACCACCCAACGCGACAGGACTGGTGAAGCCGTAAGTGCAGCCGACATCAAAGCAGCCACTGCAATGAACGAAAGCGCACGGGAGCGGGGTTGACGGGATGAGCGGGGCCATCGTCTTGATAGCAGTGTTCCCAGCCAGGGCATGCATGCATGGCGGCTTCTTACGCGGTGGTGGCAGTCTTGTCCACAAACTCCGTCACCACAAGCGGGTTCTTCTTGTACCAGCCATCGTCCTCCGTGGCCAGGGCGGGACCGGCCAGCAGTGCAAGCACCAGCGCCAGGAGGCCGACAAACGCGGAGCGAGGCATGTTGAATTCTTGTTCTGCTGCTGCTGTGTAACTGCTTAGTACTTTGGTTGTTTGGGGGTTTAGCAATGGTCTCGCTTACATATCATTTAGGGTCGGCAGTTAGATAAAGCTGTTAGGCGGTTGGTACGGCAACACAATTGCCTCGCGCTGCCTCGAGTGGCGACCCCAAGACTAAGCGCGTAAGCGGCCTAGGAACACGGCACGTCACCGGTGGTACAAGGCCTACTACAGTGGTTGCTGGCGGTAGCCGCGCAACTGCCGCCTTGATGGTAATGCTGCCGCAGGAAGATATTCAGACATGCAGATACCTGCTCCACTGCCGTGGCTGATGGACGTAAGTGGCCCGACATATTGCATAAACGAAAGCATTGCTTGTACAATCTTTGGGCAGGAACGCAAAACATGTGCATAGGCAGCAGCGCGAGGAATGAAGTATGGTACGGTACCACATCACGCGCATTGTTCAGGCTGGCTCACCTGCCTCACCCTTCGGTCCCACCCATTACCAGCAGCTGAACAATGCACTGGACACCAGCATGCATGCTAGCACTTGCCTAACTCTATGGTTGACAGTCAGGCGCCGTGTGCAGCAAACCTGTGAAATCGACCCAGACAACGTATCAGGTCCTACACGTCCAGACGACCCAGCAAAGTCAATGCACGCCTGCACACATGGGTCATGCGGTCGCCTCGCTCTACCTTATTCTTGGCCACCCGCCTCGCCCGCCTCAGCGGAAACCTTGCTAAGACCCACTGTGAAACGCCAATCGATACGCGGCAGGTCAACCGATGGATGCATCGACTAGAGCTAAGCGTGCATAAACTTGGACTGCTGCCAGCTACTGCTAAACGACTTGTTTGCACGATGTATTTACGAGAACTGCTCAGGATTAATTTTGGAGCGAGCAATACCGGTACACGCAATCCGTTGCCTTTACCCAAAAATGCTAAAATGTATTGCATTCGGCGCGCGTCAAAGCAGAGTGTGACAATTGAGGTAATCCGAAGACACTTAAATGGCACAGCAGCCCTGCTAGACGCAGCCAGCTCACGCTACGAAGGCGCCTGGAGTCGTTAGATGGCTCTACCCGCCTCGTTCAAGTTAGGACACAACAATTACCTATTTTTTATATAATTTCGTCATGCTATCTACCTGGCTTCGATGCGCATGGCTCGTTATGAGTTATAGAATTTGCGCATTGGCTCTGCTGTTGATGATAACCTGCTGAGTTCGTTCGTCATATCGTCCTGTCATCTCAAAAGCAGCTGCCTTACAGTACCTTATACCTTTATTTTGGAATGAAACAGACAAACTATAGTATTATCGCCTGACTGCTTAAGCGATTAAGGCCTTATGCTCTTCTACAATGAAAAGTCGACTCTGCACCGTATCCGTAGCCAGGATATTGCAACAAACCTAATTATTCTCCTAAGATAATAATTACGATGCTGCAAGTTTTTGGGGGCCTGTATAGGCTAAATTGCCGACGTAGGAACGTACCATAATTGCGTGTGATAACCGAGTTATGTTCAGCTTTACGTTACAAAGAACCCCTTTGATATGCCGGGCCTTGCTGGATGGATACCGGTGGCGGGCGGCTCGCTTAAGGCAGATGAGTCGCTCAAGACAGCGCAAAAGCCGTTGGTAGGGCTCACTGCTCAATCCAACCAGCTGGCAGGTCAACCGGGTGAATGGTTGGAGGTGCTAGAAGTCACAGATGATGACACCGGGGTGCGCCAAAGCTTATTCCCGCGGGCCAGCAGAGAGCCCCCGGGCCAGCAGCCAGCACCAGCCAGCACATCGCAGCAGTCTATCGGCATCCAACCAGCTCAATACCCGTACCGTACCCGTACCCGTACCAATAGCCGCCTACGACGGGGATGCAGCTCCAGGTGATTACTGGCTGCCCTGGTACTACGACAGCAGGTACGGGCTGCACCGTATGCCATGCATGCTTACACGTCCTTTGTACATATGCATGGGTTGGGATTAGGTGGCTGGGCGACATCGCTCTTTGATTGTCTATGTGTAGCGCATGCAGCGTGCGTGAGGGCAGACCACATGTATGTATACGCCCATGGCCTCCGTGCAAAAGCGTGTACGGCTGGTGTCGGCCTTATTACGAAGCTAGCCCCATCTAGCCTCATCGTGCGTTGCCAGTGTTCGGGCTGCTTCTTCAATCCTTGTTAGTGGCCTAGGAGTTGATCCCAGCCCCCCCTTGCCTTAACCCCACCTACCGGTACATCGCCACGTAACATATAGAGTCTCGCCGGCGCCAGCCATGGCGACAAACCCGTGGGAGGCTTCGGCTGAGGTCAAGGACTACACGTCAGCGGTGGTGGCTGCTGCTGCTCAACACAGCAGCGGCAGGAGTCCCTGCAGCAGCAGACGGCTTGCTGCCATCGTGCTTGCGGTGGCCCTGCTGGCGGTCGTGGTAGTGGCTGCCGCGGTTCTCGTCCCAGTCTTCATGTAGGTAGCTAGCGTGTATGTCAGTACTAGGCCCTGCCGCTGTGCTTGTATTGCATGCATGCGCACGTGGCTCACCTACCTGTATGTGGTAGGAGGTTTTCCCCGGCTACACGCACCTGCTGTCCAGCAGATCTGTATGTAATGCCTCTTTCCACCTGTTACCCTATTTGCGTGCAGCTTGGGCCGTAAGAACCACTCACCAAGCCCAGCAGCGACTGCGCTCCCCGCCCAATCGGGCGCCAATACTGGTAACACGGGCTCTGCTGTGTACCCCTCATCGTCGGCGGCAGCACCCAGCAGCCCCTCTGCTTCCACAGCACCGCCACCCACCCCAGCAGGGTTAGTGTCGCCACTGCAGGCTCCCTCCCCACCTCCAGCCACACCAGTAGTGTCGCCTCCACAGCTAGTAGTACCTCCAGCACCCCAAACTCCTGCACAGCCTTCCCAGACCCAATCTCTCCCACCCTCGCCTTCTCCAATGCCGCCACTGCCACACCCACCTCCACGCATGCCGCCTCCATCCACAACCCCGCTAAACTTGCAGCCAGCACCCTCACCCCCGCAACCTTTGCCGCCTCGACCGCGACCCGCGCCACATCCGCCACCACGACCCTCACCCTCACCACCTTCACCCGAGCCACCGTGGCCTCTTCCCTCAACCCTGCAAGTCTGGACCCCGCCATTTTCACCACCACAACCAAGGCCCCTGCCACCATTCCCCTCATCGCCTTTACCACCAACCCCTTTTTGGCTACCACCGTCCCCGCCTCCCTCAACTCTACCGTCCCCGCCCCCCTCGCCTCGGCCGTCCCCGCCCGCCTCGCCTCCACCGTCCCCGCCACCCTCGCCCATGGCCCCCTCACCTCACCCATTCCCGCCTCCACCGTCCCCGCCCCCCTCGCCTCCACCGTCCCCGCCCCCCTCGCCTCCTCCGTCCCCGCCTCCCTCACCTCCACCGTCCCCGCCACCCTCGCCCATGGCCCCCTCACCTCACCCATTCCCGCCTCCACCGTCCCTGCCGCCCTCGCCTCCACCGTCCCCGCCCCCCTCGCCTCCTCCGTCCCCGCCTCCCTCACCTCCACCGTCCCCGCCACCCTCGCCCATGGCCCCCTCACCTCACCCATTCCCGCCTCCACCGTCCCCGCCTTCCTCAACTCTACCGTCCCCGCCCCCCTCGCCTCGGCCGTCCCCGCCCGCCTCGCCTCCTCCGTCCCCGCCACCCTCGCCCATGGCCCCCTCACCTCACCCATTCCCGCCTCCACCGTCCCCGCCCCCCTCGCCTCCTCCGTCCCCGCCTCCCTCACCTCCACCGTCCCCGCCACCCTCGCCCATGGCCCCCTCACCTCACCCATTCCCGCCTCCACCGTCCCCGCCGCCCTCGCCTCCACCGTCCCCGCCCCCCTCGCCTCCTCCGTCCCCGCCTCCCTCGCCTCCACCGTCCCCGCCTCCCTCGCCTTCTCCGTCCCCGCCGCCCTCACCTCCACCGTCCCCGCCTCCCTCACCTCCACCGTCCCCGCCGCCCTCCCCTCCACCGTCCCCGCCGCCCTCGCCTCCTCCGTCCCCGCCTCCCTCGCCTCCACCGTCCCCGCCCCCCTCGCCTCCTCCGTCCCCGCCTCCCTCACCTCCACCGTCCCCGCCACCCTCGCCCATGGCCCCCTCACCTCACCCATTCCCGCCTCCACCGTCCCTGCCGCCCTCGCCTCCACCGTCCCCGCCCCCCTCGCCTCCTCCGTCCCCGTCTCCCTCACCTCCACCGTCCCCGCCACCCTCGCCCATGGCCCCCTCACCTCACCCATTCCCGCCTCCACCGTCCCCGCCTCCCTCAACTCTACCGTCCCCGCCCCCCTCGCCTCGGCCGTCCCCGCCCGCCTCGCCTCCTCCGTCCCCGCCACCCTCGCCCATGGCCCCCTCACCTCACCCATTCCCGCCGCCACCGTCCCCGCCCCCCTCGCCTCCTCCGTCCCCGCCTCCCTCACCTCCACCGTCCCCGCCACCCTCGCCCATGGCCCCCTCACCTCACCCATTCCCGCCTCCACCGTCCCCGCCGCCCTCGCCTCCACCGTCCCCGCCCCCCTCGCCTCCTCCGTCCCCGCCTCCCTCGCCTCCACCGTCCCCGCCTCCCTCGCCTTTTCCGTCCCCGCCGCCCTCGCCTCCTCCGTCCCCGCCGCCCTCGCCTCCACCGTCCCCGCCTCCCTCACCTCCACCGTCCCCGCCGCCCTCCCCTCCACCGTCCTCGCCTCCCTCGCCTCCTCCGTCCCCGCCTCCCTCGCCTCCACCGTCCACGCCTCCCTCGCCTCCTCCGTCCCCGTCACCCTCCCCTCCACCGTCCCCGCCTCCCTCGCCTTCTCCATCCCCGCGGCCCTCGCTACCACCGTCCCCGCCGCCCTCGCCTCCACCGTCCCCTCCTCCCTCACCTCCACCGTCCCCGCCACCCTCGCCCATGGCCCCCTCACCTCACCCATTCCAGCCTTCACCGTCCCCGTCACCCTCCCCTCCACCGTCCCCGCCTCCCTCGCCTTCTCCATCCCCGCCGCCCTCGCCACCACCGTCCCCGCCGCCCTCGCCTCCACCGTCCCCTCCTCCCTCACCTCCACCGTCCCCGCCACCCTCGCCCATGGCCCCCTCACCTCACCCATTCCCGCCTCCACCGTCCCCGCCCCCCTCGCCTCCACCGTCCCCGCCTCCCTCGCCTCCTCCGTCCCCGCCACCCTCGCCCATGGCCCCCTCACCTCACCCATTCCCGCCTCCACCGTCCCCGCCCCCCTCGCCTCCACCGTCCCCGCCTCCCTCGCCTCCTCCGTCCCCGCCACCCTCCCCTCCACCGTCCCCGCCTCCCTCGCCTCCTCCGTCCCCGCCACCCTCACCTCCACCGTCCCCGCCTCCCTCGCCTCCACCGTCCCCGCCCCCCTCGTCTCCTCCGTCCCCGCCTCCCTCGCCTCCACCGTCCCTGCCTCCCGCGCCTCCACCGTCCCCGCCTCCTTCGCCTCCACCGTCCCCGCCTCCCTCGCTTCCACCGTCCCCGCCTTCCTCGCCTCCACCGTCCCCGCCGCCCTCACTTCCACCGTCCCCGCCGCCCTCGCCTCCTCCGTCCCCGCCGCCCTCACTTCCACCGTCCCTGCCTCCCACGCCTCCTCCGTCCCCGCCGCCCTCGCCTCCACCGTCCCCACCTCCCACGCCCATGCCCCCACCCTTGTTTCCAACCCAGCCCTCCCCACCTCCCCTACTCCCCATGCAACCTCTTCCGCCTACCCCTCCCCCTCCTACCCCATGCATTGTGTGTGTTTACTTGAGCTACGGAACATACGACCAACGTCAAACCGACTGGGCCTTCCCGACGGATGACGGTTGCAAATGGCTTCAGGATTCCATTTCGAGTGACATCAACGAATCGGGTGCTGACTTTGCCCTGCCGTTCAATGTCAGCGGCTGCCTTCCTTCCGAGGTGAAGACGTGCGGAAAATTTGCCTCTGACGCTGAGGCTGCAGCCTACCAGCCCTTCTTTGACGCACAAATGGCGGAATGGCCAAACGTTATGCTGGGGAGCCTCTGTAGCACGGACACCCTCAATCATTACATATTTATTCAAGTGGTTGGGTGCATTATTTACCGGTATGGTGGCGTGGCAGCAACCAACACTTTACTTGGGGAAGACTATCATGCATGTTTAACGCCTCCGGCTTCGCCTCCACGCCCACCTTCACCGCCTCCTCCACCACCACCTCGATTTCCACCGTCACCACTACCGGCGCCTCCTCAACCGCCGCCTTTGCCTCCCCTTCCACCGTCACCTCCGTCTCCGCCTCCATCACCTCCCCGCCCACCCCGACGGCCTCCAACTCCCTCCTCCCCTCCTACCCCATGCACGGTGTGCGTCTATCTGGGATTCAAATATGATTCCGCTTTGGGCATGCGGACAGACTGGGGAATGCCGTTTGACATTCACTGCCAATGGGCTCGAGACAACTTTGCAAGTGATATCAATAGCTTTGGTGCCAACCTCGCGGTGCCATTTGATGTCGAGTACTGCGGAGGCTGGAGGACGAAGGTATGCGGGCAGTTTGTGTCAGATGCCGAGGGGGCCGCTTACCAGTCCTACTTCGACGCCAGGCTTGAGCAGTGGCAGGGCTTCCTGTTGGTGAGCCCCTGCCCATCTGACTTGGTGGGTTACACGGCAGAGGTCAGGGTGGCTGGACCCACCTTTGGTTTCATGGATACGTCCCCAACGTGTGTGAGCGGCTACAGCAGGCACATCTGCGCAGCTCCGCCACCCTCACCTCCGCCTCCACCTCGGCCGCCCTCTCCCACCACTCCGCCCTCACCTCCCCTACAGCCGCCTTCACCCCCTCTGCCGCCCTCACCTCCCCCGCTGCCACCGTCACCACCCCATCCACCCTCACCTCCCCCGCTGCCACCTTTGCCTCCCCCCTGGCCACCTTCGCCTCCCCCGCAGCCGCCCACACCTCCTCCACCGCCGCCAACACCTCCCATTCCGCCTTCACCGCCCCCACCACCGCCTTCGCCTCCCCTTCCGCCAACACCTCCACCACTGCCTCCCGCACCTCCCCGTCCACCACCACGCCCTCCAAAGCCGCCTTCGCCCCCTCGTCCACCCTCACCACCCCGTCCTCCACCGTCACCTCCTCCACGGCCGCTATTACCCCCTCGGCCTCCTTCACCTCCCCCACCACCACCGACACCCCCACGGCCACCTTCACCTCCCCCGCGACCATCCCAATCTCCGCCACCCCCACCATAACCCCACTCCACCACCACCTCCCAATCCCTCACCCCCACCGTGACCTCCATCGAAGGATGTCCCTAGCAAGAGATGCTGTCCCTAATTTTTGAATGTACGGTATGTAGATAGGGCACCTTGGGCTTGGACGCTGCAAGTGCGCACCTTGCTTCCTTTGTAGCCCTACAAGTAAGGGACCTCAAGTACAGCAGTCAGGAAGAACGCACGAAAGCACGGACAGGACGGTGGGTAGGGACATTCGTGTTGTTGGGTTGCATGTCATGTACCGGTATCAATGTTGTGCTGTTCGGGCGGGAGGATGGTGCTACAAGTGCTGCTTGCTACTGCTTGCTACTGAGATGCTACCGATAGCTAACGGACGAGATATGTACGGACGGACAAGCCTCCGTGCATGTACGGCCAAGCGGGCGTGTCCATAAATGCATTTGTTCTGCGGAGCCGCCTGCATAAGCAAGGTGGAACGCGTTCCCATGATGAAGCATGTGCGTGCATAGCATCCCTAGATGGCTAGCTAGTTGCTTAGTACCGGTACTGCTTTCGCTATTCGAAGTCTGCTGCTGGAGATGACGTCTCCTGTGATAACCAGCCAGCGCTGGGGCGCAGCAGCAGAATGGCTGTGGTGTATGTATGATTGCCTTACTTGCTCCGAAAACAGATAGACGTTTGGTGTGTCGTACGACTGTTGGGACGGACGTTTGGTTTGTCATCCTGATCACCACTAACTCGGTGTGCCGTTTCTTAGTCTAGGGGGCAGGAAGGCTGCAGCAGGTGGTACTACGTAGTTGGCTGGTGCATGCACACCGTTTATTAGCTAGGACGTACTAGTAGGACCTCCATATAGTAGGACGTCCATCTATCCGTGCTCCCGGCGCGTGCGGCGGCATTTGTCTGGTGATTACCAGTACGCATGCCATGGAGTTGGGTGACGTTGGAGGTAGGAAAAGTTGGGTGACGTTGGAGGTAGGAAAAGACGACAGCCCGACAGGCAACGTTTAACAGGACACGTATGTATGTGCGCGTGTGTGTGGCACCTTGCACTCGGACGGATTGCAGCAGCCACGGTACGGCCAATGTACTATGCTGCGAATATTGTGTGTTAAAATAACTGGCCGCGAGGCGAAACGTACTGTGATTAGACGTGTACGGACAGACGGTGGGACTTGGATCGTTTGCAATTCGTTTAGTCGACATGCCTTGGATGGTAGCATGGCTTGCTTCCTAACGGGGTGCCCTATCCTTACAGGGGGATCTGTCGTTAGGTAGCATGCCAAAGGCGCTTGCTTGCTTCTTGCTTGACTGTGTTGTAGGCAAGACATGCTAGCTGCAGTACGGGTAGGGGGCCGGTCTGAATCGTCGTTTAGGCTTGAAAGCTATTTGTTCGGGGCCTTACCTCTTGACTCGCTGATGAGCAGGTTATATATCACGCAGCAGGACTGGATGGCCTCCAAAACCTAAATCATCTAGCATTCTGTGCTGGCATCGTGTTGAAGAGGACATGTTTGAGAGGGGCCGAAAAGAGTACCAGATGCGTTTCACCTAGTTTGCATGCTTGTGCTGTACGATTGTACGTACAGCAGCTGCTGACGCGTCAGTTGAAACGCCGCTGTGTCATCAAGAGGATGAGAACCAAGTTTGCTTCTTTCCACCCCTCCACAGCCACCAACATACGCCTGTTGACCACACCGGCAGAAACAAGCGGACCCCTTCTCTCTTGTGGCCTTAGCAGCAAACAAAGCAACACGCACGCCAACAGTTGCCCCCAATCATCCTCCGCCACAGCCCCCATTCATCCGCCCTACACCTGCCTCCTGCCCACGGCATCCGCCAGTCTCCGCAGGCAGTCGCTCAGCCACCCCCTGCGCCGCATACTGCACTTGCCGCTGAACCTCCGCGCCTCCTCTCCAATACCAGCGAGAGCAGCAGCAGGAGAGCCAGGAGCAGCAACCATCAGATCTAGGTTGCAGGACCCGCTCAGTACCGCTCCTGCAGCACCGCCCTGCCTCTGCTGCTGCTGCTGCCGCCACTCCTCCTCCGAAACCAGCACCACCTCCCGCTGCTGCTGCCGCCGCCTCCTCGCCAGCTGCTGCTGCCCCGCATCGGCCGCCTGCTCCTGCTCCTCCTCCTCCTCCTGCTGCCCGGCCGGTCTATGGCCCCAGTAGGCCACCGGGCAGCCCTCCTCAGCCAGCCAGCGCAGCACAGCAGGGAGGCACCCCGCGCGAACGCAGTCGGCGTGGGTGGCGCCGGCGGGGTCCCAGGGGCAGTCCAGCCGCCGCAGGCAGCGCAGGGTGGCCAGGTCGGCGGCGCGGGCGGCAGTAACGTAGACTGCGCCGTTGGCCTGTTGGGTTTGGGAAGTGGGGTTGGGAAGTGGGGTTGGGAAGTGGGGTTTGGGACAAGAGCACGACACGGAACGGACCAGGGCTGCAGCCAGCAGCAGGAGATCTGGAAAGCAAACAGGAAGAAGGATGTCAGGAAGGAAATCCAGCCCAGCAGTCAATCCTAACCCGGCTTTCCTTTCCCACCCGTACACCCACCTACCCGACCCGTACACATCTCCCCCGCCCGGCTCTCACCGGCAAGGGGCAGCCCAGCTGCACCAACCACTCCAGCACCTCCTCGCACCCCGCCTCCACCGCACCCACAAAGCACCCCTCATCCCCCAGACGGCACCCGCGGTGCTGCTGCAGCCACCGCAGCAGCTCCAGCCCGCCCGAACTGGCTGCCTGGCTGCACACGGCGGCCCAGTCCGGCGGCCTCATCTTGGCCAGCTGCTCCTCCCCCAGGACCTCCACCAGCCATGCCACCACATGCAGATGTCCGCCCCGGGCCGCCTCGCACAGCACGGTGCACAGCTCCCTGGCCCTCATGCGGCGACAGCAACCGTGTTCGTACAGCCACTGCAGCACACGCAGGTGCCCCTCCGCAGCCGCCACACTGGCTGTGTACGACATTTCACAAGCTGGCAAGTTAAACCGTGTAGCATCATGCTCAAAGGGGTCGGGCTCGTCGTCGGAATCTTCGGGATCGCCATGTAAGCGGAACCACCGTCGCACATCCTGCTGCTGCAGCAGTAGCAGATCCTCCAGGAGGTCGATGTTGCCGCGGCGCGCCGCTTCACAGGCCAGCATGCTGCATGCCGCCGAGTAGCCCCGCTGTCGCAGCCAGCCCAGGCGCTGCACTGCATCCGGACAGGCCGCGGCCTTGACGCAGGCGGTGGCGTCCTTGCCTACCCCTTGCGCCTCCACCCAGGCCACCTTGGCCTGCCAGTCAGGCGTGCGGCTGCTTGCGGCAGCGGAGAGCGTGCGGCTGGAGGGAAAGTCGCCTAGGTCGGCCTGCTGACAGAGAGAGTGCATCCGGAGCAGTGTCTGCAGGTCGCAGCCCTCGGCCACAGCCCCTAGCAGCCCCAGTAGGCGGAAGCCCTGGGGTCGGTGCTGCAGCAGCCAATCCATGATGTCCACATGGCCGCCGCGAGCTGCTGCGTACACGGCTTCCTCGCTCCAGGGGCAGCCGTTGGCAAGCAGCCATTTGCAAGCGGTTAGCTGATTGGATGCTGCTGCAGCGGCGAGGGCGGATCCCCAGGGGCAGCCCTGCTGTCGCAGGAGTTGACATGCTTCCAACTGGCATGCGGAAGCAGCGGCCTCCAGCGCCTCAGAGAAAGCCAACAGAATATCGCCTGCACCCGTAATTGTCAAAGCCACTGAGAGGCTGGCAAGGTCGCCGCCGCGAGCCGCAAGACAAAGCAGCTGTCGCCGCTGCTTGAATGTGGACGTTCGCAGCGCGCCAGGGTTATCGCAGAGCTGCGAGAAGGCATGAGGCGGAATCGGCTCGGAGAAGCGCACTATTTTATGCTTGGGACTGCTGAACTGCGCCGCTGCGGCCTTGTTGATTAGGCGTATAGTACATGCTATCTCATTCGCGGGCAAAAAACTCGCGACGTGAACCACAAGCTCTGGTGGAAGCTGTGGCCATACCCACAAGCAGTCCTTAGTTGAAATATATTGCAAAGGAAGTTGCGCCATGCTCATCCTCTTCGGAATGCGCAGCGGTTCGGCAGTGAAACTCGAGGCGTCGAACAATTTCACCATAGAGGGGTAGGTAGGTTCGAGGCATTAAATGGGCGAACGTAAGTACGCAAATCTAATGGTACGGCTGATCCGTCGTCTTCCGCCAGCTCCATCAAGGGCGGACGGCTAATCCCTTTAGCATAATATGGTACAATTACATATTTTATAGGGCATTTACTTACTCGTTCAAGCTTAGCTTACCTCTTAGCGTTTATGATATTTGTTGTCGTTGAAAATGGCATGGACGAGGGAAAGAGGTCGAAATACAGGAGCATTCCCTCACAAGGCTAAATGGTAGCTTTCGCAGTTATCTATGAACATCAGTATGGAAACATAGCAAACCAGGGCTATTGCCAACTCAGGCTATGCCATGCTTGCGGTATCAATCGCCGGGCTGCGGCATCAAGTAAAACCCTCGCTGTTGCGCAGTTCTCGCCCATCCCTTACGCTGCATTGCATTTAATGTATCAGAGTGATTTACTGGGAAGTGGGATAAGGTTCTTCATGTCTTCGGGAGAGGATGTCCAATGCCGCGCCCTACATCCTAGAACGCTAACGAAGCCAGCCTGCTGCACGGAAGCCAGGGACCTCTCGTGCACGTACGTGGGATTAGTTTTGGACATCACTGGCGTCCATGTAGTAGTATGGCTTCGTAATCCGATACCCCGTAGACCCATAGACGTCGGCGTCTAAGTCCAGGAGGTTTACCGAAGTCACAATCCGCAGTACCCTAACAACCCCACCAGGAATACAAGAGGCAGATGCCGCTTGCTGACCGTTACAGGAACGTCTGTACCATACCATCTGTACCGCATCTCCCAACCCGCTTCTCCCAAGTTCCATCAAGGCAGCAGGAACCCGCCCTGGGCGCAGTCGTGCGGCGAAACGCCGCCTCCTCCTACCGCCCAAAGCTGCCCTTGCACCCCTCCCTGGCCCAACAGTGCTTTCTCCCCCCAAAAGAATGTCAACCAGTACGGCAGGAAGTCACCACCGTGTCACACAGGCGCTCTGGGTTTCCCTTCCAAAAGAAAACAAAACGTAGATGATCATGTGTAAGGCAGTCTAACACACCCGCTGCACCTGTGCCCCCACAACCCAGGTGAGGTTGACATACCCCGCAACACACCCCCAAGAACCCCCAGTAGACCCTTTTAACCCGTGCTCTGCCTCGCCTGTGCCCTGCTTTGCCTACACACATGCACAAGCACATACGGCACGGCTTTCAAGATATGACCTTACATATGACCTCACACCGTGCAACAGCGCACCATGCGACAGCGGTCTCGACAAAGCCGCCATCAGCTGCCCCAGCTGCTCAGCGACTCCTAACACCTCCCACACAGCGCCGTACAACGACCCGTCGTACCGTACCGCGTTGTGCCGTACCCATGATGCCCTTCATGATGATGATGTTGCCGGCAAAACCCAAGTACCAATCCACTCCATGCGCCCCCACCCTTCATGCGCCTGCAGTGGTGACAGCCCAGCCTACCTCCTCACACATGGCCGGCTGCGGCACCCTGATGCTCTATCCCATCAAACCCCCCCCCCCCGCCCCTTTATCCTCCTCCTCCTTCTCCCTCCTCCTCCTTCCACCCCCCTCGGCATCCTGTTCCGCCCCACCACCAACCGCCCTCCGCCCTCCTCACGCCTTCCCATCACCCCCTGCCTCACCTCCTTCCCCCGCACTCCCTGCAGCTCCCCCCTCCTCTCCCCCGCCGCCGCTGCTCATGTGCCGCACCGGGTCAAAGTACGGGTGCTCCAGCGCCTCCTTGCTGGTGAGGCGCGTCTGGTGGTCGTAGCGCAGCAGCCGGTCCACCAGGTCGATTGCCTCGGGGGTGGCGAGGTGCTGGTTGTCGGGGGTGACGAACTTGGACCAGGGCTTGCGGGTGTGCGAGCCCAGCAGCGACTCCTGCTGCGGGTCCAGCTCAAGACCGTACTGGGGGAGGAGGAGGGGGAAGGGGGGGGAGGTCGGGGGGGAGGGAGAAGAGGGGGGAAGTATTGAGAAGTAAAGCAACGGAGTACCAATCCTATATTCCGAGTTTCCGACCCTTGCCGTGAGCGCATTCGACCGCACCTGTGGCTTCCTACGGTATGGCATGGTCTTTGAACCCCCCCCCCACCCATCCCCCCCTCCCCCCAGATTGGGACTTAGTTGTTTGCATTTCTTATATAATTTTTATCCCCCCCCCTCCCCCCACCTTGTCCAGGTACGCGTACAGGTCGTCCGTCCCCAGCACGCGCGCGATCTTGACCAGCTGGTCGTAGTTGTCGTGTCCGAAGAAGAAGGGCTCCTTGCGGAAGATGATGGCGGCCAGCATGCAGCCCAGGCTCCACATGTCCAGGCTGTAGTCGTACAGCTGGTAGTCAACAAGCAGCTCGGGGCCCTGGGGGGGGGGGGGGGGGGGAGGGGGGGGGGCATTTCACTGGATTACTGGATTGCGTGTAGCCATACATGGTGGGTTAGTGTGGAGGCGGGAAGGGGGGAAGAGGGGAGTGGAAGGAGGTAATGTACATACGGTTACTCGAAACCGGAGGGAGAGAGTATTAGGGAAGATCCTAACGAACTGTGTCTCCATGTGACATCGCACAGGCAGCCCAACTAAGCCGCGTTGAAACAGGGGAGGCGGCAGGCAGGAATGGGTTGTGTGGGTAGGGTCAGGAGGGATAGGGGTCGCCAGCAGGAGGAGGGAGACGAGGCACGCAGCAGGTAACCGGAGGAGCCACCCCAGCCAACACCTCCTACCGCCGCCGCCCTCCTCCCTCCTGCTTGGACTGGGCGGCTTGGTATGCCACCGGTCACACCATGGCTGGTTTCATCGCTACCCCCTCCTCCTCCTCCTGCTGCTGCTGCTGCTGCTGTCCCCTCTCAGACTCTCCCCTTTCCCTTCCGCGTAGTCTACAACGACCTTCTACTTCACAACACTTTGGAGATCTGTGCAAATACACCCATACGCATTACCCCACTCTCCCCCTCCCTCCCTCCCCCCCCCTTGCTCCTACCTTGAAGTACCTGCTGGCCACCCGCACGTTGAACTCCCGCTCCGGGAAGTAGAACTCCGCTAGGCCCCAGTCGATGAGGCGCAGCTGGCGCCGCGAGTGGTCGATCATCACGTTGTGCGGCTTCACGTCCCTGGGGGGGGACAAGGAGCATGCCGTACCATAGGAAACCACAGGTTGGGGCAAAGCAATGGGGATAGGAAGCGGCAGGGTGGCATGGAGGGAGGGAGGGAGGGAGGGGGATTCATAGGGATACACCCGCATTAGGCTGGATAGTTGGGCTAGCTTGCAATTGGGGAGGGGAGGGGGGAAAAGCGGAATCATGCCTGAATGGGGATCAAAGATACAGACCATTGGTTTGGTCTGTAAGGACTGTAACCAATGGAAAAGCACGAGTCAGGGCAGCAAAGCGGTGGGGCAGGAGGCGGCATGGCATGTGGAGAGGTTAAATGGGGAGAGCGACTGAGGAGGCGGGAGGGGTGCCCGGGTGCGAGGGGGGGGGAGGGAGCAGGGAGGTGCCCCCCCTCCCCACCTGTGCATGATGCCCATGCTGTGGCAGTAGTGCAGCGCCTTGAGCAGCTCGCGGATGTAGAAGCGGATGTCCAGGTCGGTCAGGGTGGGGTACAGCACCTGGGGGACATGGGGGGGGGGAGGTGGGAGGGCAGGAGAGGTGGAGGAGGAGGAGGAAGAGGGGAGCAGGGGTAGGGGAAAGGGGGCAGGGAGGAAGCGAGGAGCAGGTCGGTCAGTGCGGGTGGCCGGGAGGGCCCAGCAGCTTGCAGGTGCGGGGGCATGCGGGGGCATGCGGGGCCCAGGCAAGGCCCCCCCGGCTCCCACCTCTTGCAGCCCGAGGGAGGGGCTCGCCACCAGCAGAACCAGCCCACAGCCCTCCCACCCTCCATAGCCGCCCCTACCCCACCGCCCTTAGCTGGTAAGTGCCATCCCGCCTACCTCCCCGCCATCACACACCCCCAGCCCACCGCCTCCCCCTTGGGCCCCTCCCTCGCGCGACCCCTCCAACCCCCCTCATGCGGGTGTCCAGCACACACTCACCGTACGGTCTTCTCGCCAGGTTCCTTACCCCACACACCCACATCCCATGCTGGCTTCTCCCCGTTACACCCCCACCCCAACTACCCGCCCCCACCTGCCCCCTTGCCTGCCCCACCACCCATTCAACACTATGGGTATTCTCCCCCTCCCCCCTCCCCCCCCCGCCTGCCTGCCCCCTGCCTGCCCCACCTTGAAGTCCGTGTTGTCCACGTACTCGAAGATGAGGCTGGGCGTGCGCGAGTGCGGGTCCTTCACCATGTCCATCAGCTGGGGTGGAGGGGGCGGGGAGGGAGGGAGCGGTTGAAGGGGTGGAGGGTAGGAATGGGGTGGAGGACGGAGTAGGGTTGATGAGGCGAGACGCATGGGATTGGGAGGAGGGTGGCCTTTTGGGTGGGGGTAATTTAGGAAGGGGCAGGAGGGGGCAGGGACAGGAAGGGGCAAGGACAGGAGTATCTGTGCTCAAGTGGTGGGGGTTCCCGGACCAGCAAAGAAATGCGTTAAGCAGCCTATGGGACCTGCGCTGTGACAACGGGACTGAGGCGCAGAGAAATGGGCAACGGATGCGGTGAGTGGCAACCGTGCGGTACACGGGAAGTATGTCGTACGTATAAAACACACAGACTGCAGCCGCACAGGCATCCCTGTAATCCCCATCGCTCACCGAGATGATGTTGGGGCCACCCTGCAAGTTCTTGAGGATTTTCACTTCGCGAAGAATCTTCTTCTTTTTGACGGGCTTCAGGATCTTGATAATGCAACGCGTTGGCGTCTCCCCTGACACGTTCACGCCTTCGAACACCTCGCTGTACTTGCCCCTACCAACTTTCCGAACCACCTGCAGAAGGCAGGACCCAATATAACCCAGGAAGTCCCCAAATGCAGTGCGGGGTTCGCCATGCGACAGCTGACACTACTTCAAACTCCATAAGGGATACACTATCGGAAACCGTGCCTACTAAATATTCCTCAAATAAATTGATAAAGAGCAATCGCGCTGGGCACCAACCTCATAGTGGTCCTGCTCTCCCCAGGATATGCTAAGGTGCTCATAATCGCTGTACTCCGGTTCCTTATCGACGCAAACATCAGCATAAATCTTTGAGCGGTGGGTAACTGCTTCCTGTTGTGGCGGCATTCCTAACGGTGCAGCCCGCAAAGGCGCGGGCTGCTAACGCAATTGCTTAAGCGAAACCCCTGTATTGCCTTCAAGTATGCCCTAAGGGTTGAACCGTTCGGCCTTCCTTATAGGAAAGAGCAGAGTAGTTGCTTACTTCGTTGCAACAACGTTTGTGAGCTACGACTGGATCTGCAACGTGTTGCATTACATAAACAGCTGGCGCATGGAAAGGGATTGGTGATCCGGTGCACCTTCCGGGCTCCCAGTGGCGGTGACGAAATGAAACCACGAGTGCACGATACTGCATTGTGCATCCAGATTGTACATCAAACCCTCCGAGCACTTTCTGGTTGCTAACTACTTTAGGATACTAGTAAACAAAGTGCACGCCATAGATATCCAGCCCTAGGCCCCGCTTCCAACCGAAAATGTTGCCTTGCGCGACAGCGCCTGGTCAAGTCCGAACCCACACGCGATGTACCCCTTTCCATCCAACTCCATGGAGACCACCTATGCTTCACGGCTTGAAAACGTCCCCTCGACATGGCCGGGTGCGGTGAAGGACTTGGCCATGCCACGCCGTGCCATGCCATGTCATACCGGTACCTAGCAATACAGCCCATCTTCAAGCGTGTTGTGTCTTTCCCTTTACAACCCGCCCCTTAGGGTTACACATGCATCGCCAAGCTCTCGGAGGACACAGCTATGGTGCAAGCGTTTGCGGAAGATGGTTTCCTGGAGCCGCAAGAACAGCTGGCCCTCAGCCAAACGCAACGCCCTGCTTCCGGCCGCCAAGCCGAGGTAAGGCCCACCCCAGAGCCCACACCTCCACTTCCACACCATCACCCCGCCGCTCTCAGCCACTACACACTGCACCTCCTACCGGCAATGCCCCTTAACCCCTTTGCCCACCACCGCTGCACCTCCCAAGTACGACACCCTAAGGTTGTACCTATTTTTTGCCCTTGTCGTACCTTTGTGGATCTGATCCGCAGATCCCAATGCGCGCAGAAGGCTCCGAGCCGGATGGCGCTGACGGCCGGGAGCGTGTGTTCCTGGTGGGGGCCGCGATCAAGCGGGCGGACCGGGCGGGGGCAGGAGCGGCGGCAGGGGGAGGAGGCGGGTCGGGTGTACGGCAGCAGCAGCAGCGGCAACAACAACAACACCATGTGTACGACGTGTATGAGAGTTTGGAGGAGCTGGGGAGGCTGGCGGATACGGCGGGACTGCGGGTGGGTGGCGGGTTGGTGGACGGGTGGGTGCAGGGGAGGGTGGGTGGTTGCAGGGCAGGCCGAGTGCAGGGCCCCCTGGCAAGCCCCTGGCCCCACATCATGCTGCTGCCCTCGCATGTGGCCCCCCCACTGCCTCCCTTGGCCCTGATCCACACCCCCCCCCTCCCTCCCCCCCGCAACCAGGTGATGGGCTCCACAGTTCAGCTGCTGGAGTCCCCCAACATGGCCACCTACATCGGCAGCGGCAAGGTGGGGGTACCTGGGTGCACACCCGGGGGGGAGGGGTGCCGTGACTTGAGTAACACATGCGGCTGCTCGATAGGGGCGCTACCCTGCGGATGCGGGGTGTGGGAGGTAGGGGCGCCAACCGTACAGGTGTGGCACCCGGCTGCTGCTGCACAGGGATGCGTTGTGGCCCATGCTCGCCACCGACCCACCGACCCATGCAGCCCCGACATTGGGGTTTGGGGCGCCACCGGTATGGTTACAGCGGGAAGGTTCTGGGATACCGTCTCGGTATGCGCTCACTGTATGTGTCCTCCCCCCCGCCCCCGCCCCCGCATGTGTCGGGATATGGGATTGGGAATCCAGCTGCTGCACTTAAATTCCCCCCTTCACCCCTAACAAGTTGACTATGCGCAATCCTGTAATCCAGACTAATGCGGAGTAAGTATCCCTATTAACCCCCTTCCCCCCCCGCATCCCCAGGTGGCCGAGGTGGCTCGTGCGGTCGCCGCGCTGGACGTGGATACCGTCATATTCGACGACGAGCTCTCCCCCGCCCAGCTCCGGAACCTGGAGAAGCAGCTCAGCGGGGCAGGAGGGCCCGATGGAGCCACGCCAGCACGTGCCGTACGCGTGTGTGACCGTACGGCACTCATCCTGGACATCTTCTCGCAGCGCGCTCGGACGCGGGAGGGGCAGCTGCAGGTGGGGGCGGGTGCGGGTGGGTGTCAAGAACCCTGGCCGCGACGTGTGCATGCGCCTGTGTCTGTGTGTCCTCGGTTACGTTGGTCTGGTGGGGTTCGATTGGCTTGCATCATCCCCCCTTCTTCCCTTCCCATACTTCGTTGTTGTCTCACTACCCCTTCCCCTTCCCCTTCCGCCCCTAACCTGTGGTTTCCTATGCTTTGGTATGGTCCCTCCCCCCTCCCCTCCCCCCCAGGTTGAGCTGGCGCAGGTTGAGTACCAGCTGCCCCGCCTGACACGCATGTGGAGCCACCTGGACCGGGTGGGCGGCGGGGGGCAGGTGAAGGGGGCGGGCGAGAAGCAGCTGGAGCTGGACAAGCGACTGCTGCGGGAGCGGGCGGCGGGGCTGCGGCGGGAGCTGGAGGCGGTGCGGACTCACCGGCGGCAGTACCGGGAGCGGAGGGCGGAGGTGCCGGTGCCGGTGGTGGGGATATGCGGGTACACGAATGCGGGTGAGGGCGGTGGGGAGAGGAGGGGGGAGGGAGGGGGGGAGGGAGGGAAAAGGGAAGCAACTGGAGTAGTAGGAGGAGGGAGGGAGGGTGGGAAAGGTTTGGTTGTGCACGCCTGTACTACCGGTATGGCACTACCACCCTTGGTGGAGCCTCGTCAGTTTTCTCTTTTTACCGCCCCCCCCCGGCTACTACCCCTTACCGCCCCCCCCTCCTCCCTCCTCCCTACCAGGCAAGAGCACGCTGCTGAACACGCTGACGCAGGCGGGGGTGCTGGCGGAGGACCAGCTGTTCGCCACACTGGACCCCACCACCCGCCGGCTGAGGCTCAAGGGGAACAGGGAGGTGGGTGGGGGATGGGGGCAGGGGCGGGGGACAGGCAGGGGGATGGGGGTCCGGCAGGGCAGGGAGGGGGCGGGGGCAGGGAGGGCGGAGGCAGGCCAGGACAGGGGGCGGGGGTGGGGTAGTGGTCTTGAGCCACAGGCAGACCGAGGACCCGTCACGAGCTCTAACCCGCTTGTCACCCCGCTCCCCTCCTCGCTCCCCACCCCTCCCAGATCCTACTATCCGACACGGTGGGTTTCATCCAGAAGCTGCCCACGGAGCTGGTGGCGGCGTTCAGGTGGGGGGGTGGGGTGGGTGGGAAAAATTATATAAGTGAAACAACGAGTCCCAATCCTATATCCCGACTCATGCAGTGAGCGCATTCGGAGCCACTATCCTAGAAGCAGGAAACAACTAACTGATTGTGTGATAAGGCGTCGTCATGGTGGGGTGGGGCGGGTGGGGAGGGGCGCAAAATGTAGACCCTTGCATGGGACGCCATGAGTTGGGTCAGAGCAATGGGGGTAGGAGAGGCGCGCGAGGTGCCACAAGGCAAGGGAGTGCTAGCGGCCCACACCGAAACAGGTTCGGACGTGGGATAGGGCAGGGAGGGGGAAGGCGCAGGTGGGTGCTGATCCACACAGCAGCAACGCTTCCTTGCACTCTGTATTGCGGCACCCTGCCGTCTCCTGCCCTTTTGGCTTTGCCCTGACCTGTGCCTTCCATCGTGGTCTGGTATATATGGTCCCTGACCCCTTAAACCCACCCCCACCCCCCTTCATGCCTTGTCGACTTGTTTGCCATCCTCATTCAACTCATCCTCATTGGGTATTCTTCTTTCCCCCCCTCCCACGCCTCCTTTTTTTCTCTGTTGCTGCACTTATCTATATGCTTCCCCCGCCTGCAGGGCCACCCTGGAGGAGATCCGCGAGTCCAGCCTGCTGCTGCACGTGGTGGATATCAGCCACCCCGCGGCGGCCGCACAGAGCCAGGCGGTGATGGGCGTGCTGCGGGAGCTGGGGGTGGGGGAGGAGGGGGAGGGAGAAGGGGGGGGAGGGGGAAGGGGGCGATGGGGGCGGGGGAGGGAAGAGGAGGAAGCAGAAGGGTAAGGCGCGGCGAGTACCTATCATCACTGCGTGGAACAAGATTGACGCCACCAGCAATCCGGAGGAGGTGGGTGGCCGGGGGGAGTGGGGAAAAAAAGAAATTCCAAAGTGTGGTGTGATAATGATATAAGTTGCTGACAATCCCTGGTGAAATGAACCGTGAGTCGAGCCGAAATGGTGGTGAAAGCAAAGCGAGCTAAACTTACCGAACTTACCAATTATGGAGAAACCTTACCATAGGCTTGGGCATGTGTGGAGGTTGCTGAAGGTGAGGTGGAGACCCACCGCGCCGTGGGGCATACGCCAACAGCAGGAACAGCACAACACGAGCACTCATAAAAAACAACACAGACCGACACATGATAAAACACGTACCTAGGTACACAAAGAGGTGTGTACCGGGAAACCACGTGAAGGGCCAGCCGCCATGTCCAGGGACCAATCCAGAGCGAGGCCAGCCAGGGACGAAACATGTGGGAAGGTGGAAAGGAGGAAACGTTGGTAGTAGTACTAGGGAAGGAATAGCGGAGGACGGAAAAATGCATTGTAAGAATAAATGAACCAAAAAGCCTATAGCACGCGGGACGGCACTATTGAAAGAGTGGGAGTGGGGGGGAGGGGGGGGGATTGGGGGTGCGGTTCAAGAGGAAACAACTAAGTGACCGAAGCTGGGGCAGGTGCAGGGGTGTGTAGGGGAGCACAGCCGGCTTGGCTGCTGGGGCGTGCAGTCCGGCAGGGCGGACGTGAGGGGGCGGGTTTCTGGTGGCAGGCCGTGTCATGTGTTTCGCCATGTGTTTCCCCCTTTGCCCCCGCTTTCCTCTTTACCTCCCGCATGGCCATTGTCCTTCATTGCTCACTGCACCATGCGTCCGGCACCGCGTCATGACCTTGTTTCCAGTGCTTCTCTTCCTCCTCGTCACCCCCCTCCCTCACCCCTCCCCTGCCGCCCCCCCAGATCCGGCGCCTGGCCTCCCGCCGCACCCGCACCGTCTGCATCTCCGGCGCCACCGGCGAGGGACTGCCGGCGCTGCTGGACCTCATCGCGTCCGAGTTGGAGGCGGCGCTGGGCATGCGGGCCGTACGGGCGCTGCTGCCGTACAGCGCGGGGGACCTTCTGAGCGAGCTGCATGCGGGGGGGCGGGTGGTTGGGGTGGAGTGGGGGGCGGAGGGGGCGGCGGTGGAGGTGGTGGCACCGCCGGGGTTGGTGGGGAGGCTGCGGGCGGGGGGGTATTTGGTGGGGGAGGTTGAGGAGGTTGAAGAGGAGGAGGAGGAGGAGGAGGAGGGTGGGGAGGTTGAGGAGGGGGAGGAGGAGGGGTGGATGGAGTTGGTGGAGGAGGTAGAGGAGGTGGGGATGGGGAGGAGGGAGTGAAGGGGAGGGTTGGGTCGAGGATAGAGGAATGGGATACGTGTGGCATTAGGGAGAGAGCATAAGTGACAGGATCAAGTAGCGGTGGAGGGTCAAGAAGGAGGGCGGCGGGTTTGACTGCTGCGGGGTTCACTTCATCACATGTTAGGGGGATTAGGTAAACCGAGCCGCGGAAACACTGACCCTGACGTGTTAGGGGGGTTTGATCCGCCGTGCGGTGCGGCACCGGCGGGATGCCGGGAACTGACATGAGAACGGCAGTGGGCTTCAGACTTGTACAGGTATGTACTACACCGGTAGCGTATGCTGTTGCTAGCGTGGTAGCCTGCGGGAAGCCTCGAGGGGTTACTCCGTCCTCGAATGCTACGGGGAAGACGCTTCGGGGGTCACAAAAAGGACACGACAAAGGGGATGAGGCGGCAGGGGTGAGATGCATGCATGCTTGTTTGCATGGCGTGCGGAGAATGGATATATGCGGGAAAAGAGTGAGAGGAAGAGGTGAGCGTTGCGACACATGGGCCGTTTATTTCAATGAAAGGGCCGACCCCTGGGTCACAGCTTCGTTTTGACCTTGCCTGAGGAAGAGGGGGCTTGAGCAGGGGAGGAAGGGTAAGGCTATTCGCAGGAGAAGAGCCTCGCATGGAAAGTGCAGGGCATACGAGTGATATACCGGTACGGAAGTGATGTGTGAAACTGAGACACGTGTCCATGTGTTGTAATAACGTGTAAGGCAGTGCACGAAACACAGCGCACGCAAGGCTAAGGGGTGCATGGGGCTGAAGGGGATCACGGGGGGGGCGCCGTCGTGACGCAGCACCCCGCTGTCTTGGCAAGTCTAGTCTAGCCTAGCCTAGGAGGCACAGAGCTAGGACTCCCTGTAGGGGCCCTGGGGTGTGCGCTTTGAGCGTCGTGCAGTGGTGGCTCAGGATCGATTGTTGTTATAAATACCCTTGCCGCTTCCCTCGGTTTTTTCCCGATGTGCGTGCTATGACGTGGATTTCCGCCTTAACGGTGGACAGGGAGCAAGTCAACGTTTGACCCGCCTGTCACTAAGGCGCTGGGGGGTCCTGGGTTGGGTCGCTTGTGGAGGGGTGCCGGCCTGCATGTGCCATACGGGGGTTGTGGCACGTGTGCAACATCCATACAATTGGAAACCATTCCGATGCTGACACGGTAGACTTTGGCATTGACAGGGGGCCACGGGTACCAAGGGGCTATGAGAACAAGGTAAGAGAGTGCATGTACGCCGCGTGTACGCCCATGGGACCTTGGGAGCAGCCTGATGTCGTGGTGCAGAAGGCACGGGAAGACTGCGGGCCGCAACCCACCAGGCGAGCAGCAACGATCAAATGCTCATAGTCTATCCGCTGAGGAACACCAGGCACCAAGTGAACCCTGTTCCTAACAATTTACGTGAACAACTCCTGAACCGGGAATTCCAAAAGCGTTTTGCGCCGTACACTTACCCGACTGCAGGTCAACCGCCGCATATAGCTGAGCAGATGCCTATGCGTGTCTTCGACATTTAAAGTCAGTATATGTTTCCACGCCTTCGGTGCTATCGAGCGCACTTGCGTACGGCGGTTGCCCGTATAATAGTTCTTCCCAGCCTTGTTTTCCTACCCACATACTCAGCCCGGAGCCGCGTGTTAGTTTCCCATAGCATAGGTGCTTACCTTTAAATCCTTGTGCCATGGGAGCCGCCTGCCAGGAACTGAGGCCCTGCGAGGCCGAGCGCTCTGAGTGCACGGACCTTGCCGATGCTTTTGCTAGGCTAAATTACTGCACGGGAAATGGTTCTGGTAGCAGTGGCCAGCACGACGTGCACCTTCCGGATGAGGTTGTGCGCAAAATCTCAACGTGCTTGGTCCAGAACGAAACACCGGGCCATGCACTAGTGCACATCCTAGCTTTCTGTGGTGTCTGCCGACAGTGGCGCAGCGTTGGTCACGAGTTGAACCCTGGAGTGTGCATTGGCTTTGACGTCTTGGAGAACACGTTCAGCAACAATCAGCCTTCCATCCAGCGCTTTCGCCGGCTCACAACGGCACAGAAGGAGGAGGTCTTCTTTTCGGCTGCAAAGCTGCTTACTGGTGAGTTCTGTTAAAGGTAGTGGCCTTTTTCGGCCGCCACCGCGTTTCATATGTGATCATCTGTTATGTTTATAGGATACACGGAGGTTGCGTTCTCTGGGGAAGCCGTGTCGGACCGGTTGGTGCAGACGGTAGCCCAGCGCGTGGGCGCCATTCTCGTCAAGGTTAAGCTTCACAACGCCAAGCAGGTCACCGATGCAGCGCTTTGCACTCTAGTTCGCGCTGCACCGAAGCTCCAAAGCTTTGTAGCAGAGGAGCTTGATCGCGTTGCGGGTGGGTAATTATTCAGCCATTCCTTCGCATGGAGGATGCTCTGGCTTAACGACGCGCTAACCTTGCAGGCAATTTCCTTGTGCCGCTCATGGAGGACTGCTCCAACCTAACAACGGCGCACGTAGCAAACATTCCATCACTGAACTGGAGCCTGTGCAAACAATTCAGCACGACGTGGGGGCCAAAGAGTCTCACCAAATTGGTTGTTCGCGCGGCTGGTCTGGACGACACATTCTGCAGCATAATCGCGAAGCTGAACAACCTGACAGACATTGAGCTGGACGGTCCAGCGGCCAACATCATCGAAGCGACGCAGCAATGGTGCGTCGGTTCGGGTTCGTATGCCGGGTTGGCATTGTAAAGCTCCTACCGAATGCTTACTTAATAGCCCCCCCTACCCATTTGCAGCCCCGCTTTAAGCCGCATCAGCTACCTGGTCGGCAAGAAAAGCGACCTCGATGCGGCGCTTGCTGCACTGACCAGCATGAAGGAGCTAAGGCGCTTGGAGCTGAAGCAGCTGGAGCTGATCGTGCGCAACTTTGTGCTCACAATCGAGCACCTCCGCACAATCGGTAAGCTGTTTGTTCTTACGACTGGCAGTAGCGTCGCTAACCGAACGTCAAGCGTGCCCGTGCGACTCCTCCGTTTGCATCTCCAACGGTCTACCGGAATCCGCACCGCAGCAACCCCTTTCCGCACCCTCCTGCCACCTGCCCATTGCTGCAGGTCGGCTGCGGGTTGCGGACCTGCGGATCGACAGCTTCATTTACAAGCAGCAGCCCACCCTCAACCGCAGCAGCTACAGCCACGTGGATAACGAGGGCGTGAAGGCGCTCGTGGACGGCATCTGCGCGGAGTGGGGCCTGCGCAGGGGAGGTGAGTGGGGAGGGGGAGGGAAGAGGAGCCATGGGGAGAGGGCCGGGTAGAGGGTGGGAAAGAGGTTGTAAGGGAGTAGGGTAACCGCAGGGGCGGAAGGGCTGCGGGGTTCGAGGGGCTCCGGAGGGGTTGGCGTGTGATACATGGGTCGGGTGGAGGACAGGAGACTGACACAAGGGTGATGGTTGGGCTTAAGCTGCCGAAGTGGGAAGGTACGATCCCAACCAGAGGACAGAATCGGCGGATTAGAGGTCCGGGTAGTGCGAGTAGAGGACGGGACCTGGCGCGCGGCCACTTCCCGCAGTCCTAGCAGCCATCAGTCCTCTGTTACCCATCAAACCAGCATGTCGTACAAGCCGGATCCAGCCGCTTGCTGTGGTGTTGAGCAGTCCGCATGGGAGGGGGTGAGGCGCGGCTCACGTAGCCAGCCCCACTCCCCCTGCACCCATCCCTCCCATCCCTCTCGTACCACACCACACCCCTCAACGCAAGGGCCCCACCTCCCCCCTCTTCCCCCTCCCCCCCCAGACATGGCCCCCCTGAAGCTGTCCCTGTGTGGCGCCACCGCGCTGACGCACGACGCGGTGAGTGCGCTGCTGCGGCTGCCGGTGCTCACGGAGCTGGACATTGGCGGCTGCCTGCGCATCACCGCCATGGACAAGATGAGGCTGGTGGCCAAGGTGGGGGAGGGGGGGGTATAGATAAATGCATCAACGGAGTCCCAATCCCGAATCCCGACTCATGCAGTCTGGGGGGGAAGAATAAGGAGAACTGATGAACTGGAGGAGGGGGTAAAGAGGAAACACAACTAACTGACTGGAGGAGGGGGGAGGAGGGAAGGGGGGAAATCATAGATAAATGCAACAACGCAGTTCCAATCCCGAACCTGTCTCAAGTAACAGGGTAGGGGGGAGGAGGATAGCTGGGGCAGGCAAGGGATGTGGGTTGAGTAGGGATGGATATTCCCCACAGGGCTGGAGTAGGTCGACAGTCTAAAGGGTTAGGGGAGGGATGGAAGACGGGGGAGGAACAGGGGTAGGGGAGGGAATCGCGAGAAGGGTAACATCTGGGTCCTGCTGCATGTGGGTCGCATGGCTCTTGGGCCTTGCGGGCAGGCCTACCGGGCTTACTGGTGGCCTCCCACCGGCTCCCACTCAGTCCCATCCTGCCCCCCTCTCCCAAACCCCACACCTCCGCTGCTGTTCTCCCCTCCCCTCCTGCTGTTCTCCACCCCCCTCCCCTCCCCCCGCAGGTGAAGGCGGGCAGGGAGATGCTGGAGTCGGGGCGCCGGCCGCAGAACCGCATCAACAGCCGCTTCCCGGGGCTGCTGCTGTGAGGGAGGGGCAGCCAGGGAGGCGCAGGCAGCTGCTGCCGCCCAACACCATCATTACGAGCCACTCCAGCACAACCGCCGCGGCGACCCATGGTTCGGTGGCACGGCCTCCATCAGATGCCGCCACCGCAGTCGCAGGGCAGCGAATACATGTGCAGCAGTTGGCGGCGGGTGCTGGGCGTTGCTCGGTGGGAGCGGCAGCGGCGGCGGCAGCAGCAGGGGCAGGAGGAGGCTGGGGTGGCGGAGGCAGCGGCTGGGGTGTTCCGCTGGCTGCATGGAGGGCCTTCCTCCTGCTGTCGATGCAGACGGGGCGGTGCAGGCAGCAGAACCAAGGCGGGCGAGGCCGTTGATGCTAACCGCCGACCTAGGGCCGTCGGAGGCTTCCCCGTGGTTTGGAAATGACGTACCGGCGGTGCTGAGCTGGGTAATGAGGTTTGGATGGGAAGCGCCGGCACTCGCGCATAACAAAAAGTAGGATATTGTCCCCGCTGGTTCGGCGGTAGGGAAGGAGATTCTGAGGCAGTTTGGCAGCGTGAGCTGCTTTTGGCAGGAAGGAATACGTCTGCTGCTGCCAGTGTGTTTGGGATTAGGAGGAGGATTGTAGGGCTGTGGGAAATGTGTCTGGGAGAAGTCCGCGTGAAGTATGCTGAATCCACGTTGCAGTTGAGATGTAATTTTGCGGAGGTATGCAACTGTTCCGAATCGATTTGGGGGTGTGCAGAGGGCGCACGCATGCAATTTTGAAGCGCGAGGCACGTCGCTTTCAAATCTGGTTTCCGGTTTTGGAAGCTTGGAAGCCAGGTTCAACAAGCCAAAGCGGCCCTGCCGCTGCCCCCCCCTCCCCCATGGCTGCTGCGATACCGACCCATCTGGGTGGCAGTGCAGGAGTGTCATGGATGCAGGTTGGTTCTATAGAGTTCTTGAAGCCCACTTCTTGCTTTGTACATTGCGCGGGATGTGTGTGTGTTAAGAAAACTGGCCGCGAGTAGGAACGTGTGTTAGAAAAACTGGCCGCGAGGCGAAACGTACGTACGTACGTGTGTGTGTGTGTGCGTGTACGAAATATCTTCCCCGTGCACGAATTTAGAGGGCTGCTTGTTTGCCCTGGGTGGGGTTAAGGCATTGGGGGCGGAACAGGGCCTTGGCCGTTCACACTTTTGCCGGATTGCCAGGGTGTTGCAGGCGGGGTAGGTAGCCCGGCCAGGCTGGCATTGCAGGACGGTAGCATGGGTAGCAGGAGGGCGCGAGGAGGAGGAGGAGGAGGAGGAGGAGGAGGGGGAGGTCCACACGGGCGTTTGTGGTTTCTGTGCGCTAGCGGTGTGGGAGCAGGATGGGGATTGTTGTCAGGTGTGTAGCTCATTACTCTGCTTAATACAGTGCATGCAGTGCTAGAACGAATGGCGTGGCAAGAGCTCATCACAGGAAGACTTGCGGGGGTTTAAGAACCTCGGGCGCCATCAATGCCAGCCGCAATGACATGCCGGGGATTAACGGGCGGGGTCGGTGGCGGGTTCCTATACCTTGAGGAGGGCTGGGGGGGTTTGGGATTTTTTTGCTGTTGGAGCTCCGGCGGAGGCTGTGTTTCCGAACATTTTCACAATTCCATGTGCGTATGTGCACCTCTTATTCGTGCGAAACAAGTAAAGGCGGTGATGGAATGATGCACGGTTTTGGGTGCACTCGTCTATTTTGTTTCCAAGTAAGACGACAGAGCACCAATAGCATGAGACAGGAAGACAGAGGAGAGGCATTGAGAGCGTGGGATAGCTAGATACAGTGCGGATTGCAGCTGAGGCGGTTGCCACTCTTTCCAAGTAGGTTCGTGGCATCCCGCCGCGGGGTGCGACGCAAACAACCCAGAGACGTCAGGGCTGGGCTGCGTAGTGGGTCATGTAGGCGTGGGGAGGCGGAGGGATCAAGGGAGGCGGGGAGGCACGAGGAAGGGCTGCGGGGCTAGGGATGCTGGGTGGTTACGTTGGCTGGAAGTAAAGCTTTCATGGTTGCACGTGTTCCCTGGTGGGTTGGGGCGCATACGCCGATATGGGCGGCAATTAACGTGCGGGTCCTGTTCCTCCGTCGTTTTGTTGGTTTGCTGTAAGCAGGAGTGGCAATGCAGTGCACCCGCGGGATTGCTGTCTTGAGTGCCGGGTTGTCTGTCAGCCGATGTGCATCAGAAGGAAAGGAGGGAGGCCGCCCTGGTATGGTTTATTGGTTTTACATTGCTATGTTGTTTTCCACATGTGTTGCCTGTACCAAACATGTATCTACGGACACAAAACCTTCTTTACAAACGTCTAGCCGGCTTCGAGACAGGACAGCTGCCATGACCCATGAGTGTTGCGACAAAAGCTTCAGCATCTGTAGTCCCTGTCATTGATGGCATTGACCAAACCTCCCCCCTTCGCTGTTTTAAGGCATGGTACAGCAACTAGTTGGGTTGCCGGGTTGCTTCTTACGTGGCGGCCTGTTGGGGACACCTAACCGCCGTGAAGACCGTGACAAGGGAAAAATGCAGCGAAGATAACATCCAGTAGTACAGCACACGACCATGAAGGCCCGAGATTCCTCCGGGCGACCTTACAAGGACCTGACTGTTGTACACTGCCACACCTGTTGTCTGGTGCCGATGCCCAGCCCAACAGTGTCGGGGCCTGACACCTCTCGTGTTTTTCAAACTGTGTTGGGTCTCAAACTGCCGCTGCGACATGGGGGGCGATAGGCGCTACACCAATCCAAGAGGCGATACACCGGTTACCGGGTACCATACCCCCCATACCGGTTATCGGCACTCAATGGAGGCTTCGAAAGACCCCCATTATCCCCATACGCGCTACTGCATCTCAGATCAGACTCGACGTTACTGACAAGTTGCACCCAAGTGGCGCCTAGTCCAGCAACACAGCAGGTAAGCTGATACGGTAGCTAGATTACGTTGGGCGGGCTACGTTGGGGGACGAAGCCGGCGGCGTCTGCATGCGCCGCAGGCCTAGGGATGCATGCATGCCTGCTGGTGCAGGTAGGTAAGGAGCCCATGACCTTGGCAGCTAGTGCCGCACCCCCCTTCCCACACACACTGCATGAGTCAACTACCGTACACACTCACTGCATGAGTCGGGATATGGGATTGGAACTCTAGTTGTTTGCATTTCTTATCTACCCCCCCCCCCACACACACACACTTATGGTTTGGTGTGGTCTTTGAACCCCCCCCATCCACACACACCAATACCGGTACCATTCAGCACATGGTTGTTCTTCTTCCTCCCCCCGATAGCTCATCAATAGCCTCCCCCCCTTGCTTCCCCTGCACCCCCGCCCGCCCGGCCCCCTGACAGTCATCACGCAACCCCTCATCATCAGTACCAGGGGATGAGGGAGCGGTAGAGGGCCAGGTAGCGGCCGGCGGACCGGGACCAGCTGGGGGTGGGGGTGGGGGTGGGGAAGTGGGGGTGGGGGTGGGGGAAGTGGGGGTGGGGGTGGGGAAGTGGGGCATGCGGGGGAGGGAGGTAGGGGGGAAGGAAGGAAGGTGGGGTGTGAAAGGGGTGTGATGTGTTTCGGGGCTTTCGGAATTAACACGGACGGGAAGGGGGAGATTGAGGTAGGAACCGAACAGTGGTAATACTGTGGTGGTTAGTCCCGGCGCGGCAGGAGGCGGGAGGAGAGGGGCATAGACAGGTGGGCGCGCCCTGCAGGGAATGGCGTGCGTGTCAGCCTTCCAACCCCTTCCCTCCTCCCTGCATGTCTTCCCCCCCCTCTCCCCTCCTTCCTCCCTCCTCTCTTCCCCTCTACCCTTGCCTCCCAACTCCCACACCTCCCTCCAACCCCGGCCCGGCCCGCCCTCACTTCCATCGCCCCCGCCGCCCCACGCACCTCACGTCCTGCCGCATGTTGTTCGACACCACCTGCCGCCAGCGCTCCGGATCCCTGCCGTACAGCGACAGCGCTCGATCCAGTGCGCCGTACAGCGAGCCCTCGTCCGCCCCGTCGAACGTGAAGCCGTTGCGGCGACTGATGGCGGCGGTTGCTGACGGTTGGTCGTTGCAGTGGTTGCCGTTACCTGTCGTACCGTTGCTCCCGCTGCCGTACTGCTGCTGCTGCATCTGCTGCTCAGCCTCGGGTGTGTTGTGAGGGGGCTCGGGTCCGTCCAGGTCGAACACGGTGTCCGCCAGTCCGCCCGTCCTGAGGGGGGGAGGGGGGGTAAAAATAAGGAAAACTGACGAACTGAAAGACGGGGCTTCTCCATGGGTTGCTAATTGAAAATTATAGAGGAGGGAGTGGGGAAGTGAGGGGAAAAGAAGAATACCCAATGTGCTGTGTGACAGTGGAAAGGAAAGGAAGGGAGTGGGAGGGAAGGGTACCGCCACCCAGGCACCGCCCCCCCGTCCCCCCACCTCTTCCCCCCTCTAGTTGTTGTGGTCTCCTATGGTTTGGTATGGTCTTTGACCCCCCTCTAGTTGTTTGCATTTTTTATATAATTTCCCCCCTCACCTCCGCACCACCGGCACCGCCCCCCTCACCTCCGCACCACCGCCCCCCGCCCCCCTCACCTGCGCACCACCGGCACCGCCCCGTACCGCAGCGCAATCATCTGCGTGAGTCCGCAGGGCTCCCACAGCGAGGGCACCAGCAGCAGGTCCGCAGCTCCGTACACCAGGTGCGCTAGCGACTCGGAGTAGTGCAGCTGGATGCTGGGGGGGGGGGCGGGGAGGGGGGGGGGGAAGGGAAATTTGATTGGATTGAGACACACGTATATGTTAGCGGTTGGCAGCGGAGCAGCTGCAATGGTGCAGAGTCAGGGAGGGTACTGAGCGGACGGGGAGGGCGACACTTGAGGACGTGGGCACACCCCCCCCCCACCTAGTTGTTTCCTCTTTACCCCACCTGCAGTCCCTGCTGCCCCTTAGCTCCCCCTCCGCCAGCGCCCGTATCGCCCCCTCCGCCGCCCCACTGCCCAGCACCACCACCTGCCCCCCCGCCGCCACCACGCGAGGCAGTGCGGCGCGGATGAGCGCAGGGCCCTTCTGCGCCACCAGCCGCCCCACCACCGCCAACAGAGGCTTGGAGGGGTCGGGGTCTAGGCCCAGACCCTGGGGGAGGCGGGGGAGGTGGTGGAGTGGGGGGAGGGGGAAGTGGGATTCGTGGGGTACGAGGTTAAGGGGGTGGGAAGTGGGCTTGAAGGGAGGCAGGCGATGCAGTGCCTAACTGCCTCCCCCAGCCTTCCTCCCTCATCGACCAGCAGCATCCCCTCCTCCACCCTAACCCTCTCCTCCCTTCTCCCACTCCCTCCATATCCTTCACCCCACCTTTTCGGCTAGACTCACGGTTGTTTCCACCAGGGATTGTCAGCGACTTGTATCATTATCACACCACACATTGGAATTTCTTTTTTTTCACCCCACCCCCACCTCTCCTTCCACCCCCCCCCACTTAGTTGTTGTGGGACTTAGTTGTTTGCAATTCTTATATAATTTTTCCCCACCATACCTACCAGTTGCAGGTATCGCTTGCACGCCGCCTTGCCGGCCGGCCGGTCCGCGTCGTAGCATGCGGGCAGGTGCGGGTCGGCCGCGGGGTCCCACTCCGCGGTGTCAATGCCGTTGAGGATACCTTGGAACTTGGAACGCAGCTGGGGAGGCGAGGGAAGGGGAGGGAGGGGGAGAGTGGTGGGTAAAGAGGAAATAACTAATTTGACTGTTTGATACAGGTGAGGCGTCATCACGGTTTGTGCAACACGTGCGCCAGCCCGACCCGCCCAGCCCGGTTTGCAAACCATGTTGACGCCTTGTCCCTCAGTCAGTTAGTTGTTTCCTCTTTACCCCCACATCCCCCCCACCCCAACCCCCGCACCCCCCACGCCCCCAACCCCCACCTCGGGTCGCGCCAGTGTGCTCCTGAGCCACCCCGCCGCCCCGCCCTCCAGCACCTCGCGCGCGTAGGTGGGCGACACGGTGGTGACCGCGTTGGAGTACACGATACCGCCCTGAGGGGGGGGAGGGGAGGGGAGGGGGCGGGGGAGAGGGGGGGGGAAGAGGGGGGGGGAGCGGTGGGGGAGGGGGCGGGGGTTGGAGGAGGGGAGATTGGAGAACCATGCGTTAAATGCGAGCGGCTGGCAGAACTAGGTGTGACAAGCTGCTGCTGGTGAATGGGCTCGAAGGGTGGAGTCCACCGGGCGCGGGTTTTAGGCTGTTAGGCGACGGCCTTCACACTCCTCCGCTCCCTTCACTTCTCACGCCTACCCCTCCCCCCCATGCCCTACGGGGCCTACCGGTATTCCATCCCTCCCCCACTCCCTCCCCTCCCCCCCTGCCTCCCCCCTGCCTTCATGAGGTTGAGTCGCTCGGGGTTGTGACCCACGGTTCGCTCGTCCAGCGCCTTGTCCTCGGCTGCGAACAGCGAGCCGGGCAGCCCAGTGTAGTGGAACTCGTCCTGACGGCACTCGCCTGCATGCGTGTGCGTGTGCGTGTGTGTGTATTGGGGGGCGGGAGGGGGGAGACGGGAGAGGAGGGCGGGGAGCGGAGGGAGATGATGGAGGAGATAATAAGGCCCTCGTGCTAGCGTGTACTGTAGTAGTGATACCGGCGCAAGGTGCGTGGGCCGGGACGTGAAGAAGCCAGGAGGAGTCAGGTACGTACCGTAGCTGACGGTAGCAAAAGGCACGGCCCTGCCACCTCCCTCGCTCACCCGTGTTCTCCATGTTGTGTATGGTCAGCACCACCCGGGTTCGCCCCGCCCCCCCGCTGTCGTACTCCTGCCAGTACAACATGGCGGCTGCGGCGGTGTGCCAGTCGTGCAGCTGCAGGATGTGCGGCTGCTGGTGGGAGTGGCGCAGGAACTCCAGACAGGCGCTGGGGGAGGGGGGGAGGGGGGGGGAGCGGGGGGGAGCGGGGGGGGCAAGGAAGTAGAAAAACACACACGTGAGGGCAAGACACTGGGGGCCGGAGGGAGCATAGGTAGGAGGGGGTGCACGAAGGAGAGGGCGGGGCACGCGTGTGTGTATCAGAGGTGACAGGTGAGAGGTTGGTGGCGCTGGGAGCGAGTTACGGGGGCGTGTACGTTTTGACATGCGATTGGGAGGGAAGGGAGGGAGGAGAGGGATGGAAAGGGGCTGGCTAACCGGTGCCTCGCACCCGCAGCACCCACGCCCGCCCCCTCACCGGCAGAAGTAGAGGTAGGCCTCCATCTCATTATAGGACCCGCCATCTGAGGGTAAAAGAGGAAACAGGGCCGAGGGAGGGCGGGGATGAGAGGAGAGAAAGGGGTTCACAGGAGGAGTCGGGGTAATGGGGTTTAGGGCTTCCTCCAGACCCGCATCCGCTGCTCCCATGCGTTGCCCCTACCCCAAATCCCGCGCCCCATCCCCCACCCTCACACCCACACCACCCGCCCAACCCCCCAATCACCCGCTTATATTATTTTTACCTCCCCCCCCGCCAACTCCAACTCCTACCCCCATTGCTTTGCCCTAACTTGTGGTCTCCTATGGTTTGGTATGGTCTTTGAACCCCCCCCCGCCCCGTTCACCCACATATCCTGCCCCCTCGGAATATGTTGCTGCCGGTGCCCTCCGCGGGGCGCACCAGGTACACCGGGCAGCCCTGCACCGTGCCCTGGAACACCTGGGTGCGGAGGGGACCTGGGGGGGGAGGGGAGAAGGGGGGGCAAGGCAGCAGGGAGGGAGAGGCAGGTTGGGGGCTGGCAGCCACAGCTGGCAGCCATAAAAAACACAGTTGGAAGCGTGGTGATGTCGCCCCCTCCCGCACTTCCGTCGACCCCACCTGGGGCCCACCCTCTCGCTCACACCCACCCCACAACCTTCACCTCCATGCAAGCCCCCCTCCCGCCCCCACCCACCCAACCCCCAAGCCCGCTTCACCCACCCACGCACATCTCTCCATCCCACATGAAGCCCTTGGGCACCTCCACCTCCGCCGCCAGCCGCAAACCCTCCACGCCCACCTGCGCCTGCTTCCCCTCCCTCCTCCCCTCCTCTCCCCCCCTCTCCTCCCCGCCCTCCCGCCCCTCCCAGCTGGCCACCCGGATGCTCTCGTAGAAGGGCAGCATCACCGCCACTCGGTGGCCCCGAGCCAGGGAGGCCTTGGCCAGCCCGCTCACCACATCACCCAGACCGCCGACCTGGAGGAGGGGAGAGGTGGAGGGTGGAGAAAGGGGAAGGAGAAAGGAAGTGACGACAGGAAGGGTGAGGCCATCCCTCAGCTTGGCGATATAGTAACGCCCACATGGCCTCACATCTCCCCAACACACATACACACGCACGGCGGTTCTGTGGGGACTTCGTCTTCCGACAATCACAGTACGTTCCTACTCGCGGCCAGTACACACACACACCTACCTCCCATTCCCCGCATGACCCCCTCATGCCCCCCACCCCCCCACCCAACCCCACCTTGGCAATGGGCGCCATCTCGGCACTCAGGTGTACGACATGCAGTGGCTGGGGGTCGGTCGGGGGGGCTGGGGGGCAGGCGGAGGTGGAGCCCGAGGCCGCTGCATGGAGGGGCGGCAGGGGTGCGGGGCGGGTGCGGGCGGGTCGCTCCCAGAAGCGCGGCTCGGTGGGTGGGCCGGCGGGCCAGCGGATGTCGGGGTCGGACAGGGGGTCGGTGTGGCGGGGGTGCTGCAGCGGGGGGCCGGGGGTAAAGAGGAAACGGGTGTGGGGTGGGATGGATGGCAGTGGGGAGGGAGGAGGCCAGGACAAGGGATCCGTAATCGGAGATCCCAGGAGGGATAAGCGGAGAGGGAGGAGGGATACTAAACTTGGGAGGGAAGGTGAGGGATTGTTTGTTGGCTCAGCAACCCCCTTCTCTGACCCCACCTCCAAAGGAGGCGGCTGGGGCGCCAGCGCCTGCTCCTCAGCTGCTGTTGCAGCAGCTGATGGGGAAGGCGGTGGAGCGGGGGCAGCGGCCAGGGCGGGCGGGAGCTGGCGCGGGAAGAGGGAAAAGAAAAACGATGCCAGACAGAGGGATTAGGGGGGACGGGCGCTCCATGGAAGGCTTGATTGGAAGAGTGTACCAGGGACAGGGAGACAGGCGCGAGGTGGCAAGGAGTCGAGGCATAGAAACTGCTAGCTTGCACGAAAGCCAATTATGAATTAATAATAAGCGTTTAAAGGAAGACATAAATGTCTCTATGCGTCCGGTCAACACCGCAAAAACCGCTCGGAAGTTAACATTGCCCGAGCAACATCCCGAACCCTACCGGCAAGGCATGCCCAGTGGCCTGCTGATACAGCGCAAGCTGTTTTCGCAATAACTCATTCTCGTGACGCAGCCGCTGAAGCTCTTCCTCCGTAGACAGGGCCTCATTTGTTTTAGCAACCTGCCATCGATGCCAAGCGCCCGTAAGCCGCGGCGCATTCAAGAAAGTAGCCGCTTATAATTCTTGGACCGTAGACAGTGATTTACCTTGCAGGTGATCCTTGAGAATGTGGTAGGTGCTTGCTTGCCTGGCGTATGAATACAGGGTTGTGCATATGGAACGCGCGTCCTTATACCTGCCAGCTGCTTAATGCACGCCATCTTAACAGCTTCTGGTGTATATCAAAAGGTTCTAGGAGGTTGAGAGCAGGAGGAGGGTTCCTGGCAGTCGAGCGGGCGAGCGACGGACCGGCAAACGCCTGCCCAAAGGCGCGAGCCGTCCGCAACGATGCGTGTAGTCTTGCGATTACGCGGGCAGTGAAAGCATCAGGTTTTAATTCATGCGTTAACGCGACGGGGCTGCGAGGCGTTCGTCCTGCTTGCGTACGGCAACCGTCACCCTTTTACAAATCTTTTGGGATCTTTAACGCTTTCCAGTCCTTAAGCATACAAAACGTGAAGTAAGCAGCGCTTAAGCTATCTTGGTACCTGTTGCTTCGCTTTAGACAAATCCTTTCTCGCCAAGGCGTCCGACTATGAACACTCCCACAGCTAATTAATACACAATAAATGCACCAACAGTTTAAGCAATAGTTTTGATTCAGCTAGCTAGGAAGCAAGCAAATTCGCGGTTCCGTCTCTGGTGTCGGAACGACCGCTGCGCTCCCAGATGCAGAGCCACCGGGTGCCCGCCGGGGCAGCCCCAGGGCACACAGCCCCTTCCCACGGCTCCCCCTCGAGCCCCATCCCCTTCACTCTCATACCATTGCCAACCAGAGTCCAAGGCTCGGAACAGCCGCTATTACATCCTAATCCCCACCGCCACCTCCACCTCCACCGCCGCCATCGCCACGCTGCCACAGCAGCAGCCCCACGCTCCTCCGCGCCCCAATCTTCCCACCCACCTCACTCTCGTCCTCCGCCTCATGCCCCAACCTCCTCCCAATCCTCCTCCCTCCCCACCCTCATCACCTCCATCCCAGCGCACCTCCACCCCCAAGTCCTCTCCAACGCCCTACTCCTCATCGACAAGCCCCCCCACTGGGAGGTAGCGGAGGTGCTCGCTGCCGTGCAGCGTGCCATACACACCTCCCCCGCCTCTTTCCCCGCCTCCTCCCCCAACACCTTCCCCGCCAAACCCACCATCGCCAGCCTGGCCCCCCTGGACGCCTCCGCTAGCGGGCTGCTGCTGCTGGGTTTCGGAGCCGCACCCCGGCTGCTTGCAGCGGCGGTGGAGCGGCGCTGGAGCAAGCGTTACGAGGGGAGCATGGAGCTGGGGGCGCGAGGGGGGCGGGTGGGGGACGTGCTAGGGAGGGAGGGTGGGGAAGGGAGAGGGAGAGGGAGGAGAGGGAAGGTGGAGGGAGGAGGAGCGGGAGAGGAGGAGGTGGAGATGCCCTGGCGGCACCTGAGCGGTGAGAGAGGAGGGAGGAGGTGGAGGTGGCGGGAGGAGGGAGGGGGATACGGGTGGAGGGGAGGGAGGGTGAGAGTGAGACCCCCCTGTGGAGGGCAGGAGGGAGGTGGCAGAGGGAGAGGTGACATGTTCCACTTGCTGCTCGCTCTCCCCTCTCTTCCCTTCTTCCGATAGTGGTTTCCCTGTACCCCCAACTCCCCATCCCCCAACCCTCCCCCCCCAGACGAGGAGCTGCAGGAGGTCGCATCCGGCATGGTGAGCTGCCCGGATGGGGGCAGCGCGGGGGGCAGCGGGTATGGCTGTAGCAGCAGCAGCAGCACAAACGGTAGTAGCAGGGGCAGTGAGGCGGGTGGCGGCAGCAGCAGCAGCAGCAGCAGCAGCAGCAGCAGCAGCGGTAGAGGTACCGGTCAGGGCGAGGTGTGGGGCCATGCGGGCGGCTTGGATAGGGTTGAGGGCGGTACTGAGGGTGATGGAGACGGCGGCGCTCTGGATGGGGGCGACAGCGACAGTGGCGGCGATGGGGGCGCTTCGTGCCTGCAGGTGCTGCCGCTGCGGTGGCGGTTGCGGCAGCTGCCCAGCAGCACCAGCTACGTGGAGGAGGACAAGGGGGCCAACATGTGGGTTGAGAGGGGTGGGGAGGCGGGGAGGTGGGCTGGGAGGGCGGTTTGTGGGAGGGTTGCAGTGTTGGGAGTGGGTGGCAAGGGGGTGTCGAGGGGTGGGCTTCGTGAACAGGGCCAGGGGTTGGGCATTATGGGTCAGCACCACAGGCCATGAGATGCAGTGCATGGGTACTGTAGTATACAACAGCATCTGCCGTACGTATGTTCGGAATGTATTACAAAGTACCGGTTGCAAAGGTGTAGGTAGGGGATGGAAGCCCCCCGTAAACGCCTGCCAACACCTGTGCCCGCACCCAGCATGCTGGCCCCTCCAAACCTGAAACCCCACTCCTTTCCTTCCTTTTGCCCCGGTACGACAGTTTGACAACCCCCATGAAGATCCACGACTTCCGCGTGTGGCGACCCATGGGTCCGTACCTGGAGCAGCGGCAGGGGGTCCCCAACCGCAGTGCCAGCAGCAACAACAACAGCAGTAGAAGAAGCAGTGGTGACGAGGGCACCGGTAGTAGCAACGTGGTGACTAATACGGTTCGTTTCTCTGTTGAGCTGTCAGGACGAGCGCACATTCGTTCGTTGGTGGTTATGTACGGCAGACGGTTGCGCACGTGCGCGTGTCTGGGGGAATTACGTCGTACGGCAGTTGGCGGGTTCCGAGTGGAGGATGCCTGGCCCCTGGAGGCGCTAATGCCGCTACTGGAGCGGTACAGGCGCTAGGAGGAGGGGTGTACGGGGTGAGGAGTGAGGTGCCGTACCGGTAACTGATGGCCGCAACACTGACAATGTGACATATGTACCGTCGCTGCATGCCGGGAAAGCGCAGGTTAATATGTAACGTGTTGGAGTGACCGAGAAGGGGGTATTTACAAGGGGAAGCTGGGTGCTGCAGCCACTCGAAGAGGGAGCATTTCCCAATACACGCAGCCCGTGAGGGACAGCGTTGGGGGTCGGCGGAGGACAGAAACGTGCCGAGGTGAACAGATGAGCCACAACGGCTAGCTAAGCGGGATCATTCCTTCGTGATCCGCTTTCACACGGAGTTGCACACCCCAACAAATTGGACATGCCGCAAACTACCCGAGTAGGTTAATTCATACACCTGTCAGTCTCGACTCATTCACTTGACAAGGACACGTCAGCGCTCGTGCGCGTGTGAGGGAGGAGGGGTCCCATCGGTCCCAGCCGCAATAGTGGTTTCGATGTGTCGCGGCACCCGTCCTCCCTGCAGCCAGCGTACGCTGCCATGCAGCCAAGATGTAAACACGAGCTAAAGCCGTTTAGCAATGAAAAACCCTTACTTCACGCACATAATATGGACAGATACTGCAACACATTGGGACACGAGCGAGGAACGCAGAAAGGACGCCTCTGCTCCGGAATACAGGAAACGTGGTCACGGTGAGTAATGCAGGCTAACGTCACAAACACCCCACCCGTACATTGTGCTCACAAACCCCACCCACAGATTGGTATTATTGTACCGCATTATCAATGCCATGCTGCCTCTCGGATGCATAGAAAGCATGCAAGACACGTACACATACATACACTTCATCTTTCGGCAATCACAGTTCCGGTTGACTTATCACAGTGTCCCCCCAATCACGACCAGTTGCCAGTGTATGACTACTGTTAGACCGCTGTCCCACTGCTGTACAAGTGTGTTTAGGTCCCAAGCAAGTGTTTAGGTCTCTTTTCTTAGGCCAACGTGGAAGCGGAATTTGTGGTCGGCGCGTCCCTCGGCCACAACGCCGTTCCCATGCCGACCCCAGCACGTCAACCCAAAAGTCGTCAAGGTACATGAATACGGTACGGGGGTTGCGTACACGTCGCAACGCACGGTATGAGCACACGGGAACGTATCGCTACGAGCAAGGAGGTCAAACATCACCCGGCCCCAACCCGCATGGAAACGAGGGAACCCCTGTCCGCACGTATCCAGTCTCTGGGGAGGGCTGCAAGGGTCACACGCTCTACCGGCGCGGCTGTAAGGGCACCTTGCGCAGGTGGAGGGGACACGCCACCCACAAGCCACTCAGGCACAGGGACCCGACATAATCACCGGCGCGGGAGGCAGGGTTTGCCTGCATCGAACGGACTCAAGAGATGCTCACGTGCGCGTACATACATGCTCACATGCCGACCATGCATGCTTCCTTAAGAACAGCTTACCAGACAAGACACCATCCGAGCACACAAAACCGAATGGAGGAGAAATTAATTAAGAGGAATTAGAATAGGACGGTGAGAGGAGAGAGGCGAAACATTCGTCCTACTCCAGTGCCTCCTCCGCCTCCTCAACCGCCTCTTCTCTCTCCTCTCGTGCCTCCTGTTGCTGCTCTTCTTGTTCCTCCTGTTGCTGCTCCTCTTCCTGCTCCTCCTCCTCCTCCTCGCTGCTCTGCTCGCTCTCGCTGCTGCTATCATCCTGTTAGGGTGATGGTGTGAAGGTGCGCGGCCAGTTTTCTTAACACAGGAGGGTCAGTGTCAGTTCAGCGGTTCAGAATAGTCCACGCAATGGACTTCCGCAAGCACACTACGTTCCGCAAACGGTCTCCTGAGGGCGGCCTCCTCGCTCTTGAGGCCTCTCCCTCTTTTGCCCCAGGGTAACGCTCTGCCCTTACCCAGCAGAACCTTTCCCATATCGGTATATGCCCCACGCACAACGAGAAGCAGCATGCGAAACGCATGCGGGTTTCTTAAAAGCACAACGCGCATGTGGCTTCACGGCGCCACCTCACGGCTCCGCGCCGACTCACGTGTTTCTTCTTGTAGGAGGGGTCGACGGGCGAGATGCCCGAGATGCCGTACAGTCGCGGGTCCGCCCCCTCCGGCGGCACCACGTTGAGCCTCCATGCGGCGCCGCTGTGGCGGTGCAGCACGGTCAGGAAGGAGCCCTTGCCCTCGTCGTCGGTGGCGAAGATGCTCACGTCCTGCAGGGAGCGGGATGGAGGGGCGTGCGAGGGGTGGGAGGAGGAGGAAGAGGGGAGCGGGAGAGCGTGTGGGCATGCGTGGCGCGTGTACCAAGCAAGGTATGAGCAGGGCAAAGGAAATGCCTCATGGGAATGTCTCAGGACTACTAGAAGCAGGACGATACCGCAGATCTGAGCCTGATGCAGGAGCCAAGAGCGGAGGCTTACTCACGGGCTTCTAGCCACGTGCATGCGCGGGCGGCATGCATGCGTACAACCACGCACGCCTCCTCGCCCGTCGCCATCAAAGCCCCATCGCGCGCTGTTCCCAACCCAAACCCACCTTTGTGATGTCGTAGATGCCCTCAATCTTGGCCCCCTGCAGGCGGTACAGCGGCTTGAAGTTCTCCACGCCGCCCGCCTGCGCGCCCGGCAGCCGCTCCATGATGTACGACACGAAGTGCGTCTCACTCGCCTCATCGTCCTTGGCGGCGGCGAACAGCTGGCCGTACCTGAGGGGGCGGGAGGCGGGGGGCGGTGAGGGGCCGGGAAGGGGAGGTAAGGAGGAAGGGGATCAGTCAGGTTCAGTGTGACAATATGACGCCAACATGTGTTCCAGTGTTAGTGGTGCATCATGGTCGCCCTTCCCTCCTCCCCGTCTCCCCTCATCCTCCTCCACCCCGCTCACTCACCTAGCCATGCCAACCGCCTGGCCCATATCCGCGCACTGCCGTACATCCGGATCTCCATCCAGCGCCGCCGGCCAGTACGTCACCTCCAGCGCTGACTCCTCCACCTGGAACTTGCCCTTGCGCACCGCCTTGATGTCCAGCGGGTGCCGCGCCACCCAGGGCGTCAGCTGCTTGCCGTCCTGCCGCCCGCCGCGGTTGCCGTACTCCATGAAGAGCCGGCCGCCCTCCACGTAGGCGCGCGCGCCCTCGCAGTTGGTGAGGCTGGCGGCGGCGATGGCTGCGGGCGGGCGCACGGTGAAGGTCTTGACGCCGTGGGCCACCCACTTGTCCTTCTTCTTGGATAGCTGGAGGGAGAGGGAGGAGGGGTAAGGGGATGGAGGGAATGGAAAGGGGAAGCCGCAAATTCGGTGGGAATGGGAATGGCAGAGGTGTGGAACAGAGGGTGTGGTTTGGTAACGCGTCATGAGTCCTCAGCCATTTGGGTATTAACGGTGAAGGGTACAGCAAGAGGGTGACACTCGGGGCAAGAGGGGTTAAGGCAAGAGGTGAAGTTTGAGACGGGTAGGCATGCCTCTCGTCGCACCTCCCTCTCCTCCACATACCCGTTCCCTTCTTTCCTTCCTGCCCCCCTCTCACCCGATGCATTACGTCCTTTGCAGCCCCCAACCCCGCTGACCCCTCTTCCCGCCCCCCTTGCCAACCTCCTGAGGAGCGTCCTTCCCACCCGCATTCACCATTGCTGACCAGGAACGCCTTTACGCGCCATCTCCCAATTCCCGCTCCCTTACCTGAAGTCACCCTCGCCTACCCAGTTCGCCTACCAGGGCATCGGTCACAGCTCCACTCCCAACCCCTTCTCACCCACCTACCGTGGCCGCTTAACCGCCATTCGCTTTATTATACCCCGCCGCCTCCTATCCCCATTGCCTGGCCCTGAATTATGGTTTCCTTTGGCATGGTTACTTCATTTGACCCACCCACCCTGGGCAGGAAACCTTTGCCGTCCTCCCGCCCCCCTCATCCCTTCACCACCGCCACCCACCCTAAACAGGAACGCCTTGCCGTTGGACTGCATGGCCACGTACAGCGGCTGCTTCTTGCCCGTCACCGCCGGATCAATCATGAAGAGGCACTCCAGGTCCGTTGCATCGGCCAGCCCGCGCCCCTTGTCCTTGATGCGCACCGGCTGCAGGGTGCCGTTAGACAGGCACACCACTGACAGGCGAGGCGCACTGGGCTTCTTGTTGTCGTGCACCTGATGAAAAGGGGAGGACAGGAGCGCAACGCTGCTCAAGGGACACCGCACCTCTCTTCTTCATAGCTCCTCCTCTCGCCTCATGCCTCACCCCGCCGCTGCTTCCACCTTTACTGTGACACTCTTCACACCCGGATCCCTCTACCAGATCCAAGCTGCTGGTATCGACCAGCACTGGTATCCGTCCCCAGTATCCCCGGCACCCACTCCCAGCAGGTAGCCTGCTGCATCCCTGGCTGCCACCCTGCTCACCACCAGATAGTACCCTGGCACGCTGGCGCCCCCGGTGGCCTGCGATATGTCGTTGACGTACACCAGCAGGTGCCATTCGGAGGAGCCGTCCTTGGGCGCGGGAGCGGCCGCAGGAGCCGCGGGCGGGGACGCGGGGGCCGCGCCTTCTGAAGCTTTGGTTTCCGAGCTGGCCTTTACTGGGGCCTAATATGTGTTGAGAGCGGGAGGCAAAAGACGAGATGAAAGCTGGTTAGGGAAGTAGAAGATTGGGCCATGTGAGGAATGACATGGTTCATAGGCTGAATCGCGAATGCTTTAGATTAAACACGAGCATGAAGACGGACAAAATATTATTCTTGTAGTAATGGTTTGGCCAAAAGGGGAGTCCTGCATGCGCGGAGGAGGTAAACAGTCGTGACGCTGAATTACCAGACCGCGGCCAGCCCAACCTGACAAATTTGGAGCAACTAACCCATCTTCCCCAGACCAGCTGGATAGTGCATACGCCTTAGCGCAGCTGGGGTATGAAGCATGCACAATGCGAACAATGCTGATTTGCCGCGAACAGCCAAGGCGAGTGCAAAGCATGCATATGCAGAGGTATTAGACCCGATGCCAAGCCCACCTGAGCCAAATTTCCATTGTCGGTCGAGGCACCGCAACCCACTGCAATGCATATGACAAACAGCGAAAGAAGACGCTTAGCATGGGCAGAGAAACGGGTCTAAGGTGGAAACGTATTAGAGTAAAAGCCGCGGCAACGCGAAGACCTCGCGGCTTTTGCACTTACTTGTATTAGAACTCTGTTAGCTAAAAACCTGTTGCAGGTTTTGCAACGTTCAAAGAATTATATATGAAGCAAGTAGGATAGCAGAGAGACTCTGGCGCCTGGGCTGCAAGTGTCGAAGTCTACGGTTACAAGCTGCTGCGTGCCTTATTGCTATATCCAGAGCCTTTAATGCAGCAGGTGCCTTACGCGTATCTTTATAACTGTCTGTCAGGCAAAAGGATTAAACAAAGGTAAAACGCCTTCGTTCGAATGGTTGAAGTACGACCGTGGCACCGTACTAACGCTTGTTGCCCGTGGTGTGGTGGTAGGCACAGGCCGGTAGGCCTTATCGTTTATGTGCATTATGCTGCCGTTGATCAAATTAGTGAAATGTGTTTGGTCTTGGCAAGACATGTCGAAATGTGATGGCGGTTGGATGTTCCTGACCGCAGTTGGAATTCCCACACAGAATTGCGGAATAATTTAACTATTCAACAGCATACTCAGGGTTTTCAAGTCACGCAGAATAGCCATGCCATACAGAGTATCGGCCCGCAGCATGCCTGCCGATAGGTGGCAAGGTATCCTCATGAGGAAGCATTATAGAGTGGCTTCCCCCTTGTTATCAATGCTACCGAAAGCCAATTTAATCAAAGAACCCGCTTCCTGGGGTGCAAATGGGTTACATGGCTATTGTTGCTCCCTGGGTAAGGCAACGGGTGTTCGCACACTTTGGATGAGTGCGTGAGTGAAGGCCGCAGAGGAAAAGCCGATATAATAAGATAGCTTACACCTATGTAAGTAGGTATAGCCAAAGGGAAGTAATGCCCTAGTACCTACATATGTCCAACAGATATGCACCAACCACCAACCCCAGTCCACGTCTTCTATCCACCCACTCTTATTTTTCCGATGTGGGCCCTTTGCCTTCCCCTAAGAATGCTTCGTGCCGTCTCTGTATGTAACATATGCATTATGGCTCTGTTATGTTATTCGGCCCTTCGAAGACTTCCCTCAAGAACACCTGACAACGTGGTTACATGCCAAATTTACCCCATCTACGACATGCATAGGAAACACCTGCTACAATGGACAGTGTGAACCACTGTAACAGCAAACTATTCGGTCAACATCCACGAGGTACAAAACCAAGTGCGTCACGAGTGCAAGGCGCAACACAGCGTGGTAACCCTGGTAGGGCACACGATGTACGGCAAGAACCCTTCCCGTCCGCCGCTGAAACAGACACGGGCAAACGTTAACGGTACCTGCCCAAACATAGCATTCCAGACTACCATACCACCGTCACAACGACAATAATCCTTCCACAACGACAAACTAGACAACGACACGTGGCGTAGCACCTAGTGCATGCCGTATTTGCTGCTCACCCCGACCAGGATCTTGACGGCCTCTCCTTCAGCAACTCCAGAATCATTTCGAACTCCTTTCCTCGATGCAGCATGGAAGACCAACAATGCCGATACCCTCCTCTACAGCACACAGTTGCACGCACTGCCATCGCTCCACATGCGATGACGTCGCTGCCACCCCCTCGGCTCTCTCAACCTCTTCGCCCTCCTGCAATTGCAGAGGTTGCAATGCCTCCCTTTGCCCATCGGTTATGGGCATCGGTCTCGTAGCTCTCTTCCATATAAGATATCACGCCCTGCACCGTTAGCCGTGCATGCATTCTTGCGTGTTCCCGCGGTAAGGACCCTGTTTCTCAGCAGCCGCCGCTCCTCACATGGACCGCTCCGGCGTCATATGACATTATGCTGCCGGGAAACGCCTGTCTGCAGGTATGCCCCCATGCATCCCTGTCCCTGAACTGCTGCTGCTGCTCGCACACGCGGCGGCCAGCGCCACGAACACTCCCCGGCATCCGCCTCCACTGCGCCAACGCTCACCTGCAACCCACCTGCCTCCACGACAACCTCCGCAGCCAACATGGGTTCATGAATGACATGCGAGCCGACATGAGAAGCTCGAGCAGCTTCAACTGCAATCCGCCTTGCAAACCATAATACACACCTCAGGGCAGCCAGGCTAGCCAGCCGCAGCAAATGGCTCAGTCGCTGGCCGCGGCAATCAACTCATCCTAGCCGCTGCAGCCATCATCTCACGCCCCCCGAGCGCTCCTCTTGCCGCTCCCAGCGCTCTGCTCTTCCTCCCAGTACTCCGCCTCATGGTATCCGTCTTCCTCCCTCCCCCGCTACTCCTGCCCCTCCTCCGGCGGCCACTTGAAGCCCTCCAGCTGAATGAGCACCTCATTCCGGCGCAGTGCGGGCGGCGTGCCGGGATCGTTGTAGCGCGCCAGCAGGTAGCCGGGCGCGGGCGCAGGGGCGGGCAGCAGGCCGTCGCGCAGCAGCAGGTCCCGCAGCTGCCGCTCCGCCCGGACTACCTGGGGGGGCGAGGGATGAGGAGTGGTGGCGGGAGGGTGTGGGACGGACGGGATAGGTTTCCCTGCATTGCCAGCCCACGAGACGGGAAACATGGGTCCCCTGGTGCATGGCAGCCCGAAGGCTACTTGTTCCGCAACTCCACGCACCTTAGCTCCAGACCCAGGCCCAGGGCGACAGCCCATACCGGTAGATCCCAACGCCAACCCTTTGAAAAGGGTCCGTTGATTGTAACCCCTGGAAAACCTTAACCCTTGCGTATCCTTCCAAGTCTGCTGAACATAATGATACCGTTCAATCCGTCCTTCTTCCGTCCCCACCTCGAAGTCCAGGGGCCAGCCTGGGAAGGTGAGTGCCGCCGCGAAGCCGCCCTCCTGGCGCCGGGTGGCGATGCGCGGGTTGGAGGGGGCGGGCAGCGAGGAGACGTCGGGGTACCTGGGGAGCATGAGGAGGGGGGAAGGGACGGAGGGAGGGGAGAAGAGGGGGCGCTGGAATCAAGGATTAAAACGTTCAAGGTGAAGGGGAGAGGGAGAAGCAGGTGCGACACCGAGCGTCAAACGCCCTGTCTTAGCCAAAGGGAACCACACATCATTCACGCAAGATTTCATGGAGACTCCTACCAGATAGTCCGCATCTACCACATATTTCCCTGGCTCCCAAACTTCGTTAATCCTCTCGTACTATGCGGCGCCTCATGCGTTGCGTCATTCCACACACACACACACGGCCTCGTTCCTACTCGCGGCCAGTTTTCTTAACACACACACTTCCGACAATCACAGTATGTTCCTACTCGCAGCCAGTTTTCTTAACACACACACTCCCCCCTACCTCCGCTCCATCACAAACTGCATGGCCACGCTCTCGTTCCGCTGCGCCGCCTCCACCCGAGTCAGCACCGGTGTCGTCATCTGCAGCTCCAGCCCCACAGCGTTGCCGCCAAACAGGTAGCCGGCCAGTTCCGAGAAGCCCGAGCCGCTGGCGGGGCCCGACCCATGGGTCATGGGCACCTCCGCCACCAGGTACGGCTCATAGCGCCGGATCTCATACTCCTGGTGTTTGGATTTACGGTAGGAGGATGCGCATTGAGCTGCATTGTGTTGGGGCTGGTGGCTGTTGAAACCCCACCATGCAAGGTGTCCAGGGCTGGAGGCCCTCTCGTGCAAAAGAGAAAAGAAAAAATGGTTGCTGTTATTGCTCATGTACGCCCCCTCGCCCTAACCTCACTCCCACCAACGCAACTCCAGCGTCCCGCTTTCGACCCCCAGCACAACGGACTGTTGCCCGCTGCCGCTCCTGCACCTACACCACCCACCTTGAACTTCCTGAGTACCGTGTACTTGGGTGTCTCCACGGCGGGTGTAAGCTGCAGCTGGGTGACCATGCGGAGCACGTGCACCACCCCCTCCAGGCTCAGGAAGCTGCGGACGGTTGGGGACGGGTCGGGGTTTAGAGGTACAGAAACCTTGGCCAATGTGACAATGCGGCCGTGTTGGTCGCCGACCCACTTTCAGGCCACCCCAGGTTGGGTGGGGAAAGCAAAGCCAGCGAGATGGGGTCCGGACGGATAGAGAGTTGCGCAACAGTTGGGACAGAAGCCACATGCGGCAGAAGCCACATGTGAGGAACCTCCGATCCCGGTATCCCGGTAGCGCCAGACCCCACCCACGGCGGATGGCACCCGGCCACTCACGTGTTGCGCTTCAGCGCATCCCAGTAGTCGGTGTGGCTCAGGATGACGCCGCTGCGCGGGTCCACCTGCGCGGGGAGCGTGTGCGTGGGGGGTGGAGATGTAAGGTACGGTACGGTAAATGGCCGGGTGGAATGGTGGTAACGTCAACTTAACTACAAAAGCTATGTATCCTCGCAAAGGGAGCTTCCCTTCCCTCTTCATCCCCTATTGCCCCACACCTCACACCCCTCCGCGCCCCGCACCCACCCCCCTCCGCGCCTCGCACCCACCCCCCACCTACCCGGTACACCGTGCGGCCGGTGATGGTGAGGTTGGGGCGCCAGGGCAGCAGCCCCGGCCGCATGTGCATGGTCCAGCGCGCCGTGATGCAGTCGGGGCCGGTGACGGCGATGGAGTGCAGGTCGAAGGCGATGTCGAAGAGGGTGCGCAGCAGCCGGATGTTGAAGACTGGGGGACGGGGCGAAGAAGGGGGAGGAAGAGGGGGTTGGGTTGGAATGGAAAGGTCGTTGGGCACAGACATGTGGCGAGCAGCATTGGTGGTTCGCATGCGGCTGTGGCCCCGGTTAGTATAATCCTCTGTGTTTAGGCTTAAGTGCTAGCCGGGCCTGAAAGGTGGGTTCCAGGACTCCAGTGACCCGTTGGTAGGTGGGTGAAGATGGAGGCAGCCAGCACCCGAAGGCATGGGGCAGGGGTGGCGCTACCGGTGCCTCACCGTATCCGTCGCGGCTGTCGTACTTGGAGATGGGGTCCTCGAATGCGATATTTGAGGCGTAGCGCGACTCCGTAATCTCCTGCAGAGCGGCGGGCGTCAGGTTGAAGTCCGGGTGCGAATGTCATAGGTAGGGGACGTTGGGGAATGGAACCCTAATCCCCCCCAACTTTCAGATTCGTGTCCCAACCAGCCCCCCCCTCTCACTCCCTTCTCGAAGAGCAGCTTCAGGTCCGAAGCCAGGAAGCTGCATGGGGCACGGGGACACGTTCCGGGAGGCGGCGGGTGTCGGGTGAGGGCAACAGGGCAGAGGCGTGAAAGGCAGGCGGCACGAACCGCGATCTGCGGCTAAGGTACCGGTAAAAGAAGCTTGCTGTGGTATGTCAGGAAGTTGCAGTATGAGTGCAGGCCCGAGGGTTACCGTGGCTTTGGCGACAAGACAATGTTGCCCGGCGAAACAGGCGTATGCATCATCGACCCATGAGTCGTAGCCTCAAAGAGCGTTTCTTGCATAAAAGCAAGGGGAGGACATGTCTGGAATGATATGGGGATGTGCAAAGAGAATGGATGTATTACCCAGGAAGCCGAGGGGGACACAAGAAGGACGGATCTTGGAGCAGCGTTTGCGCAAAGGGAGGCAGATACAAGGGAGGGTTCGCAGGAAGGGCAAGACCGGACGCCCAAGGAGTCGTGTGCAGAGCGTTGCGTGGTAAGAACTGCTGCGCCAACTGACATCGACAACGTCGTACTTATAGATAGCCCACCGTTTCCTAGAGCAGCAACACCGGGGTTTGACTTCCAGGCTGGTGTTTGCTTCTTAACCACATGTTGCAGCGTGCAGCGTGCCGAGTAAGATGTGCGTGTTTGGACAAACATAAGCGTTGCTTTGTACGTTGCCTTGCCACCACCTGAGTACATGCAGTGGCATTCTTACCTGCAGGTGTCTTGCATGACAAACGCCCTCCTTTGCGTTTCTTCCATGGACGAGCTCCCCATGAAAACGCCGCTAGAAGCATTTGCCGCAAGATCCCCAACAATGGCATCATGTCTTGCTGCATGACTAATCACCCGGAAGTAGTGTGGGTGCCTGAATGAACGTGCTTTGGTGCGAAGGCAATTCACTGGCGGTTGCTGTAAGGTCCCGCGACACCTCGACCTAAGCTCGAAGGGGCGCTTTAGTACGCTTTGCATTCTAGTCGTTAACATATAAAGGAGGATAGTCTGGGCGACAGTAGCGATTGCAGGGATATGAACCCATTCACATGAGTGTCACACAGCCAAGTCTACATATCTCTTATGAGCAGGGATTGAGAGACAGGCGTGATGGCATGCTGTACTATTACCGTTGTGTATGAGTCTATGAGAGTATAATGGCTCACCAACAGCCAATCGTACACGCATGTTCAAATGAGCAGCTGGACCTAGGAAGGCATGCGAGATGTGACTGCTTTCGGCATCCTTGGAAGGATACTGTATATGGCTGTTTTTGTATAAAAGACTTCGTGTATGAACAAGTTTGCAACATGAGGCTGGTTTGTATGCCTCCATGTTAGCGCCCCTATGTCCTACTTAGCCCACGCCAGCAAAACGAAAGCATCACCACCATGGAAGGCCATAATATAGAATCATGGCCGTCCCCGTTAATCCCAAGTCCCCTGGTGTCCGGCCAGTCAGCGATTCACAATGTGAGCGCCTGGACTTTTACAAGCAAGCAGAGCCCGATTAGCGACTTCACGAAGGCTGTAGATTTGTCAGCCGAATTCCCAACGGGAGCTTTCGAGGATGTTGGTGAAGAAGTCAGCAGTAAGGTGCGCACCCAAGTTGCAACATTAAAGAGCTTTGTTAAGGACCATCCAACACATACTTCATCTTTACGCTCTTGGTAGGCTACCTCCGAGGCTAACAAGGTGCGCGGTCAGCGCGATGTCGCATACGCTGCGCCAGACCAGGGCCGGAGTCCCCATAAGCAGCTGCGCCGCCATTGGGAGAATGCAGCCTCCCAGTGCACGCCGAGCCAAGCAGCTACCTTTGGCATTCCGGTCGGAGGCGTCACGCCCGCTTCCCCAGCAGACATTCAGCAGCAGCTACGTGAGGAGTCGGAGGCAATTTTGACCAGCTTTCGCCACACGCTGTCACAGTCTATGACGCTTCGTGATGACTTCCCGCGGCTTTCCCTGGACGGTGACAGCGTTGGTAACTTCATCGGAAATCCCCTATTTGACACGCCCCCTTCTCCTCAGGAGGGAACGGAGGCACCCTCCATGGTGAACGGTCACGGCCTCTTCACACCGCCGCCTGTGCCAGGAGCAGCGTACGATGCCACTGCTACTGCTACCAGCTCCCCGCTACTTGGCGAGGGGACCCAGGAGCCTACAGCAGCTGCGGCAGCTACAGCAGTGCTCGGGCGCGAGACCTGGATGTGTACCGAGTCTCATCCTTTCCACCAGGGCGTCCAGCAGCAATCCAGCTGGGATGAGGAAGCGGACAACGGCCAGATGCAGGGAGAGCAGCAAGGGGCGGAGCAGCAGCTGGGAGACCCGCAGCAGCAGGGCTGGCTGCAGTCTACCCCTGGCCTGGTGCTGCCGGGGGCTAACCAGCATCTGGGTCAGCGCGACCAGCTGCAGCGGCAGCAGCACATGACAAGCAACGGCGCATATGGAAGCAGCAGCACACGCAGCAGCCGAAGTACTAGCCGGGCCAGTCTTGCAGCGCCTAAGCAGCTGCGACTGAAGCTACCTACCGTCGCCGCACCCAACACTGCCGAATCTGGCAGCGGACGTGCTAGGAGTCAGCGAAGAGGCGCCGCGCGCCGTCATACAGGTTTGCGCCTGTCCCCTAGGACAGCGTCCGACCCGCCCTCACCATCTTCCTCCCCCTCCTTCGCGCAACAGCAACAGCAGGGCCTGCAGCAAGCGGTCGGGGCTGCTCCAGCCACGCGCCTTGTGGACTACTCCCCGTCCCTTGTGTCGCCCCCTCAAGCGTCCGAGTGGGCGGAGAGCAATGCAAGTGTCTCCAGGCACCACGGCAACAGCAGACACGAAAGCGCCATGGCACGGGGAAGTCAGTCCCGATACCAGGGCACCGCCCATCTCACCACACCGCCCTCCCGTTTTGGCCAGCAGCAACCGAGCCGCGTGCATGACAACGCCCCGGCCGCGGAACTCCTGTCGCCGCCGCCGCCAGCCGCCAGTGCAACGCCTGAGGTGGTGGTGGCGGGGGGGCGCCGTCAGGGCCATGCACTGCGGAGACCTTTGGCAACACAACAGGGTGCGGACGACCACATCGATGGCAGCCAAGTCAGGAGAGGCGTGGATGGCCGCTGGTGGGCGCGTGCCGCAGCCGCAACGGGTGCTGCCCGGGTCCAGCAAGACCTTGACCAGGGCGCCGCGTTGTCGGATGACCTGTCTGTGGAAGGCAGCAGCGCTGGCAGCAACGGCGAGGACGAGGGCGCAGCTAACATGCCTCCCCATAGCCCCTTGAACCAAAACCCCTTGGTCGATGGTGCAGCGGCGGTCCCTCTGACAAACGGTGTAGCCCAGCAGCACCCCGACTTCAGTTCGCTTCTGGATTCACCGGCATCCGTCTTGACGCCCGGGTATTACAGCCCCGCCTGGGACCCGCATGGAAGCCTACCTGGCGAGGGCTCTGAGACTGGTTTTGGAAGGACGCCGGCGCCCGCAATGGACAAGGATTTGGGTGGATTTAGCGACATCCTGGCTGCTGCCGGCGAGGAGGAGGACGGTGCAGATGAGGAGCAGCGCGCAGCCGCAGCTGCAGCAGACCTAGTGCCGCCCCAGGAACCGTGGACCGGCGAGTGGGTGTCGCAAGGGCACGCCAACACATTAGCAGCCGAAGCAGGTCGTGCCGCAGCACAATCCCTAACTCCCAACGTACAACAGCCGCCGGGCGGCGCTCTCCTTTCAGATGCCCTGCGTGCCTTGTGTCTGGAGTATTCCTCGCCACCCGTGCTTGACGATGATGTTAGCCCTGGCCTTGGCACCGGTACCGCATCTGGGTCAAGGTCCAAAGAGGCATGCTGGGACGGCTGTGTGCCTACGTTCTCGCAGCACCCGCCGCTTCGGTCTCAAAGCCGCATGCAGGCAAGGTTACAGTCTGCGGATGACGGAGATGGGTTTGGCGGCCCAGTACGGCTATTCGACTTGGCTTCTCATGGCACGGAGGGCCTCACAGACGTGCCACCTGTTACACCGTCAACACAGCAGGGGCACCAGGAGCCCAATACCAGCGGTACCGGGAGCAATGCTGGCCCCGCTGAGGTGGCGCCGGTAGGTGGATCAGGCACAGAGCAGCCACACATGGGTCTTGGCTCCTCCGGTGGGGGTGTCCGCGATCTTCAGGACGAGACCTCTTGGGCATCTGAGACAGACCGCGAGCTCGCAAGCCAGATAAGCCGCCAACGGGACTGTCCTTCCTTTCGCCGGAGGACGTGGGATGCTGGAGCGTCCGTTCTTCCAGGATCGACGCGTGCAGCGTTTTCGGAGCCAAGTAGTGCGGGTCGGCCTGCAGATGCGCCACTGTCGCCATCCAGTGAGTCGTCGCGGTTGCAGCAGGAGCAGGAACAATACACAGGCCAGATGCACAACTATCACCAGCAGCAACCGGCTAACTCTGCCCTATCGTCGGTGCCAAGTAGCGCCTTCTCCTTTGCCCGACAGCCCCCCACTGAGCAGCCCAGCAGTGGTGAGGGTGAGGGTGCCCGGTTTCATTCCGAGCTCCGGCCGTCTCGTCGTTCCACACTGGAGACGCCATCAAGTGGCCTATCTGACTTTGATGGAACTGGGTTCTACCAGCAAATCAGCACAGGCAGGTTCCGCGCTGATAGCACCGGTGGACGTGCACCTGGCAGCCTCGGTTCCGCCCGCCGGCAGCTGTACGGGGCATTACCTGTGGCCACAGGGGTACCTGCTCAGGGCGCTGAAGGCATGGGAGGCATATGGCGGGTGAGTGGGGGCATGCGATGGGGTGATGGCACGTGCGGCTATCCGTTGCAGTTGCCAGGTTAGGAGCAATGTTGCAATGTCGTCCCCGACCTGCTGCATACGGACTCACCGTGTGATGTTCTTGGTGCTTGGGGGATGGCGGCAGTCTACAAGACGGGGTGCACCCTGACATAAAAGTACGAATTAACATGCCAGGTGACTGCGTTGTACTGATCACCCTCCGTGTCTCCACACCTGCACAATCAGGACAATCCAGCGTTTGAGGACCAAGACGAGGAAGCGAACTCGGCTTCCACAACCCCGCTACCCGGCGCCAACATCGCCGCTCACCCCAGTTTCGATGCCAACAACTTGGGTTTGGTGCCCAAGTCGATAGCCTTCGAGGCCATTGACGACCTAGTCCACGCCCAGCAGCAGGACCTTTCCTCTCCGCCCAGCAAGCGCCCCGCCGCCCTCACCGCCAATGGTGCCCTGCAGCAGCATGAGCATGCTGATCTTGCCGATGAGCTTGTTACTGGGAGCATGGCTGCCCCCAACGCTGCGTTGCATGACGGCGTCGCCGGCAGCGAACAGCACAGCGAGGGCAGCCAGTACGGCGGCCGAACCGGCAACCGAATGAGTGTTAGGGCGCTGTTGGACCGGCTGGGTATGCGGTCAAGCAGCCGTGATGACTCGCCCAGCAACGATGAGGCGGATGAGGACATGCGGAGCATCGGTGTCGACGATGCCAATGTTGACCGAAGCAGGTCCATCGCTGGCGCCGCCGCACAACTACGGGTCGCCGCCGGCCCCGGCACTGTCCTGCCGTCGGGGACCGTATCCACTTCCTCCATTGTCGACCCGGAGGTCCGTTCTTTTGTCCGTGAGTTGGAGAACGTCCAAGTGCTGCTCTGGCAGTCCCTAGCCGCAGCCGGAGAAACTGCGCTGTCGCCACCAGGCTCGCTGCTTACCCCGTCGCCGCCAAACACCTCAGCTGCGGCGGCTAGGGCTCCGGCAGCTGCTACCATTGCTACGCCACTTGGGCTCGGCTCAGCTTTATACGTAGCCTCTACCCCAGACCACTCCGCATCTCAGGTGCTGGCGCGCCGCTTTGCCTCCAGCGGCGGGGCTGGGGCTGCTGGTGCCGTTGGAGGGCCGCAGGCCACCCGCATGGCCGCCGCAGCGATAGGCAAGGCACTGGGGCGCACCGTGAAGTGGTACCGCGAGAATCAGGGGCTGCAGCGGGTGAACGAGCAGCTGCGTGGGGAGCTGTCACGGTACCGGGAGAGCCACCAGGACCTGGAGTCTAGGAGCAGGGTCCTGTCTATGGTGCTGGAGGAGGTGAGGGTGGGCGGTTGGAGTTAGGGGTTCATGCAGGGTGGCTAGGCATGGTTTGGGGAGACAGGAATGCGGGCGCTGTGGTTGTGGTCGTGTTCGTGGGTGGGGAACACGTGGCTTAACGGAGCAATGCACATTACCCGCCATAACCAACCATTACCCGCTTACCCCCTCATTCAGAGCGAACGCAATGCTGCTCGGCAGATCACGGGCCAGAAGCGGCAGCTGCTGCAACAGGAGACCCAGCTTGACGCCGCCCAGCAGCGCATCAACCAGCTGGAGCACCTGCACACGCAGCTGAGCCTGGAGAGGCAGCAGGCGCAACAGCAGGCGGCGGAGGCAGTGGCGCAGGCGGAAGCGCTGGCGATCCAGGTGGCTCAGCTAGATGAACGGTTCAGGGCCACCCAGAGGGCGAAGGAGGAACAGCAGCGCGCGGCGGAGGTGGCGGAGGAGGAGGCGAGACAGGAACGACTACAGGTGAGGGAGTATGAGGGGTAAGCTAGCAGGGAAGGGGTGATTAAGTGATTGGCATACTAGGCATTACGAGGTGGAGGGCGCCTCCAATTTGGAAAGGTGGCAAGAGGTAAGGAAAGGCTGTATTGGGTGTTCCAGTGGTTTATTGACGGTGTGTTGGCATCTCACGTGGGGCATGTCTGACATGATGTCAGGTTGAGACACCACGTGCCGAAGCCCGGTAGGGAAGCTTAGGGCGCCGTGCGGGCAATGGCGTTAGCCTGGTCTGCTAACTGCCTCCGACCGACTATGCCCTGACGCCTTGGCATCCCACCTGTTGCACCGCGGGGGCCTTTCCAGGTGGAGCAACTCTTGGCGGCGTGCGCGGAGGCGGAGGCGCGCACACAGCAGCTGCTAGCGGAGCTGCGGACCGCTCAGGAGGACGGCTCGAAACGCATTGAGGAAGCCGAGAGCGCGCGCCAGGCGGCAGAGGTGGAGGTCGCACGCTCCCGGGGGCTCGAAGAGGAGCTGTGGGCTGCGCGTCAGGAGGCGGATCGGCTTCAGGAGCGCCTCGACGCGGCCGACATGGCTGCCGCTGCGCAAGCAGAGCAGCAGGAGGCGGAGCTGGAGGCCGCCAGGATGGCTATGGAGCAGCTCATGGCTGAGCGCACGGCGGCGCGGGCAGAAGTGGCTCGGAAGGAGGAGGAGGCGCAGCGCGCGGCAGCATCGGTAGCGGAGGAGCTGCGGCAGGTGCAGCAGCGCCATGAAGTCGCGATCGCGGAGGCGGAAGTAGAGGTGGAGGAGTTGCGGCGGCAGCTGGAGGCGGCAGCATGGGAGGCCGGGCGTCGTGAAGCGGAGGTGGCTGGGGCGTTGGCGCGCGAGCGCAGCGCACAGGAGGGAGCGGAGAGGATGCGGAGCGAGCTTGAGGGCCTGCGGCGGCGGTATGCTGAGGTGAGTGCATGGCTTGGTACCTGATGTAAGGTACGATCACCCTTTGTTCTTTTCTTTTCTTTTCACCCTGCTTATATCTGCTTCATGTTCGTGCGCTTGTCACCCAACCCTCTTGTGACCGTGTTTTGCATCTCGGTGTGCCGCTTACCCGTCCACAGCTACAAGAGGAGTTTGCCAGCAATGACCGTATCGCTATGGAGATGCTCCAGCAGACGGAGGCCTCCCGGCAGGAGGCAGCGGAGCATGCCTCGCGCAACCAGCAGCTGCGTCGGAATTTGGACGCGATGGTGAGTCCTGAGGGGAATGCGGGCGGCGCGGAGGGTATGGCCTGTGAGACATGGGGATCGCCATTGGTCCTTTTGTTGTTACGGGATTGATGGCAACCACCGTTTATATGGGGCTGGGGAGTAGTGCATTCCATGCGTGCAAGCGGCGGAAGGGTGAGGAAGATAGGTTAGCTAACCTTACTTATCTCGCTTGTACGTACCCAATGGGTAACACTTCATGGAATCCCTGCAGGCTGCTTCTGCCTCAGCAGCCGCGGCGACGCACGCTGCTGCTGTGGCGAGGCTTGAAGCCGCGTTGGCGTCGGAGACCTCACGTGCAAACGAGGCAGGCCTTCGCTACTCCCAACTAGAGGAAGCCCACGCCTCGGAGCTCCTACAGCTTCAGTTGCAGCTCCAAGCTGCCCAGCACGACCTCAAGCAGGCTGAAGCGGACGCAGCGCAGCTACAAGCGACCCATGGGTCACTGCAACAGCAGCTACAGCAACTGGGTGCCGAGCTGGCGGCTGCGCACCAGGAGTTAGATGTCAGCCGCCAGCAGCAGGCGCAGCTGTCAGCCGCCCATGCAGCACAGGTTGAGCAGGCCGGCAAGGAGGCGGCGGAAGCGGCATCAGCACGCGAGGAGGTGGCTCGGCTACGTCAGGAGGCTGCTGAAGTGCAGTCGCAAGTCAAGGAGCACCTGATCCAGGAGCGGAGGCTGCAGGAGGAGCTGCAGGCCGTGCAGCAGGAGGTACGAGAGCTGGAGGGCAAGCTTGCCGATAGCCAGGCGAGGATTGGGACCCTGGCGGAGGAGCTGCAAGGAGCTCAGGCGGAGCTGGCGGAAGCTCAAGGCACCGTCAGCAGTGTGCAGGGCCGTTTGGAGGGTGCGGAGCAGGATAAAGCGGCCCTGGCGGAGAGGGTACGGCAGCTACAGGAGGAAATGGAGGAGGGGCGGGAGCGCTTGGAGGATGCGGAGCAGGATAAGGCGGCCCTGGCGGAGAGGGTACGGCAGCTACGGGAGGAACTGGAGGAGAGTCGGCAGCTGGCGGAGACGCGTATGGAGGAGGTTGGGCGGCTGCAGGACCAGGTACGATAGCTGGCGGAGGGTCTAGACATGCATAGGGGTACTGGCACTCCCTTGCAGCGTGAAGCTCCCTACCGATGTTTGCCTACCTTACCCACCCAACGCATCCGCGCATGCAACCCCAAACACCGTTTTCCTAACCTATGCCACTGCGGCATCCATTCCCACCTACCAGCTGCTGGACATCCGCGAGTCGCGCTGCCGGCTGCAAGACGACTTGGACGCCACCACCGCTGAGCTCACCATCACCCAGGCCAGCCTGTCCGAGCACCAGGCCCAGCTGGCGGACCTGCGGTTCGAGCTGCAGTCCCTGGAGGAAGCCGGGCAGCAGCTGACAGCCCAGGCGGAGGCTGCGGAGGCGCGAGCGCGTGAGGAGGCTGGGGCACGCGGCGCGGCGGAGGCGGAGGTGTCGCGACTGCAGGGTGTGGTCGAGGCCGAGCAAGGCAAGGCAGAGACTCTAGAGCAGGAGGTGAGTGCCGCCATTCGTCGTAACGTGGAGCTGCAGCGACAGTTGGAGGCGGCGCAGGCGCAGCAGCTGGCGGCAGCTGCAGCAGCAGCGGAGGCTGTGAGAGTACAAGCTGAGGCCGCTTGTGCGAGTGCCAGCACGAGCGGCGGTATGGGGACGGAGGAGCAGGGTGGCGTGGCTGCTAGGCCGCCACAGCTGCAGGCGCTGGCTATAGACGAGGAGGAGCAGCGGCGGAAAGTCCTGCTCCTCAACGCGGCTGAGGTCGTGGCTTGCACGCCAGACGCCTCTCCTACGGCCGCCTCGGCAGCAGCGCAGCAGGGCAGCGGCTTCCGCGGCAGTGGTGCGCGCTTCTTGGCCAGCAGTGAGGGCGGTGCGCCATCGGGGCAGCAGCGGCAGCACTCTGTGGGGCGGAGGACATGGGGCCCTGAGGGTGGGGAGCCGTTTGCTGCCTCACCTCGTCGCACCACGGAGCCGAACAGTGAGTCTTATGACCGAGCGGGCACGAGTGGCCATTGCATTCCTGTGCGCGGCTCGGGGCATGTCATTGAAGGAATTCGGGCTGTCGCTGCAAGTGAATTTCCCATGAATCCACACGTAGCCACAACACCTCGCCTACATCCTTCCCTTAACCACCCTTACGGCATCTGCGCAAGCATGTAGTTTCCCAGGTCGGCCGTTGCAGCTCATCTCTTACCCCTTGCAGTTCCTCATTGTCACCACACCCGCCTCTGCAGCCGTCCATGCTCACCTTCCCTCTTCCTTGCGCTGCAGGCCTTAAGCTGGCAAACCAGGTTGTGGCGCTGATGTCGCAGCTCCACGACCTCAGTCAGCGTCACAAGGACGCGGAGGAGCTGGTGGGCTGCCTCAACCAGCAGCTCGCAACAGAGTGCAGGAGGCGCACGGCAGTAGAGGAGGAGCTGGCGGTCGCCCTTCAAAGCGAAGAGGAGGCGCTGCAGAAGCTGCAAGATTTGCAGCGGGAGCGCGAGGTGGCAGCGGCGGTGGCCGCAGTAGAGGCGCGAGCCGGCATCCTAGATGGCGGCCTGTCGCCAGTCGCGGCTGGGCAAAGGGGATGCAACGGAAGTACGGCAGAGCCATGGACGCCCTCGTCATTGATGGTGGAGGCAGGGCGGGCTAGCATGGATCTCACGGGTTTCAACCTCAGCACCTTTGGGTCGTCCATGCTAGAGGGCGGCGTGGCTGCGACCCCTCCGCCTACCGCACCCCATGCCGCCGCACTGCCGTACACCGGTGGCAACACCAGTGCCGGGAGCGGCGCCAGCCTCACCAGCAGAGGGGCCGAGGCGACCCCAGGCACGCCTAGTAGTGTACGAGCGGAGCCGGGATCTGTGCTGGGACCGCTGGCAGGCGTGTTTCGGTCACCACTTGACGGAGCCGATCCGCCGACGCCGCTAGGCACAGCTACGGCAAATGACCTTGGCTGCAGCAGTAGCATGTTTGGGTACCACGTCGCTGACGGCCCATCTTCACGTGTTGGTGACTACGCCGGTGGCGGTCCAGGTCCTCTGGGTCTCGCCGTAGCTTCAGCACTGGTACCCTTCCGCAGGGCGACGCTGTCACCAGTGCCGGAGGAGGGAGAAGGTGCCCCCACACCTGGCAGCGGAAGAGCCTGCGGCGCCCAGCTGATTGGGCACTTGCTGGAGCTGCGGTATGTCATGTACCAGCTGGAGCGAAAGGCAGAGAACCTGGGAGCAGTGCTGGGACGGCCCGAGGCTGCGCCGGATGGTAAGGGCGGAGGCATGCTGTCCTCCCCCACGTCAACGCCCAAGCCGCGTTGACCATGTCTGTGTCTCCAAAATGCTATACGGCATGTGCTATTGTCATCCCGTGCCCTTCTCCTGTACACCCTGGCGCCAGAGCCCATGTCGCCGTGTGGCTTTGCCTTGGACGTCCACCCTTTCTGCTCCCAACCCTTTACGCACAGGTGCGGGCTCGCTGGCAACTCCCGTGCGGCCGAGTCGTCCCTCCGCCGGCTCCTGCTCCGAGAGCACCCTCCGCAACGGCGGCGGTGGCAGTGCTGCAGGTGCAGGTGCAGGTTTCGGCGACGGCTACCCGCTTTCCGGCAACCCCTGCTCGGAGGCTGCGGCGCAGCAGCTCACCTGGATGGCTGACAACCTGGCGGGGCTGATGGAGCGGGCGGGCACGGTTTCGGCGCAGCTGGGAGAGTGCCTGGACGCGGCTGTAGCTCTGCAGGAGCGGGTAGGAGAGGGCACGGGACGTGGAAACCTGCCCTTTCCTGCACGGGCCCTGTTGAGTAGCTTGCTGCGCTATGTTCCCTCCTATGCTCCCTAACAGCAGTCCCATGTGTCATGGTGCCTATGCTCTTCATGCGCCGAATGGTTTCTGTCTCCCTGGCCCCGCTGCAGGCCTCAGCCGCTGCCTCGCCCTCTTCCGTCGCCGCCAGCGCCGGCGTGCTGACCCCACTGGTGGTGCGCTCCATGGGTGTGGAACTGGAGGGCATCCTGCGCCAGTCTGAGGAGGCAAAGCAGGAGGCGGAGAGGGTGCTCAGGCAGCAGCAAGCACAGGTGCGCAGGCGTGGCGGATGCAACCGAGCATGCGGCACTGCCTGGGAACGTTGGTTTAAAACACGACAGCGTTGTCCGTGTGCTGTCAAGACGTAGACACTACTACGGATGCTCTTGACACTACCTTCCAACCTGTGAACTTCCCTCCCTTCCTCTTCCCTCCCTCCCCCCTCCCTCCTCCCTGCCAGTACTGTGCGGAGCTGGCGCGGCTGCGTGCCGAGGCGGACTCGCACGTGGCGCTGGCGGCGCAGTGGCGGGAGCGCTGGGAAGCAGCGGAGCAGGAACTGCAGGCGGAGCGGCTGCACCGGCAGCAGCAACAGGTGAGCCTGTCCTGAAGGATCTGGTGACGATGTTGCTACTGGTATTCAGTACGACGGAGGCCGACACGTCGTTGGTATCGCCAGCCCGTATAGAACCAAGCTTAACGCACCTTTGCAGTAGTTCCCACGTACGGGCCAACGGCATAAACGTCCGACGCGCCCCGTCCTACCCAGACTCTCCCGATGCCTCACCGTCCCCGCAATCCCTTGGCGTTCCTCCAGGTCCACCTAGAGTCCCAGTGCGCCGCCCACGAGGTCACCATTACTCAACTCACCGGCCAGCTGCACCGCCTGCAGCAGCAGCAGCAGCAACTGGTAGCGCAGCTGCAGCGGCAGGAGCAGGAGGCTGCGCGTCAGCATGCGGAGCAGCAGCGCGGAGGAGGCAGTGAGAGAACGCAACGCGGCAGCAACTCCTCGGTTGGGGTAACGCTAGCGACCTCGGACGGTGGCCGTAGTGGTGGTGGCGGCGCCAGTGCCAACGGAGGCGCAGGAGGGGCTGGTAACGTGCGACGGAGGAGCGATAGTGAGGGCAGCTGTGCAAGCTGCAGCGGCGGAACGCCGGCTCCCATTGCGGTGACAAGGGCGGCCGCGTCGGGGGCGGCTACGCAGGCAGAGGGACCTGGTGAACCCGAACGCGGTGCCTCTACACCCACAAGCGCCGCCACAGGAACACGTCGCCGTGGCCGCTCAGGCGACCCCGGCGCAAGTGATCCATCCGCACTGGAGCAGCAGCAGCAGCAGAGGGAGTCGGTTGCCGGTGACAGGAACTGTGCAGGGGACGGCAGCTGCGGTGAGGCGCCCAGCGAAGACGAGATGCGGCTGTGGGTCGGCCTGCTGCAGCTCATTCAAGCCTACCATGCAGGTGCCGACCGCAGTGGCAGCCGCGGTGACGGCGGCAGCAACCGCGGGAACAACAACAGCAGCGGACCCGCCCTCACGGATCCGTCCGCAAGCGCTGCCGCCCCTCTAGCCATGCTGCTCGCCACCACCTCCGGTGACGCCTCGTCAGCGCTGCAGTCGCTGCATCCCCACCCGGAGCACTCCCTCTCCCAGCGCGGAGACGCACCACCACCCGGACACAGCTCCGGAAGTGCACGCGGTGGGTTCCTGCCGGCGGCGACGGTTGCGGCTTTGGCGACTTCCAGCGGGCGCGCCGAGGTGCTTGCTCGCGTGTTAGAGCACGCGGAGTTGCTGCGGAAGGAGAAGCACCATCTCGCGCGAATGTTGCGGCGGGTGCGGGACGGCGATGCCCAACTTGCGGAGAAGCTGCGGCGGGAGCATCAGACGCTGCTGGCCAAGTACACGGAATTGAAGGTATGGTGGGGACACTTGAGACTTCGTGCGGATAGCTTTGTAGTTGGCCAATCGTGGTTGAGATTCGTAGCGGATGTATGCTTGACAATGTGCAGTCGCTACATGCCCTGCCATTTCACCGTCCACTAGCCTACTGATGCCTTGTTCACAACACGGCATACGGTTCCCCTGCCCTCCCTGCAGCTCGCGAGCAGGCTAACCCTGAAACGGCTGGGTCGAGAGAACAGCGAGCTGCACGCGCAAGTGATGCAGCAGATCCAGGCGCGCAACGATCTCATAGCGGCCAGGTTGGGCGGCGGCGGCATGGAGGGTGCAGACGGCGGAGGCGAGGGCGAGCGGCGGCTGCTTTTGACGGAGGCCAGCAACGACGCCGCCGCCCCTTCGTCGATGTAACTTAACTGCTATGGGGCGGGCACTTCATGGGCAGCATTGCACCCAAAGCGGGATGCAAGCGGAGCCTGCTATGCGGCTGGAGGTGTGGGAGATATTGGGGTTTGTCCATGAAGATGGCGAGCGGAGCCTTACATAGCAGTTCTTTGCTGCGCGCTCAATGCAAGCCGTTTGATGGACATCCTATGTGCTACGTCGTCCACATATGCACGCCCCTTGTTCGTTACATGAGCACATGTGTGCATGTTCTTAGCTGCAGGACGTGTGGACTGCCGAGTGAGCTGTATGCGTGTACGGCAAGCCTAGTTGCCTTCGTTAAGGCACTGATGCAGACAGCTGAAGGGTAGCGGGCGGGTAACGGCGAGCAACGCGGCTGGATACGTTATTAACGGGTCATTCAGCGTGCTGAGTTACGCTCCTGCTGCGCGCGCATGCTGTGCTGGCGGATTTGGCTATAACGGCACGTGCGGGTGTTTCTAGGCAGCTTATGTACCAAAAGATCATGGGAAGTAAGCGTTGGCAGATATAGTTTTCCAAGGCAACAAATTGAGTCGTAACAGGACGTGCAGGGTTGCGTTTGACTCGCCCTATGTGCGAGAGACGGTGGGTAGGGTTCTTAACGTGGTCCTGTGCCGTGCCTTTCCGTGTCATGCAACGCTAACATTATTCCGGTATATACGGTATTCCGTTAGGGTCGTTTGGGAACATAACGGGCTCCGCAAGGAGCGACGCAGGTTGGGTTACGAGCAACTGCAGAGCAGTGTTCGTACACCGTGGCGACTCATTTGACGGCGGGATCTGTCGCGCTCCCTGCCATTGCTGGGCTTGCGTCGCTGCTGCGCAATTCGCACCAGCATTTGCTTACTGCCGCTCGCCTTTAATGAGCGTGTTGTGAGCGACTTCAGACGCCGCATGTAACACTTGAGGCAGTGTAGCCCAGGTGACAGTTAAGCCCTGCCTTTTACGGTGCACATGATAATGAGATGGGTCGTTAGGACTATGGAAGCAGAGCGCCACGGCTTAGATTTCGCACCCCTTACGTTTGGGGTAGTGTAGTTTTGGAATCGGCTCGATATTGTGAGCAGAGTTAGGAGGCGTGAGAGAGGTGTGGGGCAAGCGACCCATGGGTCAAGAGCCTTTCATAATACTAGCCATCCGCGGAACGCAAGGGTTGTCGTACCGTTGGGAATGGGTTGGGCTACCTGCTGGGCTAACACCGAAGTGATTCAAGGCTTACAGACGTCGGTGTCCGCCACAATGCTACGCTACTCTTGGCCCCCCTTTCCCCATCCCTTCTCTTAGAAGAAACAACGTGCCAGAATGAGTTGTTGCAGGGCGCCGGATTCTTGCAGAGGCGGCCTTCAGAGTAGCCTTAAGAGTCAAGTCCGAGTTTTCTCCCTCCCCTGTCAATGATATTGTTCCTACGGTACCCCTACGGCTCCTGTTGCCGCAACTGACAATAAGGATACGTTCAGTAACCATGCAGTTGGGAAGCCATGGCCTAGGTCTGTGTGCGAATTAAAACTTCCAACATTGAAACTAACGGTCATTCAGTTAACGTCAGTATTGACATGCGACTGCTAGTAGCTGCCAGTTCGTATAGCTTTCGTATATATATGGGTTTTGGGGTAACGCATATGCGCATTCTTGGCCTAGCCGTTCGAGGCAGCTCGAAGAAATGGAGATGCCGTACCAACTAACCGGCAGCGGTTATAAAACCAGTGCGGACCATATATGGGAGCTTTTAACAACTCAGTCAATAACTCATATTGGAGGCACTTGTCGTTCCTCTCGCAGGCACTGAAAACGCCAAGGGAGCAAATTAAAGAGTAGCCGGTACGGCACGCATCGAACATTTCTCACTATGCCTCGCTCCGCGCTTGTTGCCCTCCTGGCACTGGTGCTTGCACTGGCCGGTCCCGCCCTGGCCACCACGAATCTGGTAGTGACGGAGTTTGTTGACAACACCGCCACCACCGCGTAAGGACGGAACAGCTATGTATGCGTGACTCGGGACCTTTGATGCTATCAAAACAATGACCTACCCCACTCATCCCAGCAGCCTCGCTCGCTCCCGTGCGCTTTCACTCATTGCAGTGGCTGCTTTGACATCGGCTGCACGTTCGGCTTCACCAGTCCTGTAGCGGCCGGTGGATCCCCCATGGGAAGGAGGGTGAGTGGTGGCGCAGACCTTACTGCATGCCTGCCGTTTTGCCCTGTACCGGAAATGGTAGCTTTTTGTACTCGGAGGCGTATGCCTTGATGCCCATCAACGAAAGATGCCTGGGTTGTTGGCACCGATGCCCACTTGCATGCATGAACATGCACTCCCAGGCCTCCTTCTTTACTATCAAGCAAGCCGTCAGGCGCATCACACCTCATCCTTTCCCTGCGCCCCCTCCCGTCCCATTCAGATCGGGCGTACTGCTGGCATTTGCACGGTTCTTGCGCCCTCCTCCGCTGCTGGCGGCGTCAACTACTGCCTCATCAGCATCACCCTCGACAGGTACGGCACCATCACCGTGCAGGGCCGCGAGAACGAGGCCAAGGTAAGCCGGCACCAAGGATACGGTAGACAGTGGTCCTGAGGGTCGCTTTTTAAAGATGACAGACAGCCCTTTGCAACAGCTTCAAGGGCTGTCGCTCATAGTGAGGACCGTCCTTCTGACATGACGAAAGTGCGCATGCATGGTGTATGCAACCTATGCAGCTGATGTCTGCCTACATGTATCTGACGGTATCAGTAATTGCCGTACCTCGTAATGCTTGCGACTGTGTTCTCAGACCAACGGCCTTCTTCTATGTTTACCCCAACTTCCTCCATCTAACCGCCGTCAGGGCTCCACATCTGATCTGGCCGTAAGCGGCGGAACGGGCAACTACACCGGTGCTTCCGGTGTCGTAGTTTCTGAGGTTTTGGAGCCCGGCAAGATCTGGGAATACACCATCACACTCAACTAGGAGGAGAAGAGGGATTAGACCACACTTGTAATTAGGGCTTACTTCTAGGCGCCCGCATGCGCCGGCTGCCTTGCTAGCTGAGTTTATTTGTGACTTCCATTTTTGTGCGTTTAAGGGCATTAGGACAGGCAGGTTTGTGGCTGCATGCAATCCTACATAGCCAGCGCCAGCAGGAGGTGGAGGACATTAATGTTGGGGCCTTCGTTTTCAGTGCACTGTGTGTGCCGGAAAGCTTGCATGCATGGGGCAATAAGTAACGCTCAGTGAAGAGGCGTACATGTACAGGTGCTCCGCTCGTCGCATCTTGGGTCCGTGTCATGTGCGTAAGGCCGCGACATTATAAATTATCTTTGGGCCTTTGGGGGCGTTTATAACAATGTTACTAATAAGGATAGGCCGGGCTCCCCTAAAGTAATTTTAGGGGGCGGCTGGTGGTGAGGATAAACGGCTTTCCCATCCCCTGTAATACATCCCCCGCCACCGCGGTGGGGTAGAGGTTTGTTGGAGACCACTTCTGGATGGATGCCTTGGTCCACAGGCCTGTGATAGGATGGTATTAATAGTAGCCACGCCGGGCGTAATTATTAGAAATGGTACATGCTTGCCATTTTGATTGACCCGAACCGCCCTGATCTGGCCAGAATGTAAGGAACATGCATGTGTGACAGTGTGAGCGCTCCCATACATGCTGCCAGTCCAGTGCGTGGGCTAGCCCAGCAAGCGTACCGCTATCTAGCCTTGTTCCCCATCACCCCAACATCTCGCTATAAGGGTTGGCGGGCTAAAGGCGGGAGTGGCGAACAAACCGGCGCACCCAACCTGCAGGTGTGCTCTCTAACATGCATTCGCGAAGGCGGACACGAGAGATGGTTATGTACCTGCAAGCTACATGGCCACTTCGTTTCCTGGGGCAGCCGTGTATGTAAGCCATGAGACCCATGGGTCACATACATGTGCCCTCACTCGTCATGGGTTTTGACGTGAGCAACCAATCACAAAAGGCAAACGGAATGCTTGCTTAGGCTTTATCCCGTTGCGCAGATTCTGCCTGGTAGTTATAAGCATCAGCTTGTGAAGATGTCCCCACACCAATACGGTACCTCACAAGCACGATCGTTGGTTGACCCGGCCAGGCCGCCACAGCTATCGCCTTGCTTGCCTAGGTTTGGGAGGAACGCTAGGCTATTGGAAGCATGAAGCATCAGTGGTGCTTGCCCTTGCTGCCCATGCAGGTGTTCAACCTACCCAGGCAGCCAAGACCCACTGGTTAGTAACGGTGAGCAAACTACTCGGTTAAGGACCGCACTTGCTACCGAGGTGCGACGAAGCACGCAAACCAATCTTGTCACAGCGGGAGCAGGCGGCCCGGCTTACAGCCTGCTGTGTTACAGGCCGCTTCCGCCAACTGCAGGATGATTCGGACGGGAATGGTACCACATACAGCTTCTGTGTTCGTGGTTAGCGCCCAACCTTCCTTTGGCCCAGCCGAGGAACTTCGAGGCAGCTTCGCTCGAGGCAGCTTGTTCGAGGCAACTGAGGTTCCGTACCAACCGACAGCCGTTGTGATTCCTTTGCTGGCCATATATAAGCGCACCGTCATTCCTCACACCGACATCTAAACTGCCAAGCAGGTCAATTGGTAGTAGCTGGTTCAGTACACAGCACACATTATTGCCGACATGCCTCGCTCCGTGTTCGTTGCCCTGGCGCTGGTGCTTGCACTGGCCGGTCCCGCCCTGGCCACGGAGGACGATGGCTGGTACAAGAAGAACCCGCTTGTGGTGACGGAGTTTGTGGACAAGACTGCCACCACCGCGTAAGAAGCCGCCATGCATGCATGCCCTGGCTGGAAACACTGCTATCAAGACGATGACCCCGCTCATCCCGTCAACCCCGCTTCCGTGCGCTTTCGTTCATTGCAGTGGTTGCTTTGATGTCGGCTGTACTTACGGCTTCACCAGTCCTGTCGCGCTGGGTGGTTCGCCCAAGGGGAAGAGGGTGAGACGGCGAAGATCTGCCACGCATTGGGTAGTGTTACGGCATGGTGCAGGCAGGCCATCTTGTAGCGTATACCCTGCTTCATTTCAAGACGCGCGGGCCCCTTAGTCACTGGTATTGTTTATCCAATGGATGCAGCCTGCCTGCCTGCCTGCGTGAATGAGCGTGCCCTTGTCTGCCTCCAATATGAAGCCTTTACGACATCAATCCAACTTCTTATCTTTCCCTGCCGTGCCCCCTCCCGTCCCAACCAGATCGGGCGTACTGCTGGCATTTGCACGGTTCTTGCGCCCTCCTCCGCTGCTGGCGGCGTCAACTACTGCCTCATCAGCATCACCCTCGACAAGTACGGCACCATCACCGTGCAGGGCCGCGAGAACGAGGCCAAGGTAAGCCGGCGCTATCCTATGGGCAGACGCTCGTTTTCGAGGCTGCTGTCGTTTTAGCATGCCAGCAGTCGACACCTCATGCCGAGCCCGCGCTCCTGATGACACTGGCCTACCTACATGCGCCCGGCGGTTAGGGTGGTGGCGGGCCTGGGAATGCCTGCGGATTATCTGATGACAGCCCCCTGTTCCCAGCGTAGCGACTGACCTCTATGCCCACCCCCGATTGCCACCATCCCAACCGCCAGGGCGCCAAGTCCGATTTTGCCATCACCGGTGGCACGGGCCGCTATACCGGCGCTTCCGGTGTGCTCGTTTCGGAGGTCCTGGAGCCCGGCAAGGCCTGGAAGTACACCATCAAGTTCGACAAGAAGGAGAAGAAGTACTAGACATACGGGTGTTGTGGCTTGGCGCACGCATGCATGGTCTATGGCTCATCATATACATGTACAGTCGATTGGTTGCATAAGGAGAGGGAGCGTCGATCAATCGTGGCTGCAAGCTAGTACCGGTAGTGTTAGCAGGTGGTGGCGGATGGTTGGTACCCCTTTGGCCGTCTTCAAATCAACCCTTATAGCTGCTGGAAGGGCGTAGGATGGTGAGCGAGCTTGTAGACACCTGGAGCGGAAAGCGCTACGACTTCAGTGAATGCAAAACATACTAATTGAATAGCCGTACATGCATGCGGTACGTGGTCAATGGCCTGGTTATCGACCTTGAAATCCGTTCCACGCACTCGCGTGGTTGAGTTTTCGTACGTTAGATAGGCCCTTCATTCCTTAACCCGACGCTGTCCGTGTGCCAAGATGCTTACACATGCTCCCCTTCACAACTAACCCGCACCAGCTGATCTTGTCAGCGTACCCGTCCAGTCCTG